GAATGTCAGGACGATGCGATACAGTGTTTCATATTCTTTTCATTCTTGGTGGTTGATGCGATGAAGATCGACTGCTCGAGACGAGGCTGAAAAACCTTCCTCCCAAAACTAACTCTATATTGTGGGGAGTGTCTGCTTCTACGAACGGGCACCGGGTGCGGTGCACCTCGGAAACTGGCCGAAACAATGTCCAGACATTGAAATTGTCGACCTTGTAGAGTCTCTCGATTGAGTTTTCCTTTCATGTTCTGCTTGTGAATTGGCCACATACTGTCCTCGATGTCGGCAAAGTCTTCGGCGCAGAAAGAAAGGATGCATTGCATCCGTCCACCGCGAAAGCCGGTGAGGAATCGACACATGCAGCATGTTGACCCCACAAAAGGCAGCGTTCTCAATACTCTTGCCCTGGTGTTACCGGGTTGTCACGATCCAATTTGAAATCGCCTTTATCGTTCACCTGTCTTCCGCGTGAAAGATAATAGTGTTGGACTCCCTTGCAATTCAGCACAACTTCGATATAAGAAACCTGCAGCCCGGATTTCCGCAAGAGCCCGCAGTTTATCAAATTGGCGCAGGTGGGACTCTTCGATGGACCCCTGCGCAATCTGGGGTGCATGCATCGACAGGTGAGGTCACCCCCTTAACCTGTGCATTATAACCCTGCAATTCAAAAGTGCTACCTGCACAAGACCTACGCATGGATATTCATTTTCCCAATGCAATCGTTACAACCTGGCTACGAGTGCGCTATCCAAAAGTTCCATTATTCGAAACTCACTTGTTTGAACTCTAAACGCTCCACCGGAGGTCTGCATTAGTAGGAAGAGCCACAAGGGCCTAAAAGGCTTCAAACTGGCAATTAGAGGCAAACAGGCATCATGCCTGAGAATTGTAGCAGTATCAGGCGGTTGACATAGTCCAACCATAACAATACCTGGGGACCCGATACCGAAGCATCCTTCCACATTTGCACTTACGAAGTACTGATCACGTACATGGAGATATGGCGGGGTCCATTTGGCACCCCTACATAGGAAGATGCATGGTACTCAGGCTGCATTGACTATGGTCTACCTCTACATGGTCAGCTGCACCGGAGATCATTGATCTCTCGTAACAGTTGCTGAGAAGAGACATTGAATTGCACACTAACAACCTGGCCTCGAGGGGAGAATGTTTTGGCAGCCCAATGATCAAACATGCAATTTGTGCCTGCCCCATGTATTTCCATGTTGCATCATTAGGCAGTGTTCTTGAGAAGATCATTCATCCTAGCGATTGACTCGTCTAAACGTACAGCGATTACAATCGTGATTATCTCTCCTGAATGTGCAACCCGTCACAGCCATATCTGGGACGGAGCGAAGTCATCGGTTTCGGACAACTTGGCTGTGTGACCATACTCAGTAATTAGGGATCTGATTGCAGCTTTATCTGGTAACTCACGGCGTGTATCAATTTCGTTGTCCTTGTGATCCATGCATGAATAAGGATACGGCTGCACCAATTGAATCATCCATGATCACTCGTATATTTGCATATCATTCATCTATTGACCGAAACTGAGAGGCTGACCTTCGAGGACAATGCCCCATGATCTAACTTTCAGTAGGCTTTGATCCGCCGGCACTCTTTGTGGTGGTGGAGTCAACTAGCCAGGCATGCAATGGGCACGGGTGTGCGGACCAGTCCAAGTTTGGGGCACCTTCTGGGCTGTCACCCACGTGGATAGTGGGCGAGCACCGACTTCCATCACAATAAGTGGGACTAGTATTTTGTCCATTGCGCCTCAACTGGGGTCTTTGAGATTCAGTCCTCCCAACCATCAACTTAGTAAAGATGGCTGGCAAGTTGCGACTTTGGAGTTGAGCTTCTATGGACGAAACGAGATTGCTTGTAAAATGCTAAACGTCACTTCCTTTAAGGGGAGGGCAGGGCAGTGCCATTTAGCCGTAACTCTCGAGTCTTGACTAGTTCAAGACAGGAAGGTGTGAAAACCTATGAGCCTGAGATTGAAAGATGGCAGTCAAATTGCACAACCCGAGGTCGCATCAAATAGCGACTGTCAATACTAATTACTCGTAAGTGTTCATGGTATCTCATGTTGACACTGAAACTCTCCATAGGGAACAGTCCAATTTGAACGCCGGGGAAGCTATCAAGACCATATCAGGGCAAAAGCAGATCTGAGGCTTCCAGGTAGTTCATATCCCAGGACCGTTCGTTTGTTAGCTTTATTGATACTCATGCCTTCGAGGTGCGTATTGGCAGGGTACCTTGACCCCTACTCGTACGCTTGGTGAGGCAATCGAAAATGAGAGATTTCTAATAACGGTGAGCACGCCTTCCTTTGGAGGACAATGGACGCAACATATATCGCTTCCCACTGCGCGCCTGGTGATAATCACGCAGGCGCCTCCTTCAGCTAGCTGGGGAGTACCTCTAGCCGAACGACAACTGTAGTCACAAGCACCGGCGACCTGTGTAGAAACGGGATCTAATCATGCAAGATTGGTTGGTAACTCATAGTTGCCCTTCCAGATACAGAAAAATCATATGGCACATGAATGTGGTCTGATCTCAGTCTTGGACGTCCTATGCCCTTCATCTCCAGGGATGTCGGAGTCCATGGAATCTGATAGGTGGTTGAATCGGAATCGAAAGCAAATGTTAGTGTGATGTGGCTGTCGATGAAACCCTGATCGCTAGCATAATTCGCTCCGGTGGCTTCGGGTGGTTGAAGGATGTGCTCGGTAACTGGTGGACTAAATCCAGCCACATGTTCTTCCCAACACAAGCAAAAGCCAAGGACACGGATACGGAGTCTGATGAGATGTGTCTGAAGCGTGGGATTTTGGCATTGTTGCTCACCAACATCACTTGCGTCCAACTAGCACAAGCGAGAAAGGGGTATGTTACATGAGTCGAGCAAGGGCGAAGCAAGTTGAATACTTCCTGATGTGGAAGGTCCTCCACTGCTGAGGAAAAGCTCTGTATGCTTTGAATCTGAGTTACGGGGTTCGAGTAGATCCGGTCACTCACTAGAGTACATGGGTACCTAGATAGACTACTCCAGATTTGGTAGCGCGATAGGCATTGATAGCCTTGCGTGGGAGCATGTTCCCAATTGATAGCGATAGAGCGATAGTGCTAAGTAATGCCTCTTAGGCCGAAAGCCATACAATGGTGCGAGATAGGGAGGAGAAATGGCTATTCCAACAATGTTCGAATGTTGGAGGTGATATTGATTGCTTCTGTGAATCTGGACATGGTGTACTCCCACACCTACTGCTCGAAGTCGCCCCTCGGGGCCGAAAGGGCCCTCGACCGACTGATTCAAGAAGTTAATGGGCGTGGGAGGAATTGCTAAGGCTAAGGCTGCAACTCAGCCACTGATTTGACCACGTTCAGCACACCATTCTCGCGATTGCTGATCTTCATCGACTACCCCCATGCTTGTATTTGGTGCAATTAAGCATGGACTCCTTACTCGTACCTGGGCATCTAGGTATTGTTTAGAATGTGTAATGGCACATCTGAATCCATGGATCATTATTACCGTTACTGGTATTGTCATCGATGCTCTAATATATCAAGAGGAAGAGGCAGAAACCTTGAAGAGTTGCAACTCCCGATCACTTCCAAGCCGCATGACTGACGCCCCCGAAACAATAATATCAATATCACTATCCCTTCCAACTTGGGCTCCGGATCAAAGATGATGTCACAATGAGAGTTACGAGAAACAAAAGTTCCAGATCCCCATGATCGTGGCAACTCCCCCACCAACGAGAGCCTGAGTGACTCGAAAAGAGTCATATTGTTCTTAGGGGGTGTCAGTAGGCGCCTCGCCCCCCCGATGATCTCGCAACTGGGGGCTGGTTAGTTAAGAGATGGCTGCAATTTGATGCCCAAACACCACCCAGACAGTGGCAACTGGTTGGTTGAGTCGGGTTTGGGGTCATCAGTTCCAACTTGTTCTATTATTCATGTCGTCGATATGTCACTTGATCAACCATATCATTCTACATCATCACCAATTCGGCCCATTCCTCAATCTTCATCTTCCGCTTTCCTTTTCCATCACGTTTGTGGCACAAACTCCGCCGTGACTCCCCGCCCCCATCTTGTTAAAGCTCTGGCCGAATGACTTGGATACGGATACACACACAACCAACTCACCGAACTTTTGTTATTTCCATCTCCAGCTCACTTCTATTACAACCGAGCCGATCATCTACCGACCTAGACGCCAGGAGTTCCACAATAACCAATCCCATTCTCCGTCAAGCCTCCTTCATCTTGTAGTGGCTCGCCAACTCATCATTCCATGTCACACGACAACCATAGTAAGCCACATCCCATCTCTGATTGCTACCGAAATTCATCCATTCATTGCGCTGCATTTCATCTCCCTCGCCTTGCACTGCGCCTCTTGCTCAGCGCTGAAGACTTCCCTGTCTTGAACAAATCGAGACCACTTGCCAGCCTCCTTGCACATCTTAACGAGGAGGGCCGAAATCCCGTCGGCCCGCCCGCCATGCGTTTCGCAATGAATTCAGGCGCTTTGACACCGAATCCCCTGTCTGGCCCAAGTGATGCATTCGTTTCGCAGTCCACAGTCGCTGTATCCTCACCGGATATGCGTTGTCGCTCAGCTGACCACAGAATGAATCACATTGTTGACGGGTTATCCCACGTTTTCTAGGCATCGACCAGGTCAGCGCCAACCAGATCAATCAATCCGATCAGGTTTCCATCACTTCCATCACTTCGAGATCGAGAGTATGCCGCTTCTTCAATACAACTAAAGGTAATTAACATTTCGTCTTTTGCAAGGCTTTTTTTTCATTGGTTCATGCAAAGGATTAAATCCCAATCCCGCCTAAAACATGTTCCATTTACCATGATTCACGAGTCAGCCTGGCGCTCATGATTCATGATATTGGCCCCATCGTATCTGCAACTAAACTAATCATGCTGTCCATATGTTCCACGTGATGGCTAAGTATGACTGCTAGGTTGTCGGGCGGGTAATCAGTGCCCCTATCAACACATACAGTTAAGTACGAGTACCTCCAGCAGGCAGAAACATGGCCGGCGGCAATCCATAGGAGCATCGGAAAGATCGACAATTGGCGGTACCATTGGCAAGTTGGAACTTCCTTCCGGGCAAGTTGCAACTCAGAAACCGGAGTCGCAACTTCAACGAACCAATCCCCGTCAGTTTCAGATCGGTCAACTGATCAAAAGATTCTCGCCAATTCAAAAGGAACTCAATGACGCTACAGTCTTGTCGTTTACGTTGAAACCATCGGATCCCGATTTCCCGTTTGATCTGGCCGGTCTGAATTGCCATCTCACCATTCCAGCATCATATCCTGATCATGGCACACCTACCCTCCGTGTCACTAACGCCGAAATGGCGCGGGGCTTTCAGATCAATGTCGAAAAGGGATTCGATTCTTTGGCAGCCGAAGAGCCGAGGAAGTCTCTGTTGGCGTTAATGAACGGCTTGGACAGAAGCCTCGAACAATTCCTCACAGCTGAGAAGGCCCAAACCATCAAACTTGTCTCCAATGCCGACCGGCGGCACCTGTCAGATGCTATCCCACAAGTCATCCCACCAGTTTTACATGTGCCTTTCCCGAAACCTCAAAAGGTGTTTGTTCCTGCTCCGACATGGTCCACGGAGCAGCTCTCCGATGCCCAGGCGAAGCGTCAAGTAGACGTACGCCAGCTTGATGCCCGGATGGGGCGCCTATCGGGATTCTCCAAGAGCTCTGATGGGACGAGGTTCACTATCCCAGTTCAGATCCCGCATGTTGCGAGGCTGCCAGTAGCCTTACAGCCCCTGAAAGAGATTACTTTGATAGTACCCAAACTGTACAATTTACAGCCATGTACTGTTCATCTCAATGGTGTTTATGGGGACGAGGTAGAAGGCGTGCAATTGTCGTTCGAGAAGCATGTTCGTGAACAATTAGGCATGACTCTCATGGCACATGTCAACTATCTCATTCAAAACATCCACATGATGGCTACTGAGGGATTGAACACGACTGCTCCCCAACCTGTCGTTCCTGAACCAGCCCAGCCTCCTTTTGCAGAAGAGTCACCCGCAGTGGAGGAAATTTCAGAGCAGACAGGGAGAATCTTGGACCCAGACCACCCACATGTACTGGTCATTCCCCGACCCCCAGAGTGGGATCATCATGGATCTGAATCCGAGTACGACTCTGATTCGTACGATTCTGAGGATTACACAGACTCCGAGGGTGACTACGATGAGGAGAACGATGGTGTCGAAGGTGGTGCAACGTTGCCCATCGACACTGCTGGAGTATCTTCAACGCCAGCAGAAAAAGGTATCCTGCTTTCTTTTCCTAATCTCGAACTCCACGGCATTGAGCTACTGACTATCTCATCCCTCTCACTTTCTGTCAAATGCCTCCGGTGCAAGACTTCCCTTGATGTCCCCAACATCAAACCTAGTCTAAGCCCTTCAAACCGGGACACCATTACAGCTTCCACCACAACAAGCACACGTACTGAATCATGTCCCAAATGCGCAAGCTCATTCGAAATGACTTTTACGCCTCAACTCCTTCATCAGAGCTCCATCCGTGCAGGCACAGTGGAAGTCATCGGTTGCACAATCGCAGACATGCTCCCCTCGACCTTTCAGCCTACCTGCTCCACCTGCTCGACACCATTTCCCAGCCCTCCCGGCGTGGTTTCTGTACGAGGCGACACACCCATCCAAGTGTGCCGATCATGCCATTCCAAGATGACATTCACCATCCCCGAGGTCAAATTCCTCCGTCTATCGGCTGCAACTCGCGACCTCCCCCTCCGCAAACCCAGACGCGAGAACCTCGGTGTCACAACCGGCACTCCACTTCCCCTCAACGGCACTTGCAGCCACTACTCGCACTCCTACCGGTGGTTCCGCTTCTCATGCTGCGGCAGGGTGTACCCATGCGACCGCTGCCACGATGCCGCAGAAGCACACGTCAACGACCGTGCCGAACGCATGCTTTGCGGATGGTGCAGTCGCGAGCAACGCTTCCGACCCGAGGACTGCAGCCACTGTGGGCGTAGTGTCATTCGTCGGCGGAGAGGTGGCGGTGCCGGTCGCTTCTGGGAGGGCGGCAAAGGTACGCGGGAACGGGGCCTGATGAGTCGCAAGGATAAGCGCAAGTACAGGAACAAGCGCGCTGACGGTCAGAGTGCCGGAGGGGCCACGAAGAAGAATTGATAATGGAGAGAATCTTGATATCTACTGATTTGATGAGTACGACGATGATTCAAAGACGGTGCTATGCGACCAGAGGAAAAGCAGGTGATGATCGACAGCAGAGCTCAACCCACTAAATGGGGGTACATAGCTGGCACTGTGATTCTGGTGATTGCTGTGCCCGGTAGTGATTGAGCTGATCTTCGCTGTTCCAAACGCAGTGACAACAAAAGGTTTCTGACCACTAATCCCCACTGTCATACGTTTGTTAGCCGCCAAGTGACCAGGCGCAGTCCAGAATTCAATTCAAAAGCATCAGATAGATCTGCATTCTCTTCGTCTCGATCCTGTGCTGCTTCCAAAGCTCGAACCCCCGAGCCCGTCTCGAGAAACTACCATTACCCCGAAAACAAGGACTGTTCACACCATATTACAATAATTGCGCCTTCGATACTCGCTGCGCAACTCTGAGCAACAACATGTATCGTTCGCCACGGACTCGCATATGTCGTAGCTTCCCCGTGAGCAATCTGTCCCTGGCCAAGTCCAGTGCAGTGCAGTCCAACAACATACTTACAAACTACGCCCGTCGCATCATGTCCCCCCTTTTCCCATGCAGCCTCGCCCGGATCTGCCCTTCCGTGTGTAAAGTAATGCAAAGAAACACCACTGCATCGTCTAACACTACTCGTTTCTCCACCTTGCTTGTTCGCTTCTGGCAAACTCCGCCTCTCGGTGATTCCCGGAATTGGATTCTCCTTCGATCCGCGACGCGGGTCCCCCCTGCGGTCGGTCGGTGCTGCTCCAAATGGAGATGTAGTTGACTACCAGCGATGCCGATGATGTGTGATCGTGAGGAGCAAAACAATTAATGAGTGTGAGGCGAACAATGAAGTAAGTAATGTTGGTTCAGAGGTGCAAATCATGAAAGCCTACGCGACTGTATTTGTTGAAATCTTTTTACAGCTATGTAGACCAGGATACTCCTGATCTGTTCAAAAATCTGCGTAGATTTCCCCAAAAAGGCGTCATATCCATTTCCAGTGCCTTGTTTGACACAAATGTACAGTATCCATCCCATGGATTTGTTAAGAAATGATCGCTCAACAATTATGAGCAAGCCGAAGAGTATTTGCAGATAGCCTCCTCCAATGGTCTTTCAAGTATGCCTGAATGTCTGTATCCAAAGGCACAGCTGTGATACAGCCCTGCGTGGATATCCTGTAAGTCTAGCGCGTGCGGGGTCCGGCCTCGAATCCTCTCATTTTAACAAGGGTTCGGATTCACTGGTACCATTTCCTCTCTTCTTTCTCCTACGCTTCTTCTTTTTGGAACTTGAGTTGGCAGCCCCGTCTGGTTCCGCTGAGTTAGAACTTGGGCCATCTCCGGAATGTTTGCTGTTGATACTCTTTCCACTGTCGAAACTCGTGGTGCCCTTATTGGCACCACTGTTGTCCTCGTCTGGGTTGGACTCACTACTCGAAGTGGTTTCGAGTACGACTTTTCTATAGCCATTGGTGTCCACTATGTTCTCCGTGATGCTGCCACTCCTAGCCGGTCCTCTGTTCTGATAGGACGAACTCCTAGGTCGCAGACTACCGATGGTACTGGTCGAACCCTGACTGACAGGTCGAGTGGAATTCGGTGACTTGGGAGCGGGATCAGAAGATTTTGCAGGTTCAGGGGAGAGCAGGTCGGCCTGAATGGCCTTAGTTGCACTCTGTGGACGTCTCTCAGCCGGAGAGGATGACATGGTGCCATAGCCCTGCTGCAGGGCTTGCACACCATCACTGGCACCCTTCCCTCCAGATTTCAGCACACCTTCTCCGATGCCTCCATAATAGTCCGATGCCGATTCAGAAATCCTTCGCACAGGAGTTGCTATTCCAGTCGTACTAGTTGGGTGCATTGTTGCGTCTGTACCAGGTTTTATCTTGACCGTTGCATACCTGGTAGCTTTGGGGCGACTGGCCAGATTTGAAGGTCCCAAGTGTTTGAGATGTTCCATGATCTCGGCCGTCGGAGCTCGCTTCACTCTGGGTATGTCACTGGGATTGTTGCTGGCGCTGGAGTGGCGTCGAAGAGCCGACACACCCTTGTGCTTTCCGGGTAAAGTGTCTGCAGTCTGGACATGCTGGAGGTCATCAGGCGAGAGGAGATCATGTTCTTGTATGTCGATTAATTCTGAGGAGGTAATATGGCCTGCTTGTACCTCAGCTTCTAGGTGCCTGGAAATCCGTCTTGTTGGGGCAGGCATCGCTCGGCGAATGGCCTTGTGTACATCAATGAAGACATCAGACTCGTCGACAATTTCTTCACCAATCAATTCCTCGATGACATCCTCTAATGTCACCACTCCAATAGCACCATGGTCATCACCAGGAAAGTCCGAGACGAGGACCATGTGGGATTTGCCCTCCTGGAAGAAGTTCACGATATCAAGACAGCTAGTGTAAGGCCGAGTTTCGGGCAAGGTGGCAAGGGCAAAGTCGCGGACGGGTTTAGCATCCTCCGGGTCATATGTGATAAGCATTTTGACCAAAAGCATGCCGACAAAATTAGAATTGTTGTCTGGATGATGAATTGGAATGCGAGAATAGCCCTGAGACAGTATGTCATCCATGGTTGCTTCGTCAAGCACGTCGTCGAGGGATAAGGTAAAGACATCTTCCATTGGGGTCATGATGCTGCCGACGGACTTGTCCTTCAGATCGAGTACAGCGCTGATGATTGTCACTTCGTCAGCATTCAGTTGTTGTCCGGCCTCACCCAGACTGCGGTGCAGTGATACGAGAGTCTTGAGGCCCGCCTTCTTGTACACAGTTCCATGGTCTTCCCCTAGGAGATAGTCAAGCAGTTTCGCAGTTGGCCAAGCGACAGGAGCCATGATGTACATGAGTCCTTTGACAAAAGGTGCCATCCAGGAACCGATGGGGAGACCGTAGCGTACACAGACGGATTGAGGCGCGATTTCACCAAAGATGACTATTGTATGTTAGAAGGATAAGTGACACAAAGTCTGAGAGAGAGGCTTACCGATCAACACTGTGGAACCAAGAACCGCAGGCCATCCACCACCAAGCGAGCGATCCAGAACGATGGGAAGTGTTTCGTTGGTGATCACATTGCTCAAAAGTAGAGTTACCAAGACCCAGTGTTTTCCTTTCTTGAGGAGATTCAGAACTTTGGCAGCGTGCCTTTTCTCAGCACCTTCACCAGAGTCACGAATGACTTGCAGATAGATCTCATCTTGACCCATCAATGCAATCGTCAAGCCTGCAAAGGCACCGCCAAGAAGGACCAAAGCAGCTGCAACGCTCAGATACAGCCATAACTGCGCGTCCTCAGGGTCTGCATCCTCCTCCCTGGATGCATGGAACCAGGTCGAGGCATGGATGGGAGCAGCTCGTACAACAGGAATCTGCGAGAGCGCGAGGACGAAGATTTTGGAAAGACCGAGGACCAAGGGCGTGGACGAAAGGTAGGATCGAGATCTTGTTGAAGGCATGCTGTAAGGAGCACGAGGCGACTCAGTGCGACATGTTGACCTCGGTGAGATCATTCGATGGAGAGGTAGCTTGCTCTGAAGGAGTGTGAAAATCCAAAATGAGTATCAAATAGAAGGCCGCAAACGGTGGCCGGGGTCTGTAGACGATGTGTCTCTCAAGAAAAGAGAACGAGGTAATTATTGTGTACGATACACTTTGGTTGAAGGATGACTGATGAAATGATTGGCCATCGAATGATGTGGGAGGAGATGGAAGTCGAATGGCGGGAATCGTCGTAATGGAAAGCTTCGGGCATGGGTGCGGAGTATTCAGACCTGAGGCGCAGTCATTTTGGCGTGGCTGTGGAGCATTAAGCCCTGACACGCAGGCAGCTTGAGCCTCTCCACGTGGGCCTAGAGTCCACCCTCTGAGGGGCTCGCTCTCGGTCGTCAGTATTTCCACAGCTGATTACTTCCTACGCGCGGGCAGATAGTTGTATTGATAAGCGAGAAGGAGACAGGCTGATTCAAATTTACCGATCATCAACGGGCGCCTGTCTTATTTAGTGAGGAATATCCCCCAACTCACGCTTATGAAAAGCTCACAATCAGCCGGGTCTAGCAACTCAGCCTTGCATATGATATGATATTATCATCCCACGCTGCAGTAATGACAGGAGATTTGGCCACACTGTGGCAGACATAAAGGCGCACGAATTCTTTTGGCAGATATCAAATGTGCGAGGGTCGCATCGCCGTCATTGTTCCCAGTCTGCAGTTCTGATTGCTAGATCAAGTCTCTATCATTTCGCCCACTGCGAGCCGACAAGTCTACACCATCGCTTTGCAGAGCGAGTAGTCCAAGCATAGCCTTAGCAACAACGAGGACGATGCGGGTGGAGACAATATTACTCTTAGTCACCAGCAGTGGCCGCTCAAATGCCCGAATAGGAGAGAACGATCCGTCAATGGTCCAGTAGGACCACCATTGCTGGCCCGCGTCAGGAAAAACATAGAATGCACATCGCTCCCGATTGACCCCAGAATTCATCCAGCTTTACTCTTCAAAGTGTCTAGCACCAGTTCGCTATTGACTGAGGTCGCAAGGTCAGCACTCATTCCGGCGAGGTAGCCTGCTGCAACAGCACTCCTACCTAGCGCCTTTCTGATCTGATTGAGCATTCTGCCTCCTTGGTTACTGTTCACTATGACAATATCGATCTTCTTTCTTCTGGTCGCGTATACTATCTAGCGGCTGAAAGACTTAAGTGGCTCTTTTGTACTGGCCTTCAATAACAGCATGGCCTAGTTCTAGGTCGTTCAATGGGGGGATGCCAAAGCACTTGGGAAAAGACATGTGGATTGTCTTGTCCAATATCATCTGATCCTTGGCCTGCATCTGGCACAGAGGTGGCCACTGATGATTAAATCATGGGTCATACCTCATTCTGTATGTAGATTGAACAAATCCAAAATCCCAATGCTTACACTCTTTAAGTGTCAATTCCACGTTCTGAGTCCCTCCAAAAAGACTTCGGCCCTTGCCGATCAATTTGGGGATTACGGTGATTGTTATCTCGCTTAGCAAGCCTGCAATGATGAAGCTTCGCACCACTTCTCCGCCATCTACGTAGACCTTCGTTTTCTTTGTGGAGGATAGGTACTCTCTGACCGTGTTAGCAGCAATGGGGGAAAACGACAGTTCGACCATACTTATTCAAAGTAGTCAAGATATCTCCAACCTCCCTGGTCCTAAGCAATCTCACCGAGGAAGGACTTCCGATAGGCAGGTCTTCCATCTCTCCAGACACCACAAAGAGGGGTATATCTCCGTACATCCAATTCTCCATGGACAGGACGTGAAGAAATGTCTTTCGGCCCATGACGATAGCATCGATTGATGCAAGGTAGGCCGATATACCGCAGTCCTCACCGGGTGTCATGGTGGCATTTGCAGCATCGAGAAAATCAACACTTCCATCTGTCCGAGCAATATAGCCATCCACGCTTGTTGCAAGAAACGCGGTGAAAACAATATTACAGGTCCCCATCGTGGTTGCACAGCTCTAGCCAGGACTCAAACTGATTAACAGTTAACTTCACCCGGCATTCTCAGTGGAGTGACTTTATTCATTAGGCAGCTTGACTCACAGGGCCTTGGCGCCTCAGGCAGCCATTGCTCGTCTCTTGGTTCTCTCTAAGCGAGCCACTTCAGAGCCTCCTATGCGTTGTGTCGTCTCATTATGTCCTGGAACACGGACACGCCTGGATCACATGGCTCAGTGGTCGTCTATAATTATGATGCAGTCGAACTCGTGCAAAATTAAATTTAAGGCTGCGAGGGATTCGAGCTGTTGCACGGTTCGTCTTCAATTCTCTCCAGATCCAGCGAAATTGGATTCGAGCAGGGGAGTTGGCTTTGAAAGTGATGTCGATAACGACAGAGCGGAATTCCGCCTCGCAGCCTAATCTGAAGGATCCTTTCAGGTTTGATCCAGTTGAAGCATTGGGTGTATCTGCTACTTGTTGATTCCCCGTTGACCTTGATTGGCAATTGTCAATTCTTGGTCGCGAGCTCGATCCAGCCTCAGGCAATCGAAGGCTTCTTTCATAGTCAAGCTCGGTGTGATATGGGAGTGCAAAGGAGCGGGCCTACTTCGCGCACATGATCGTCCCGACCGCCCCCATCTCGGGCTGGACTCTAAGCTAGAGGGAGATCATTTGGCATAGAGCTCACTGCGGATAGGTCAGCCTCGCCCAGCAGCTTGTCAAACTCACTGACATTCCAACCCGCCTTTAGCATTCGGCTCGTATATCAACAGAGATTGGCCACTCACTAACTCCATCTTGATGACTCGTAAAATATGCAAGCAAGGAACTCGCGTTGGTGGCAGTCCAACTCCAGGGATGCCGAGCCTCCCTTGAAACTTGTTAAATCTTCTGGAATCATCCTTATTCAGGTCATGTCCTGGGGCGGAAGCAAAAGTGGGTCCAGGTCCCGGACCTCTATTCGATAACTCAGCCCTAACTGTCCCCTGATCCCTCGATACATCACTGAGGTTCCAGTCTCATCGATCATCTACTGTCTGCGTAGATAGCCCACACCACAACCATACCGGCTCAATGTCCTGTCCCCAGAAGCGTTTTCTCAGGTTGGGGCTGAATCCTTCCAGGAGTCATTATCTCTGAAACAGCATCAACAATCCTGTGTGGCAAGTTTCATAGCAAATGAATAAGAGCCCGTATATTGACATTTATGGATAAAAGGTAGCCAGTATACTGCTAATGTTGGATTTCTCTCCCGGACTATACACACTTTCTTTTACTCTATTCTTACGTTCATTAAAAGTATGTTGATATATTCGCTTTTCTTCTCAGCTCTGGCCATTTTTCCAGCTATTACGCCAGCAGTTGCTCTCCCAACGTCCGTCTTTCTTGAAGATGGCTCGGTCGAACTTCAGTTCAATCATTCAACAAGCGAGGGTTCTGTGCTCCCGAGATCTGTGACTCTTGTAGAATTCAAAGCCTGCACGCCTGAGATGAAAGATACGTTAACCTCGGCTTGGGCCAACATGATTGATATGGCAAGCAAGATTAAGGGCCATGTCGATTTCAATGAACCAGTAGGTATTTTGTGCCAGTCCCTGCATTCGTTACCTTGCGTCAAGTGCATAAGCCTTTTAACCTAACTATTGAATAGGTTGCCATTGACTTCTTCGGCGATCCAAGCAAAAACGGTCCCTACCAGGACAGAATCAGAGGTAAGAGAGTAAGTCCCAGGAACGCGATGGATATGCTCATACCTCAGCAGGGAACATCGAAGGAGTCTCGGATTCTGGGTGGCAAAATGAAGACAGCCCCCAAGTTCGCATTGCTTGTGCTGGGCGGCCCGACCCCGATGCTAAAGGGGATCAGTGTCTACCTGGTGTCGCCCAAGAAGATATCCACAAATGTAATTCCTTCCAAGTCTGCCGACGTATCTGCAAAACTTGACTCATGATTCGCTAGGTGACAGCAGGTGCTGGCGGTTCGTCAACCAGGGAGGACGCATCTCGTACATTCCTAGCGGAGTCGATGCCTTCACTCAAAAACCCAAAAGAGGCGAGGTTTCTGCCAGAATGTCGTTCTGTCCAGACTGGTTCTCAGTCCGCAAACCATGTTTAGACAGATTCAACCAGTGGAAGGACCTTAAACTCTCCCGGCGTGATCTGACCAACTACGCATGCCGAGGTAAGTACGGTCATTCTTTGGAGTTCTTCGAGTAATTAATACCTTATAGAGCAGTCAATGGTTCACGAGCTGTTCCATGTTGACGCACACTGGCAGAAGTACGCACCAGGCAACGGGCACATCTCGGACAAAGCTTTCCACATACTCCAAAAACTCACAGATGGTAAGAGTAAGAAAGGTCCTGAAGAAGGCATATGGCCCGTATTACACCAAGGTCTTTGCACGTCTCGACAAAACATTCGAAGACGGAAAGCAGGTTGCGAAAAATGGTAAGCTGTCCCCACAAAACTATTGGTCCTTGTTCAAGTGTCTAATATAATGATAAGCTGACAACCTTGCGTATTACTTTCTCGCCCAATGGCTGGAGCTAACGGGAGGTTATCGGATCGACCTGCCTGATATTGGCGCTGATAAGCCATGGGAGAGAGATCACGACGAGTTACGCAAGCGACAAGATCAATTTGACGTCGAACCTCAGCCCGATGACGGAGCCACAGATAACATCTGGGATCCTTTGAAGATTGAGAATGGCGAGGTCACCGTGGGCGATCTCAACGACCTCGCATATGTCTTCCGGGTTGGCTCCAAAGAGGAAGCGATGCAGTTTGCCGATGCTGAAAGCTTACCATGCACCGACCTCATCGACACTGGTGAAACAGAAGAGAACCTGATCTGCAACGACGAGGACAACGCCCCTGTTGAGCTGGATGGCTCCACTAACGTCCTGCCCAACGCTCAACCCGGGCAAGGCGGGCTTCCTGGCGGGGATCCAAGTAGTCCAACTAGTTTCCCAACTTCACCTGGCTCGGACAATTTACCTCAGCCGACAGCGCCGCCGCCATCACCACCGCCGCCTCAAGAACCCGACACGAACTCACCTGCATTCGCAGCTTGTGGGAACAAGCTCGGCGCGAGCTCCTGCCCCGGTTCAGACAAACAGTGCCTCATTGACCAGTGTAAGAACGATTCAGATTGTCAAGCATCGCGTTTTGATTGTGATCAGTTCGGAAAGTGAAGATCGCCCCTGGAAACCAATTAGCTAGGTATGAGTTTGATATGTTATTTGGTTCTCGGATTAGTCTAGCAATTTCAAAGGGCCTAGGAGCCTTACCATCCAACCTTGGTTTCCGCCACCATGGTTTCTCCGTTCACACGGTGAAATGCAGAGGCATCTGTTACTTTCGAGTTCATCAACCGTACCTTACACCGGTAGCATGAGAGGTATGAGAATCAAGACGTTGACGAGTGTCGTACGGTGAACCACGGAGTGTCCACGTGGTTGTAGGGGGAAAAGAAGGTCGGCAAGGCTTGTATTCCTGGCTGATGAGTGGCATGGCCGCTTTATAGAAGTAGCTGGTAGTCGTAACTGCTAGAAGCACTAGCAGCTAGCGCGCCAAGCAGGAGAGTTTGACTATGACAGCACTTCAGCACTCACGTGATATGACACAATGTTCGGCTATGGTTCATCCTTACTCCAGATATTTCTGCAGTGACCTCCGCATTGCGCTTATCCTCGGATGAGAGAGAGGCACGACACAGCAAACACCTCGTTCAAAACATTTCCTTTCTCTATTCTTCTTTCTCATGCCTCTGTTTGCTGTTTCCATAATCATTTCTGTGTTGAATAGAGGTTGATGCTTGTATAGCTACAGGTCAACATTATGCTCTCCCGCAGAATCACCAGAGTCTCACGACTGCTGAAACCCCTAGATCAGATCCAGGCACGGCACGCCAGTCAAGCAACGGGAGGCTATCTGAACAAACCCATAGACTTCAAAAAAACTTCAGTCTTACACCAGTCACAAGCCAGTGTCAGAACAGCTTATGGTCTCCCTCAAGATGCCCCCGTCGACATGCTTAATCTTCACGGTGCCATCAACTCTTCTCTCCACCACGCACTGAAGTCCGACGAAAGCGTCATCCTCTTCGGAGAAGATGTAGCTTTTGGTGGTGTCTTCAGGTGTTCAAAAGGCCTCGCCGATGAGTTTGGGGCAAGCCGTGTTTTCAATACCCCATTGACCGAGCAAGGTATTGCCGGGTTCGCCATTGGCTGTGCTGCCGAAGGCATGAAACCTGTTGCCGAAATCCAATTTGCCGACTATGTGTATCCTGCGTTTGACCAGCTTGTCAATGAGGCTGCCAAATTCAGATATCGCGAAGGTGGCACCGGTGGCCACTGTGGAAATCTTGTTGTTCGGATGCCTTGCGGAAGTGTTGGCCATGGTGCCCTATACCATTCCCAAAGTCCGGAGTCACTCTTTACCCACATTCCAGGTCTCCGAGTCATTATGCCCAGGTCCCCATCTCAAGCAAAAGGTCTTCTCACAGCCGCTATACTCGAATCCAAGGATCCAGTAATCTTCATGGAGCCCAAGATTCTCTACCGAACCGCGGAAGAATTCACCCCACGAGATTCCTACACAATTCCCCTGGATAAAGCTGAAGTGGTCAAAAAAGGCAAAGACTTGACAGTAATTTCTTATGGACAGCCAATGTACCTATGTGCTGCAGCCATTGATGCCCTCGAGAAAGAAGTCAAAGGTCTCAGCATTGAATTGGTCGACCTGAGAGCAATCTATCCCTGGGATCGAGCTACTATCATGGAGAGTGTCAACAGAACAGGTCGTGCTGTGGTGGTGCATGAAAGTATGTTGAACGCTGGTGTGGGGGCTGAGATTGCTGCAAGTATTCAAGAATCGGCCTTTCTCAGGCTAGAGGCACCTGTTGCCAGGGTCACCGGTTGGAGTACTCATGTTGGGTTGATCTATGAGAAGTTCAACATTCCGGATGTTACAAGAATATACGATGCGATAAAACGAACACTGGAGTACTAAAGCGAAAGTTGCTTGGACGCATGTATGGTGCTTTGTCTGAATCTCACTAATGTTCACCAGCCACAACTCCTCTTATCTGTCTTGCAGAACCGCTCCAGACCTGCTGGATGCATTGGTTAAGTCTGAGACTTCATCACTCGCTCCATGTTGTTCATTTCCGATCAAGACTAATTCAGGGGTGGGGGAGGGGCAATCGCTATTTCAATGGCGAGGAAGAGGTGTCTCTGTGGACACAAGTCGGAACTTGGACGAACTGTCAGAAATATCAACATCCACCCTGCCCGCATATCTCAAATGCAGGAACATACAATTCATGCTGGGAACAAGGACAATGACCCTCGGACCATGCCGGGGAAGATATCATTTCAAGTCTTGTTATCAATGTTGCCGCTGCCAGGAAGACATAACACGACCAGGGATATCCTATCCATCATCACACCCCATCCTCTTTCTTGAATTGTCCATTCTTGGATCGCTTTGTGGGTGCTGTGCGACGGAATTGAGGGTGTGAGTCTCCATGGGAGGTTTGGAATCGCTTCTCGCATGACTTGACATGACCTCGTCGCGAGCGTCCACGCATTTCAGATAAATCGAGAGTACAGTAGTAGCATTGCTTGGTGTTTCGAGAGATGAGTTCGGCAATGGTCTCTGCGAGATCGGCATTGTTTTCGAGGTCTGGAGGTTGATATCCGAATTGTGCAATGATCTCAGGACTGAATTGAACTCGTCTATGACCCGATTCGGCTTGGTTGTTGTTGGCTGTGGAGTCTGACATCTTGTGGGTAAGAGAAATCGGTCTAAGGAGGATATTCAGACTGGAGCAAGTAAATAGAGGTACTGCCAGCAATGGTGATGATCAAGAGTCAAAGATACTAAAGATCGGAAGATTATTATATCCTATGATGATGAGGCAGTTGCGACTTTGAACTGGGCGGACGATCCGTGACAAAAAGCCATACTCCATTTATAGAGATCACCAAGAACAAAGACAGCGCCAGCATGACCATCGAACAAAACAAATATGATCTCATGTCTTGATAGATTTCTTTGTACACTGAATTATGGTGTGTCGTGTGTCGTGGCCAAAGAAAAGACAGCACTGCTGCTTCCGGTTGTGTCCACTAGGCACACATGCGGGCAAACGAACGAACGAACTTTTAGGTCTTATGTGCAGATGGGAAAACGATCAGAAACCCCCTTGCATAGGACAACCAGATTGACTTCCGTGCTCGTGCATTCCTGCGACTCAATACTCTTCCTTGAAGACAGCCACCGTGGGGATCTCCTTCCCACCCACGTCCTGCGAGTCTTTATAGTATGCTCGAAAGAGTCCACCACAATTGAAGTCAAATACCGCCTGGCCTCGCTTGATTCCACTGTAGGCTTGTGAAGATCCGTCTCCTCCATTGTCAGTAACCTCAATCCCGATGATACCTCCCTGACCTTCACCTGTGCGTCCCCAACGATCACCAGCCGACCTTTGGAGCTCGCCGTCTGGCCCGGCAATGAGATGGACCGCATCCGAGAGCGAGACATTTTGCGGCGAGAATCTGCTGATTGAGGCTGCTGTGCGCACCGCATTCGTGCGGAGGAATGAGTCGCCATTTCCTGTTCCAGACAATGCTACTGCACGGCGCTGTCGCTGCTTTGATTCTTGCGGGAAAGTCATGGATGTTGTCGTATATGATTGGGTGGAGGAAGAACCCTCGACGATTGAGGCGTAGGACGGAGGAGCGCTGTCCAGATTGTGATAATCATACGCCCTTTGAGATTGCAGTGGTGCGAGGCAGGGCTCTAGCACTGCTCTAGTGTGCTCCCAGAACGCATCACAGACTTGTTCGACAAGAGGCTTCTCTGCGATTGTGGCTGCAGGGGTCCCCGCTGCCACATTGGACGAGACATCTTCCTCCCACGCCTCAGCCCAGAACCCAGAACCTACCGTTGGAGTATCGCCTATACGACCAGGCTTCTTATTTGTCAAACCACCGGTCGAGGTCGCTGTCGCCAGGTTGCCCCATGAGTCTAAAGCCACGGCTCCAACTGTACCCTGACTCGGGATGATCAAAACATCCAGGTCTATGTCAGCTCCCGGACGAGAAATCTGCCCGAGGGGATCGGCTGATACCAAAAGGTCTTCGAACGTATATGCATCAAGGCCCTGTACATCCTGATGCAATCCTCGTCGATGCTCTTCCCATCTCTTCTTCGTCCAGAACCAAGATTCGGGTTTCTTCTCTAGACCACGCTCCTTCCAACCCCATTCCTCAAGTTCTCGTCCACTAAGGTGCGTGTGCATAGTGTTAGTACCACCAAGACCTTCATTCCTATCAGACGCTACTAAGACCTCCTTGGCCAAAAGGATAGGATGCCTCGTATTCTTCACGAGGCTGACAGCTGCAGCTCGCTTGACGGCCCCAACACGCGGCCCATCGGGATTCAAGGAAGTGACCATGATGCTCGCTTCCAATTCAATGGTCCCTTTGTCGGTGAAGACAGCACCCCGGCCGCAATTGAAAAGTGGGTCATTCTCGAAAAGGGTGACGGCATAAGTCGCTGCATCGAGCGCGGATGCCCCGGAGTCAAGAAGCTTCCGTGTTTGTGTCAAATAGGCCAGTAGTGATGCGTGATAGCGAGCATATAGCTCAGGTGGCAGGCTGGCTCGGGATATCGCTCCAGCGCCTCCATGTAGAATGACTGTAGGTCGGTATGGCCCAAGATGGACGGGATTCTTCTCCGACAGAGTCATGGTTGTTGAAAGTTGCTTTTTTATTTTACAGTGGTACGATAACGGCGGTGAGCAAACAATGGCTTGTAAGTCCTAGGTGAGCCTGAACCTTTATTAAGCTGGAGTGAGCGCCTAAGGGGCAGAAGAAAATGTGTCACTTCAGCCCGGCATCACGCCATCGCCCGGGTAGTCTGGCGGTGTTAGGGAGAGCAATGATTGCTTTGTCGGACAAGCAACAGCACCCACGCGTGGACAGAGAGCTCCTCGTCCTTTTTCGGTTATATCAAACTGGTACCCAGGTAAAGCAAACGATGGAATAAATATCGATTGAGGTCACAAAGTAGTACCTCCCATTAATAATTCAACCTCGGAACCCCATGTTGATGAGATCATCCCCATCACACTGAAACCATGTGCCAGATTGGCGAATCAGAGTCACCATTACGCGAAAGTCCGTGGTTGCGGAATAGCACGCTTCTTCAACCTGATGTGAGTAACGAACCCGCAAAAATCCATCCCACCCGTGACTATTCTATCCCAATCAATATTGATCCCCCATCCTCGTGGCCCTCAAATATTCTCTTCCCTTTCTAGGCATGGCCACGACTGACAAGTCCCCTAAGCAGAGTCAGTCCAGAGCCTTACCCTCGCGCGGTGGTCAACAAGACGAAAGTGATGGGTCTTCCTCCGAGACCGACTCTTCACTGGTGAGTGCGGGTGCAGCCTCAGCCTCAGCCTCGGCGTCTTCTCCGCAGAACGTGAAAAGTCCTGCTCATCGCATCGAGGCTCCGGGCAGCGTTCAGGCTGTTGCCGTCGACGACGATGTACTTTTTGCCGGTGTCCAGGGTGGCAGTATCGTCGCGTGGTCGCTCGAGACTTATGAGCGCCTGGCTACTGTACCGGCCCACAAAGAAAGTGTCCTAGGACTGGCTTTGTCGGACGACAGATCGCTCCTCTTCTCAACCGGTGCTGATTCTGTTGTCAATGTCTGGTCAACTCAGACACTGCAAAGATTGTACTCGTTGTACTCTCATTTCGAGATTGGCGATGTCTTCTGCATTGTTCACTCGACCAAGAAGCAGACCCTCCTTTGGGGTGCTCAAAATTCCAGTCTTCAATGGCATCGACTTAGTACGGATGCAACCATCAAGTCTCCAACTGCTGCATTCTCGCCTGGCTCGAGGAAACATCGATTCTTTGACTCGTTAGGCCCAGGAGGAAGTGTCAACGTCATCTCTGACGAGGATGGCACGGCGGGTTTACTCAGCGACCTGGGCGGACGTGCCTTGACCATACCAAGTCGCAACTATCTCCCATACGCTCACAAGAGCTATGTCTACTGTATGCTTCTCATCAAGGGACTCTTCACGCATGATCGGGAAGAGGAAGTTCTTGTCACTGGCGCTGGAGATGGCACGATCAAATTATGGTCCCTGGATTCCTTAGGTACCGAAGGTCTGGTACTGATCAATAAATTCAAGAACACTGGTTCAAACGTACTGAGCCTGTCCTACAGAGGGTCATTTCTGTATGCTGGCTTATCTGATGGCGTTGCTAACGTCTATAATCTCGCCTCGAATCAATTAGTTCAAAGACTACAGATCGGTCATGGGGATATCAGCCAGATTCTGGTCAGCACAGATAGTATTCTATGTGGCACCAGTCAGGGTCTCGTCAAGGTAAATGGACGCCCCGGGTGTTCTTCGCTGTATTGACTGACTTCATTCCAGAGATACAACGACCACTTCGCCCAGACTGAATGCTGGAAGGCAGCAGATGGAAAAATCCTGGCAATGGGTCTCACTACTACTGAGGCGGGACATGAGAACCTGATTACAGGAGGGAATGATCGTATCGTCTCCTTCTGGGATGCTGATGGTGGACCTCACGCGGCGGCTGCTTCAGCAACTCGTAGCAATGGTATGATGAACTTCTGAGATGTTGAAACACTGACTAATGAGAGGCTTAGATGAACTTGTGAACACGCTCAGAGAGTTCGTCGCTTATCGTACTGTCGCTGCCAATCCGACCTGGGTGCGAGACTGCCACGATGCCGTGACATTCCTACGCAAGCGGTGCAATGCATTCGGAGCCACAACCACCCTCCTGTCACCCACTGGACAAGAAGGTGTTAACCCCGTGCTGCTGGCCAAATTCTCGGCCTCGAAGCCATCGAGAAACACTCGGACCGTACTATTCTACGGCCACTACGACATCGTCGACGCCGAGTATGATTCCGCCAATCTCAGTTCGACGTGGAACCACGACCCCTTCACTCTTCAAGCACTAAGTGGTTTCCTGTACGGACGAGGAGTGACAGACAACAAAGGCCCCATTCTCGCCGCCATCTACGCCGTTGCGGATCTCGTCCAGCAAAACTCCCTCTCATGCAACGTGACATTCCTCCTTGAAGGCGAAGAAGAAGCCGGCTCGCGAGGACTGCGACAGACCGTACAATCAGCCCACGAAGCCATCGGACCCGTTGACTTCATCCTTCTCTCCAATAGCTACTGGCTAGATGACCACATCCCGTGCCTGACATTCGGGATGCGCGGTGTGATCCACGCGTCCGTCACCATCAACTCCAACAAACCCGACCTACACAGCGGCGTTGATGGTAAATCCGTACAGCACGAACCGCTGAAAGACCTGACCGTCCTACTTGCCACACTGATCGGCCCGTCCGGCACAAAGATCACCATCCCAAACTTCTACGACACGGTCGACGACCTCTCGGACGACGAGGCCAAGGCTTACGCCGCAATCACGTCCTCTCTCCTCCCAGGCCACCCAGAGATCAAGAACGAGAAAGCCTTCGCCCTCTCCCTGATGCAGCGTTGGCGCTACCCCAACCTGACAGTCCACCGGATCGAAGTGCCCGAGGCCAAAGCAGCCGTGACAATCAGCGGGTCCGCAAAAGCAACGATATCCATCCGCATCGTGCCATCCCAGACGGCCGAAGAGATCGCCAATGGTCTGAAAACCTACCTCGAAGCGCAATTCGCCCGGCTCCAGAGCGCCAACACCATCGATGTAGACATCCGCTCCAAAGCAGACCCCTGGCTCGGCAACACTCAAAGCGAGATCTACACGGCGCTGAGATCCGCCATCGTCGACGTGTGGAATCCCGCCGGGGGTGGCACATCTTCACAGCGGTCCTTCCCCATCCCAATCACATCCACCACCAACACATCTTCCATCTCCTTATCCTCCACCAAACAACAAAAACAACAACCACAACCACAACCCACACCACCACACGCCCCCACGCGGCCCTCACAACGACGGGCCTCGACGCTCGAATCGGCAGGCAGTTTCACGGCGTCGAATCTGCCGCGCCAACCGCTGCTGATCCGTGAGGGCGGCTCGATCCCGGCCATCAGCTTCCTCGAGCACGAGTTCGACGCCCCTGCCGCCATGTTCCCCATGGGCCAGGCGAGCGATAATGCGCACCTGGACAACGAGCGCATCCGCGTCGAGAATCTCTACAAGGGGCGAGAGGTGCTCAAGAGGGTTTTTGCAGAGTTGTGAGTACTCGTGAGTCGTGAGTTGTGAGGCTTCAAGGGGAATTGGTGCGTGGTAAGCAGGGTCGAAGGGTCGAAGGGGCTGTGGAGATTGAGACTGAGATGGAGTTGGAGATGGAGATGCAGGCTGTGTTCGGTGTTCGTCCCGCTTGTGCGAGATGTGCAGTTAAATGTATGAATAGATTAGAAATTTCCTGGACGGGTGCTGCTTGCATGGTTTGGGATGAGAACGCCCCTTACCTAGAGAGGGGGAGGAAGAATACAAAGAATAAAAGTTGGCATTGGCAAAGGTGGAAAACAGAGTCCTTTTATTCCTCCAGCAGCTCTGCTCTCTAGAACAAAAACATTCAGCGGCGAACATAAAACTAAAAACGGATCAAAAATATCTCACATGGCCGGCTATGTAAGTGATCTATCTAAGTTTCATGCACGGTCAGGTCAGCCTTGTTCAATTTCCGAAGGGTAGCTTCTGTGCAATTGGACACTTCACAGGGACAGGATCGTAGACAGGTTGAATACGACTGACATGACTGCACTTTGGTTTTAATGATGGGGCAATCGATAGAATTCAATTTAGGATACTTGAATATCATTCAGCCTAATAATCAACCCCGGGACGCCGGAGATCCAATGTCTCGTGATCTAAGATAGTCTCAAGATGCAAGCATGCTTGTTTTCGTCATGCCAAAAAAAAAATCCATCCCATATGTCACATCGCCACTTTCAGGACTCAGTCCCTAATTCCTTTTGAGTCCAATTTAGGATTTCGTTATACCCTCTGTGTCCAGACACCATCGCTATGCAGCAAAGAGCAAAATCAGGAACTTCATTTCTCTGGCCTTTCCGAATTCGGAGTTCCTCGGTCGTAAGATATACTCCCATCTTCTTGATGGAATGGTTTCGTAGTTGAAACTATGTGTTGTCCAAAAAGTAAATCCAAGTGCCATGCATGATAGAGTGACCACTTTTTGCATCTCCGTACCATGCACCCAAAAACAAGTCATATCACATTAAATAGCTTCGTCGGTTTTAAGTCAAAAGATCACCACCGCTGAGGTTGATGCCACCAAAAGTCCATTTTCCGGCGGCCCAGATCCAAGCACCGAGTTTAGGTTGAGCACCCTCCTTGACATCGTTGTTGAGATCTATGACGCCCTGGAAGGAGTCGGCATCAGAATCGGAGGAGCTGCCTTTTTTATCTCTAGGAGGTAAAGCGATTCTTCCGACGGGAGTAATGCCGTTCATGGCATCGACAGCGTTGATGGCCGGGCCTTCGTCAAAGAAATCGACCAAAGCGAATGTGGATACTCGTCCATATTCGGTCTTGCATGCGTTCAATGCGAAGCCCAAGTTACCAAGAGATTGGCCAGGGGAGTTGGTGATGGTTATGTTGTCGATCGCGGGCGTTTGAATATTGAACAGACCTTCCACGTACAGGAAATGGTTGGTGAATGCCATGCGATTGGAGGAAATAGCAGCTCCCGAATTGCCCTTGACAACGCTCGGACGTTCAGGGGTACAGGTGAAATCGCTGAGGGCAACATTTTCGAATGGGTTCTCGAAGATGAAGGTGAACTCGTCCATGATATAAGACTGGCTTTGAGAGATGGTGTTGGGATCGAGAGAACCCACAAAGACCATCAATCGTGTACCCGCAGTGATCAATTCTTGCAATGTAGGCCACGTGACGGGAGGAACCGTAGTTGAAGCAGGCGTGTAAGCGAGGCTGTTGATTCCCGATTTCACAAACTGTTGATCAAGATCGGTGACGGTGGCATCGTCTGAGTTGACCAGGAGGATAGTGACAACGTCATTAGGATTCTTATCCATCCATGCTTTGACTTCTTCTAGCCAGTCGGAAAGAGTCCCTGCGTCGAGAAGATCGCACGACGAGTGACATAGATGCCAGTCTCCGTTAGACTGATGGACTTGGGCTGAAAGAAGGCGAACACCAGCGTTGAGTTGGACAGTCGAGTTGTAGAATTGATTGCCCGAGGTAGAGAAGCCTGTTGAGGCATCTCGACGAAAGGGTGAGTCGTGGGCTCCCAGATGGACGACTTCATTATATGCTCTAGAGCACAGGTCTGGGGAGTTATTGCAAGCACCACTGGGAGTTTGTCGTTTGGTGATATCGATCGAGGCCGCAGAGGTGAGTCCGAGTAGTGAGGTAAGTGAGATTAGGGCAACGAGTGGACGCAGCATGATGGCAAATGTGGAGGGGGGTAAAATCTGGGGTCGAAGATGTATGTACTTATGCGGAATATCAAACGAATGTGATACAAAGCACAGAATTGGTGATAGTGAGTGAAGGCAAAGAGGAAAAGACAGTCAGGTGAGAATGGCAGGATAGAATAGAACAGAAAGAGGTCAACATGTCAATCGAGAAACAGATGGCTGAAGTCAGATTGAACGAGGGCTGGTCGTGAAACCAGGGCCGCGTGGAGGAGGAGCCCTTGGAGTGACGATGAGCAGTCCCCAAGGCTTAGGCCTGAAGCCTGCGCCCGAAAAGTTTGCGAGGCGCAGTCAACCGAGAATCCAGTTGGGGAGTTGGGACAGGAACCACCCCAGAAGAAAGACCCAGATAGGCTTGGACAGCCTATGAAACAGCTTTTGGCCATGCTTGTTTAGGCCTGAAACTGCCCGGAAACAACCTGGGAGGTGATGGTCACGGGTGCTTGGCAGTGGCTGTTCAGGGGTCTAAGCTTCCCCAACAGCCAATCGATTAGGTTCGTCCCCTATTTTTGGCACCTGCCAACAGATGCAGTAAAATCTTGGTCGGACACGGACAGGGACACGTACCGCACGGCACGGGCACCAAAGAGTCAAGGCTCAAGGACGGTTAGATATTGCACATGCAGGGGAAATACCTCCGATTTTCTGGGGTAAATCATCCATGATATCTGGATTCCGGGCTGCAGGAAACTCATAATTTATAGCATTATTGACTGAAATACCGAGTACCGCCGGCTTTGAGAAGATGTCCTATCGCTGCATGCTTTTCCGTATTCACGAATAATCCAACAGACTCTTCGCGGAGCGTCCCTCCTGCTTTCTACGCCCTCTCAGCCATGCGGTTGAACTTTTTTAATTGCTGGACCAAGTCCTCGAGCCCGTTGGCATTCCTCTCCAGACTCCACAGAGAGAGGATAGCGGGCATCTAGCCTCTTCTCGTCATCTTCTTCTCCGCCTTCTTCCGCTGCTTCTCATTCTCACGGTCCAAAAACTTCCGTTGTTCTTCAGCACTCATACCCTTCATCTTGCGATCTCGCTCCTCCTTCTTCAACTTCTCCAGAGTTCGAAGTCTCTCCTCTTCTGCTTCTTTGTCGCTGATCTTCTTAAGTTTGCCCTTCTCGGTGTCCCGTGTCGCGTTGATCTTTCTCGCCACCTCCGGTCGAAGTTTCCCTGTGCCAACCACGAAATCTGGCAATCTCAAGAATGCCTGGAAGATGGGTAATGTCGGGAGATAGTTTCCGTCAGATGGTAGTTTGAGACCCAGTTCGATGCGTTTCTTGGGCACTGTCTCTTGTAGACTGGTAGGCTTGTCTGTCGGTTGGTCCGTCAAAATGAGATATTCCAGGTGATCCCCCGCTTCGTTGACAGCAGCAATCAGTTCCTTGGTCAAGAAGTTCTCGGTGATTTCGGCGCTTTCACTCATTACTGTTGCCCAGTCTGGAAGTTTCGCGTGGTCCTTGGTGAAGGTCAATGACAGATCGTAACGCTCATCTCGGAGACGTCGCATGGTCAACTTGTTGACGATCGCGAACACAAACGAATCATACGAGGAATTGCCAGCCGACTTGACCTTGCCTGCCTCCTCAGAACCTGGGACTGGTGGTGGGACATAATCCTTCTCCTTGCCATCAAAAGTGTAGATGACAAACTCAGCCCTCTCGCCCTTGGGCTTGACAGACTCAAAAAACATGCCAGCGATGTGCTCAGCGATCATCGTCACAGGATTCATTCTCCTGGTCAAGTTGAGCCTGCCATCCAAGAAGGCCGCATTCTGACGTCCACTGGCATATGTCTCGTATTCCCATGCAGTCTTCTCCTTGTACAGATGCTCCGGTACAGAATCACCCTTGGCCTTGGCGCTCGATTCGATCAAGGCGCTGTCGGACTCGGCAGGAAAGATTGTCACCTGCGGTACCTGGCTATACCCGACGAGTGCGAACTCACGTTCCAGAAGAGGAGCATGCACGGCAATCCACTTCTTGGCCTTTCTCTTGTTGGTGCGCGTGCCCCAGAAATGGACGAGCAGAGCGAGGAAGATGACAGGGATTAAGACTCCCTCCATGTAGAAGTCAGACAGCTGGGTGCGTTCCCACACACGGTACCATTTCGTGTAGGCTCCGCGGGTACCCAGTTCAGTTGGAGATGCAGCAGCAGCGTCGGCTGGAGAAACAGGGATCGAGACGGGGGACGGTGCAGGTGCGGCGGCAAAGTCGGCGAAATCTGTAAAGGAGTCAATACGGAGGCCTATAGCAACGTCAAGGACAGGGAGAGAAACTTACCAGAGTCGTCGGCTACAACAGGTGCCTGTGCGGGCTTGCCGCCAAAGAGGTTATTGACGAAGTCCATGGTTGATGAGGCCTGGAAGTCAAGTGAATGATCCGGGCTTCAGTGATTAAAAGAATTTAAAATCACCTGGCAACTCAACCCGGGTGATGGATTAATGCCTGTGGACGAATACAAAATAGAGGACAGAGAGATGGGGGGACATTATTAAACTGACGATGGCGGCAGCGACAAGCTCCCCACAATATCGATCAGTCTTTTGGTTGGTGTTGCATCTCGGTTGCACTGCTTGCCAAGGCCCAGCCACCGCCAGATCAGGCTAACCACAGGTCTAGTACAAATATGCTCTAGTTGATCATGCTAATCACAGCAAGCGCTTTTTCCATGCTACTAGTTGGTACTCCTCGGGAGGATGGTGTTGATAGAACTTGAAATGATGAGATGCAAGTCCAACTTATATTGATATATCACCACTCTAAGTCTCGTCATCGGTGTCCAATCCAAAGACTACCAAACTTCCTTCCCACTCTTCCAATCTGCTCTATACACATTATGTCATAGCCTCATTAGATTTTGATACATTAAATCGCTGTCTGCCCAAACAAACAAGCCACGCTCAAAAGACAAAACTTGAGCGAGGAGATGGATAACTTTTTCAGCGCGCATAAGCAGGTGGAGGAGATGGCTCTTCTTCGCGAGGTGAAAACGGCTCGAAGCTTCCCTTGAGTCGTTCATCCTCATATCTCCTGGCCATTTCATTGGCCATCTTCATCATCCAAGCTCGTTCTGCGATACTACCACCATTCGATGGGTCCGTCACAAACTGGAGGAAGTTGGGGAGAGGAGGACGTGAAGGCCCAGCATGGCCTTCTTGTTCATTCTTTTCGGTCGGCAAAGCTCGGCCTTCAGGGATAGGGCCTAACTCGGCCTGATCTTGACCTTCCACAAAATACATCGAAGCTCTTGGAGTCGGATCATCGTCGAACACAATCGGTCCCGGTTTCCGATTTCGGATACGGATAGTTGCATTTCGGTCGAAAGCTCGTGGTGTCTTGTGGATATCTAGGACGGCGTCATCGGTCGAATCAACAAGTGCCGGTCCGGGCATCCCTTCGCTGACACTACGTATCTCAGATGCCGGATTCTTTCCCAGACTAGCGTGTCTGGCTGCAAGTGGACTCTGAGGTGGTGTCATGGGGTTCAATGACTGTGTAGGATCGGATGACATGGTTGCCGCCGGTGCTGAAAACACGGATGGCGCGGTTGATGAACTCTCGGCATTACTGGCTGTATCCGCCGTCGATCCATCCTCACTGACCAGTTCAAGTTCTCCCGTATCGGCTTGCTTTCGGAGGTTGACAACACGCTTCTTCCTTTTCCGCGGCCTATGACCTTGTCCATGTCGTGAACTCCCCATGCTTAAGCCATGACTTGCTGATGCAAAACTTGCAAGACCAGGGCGTGACGGAGTCGAACTGTCGAAAGTATAGGTAGTGGCAGTGCCCAAACTTCCAGCATATGAATGTGTCCTAGATAACGCAGGTGTGGGCGCGCGCGTGTGTAGGCCTGTCATCTCTCCACGTTCCAGTGGGCCTGTCCATGCTCGGAAAACTGCGTCCCGAATTGTTGGGGTGAACAATGAAAGAGTTCGATGCGAGTCTGTGAGTGTAGCCAGACGAATCAAGTTCTTCTGAGAGAATAACGAGTGGGTCTCAAGCGATGAGTTCAAGGAAAGGGATGCAATCTCCGCAGGACTCAGCACCGCACCAGTCGAGTCGACAGGATCTTGAGGCGGGCTGGCTAAAGGATCTATTATGACCTCCGCATTATTGGTCTCGGTGGTTCCCAAGTCACGTTCCTCTCTCGCTTTATCCTCCGGTACCCATAGTCGCAGCGAAAGTCTGTGTATAATCGCTGGCAGCTCATCCATCAATAACCCACGAAGCTGAGTTTCGATTTCCTTCTGGAGGAAGTTGGCAACGAATGGTATCGAGTCAAAAGTTGAAGACACACGCAAAGATTCGAGCGGATCATTGCGAAAGACCAGTGTTAATCCTTTCTGCCTCGAGAAAACCACCACAATGAAGCCGGACAACCGGAACTCGGACAGTGTGATTTGTAGGGGAATGGTGAGGCCAGTGTCTGCGGCCAAAGGTTGCGGAGATGCAAACGCTGACCGGGTGTGTAAATATGTGTTTAGAGGATTGGCTTGTACTCTGGTCTTCAGGGTAAGAAATGCATTGCCCTTGTACATCATCTTGAAAGTCCCTCGGAATCTATCCTCAGCCAGATCTCCGATCTCGAGGATTTCCAGCTCGGGAGGAACATTTCCCAGGTTCAGTTCATTCACAATGATGTCGTCGACGATGATAGCGGGTTTAGGGTCGGCTCTGTTGAGGGCGTTGGTGAGGAGTTCTTGGGCTCGGGGAAGGAATCCGGCATCGGTAGATAACGGAGACCAGTTGAAATTGAACGCCATGGTTGAAGAATTTCAGCGACCTCTGGTCGAGGTGGTTGTTAGGACTGATAGAAGTGAGACAAAGTGTGTATCATCATGTCCGATAACAATAGAGGGCGACAGGTATGAATGTGCTGATGTTACGTTGAGCACATGTCAATCTGTGTGGTGTGATGAAGGTCGCGTGATAAAGAGGCCGCAGGTGCGCTCGCTCGGTAGATGAGAACTGGTTTGGAGGAGTCGAGCTGAGATAACACGACCTGCAGTGCGTGAAGACGATACTTCGCACGGTCTTCTAGAAGTTGATGATATTTCTTTCGATGTTATTGTTACGCGTGAAACGGGTGCTGGTGATGATGAGTTGTAGCGAAATTGGATTTGCATCAATGCTTTTTCCTGGGGGCCGGAAGCTGTAAAAATCAAGGGAGTTCCTTGCTTAGTTTGGGCGGTGATCCGGGAAAAGGCAAACATGGCAAACATAACGTCATGTCGGAAAACTTGCCTAGAATCTCTCACTAACTAAATCGGCTTGCTACTAGTCTATCCCTTTCACTAAACTACCGGGAGTATGAACCTCGTCCTTTAAGTTCGTGCCAGCACCTCAACGGTCCATGGCAAATCGTAGACCACGCCCAAAACCAGACTTCAGTGGAACTGGGTGAATTACCTCCGAGAACTAAAACAACAGCCTCACATTCGTGACATGGGCAGCCACCTCTGCCAACGAAGCAATGTCTCTTCGACAGGAAGTCTATCAACACTCTGGTTCGTATCAGACAATTCTTGACCTAGCGCCACAAGGCCTCATCTGTCTCAAAGCCCTCTTCCAAGAAGAAGATGCCAATGAACCGTCTGTAGCAATCCGCAAAATTCTCCTCGCTCTAGACTTCCGGGACGGCCGCAGCAGTTCGATTCAGGATAGTCGCTTTTTTTTATTTACATCGAACAGAATTCGTAGTTCTAGGTCTGGGTGGTGACAGTTGGAGTACTCAGTATGCATGCTGGTTCAACCGCCTATAATGTTGGTAATTCACAAAAATATCGATAGGCGTTTTCGGGGGGAAACCACATACACCATAATATATTATAAAAGTGGAATAATGTATTTATCTACTTGCATCTATCTTGGCCAATTCCATCCAACACATCAGACTTCCTGCATAGACTTGTCTAGATGACAGGCCTTGCATGCAACAATTGAAACCTCTCGAAATCTGGTCATTAACCTCTTCTGTAGTTGTAGGGCTCACACGACTTGTCGATGCTCGACAGTCCCATCTTCGCCCTTCTCAACCCCCGAAAAGGTCGTCACCTTACCAGATTGGTCGAGCTCGACCTGGCCAACCTCGGCTGAATCACCGTCGAAGATCTTGGCGATCTCCTCCAGTGTAGGGCCATTGGTCTCGACATAGAGGAAATAGACGAAGACAAGTTCAAAGGCAATCCAGCACTATTGAAGCAGACGAGTTAGCATTGCTTTAAGAGGTAAATGGTGAAGGAGTCAAGGGTTCAAACTTACCGTGTAGATAGTGTAAAGCTTCCAATTAGGGTTCAAATGCTGAAAGCCCAAAGGATTGACATACTGATTGATGACGAGAGCGACCTGAATCCAGAAGTTCATGACCATTAGACCCTTGGCGCGGATCTTGAACGGCATAATCTCTACCGTATATCCCACAAGGAGACCAGACCAGGCCAAAGCGTATGCACTGTTGAAGATCCAGATGAATGCGACGACGGCCTGTCCTGCAGCTTTATTGTTGTTGTCTTGGTATATCGCTGAGCAGATTGTCCAGCCGATAAAGCACAGAAGCATGCCGGATGTAGCGGTGAGAAATAGTGGACGTCTTCCGAAACGGTCGCATAGTAGCGCGCAAGTGACTGAGATGATTAGCGAGAGAATCACCTGGCCACCATTGAGTTCCAACTGCGTGTCAGCATTGGTGATGCCGATAGACTTGTAGATATCAGTACTATAGTACGAGACTAAACCGTTGCCAGACCATTGTGAAAACAGTCCGAGTGAGGCAATGAGGAGAAGACGGTAACGATTTCCCTTGGTCTTCAGGAAGTCTAGATAGCTGGAAGACTTCTTGTATATGAATTCAAGACGCAGAGTTTCCTTGATCTCGGCATATTCGAACTGTACAGTAGGGTGAGCAGTGTTACCATTGGCGTGGTATTTGCCCAGTATTGCCAAAGCTTCGTCGGTGCGATCCTTGGAAATGAGCCACCTAGGGCTCTCTGGGCACCAGAAGATGAAGAGAAGCTGGATAAGTGAAGGCAAGCCCTGGACGATGGTGGGAATACGCCAAGACCATTCAGTGGGTATCCTCTTCGTTCCAAATGATAGCCAAGTATTGACAATGGCTCCCAAATTCCACAGACAGTTGTAGATGGCGGTGACGCGGCCTCTATGCTGAGGGTGGCAAATCTCAGTCAACAACAAGGGACTGGAGAGTTGAGCCATAGAGTTGCCAAAACCCATAAGGAATCGGCCTCCTTTGAACATGGCCAGATTTTGTGAAGCTCCCTGAATCGCTGCAGCAATAAGCATGATGACACACCCAACGATGATAGCAGTCTTTCGGCCAAAACGATCAGCGATGAACGGTGCGAATGGCAAGCTAGCGATAGAGCCGATGCTGTAAAGCGCAGTGAGGAGACCGAGATTGGAGCCTTGAGGGTCATTAAAGTAATTGGTCCATTGTGGCAAGATACGAATATTATTGAGCATAGACCTGAAGAGATTCCGTTAGTTCAGATTCGAGGTACATGTTCAGGATGACTGACCCATCATAACCAGTTGTGGCAGAGGCAACGCAGATAACAGCAGCATAGGCATATAGCTTCCTCAAACCAGGATCCTTCCGCCAGTTGACATATTCCAGGCGCGGAGCTTCAGCCTGGGCAATGGCGACCTCAGTCGACCGAGTCGGAGTCTTTTTGACCTTAAAGTTGACCATGTTGCCTGTTGTGTCGACTTGTTTGTCGATTTCACAAAATCGTATGATCAGCTATGGTCGCAGTGAAGGCGATAGAGATAACCACTTCTGATAAATTCAGGAGACAGCAATCTTTATAGGTTCAAAGCCTTTGTCCTCGAGACTGTATGACAGCAGTAGGCCATGACCCCGGTCTAGAATAGGAGATGGACCATGGAGAAGAATCCGGGTGAATTGCGGCAGGTTCTGGCTATTTTGAAGCAGAAGGAGATCAGCCATGCCCCATGGATAAAATGACACTAGTCTCGATAAGCAAGAGGCTGCTTGAGCTTGAAAGGGTCCGGGAAATCTTGAGCTTCCTCTGATCCGTCTCCGAATACTACCAGATCCGACCTCAGGCATTGTCGAACGGTATTTGTACTGGCGGAGTCCGCTCCTCCCCATCAGGAGATCAATTATTGGTTCGCTTATATCATAGCGCACTCGAAAAAGCAAATGCACGATAGGAGGCTTGGGAGCGGAGTTTGACACATGGTGACAAAGCCTCACGACCCATCATGGGCACTGGTCAATGATGTCTCAAGTAATCTTGCCACCCTGTAACTGCTGCTGTGTCATAAGTCAAGAGTCGCGATCCAACTTGACCTCCGATGGTGTGATATCCACTCACCTTGCTTGTTGTGATGCAAGGATATCTGGGAAGAGCAGGCCAATCAATGGCACTCTATCGGAGAATCCCCACTTTATATCAAGCAATAATCTCAATCTTCCAGAACACCGTTAGAAGCAAGGCAAGTAAGTTCTATCTTGGTTTCTTGGGCCATTCACGGCCAGTGTGCTCAGTAGTGATGAACACACGACTCCAGAGGTACGTTCTCCATAGTCATGGGGACGGCCGGGGCCTGTCATGAAACGTATGTGGTTAAATCTTAAAATTTCAATCTCAAATACTCGACGGAATATTTCGATGATCTTTGTGTTCAGGCTAAAATGGGAAGGATTATTTTTGGTTGCGTGTGGTATGATTCGGCTCTCCAGAGCGCCGATGGAAGCTCTTTCAAAGATGCTATAGGATGTCCAATGTGTTTATCGCGAATTGGACGAACTGAGAACCCATCGAGCTCGAGGAATTGGTGTTTGTACAGCTGAGATGCAACAACGAAATGCAGCTCCGAAGGAGCCGAGTCCGCTATCGCGTTTTGGTTCTCTCCAATGGCTGATTTTTTTTTCTGGGCTAATCTTCGGTTCGTCGGAAGCAAAAAGCTTACTGATGCTTGCGTCAACCGCGACACCAGCCAGATTTGAGTAATCTCGATGAGATGCTCGATACAACTGTACTTCAGGGCATACGAGCACCCTCTGACAAGTTCTCATGTCGTCGCGTCTTACCGCATGCCCATACTCAAAGCACCGGAGAAATCGGATTCGCTGGGGCTCAAGTGTGCCGAAGATCGCCCGTGCTCAAGGTGTGGTTGGATTTAATGAATTGAACACATAGGTTCGTGCAATAGTACGCGTCAGCGACCGTCTTGCCACTGTATTCCATGATCGCTCAACGCCACGGAAAGCGCAGTAACATGCCACAATTCGAGAGCAAGCTGCTGGGCCGGCTGAATTCAGGCGGTTAATGTGGGTGAATGTCGTGGTGGAAACGACATTCAAGTTTGATCGGATGGACACGGTGGGGCTCCGGAAGATATTGCGAGTCCCGCTGGAGCCCCCTTGCGGAAGGAACCGCTGCTCTTCTCCATGGGCAGGTACCGAACAGAAGTTGGAGTAGACTCAGCTGTCCGTGATCGTCTGTTCAATGTATGTGGTCATCATACAACTTGAAGGTCAATAATGCCTTGGTCGTAGACTGGACATCATTCGCTCAGGCACCCTCGTACTTGAGCCGACATGAATTTCCAGATAGGATTATTGTCAGTTCGAGATTTTCGACTCGCCGATGCCATTCTCATGGAGAACCAAGGTGACATGTTCCGTAGAAATGGACGCTATTAATTTAGGACCTTCATGGGTACAAGTGATGCGATGAACATGGATACTTCGTCGAAGCTGGAATTGTGGTAAAAAATTGTGGTGAAGTCAAAAGTGGGAGGCTGCAACATATTTCAATCATCGTTTTGCTTGATTGATCATGTACCGACTAGGCAATAGGTAGTAATTTGGAGAGTTATGAGGCCTCCAATTGCTGGCCTTAGAACTCCGCCAGCCTAGCCCACTGAACACCAAGGGACAGTTCCACAGATTCTACACTTAGTATGAAGCTGCCTGAACGCCGAAGAACCATCCAACCGCCTGCCGCCAATAAAAAAAGGAAATGGAGCGAGACCAATGACGAGGTGCCACAAACTTTGGCATCAAGCAAGAAATAAATGTCATCAATCAAGGTTTGACAAGGCTGAGATGTGGGGTGAAAAAAAGGGGGTATCTTAAGCTTCATCTATCTATCGCGTCTTAATAGTCCTATAAGAGGACCTTTACACAACTTCCTTTGTTGGCATATCCATCTGCACCTTGTTGATAGCATCAGAATCGGGTGACTCGGAGCGAACCTCATCCTCAACGACTTCTGGGATATCCTCGATCTCGTCAGCTAGAATCAAGTTCAAGATCATGGAGATCATGGCAGTAACAGCGAATCCAGTCTCCATCACAAGCGAGATAGCGTCATAGAAACCTCGGAGTGCGTGGTTGTCGCCACTGTAGGTGAAGACGTAGGAGAACCAGGTAGGAACCAAGGTGGCACCATAACCAATGGCCAGAGATGCGGTGAGAATAAATCGCGTTCTGCGGTTGAAAGGAACTCGATTGACAATGGCCATACCTGAAACTGCAACAGCACAGAACAGGAAGGTTGTCATGCCTCCGAGGACGGGAGAAGGAATAGCGACAAGGGCGGCGGAGAACTTGGCGAAAAGACCCATGACAATGAGGAAGACTGGATTGAAATTAGTCTAAGCGAGTGCATGAAAATAGGAAGATACTTACAGCAACAGCAGTATCCAGCCTTGCGGTTGGCACATCTTGTCAATGCAATGACACCGTTGTTTTGAGCAAAAGTCGACATGGGGGTAATCGTCATCAAAGCAGCGAGGCAGCCATTCAAGCCATCTGCCAAAACACCTCCTTGAATACGGCTCTCGAATTGTCGGCCTTCGACCTCAAGTCTAGAGACATCGCAAGTTGCCGTGACATCACCAATGGCCTCACAGGCACAGATAATGAAAACAGTCATGACGGGCAGGACAAGAGGTCCGTAGATAGAGAGCTTGAAGGTCTTGACCCAGATGAACGACACGGCTGGTGCATTGTTGATGCCTGTGTCATCGAAATAGCCAGTAGCTCCGGCCACAATACATCCCATCAATAGGCCAAGAATAACACTTGTAGATTTCATGATGGGAGATCCAAATCTCTCACAAAGGATGATGGTGAGGAAGACCAGGAAGCCAAGACCAATGTATTCGGCACTTCCCCATTGAAGGGCATGAGGGGCCGCGATGTTGGGGCAAAGTCGGAAGAAGCCTTCTTCTGGGCGTTCAGAGCAGAGACCACTGCCGCCTGCCCAGTTCTTGAAGCCAGTTTCCACGAGATGGACACCAATGAGGATGACAGTTGGACCTGTCACGATTGGTGGGAAGATCTTTTGCAGCGTCTTTGGTGGCAAGAAGGAAATGAGAATTTCAGTCAAGGCACAGATAGCGCAAGTTCCAATGAGAGCGCCGTATGCATCCGGACAAGGGAGGCGGTTACCTGAAATTTATGTTAGAGCCTAGTAGAAAACTACGGATTTCTTTCTTACCCTCGGAGTCTAGTTCACAATAGCCGTTTGCGTACATCTGTGCAAAAGCTCCAGATGCAACTGGAATGATGGCGAAAGAAGTGCCCACGACTGAGATCAATCCGGTTCCGATAAAGTATCTAAATATAGTTTAGCTAACGTTCGGTACCATGGTTGTCTGGGAATGATAGACAACTTACGGAGTCTTGTAGATATGGAATCTGGTAATCTGAATAGATGATAGAATCCCACAGACAATCAGGGAGGTGGAGACGAGATACTGTTGCCAGTCGAGTGGTAGATTCACACCTCCAGCGCCGGAAAGGATGATCGGAGGGGTCATGACGCCAGCAAGCATAGCCAAAGCATGTTGAAGACCCAGCAAGAGAGCCAGGAGAACGGGCATGGAGTCATTAAGGCCAAAGAAAGGGCTCGCACGGCGGTCTTTCTTCATGAATGGAATATTTGGTCGGAACAGAAAAGCATAGTCATATGTGCCAACAAGGCCATTCTTGGTCAGAAATGCTTTTCTGACGCTGTTTGCTCGATCGGCGAATGTCTTCTTCGGGCCACTATCAGGGCCAATTCTGTCGGCTTCACCCATGGTTGATTCGAGGCTGAGAGTAGATGAATTATTGTCGTTGCTTATTATTAGTAGGAAGCAAACCCTGAAATGTAGCTGGAGGGAAATGATGGACAAAGGATGGAATGCGACGCGCTACATATGCTTTATAGATAACATTCGGAGCTCATGATCAGGACCTCCACCTCATGGACTCAACTGATCATCAGTAGCTGATGGCACATCCCGACTTTGGGTTTTCTCGATATCAGTATGGTCAAACCGATAACCGAGAAAGGTGGAGACATATCAGTTTGGCGCAGGGAAAATAGAGCGCCGAGTCTGGCGGACGCCGGCGACGTGCAATCAGAGAGTGGCGTGAACCGATGCTTTAAGTCTCGACTCCTCCAGGCCACAGCAAGGTTTCTGATGGTATCTCTTACCTCAAGCCACAGATAGGTTGACAGAGGTCGATGAAGGTCAATTTTGAAGCTCCTCATTGGCACCGGTACCGACCGATATGGGGCATCCCTTGGCGACCAGGGTGTCTTATCTCCCCAGCGATGTCGGCAAATCACTGGCTCTAATTGCCATTACGAATTAACGGATTCTGCTTTATCTGCACTTTGCCATGACGCCCTCGAATTGGTCTACATTTCTTCTGGCGCTCAGGTCAACTGGCGGGGGGAGAACCGAGCCCTCCAAGATCATCCCTAAACCACCTTTGCTCGGCCGGACCCTGCATCTTGCAGTCGCGAGGAAGTCCTGTCAAGCAACGATAGGCAATCAATCTTTTAGCGAACTGTTTCTCTGTGGCTCTCGGCGAATGCCTCTCGAGGCTACCAGCCTCTCACTTTGCTTTTGTCTCGAGACTCGAGCTTCAAGTATGATTTCTTGCATCCCTTGGATTCATATACACAAAATCTTTCTTGGTCACAAGCTGAGACCTTCAGAATACTAAACAGTGGCGAGCAAGTGGCACCTGTTACTTGTGGTGAAAGTTTGCTTCTGTTCACCCCGCAACGATGCTCTTAGTGATTGAGACTCAGGAATATACTGTAGCAAGTGTGCACATACTTCGTATAGTGGTCCGTTTGCAGACCCACCATTTCATGAAAGTTTCTTCGTGCATGATGATCAGGAAGTACTAGTTCCGAGGTCGTGAGGCTGGAAACCACAGTTGTTATCAGTCCACTCATGACCAAGCTCTTGTGCGTTATCTTGACGAACGTCGCTCCAATGGAAAATTCTGGCGATGCGTACTGAAAATCACTGGCTGACTGATCACACAAGCTTCAAACTCACTTTGTTTATGCAGAATTCCTTCGCAATTGGCGATCCGAAAGTTTCATTTAATATCTCCTTTCCTACATCCCTGGTATTGGGACTTCCGATCAATGCTTCCAAGATGGTCCTAACATACTGTCGATCACCTCAACTTGTGCAGAGCTAGTGTTCTCGTTGCAGAACAATCACCTCAAAAAGATCTCGCCAGTTTGCTCCACCTTCTCAGGACTGGACCAAAGAAGAACAAGACATAAACCAAGACCACGAGACCGATCGAGATGAAGCCTAGAGTGGCAAATGCCCACTTTTCATTCATGTTTGCGAACATGGCGACTCCCGCGTGAGCACATCCAGCGGCAATGAGGAAACTGGGTATCAAGAACGCTGCGATTGCCGATGCTGCAACATTGGGGTAGGAATCGGTGATGTAATTCAGCATTGATAACCAAAGTAGCGGGTCGCAAAATCCCAGAACACCACCAGCAACTATCGGAGACCAGTACGAAGTTGACCCTGGAGCGTTCGCATTGGTCAGTGAACTCTAGACAAGATTGAAGAAAACCGTGTGCTGGTACTTACCATCAGAGGTCCAAGCGAACCAGAATAGTGATACCGGGAAAAGCCACACGGCGACAAGTGAGGTCAAGAACCTAGCTTCTGGGCGCTGCTGCCCATGTTTCAAGCGGTCTTTCTTGAAAAGGTAAGTCTGAATCGGCACAAACAAGAATGTGACCGTGACCCCGACGCAAAAGTTCAGGTATGTGAGCGAGGCACCGATATAGCTCAGACCATTGTTCACCACAAAAACTTCGAACACTCCGTCGAGATAGAGGAATAGCAATCCATATGCGAAGCCATTATACAATCCCAGAGAGATAACGATAGGCTCGGTGAACATGATTCGCAGTGCCATGGTCGTGACGAATTTAAGTTCGTTAAGAACTGAGACCTTACTGGAACCAGCAGCAATATCAAGGGCATTCTGGTCTACGCTTCCTCTTCTCTTGACGGCGTTGCTGATGACGATTCTCGGCAATGTTTCAGGCATGAAGCAGAGGAGGAAAGAGAATGCACCACCGATGATGATGTTGATGTAGAAAACTGTGTAAGACGAGGTCAGTATACGGGAATACAATGAAGTCCGAAATACTTGTGCCGTACTCCATCTCCATCCCAAATCCCCATTCTCTGCAATCCACTCCCCAATGGGACTTCCGAGGGAAGGGCCAAAGTTCGCACTCAAGCTGGAAGAAATCAGCGGCGTCGACGACAAACAACGGATCGAGGGGATTTCACTCACACAAAAAGAGCCATAGGTTGTGCTGCATTATCAGCACTCTTAAGTCACCTGAATCAGCTTCACTGCGTCCCGGCAGTCATCGAAAGAGATCTCATACCCCGAATAGATCTGCAATTGTTCCGGCAACATTGTTCAACGCTGATGATCCAGCAACACCAATCAAGAAGCAGAAGATGATGAGCATTGGTAGGTTATAAGCCAATGCGGTGCCGATATTTAGTACCGCATACAAGAATACTTCAACCACGGTAAGTGTGTATCTCTCGGGTACAGATATGAGAGTGACCTACTCGATCCAACATATACCCATTTCCGGCCGCCAATATCCGACAACGGTCCTAGAGTGACAGCGGTATCAATAACGACAAAACTCCACGATGTCACGACCATCGGACAGGAAAGTTCTCACCTAGAAAGGCCGGCCCAACAGCCGTGCCTATGATGAACATCGACTGCCCCAGTGTTGCCACCTGCTGCGACGAAGTCCATTTCTCCATGATGAGAAACTCGACCGACACATAAGTGGTCGACGTCAACGTGACGAAGATCTGCAGCAGACAGTACACGACGACGATGAACCATTTCTTGTACCACACCCAGTGCATGGGATGGGCGTCGTCGGTGGTCTTGATCTTGGAGAGTAATGCTAGCGCATCTTCGCGGCGTGCACCATCGCCGCCCTCGACAGCCGGGTCAAGTGGCAAACTCTTTTTCTTCTCCATCGTATCGTCTGGAGCTGTGCCGTTGAGAGGAGAGCTGGACATGATTCGAGAGTGCAGAAATGACTGCGGCGTTTCTTGCCAGTCTCAAAAGGTATGCAACGGTGAGGACGCGGATATGTCTCACAGTCCAACTGGGAATGAGATAGAAGCACGAAAATAAAAGAAAATATGAGAACTCGGCAGGGACACAGTTATATGACATGCTGGGTCCACCTTCTACGAGGATCGTTTTCGTCTCCCATTGGCATATTGGAGCTCACCCATGATAGCACACACCAAGACACTGCAATCAAGGCGACTTGAGGTGGCGCGACGCTCATGCCTCTCACCCCATTCCGCCCGTTGTACGAATCACGACTGAACAAACTTACCTCCAGATCAATGCAACAGAAGTGCACTGTGCTGTGAACGTCTTATCGTGACTCCCAATCTCCAACCAGTAAGAAAGGCAAACATTGGTTCCGTGTAGCATTTTTCAGTTGTAGATATCGGATCTTGCGGGACAGTCGGACGTGTGGCACGCGAGGGAAAATTGATAGCTTGATGACGTTCGCGGTGGCCAGAATCATTCGGCACACTCGGAAGCCATCCGTTTAGGGACTGAAGTTGCCGATTTCGAGAGACAAGCTCCTGATGGACAATGCTTAGTAGTAACCTTCCTTACCTATTCGTAAGTGGTATGTGTAGACAGTGTAGATCGCCTGTTGTCGAAGCTACGCAGTCGTTCGAGCTCGAGGGAAGTTGGACTTCCTTATCGTACCTGCACCACCTGGCCAAAGTCTGCCTCTCGGTCTCGCAGAGTCGTATCTGTTTTCGACTTCGAGGCGAAAGCAGCCTACCCAACATAATCAAAGATCACCTCAGCAGTTTAAATATATGTTTGCATCTATATCAAGCGATAGTGTTTGTGGCGCTCTCGAGTCTAAATTCACAGTATGCAAAGGGGAAGCAAGAAACACGAAAACCAGAAGAGGATTGAACAGTCGCAGAAGCAGACTGGTGATGTGATCATTTTCGTAAGAGAAAAGGGGAACCAACAACACCCAAGACTACGCCGCTTTCAGATTCTTTACTTCTGCCACAAGCTCTGTCACGGTCTTGGTCAGGTCTCGCAGCTGCCTCGATTGCTGAGCAACCAAGGCCTTGAGGTTCTTGATCTCTCTATCGGCAGAATCTTGAGAACAGCCACTTGCAGGAGCATCAGGTTCTTCATCGGCGTCTTCATCTATGGTCTGTGTAGTTTCTGAGAGCTGCAATAGATTAGCCTGTAAGTATTTTCACTGTGGGTGTTGTTTACCTTCGGAGAGGCCGGCTTAGGTTGAGTAACTTCAGCGAGTTGCGACTTGACTGGTGATGGGAGTGGTGTTTCCTTCTTCACCTCTGCAGATGCTGGCACGGTCGCGGATTTTCTTTCCACCGGTTTTTGGACTTCCTCGAATGGAGATTCATCACCACTCTCCTCGGCCGGTTCAGTGTCTTGAAATTTGCCTGCTGCGGCCGCCATGCCGACTCCTTGTTCTTTCATAGTCGGAGGTGGCGATCGGATTGTCGGACTTGGAGCAGGCGCTGGTTGAGAAACCTCTTTCTTCGGTTCAGGAGCTTTCACTGGTTCAGGGGCCTTCTTCACTGGTGGCTGACTTGCAGCAACTTCTTTCAACCCGGTACCATCATAGATGCTTTCCAGCGAGATCTTGGGAGGAATGCCGGCAGCACCGTCGAACCATTCTTTACCGCTTACGGCGGGTTTCAAACCAGTTGTTGGGGGATAGATATCCTCCTGGAATGATTCTGCCCGGCGTGGAACAATAAAGGAGATAGGTTCAATATAGCTGTCGTTAACTGTCTTGTACGCACGAGCAACCTCATTTTCATGCAGGTTTACACCTCGTTTGGGCAAGAAAGCCACTCCTCGCTGTGCATCCGCAGACTTGTACTCGGATAGATCCTCAAATGAGTCATTCTCGTATTCGTAGTATCGAATGTTGCCGTCACCCTTTCCTGCTAGGAATAGACATTGAGTTCCTTCGTCCCAAAATGGCATGCAAACACCAGAAATCGAGTCAAGCATTTGGAAGCCGCCTAGGGGCTGGGCGGCACCTCGAATGTCCCAAAGTGCAAGTTGACGGTCGCTCATCCTGGAAAAGCCAGTGGTGGCAATTCGGTCGTGTTCACCGAGCCAAACAGCTCTGCTGGCTTTTGCGCCGGCATGACCAGGACCCTCGTGAGCAGGTCTTTCTTGTCTCGGGTCCCATATTCTCAATTTCTTGTCCCGGGATGTTGTCACTAGTTGACTGCCATCTGCGCTCCAAGATAGTGACTGAATGACCTCGCCTACTTTGAGGCTGAGCTTCGAGGAGCCGGCTTCAATATCCCAAAGCTTGACTGTGAAATCACCCGCTGCTGAAGCAAGGATATTTTCTGCAGCTGGGTTGAAAAGGACCTGCCCAACCTTCCTGATGGAATTAGTTTCCCAATCCCATTGTGGCGAGGGGTCTTACTTTGGGTGTCCGCTCAGCTTCCCTACTGGTGCAATATCTTGTATCTCGTCCGCGGGAATGTCCAAATGAAGTGTGAAATCGTCTGGTACTCTCCAGAGGAAGACCTAGACAGGTAAGCACTGGACCGCCACTGGGGAAAGAATGGTGGTACCTTGCCATCGTCGGAGCCAGACGCAATCAAAGAGTCGTTGAAAGGATTCCTTCTCTGTCAGCCTCGCTAAACCACCATGAACCGTAACCCCGCTCACCAATCTGTGTCCAGTACAACCGCAGTGTGTCCTCGGAAGAGAGGTATTCGCTCGGGGAGGCGGCCTTTTTCGCGTGTGGGAATAACCGCGAAAGCCCCTCCGCCAGTGGCTTCCCAGTTGACTGCAATGTATTCAGGGTTGGCCTGATTGGATCAGTACGGGTTCGCAGGCAACCGCAGGGAAAGCTGACCTTGATCAAATTGGTGTCCCAGGCGTTTCGGGAAACTTTCAGGTTATCGTAACATTGTTCCTGCACCTCTTAACCCACTCTGCTCTTGTTCAATGGTGAATCATGGTTACCTTTCGTGTAGGACGGCCGAACACGTGCCGGTATTTGGAAGAGCGAACGAAGCGACCTGCCATATTCAATGTTGGTGCCCCGCAAGCTGGGAGGGAAGGAAGATGAGATTGAAAGGACTGAACCCGCAGTCCGAGTTACTGAAGACTATCAACCAGGCAACTGTAACGAAGCTGAGGCATTCAGGGTGCCATCTTTCTTTCCACTTTCTTAAGCTGACCGCAGCGCATTCCGCTGAACCTTGGCATCAACTTGAAGCCATCACGGTGAAGTTTATCACCACATTGGGCAGCTCTTTGGTTCGCCGTACAGATAAACCAGATGTGCAAGTTGTTTTCGTTTGACTCACGGCCTTGGTCTTTGTGGACACTGCCCACTTTACAGTTCATGATGTTACGTGACACAACGGTCTTCGCCCAAACATTGGCACGAAAGTGACCACTTTTTAGGGATAACTAGTGAATAACAAGCATAATTGACCATAAGGCTATTTTGAGTGCAGTACTACGATCCAGCTGTGATGACCACCATACTGGATCATGAAGATGAGCACACACAAACTGTGTGCCGTATTGCTAGGTTTGTTCTCGCTCGCCCTACACCGTTTGACTTTGCTTGGCCTCCGAAGGTCATGCCGGTCCCATTGTGGCTGCCACCGTCCGCTCAAGGCACCAGGTGGCGCTGGGTCGTTGGCTCCCTATAAACGACACTACTTGTCCTAGACCTCATGTGATGTCTGTGGTACCTTGTGATCGGGCTATTATGCGGCTAAGTCGTGGTACGCAGGCCTCGGTGCCTTGATATAAAAGAGTACTTGCTCACTTCCCTACGTCCAACTTGTATCGAACTTGACAAAGCTGTTCCAGCAAAACGTTGTTTGAATGCTAAATCTGGTCTTCACTACCCTCAGGGTGTCAATCTCAATAGTCAACACACAGACTCAGGATGGAGGATACATTGCCACTCAATCGGCCCATCCATGCGACATACGTGGTCGATCCGAAGACGCGGACGATCTCACTCCCTGGGCGACCCGTCAAGCGCACGAAGCTTGAGAAAGTCTATCACATTGCGTGTTGCGCTTCATTGGGAGGCGTTATAGTGTGGGTACTTCTGCTATTGGCGTGTATCTTCTTGCCTGTCGGAATTCTTGTGTCGCAGAAGAAGGTAAGCAATATAACAATGTCATCTGGCTAGGATTGCTAACAGCGATCAGCATCAGAACGCATCATCGCAACAGAGTGATGGTTTTACTTCGAGTTCCCTTTTGACAACGGAGACAGTCACCGCTTCCGCTATGGATGGAAGAAACACGATACTATTCATAACGACAGAGGCTACGACTGACTTTTCAACCCTAATATCGACTCTAACTTCTGTATCTATTTCGACTACGACCGATAGCCCCTCCCCACCCTCTACGGTGGTCATCACTTCTCCATTGACTGAGACCATGACTCAGATCAGTACTGCTACGTCAACCGTCACAGTCATCACGCCTCAGAGCAGCCTTCAAAGAGCAACACGGACAACACTCGTAACTGCAACAGTGTCTGAGGGGATCAATAAAATTCTTCCTTGATTCGAGGAGGAGTTCCATATGTTCTGTCTATCTCGTCTTCGAGCGAAGGGACTCTAGTTACCTCTTACGTTTGAGCTATGGCTCGTGCTCACTAGTTAGGGCTTGGAGATAGTAAATGAATATATTTCTGCCTCTGAAGATATGGGAATCGCACTACCAAGATCACTGCACGCACCAATGATTCGACACTAGATATTTAGAGACGTGAATGGTTCACAAGAACAATACTTCTTAAGAGTCAGCTGCATGTTCAGTATTCATTCAGCCTTACAGGGTAGAAATTACTCTGCACAGTATCCCCACGTACCTAGTGTCTCGAATTGTGCATCTGTTCGCGATGGATCCTGATCAGCACGTCCTGGGAGCCATGATATCACAGTTCAAGCCTAGCCACACCGATTGGTTGCTGACAGCTGTTAAGTTTCCCCAAGAGACTTCCCCCGCAAGGTGCTAACGTCTTAGCCATGTGTACCCTGAGGGCCCGTGGGGTAGTGAACTCTACAGGGGTGGAACCACCCAGTACCGTCCCTGCTGAACGGCCTGAGCGCATGACTATCACCCAGAAGAGGCCATCTTGCACATGCTCTGGCGAGTCGGATACTTTGTACATAACATCCTTTCACAGGGGCTGGAAGTTACCTGCCCCTCAATTATGACCTAGGTATCTCTGGCAGGCATCTCGTGTAATGGTCTGAACTGCCCATTTGTAGCTGACAAACACGAGAGGACTTCGTCTCGTTCTTTCCTTTCGCACTGCTCATCGACATCTTCAGTATCTCAGGACTACTAGAACGTGACGTCCTTATCATTGATATCTCAACACTGACCATCTCAACGAGCACAATCATGTCTTCTTCATCCTGGCAAGATCGCCGGTTCATGTTTCCGTCGGGCAAACAGGTCCACGAAGGCAGCACTGGGTACACCCCAGCAGAAAAACAAACACCTCCAACGACCATTCCAGCCAGCACTACAGCTGTTAGTGGAAGTCCGCCGGCTGCCAAAGTCCTTCCCTCTTGGGATGGTGACCGACGATTCATGTTCCCTTCCGGAAAACAGGTACATGAGCCCGGCCGGAGGCTGTCGGGCTCGAGTGGCACCAGTGGTAAAGCCGTAGACTCGTCTGCAAAGGCAAGCTCTCCACCAGCTGCGAGCTCTTCGCCGCAGACGGCTATTGCCAATGCAATTGCGGGGAGAAGACGGGTATGTTCAGCCCCGAGCAAGTATTTCTTTGAGTGTGGTCTGCTCAAAGCTCCCTCCGCTAATCACATTTCCCACAGTCATCTGCTTCCTCTCAAGGCGGAATGTTCAGCGGCCTCATGGCACGACGCGGCAGCGACGAACACAACGATCGCAGGCAGAGCTGGGAAGACATGAAGTCTCCAGGTGGTGTTGGAGGCATATTCAGCGGGATCCTGGGCAAGCCTTCTGAAAAGAAGTAATATCACAATGTTGACATTCGAAATAGCTGGTAGTAGGATAGGGAAGTTGTTTATGGGATGAGGGTCTTCTGTTGAGCAAGCATACTCATCAAAGGATCTCGGCAAGTTCCCAGGAGTCAGTGATGACTGACTGAGGCAAGGATTTGACTATCTCCCTGCTGAGATATACTTCAGAGGCAGCCCTCACAAATTCACCCTTTCTGTAATATTCGGAGATATGATCGGAATAACAACTTGTTTTTATTGGTACATCTGCGGCTGCAAATGTATATGATATCGATATGAACCTGTCCTCTGCGTAAATGAAGGACTTTTGCCAGTCTGCCCGCCCTGCGTTCAAGTTCATGCGTTCACTTCATCAGAGCAATGATGCATAACGTCTAAGAACCAGGTCATGCACCTAACTCCTTCTGCGTCCAACCCACCCCGGGTCACAGCCTGCGAGACTGAGGATAAATGTGATCCAAAATAGGGTTGGGTTTTTTCTCTTTGGACATCTTCAAGCTTGGGGATTTAGAGCATTCGACCTGTGCTCTCGAGCCAGTCTGTGCAATGTGATGGATCATCATCTTCATCACACAAAGTTCTATTTCAATACTCAATATATCTTCCATATCGGATAGCGTCCGGTATGATACATCAGGTCAGCAGAGGAGCTAGATTCAGACTTTACCTTCATCTAGATGGTCGGCGAGCCTCTTTAGACACATCGACTCAAGGCCCTGTTCGGATGAGAATGTCAATTTGAGTCTTTGAAACCCGTCATAATTCGGCAACAAGACGAGTCAGACAGACAGGCCTGATAGAACCTAAAAACAGATGTTAATCTGATGCGAACCTATGACTTCCATCCTGTGTACCTGGCCTCCCACCCCGAATGAGTTAGCCGAACGAGGTACATGAAGGAAGCTTGAAGGGGCGAGCCACCTCAAAATAGCCATTCCAGATGGTACCGAGTACGAGGTACTTTCCCTCTGAACATGGCTCGCCGCTTTAACTAGTGGGGTAAACCAGTGGCTTTATTATGCCTATTTTGCTCCTGCGCTGTTGGCGCTTTTGCTAACCCGCCACTTCATAGTTCATGCCCAAGAATCCAAGTCTTCAGCCGAGACATTTGTATCTTGTTTTCCCATTGTGCTAACCACAGTTTCAAATTCTGCTTTTCGTCTGAGAGGATTTGGACAGCATGATTTCACGCTTTTGAAATTACTGGATCTGTGTATATGTCTTGACTGGACCTACAAATACTCTCCTATAACTCGACGATCATGCTCATGGTCCCGTCATGGCCTCCTCCGTCGAAGCGCCTTCTACAGGCCTCTTAAATCTAGAGAAAGAACTTGTCTGTTTCATATGTACCGAGATCCTGTACCAACCTCTCACCCTGCTGGACTGTTTGCACTCATTCTGTGGTTCGTGCTTAAAGGAATGGTTCTCACATCAACATCGCAAGGCGGCCCACTCTCACTCAGCTTCGAATACAAGTCCATACACATGTCCAACATGTCGCGCCCCGGTCAAGGATGCACAGCACAATGCTATGATAAATACCTTGCTGGACATGTTCCTGGCCGCAAATCCTACCAAAGGTAGGTCTGCTGAAGAGAAGGCCGAAATGGCACAAGTCTACACCCAAGGCGATGATATAATGCCCAAAGTTGAGAGTCACCGTAGAAGAGAGCGAAGGCGTCGCGAAGAAGAGGAACTTGCTGCACGAGAGAGGCGTACTGCAAACGACGCAGTGCGTGAGCGGAGCAGACAGACTCAACATCTAGATCCCACTCCTAGATCATCTAGGCGGACAACTAGTGCGGGTAGTGGTGGCAGCCGTGAGCTTCGGACCGGGACAGAGACTTCAAGAGACTCGGAGAGAAGACAACAAAGAGAACAACACTCAGACAATGAAGCCGCAGGAAGAGCCCCGCATACTGCACGCTCCTCAAGTTCTGCGGATATATCATCACTTTCTCCTCCGGCTGGTTCACCTAGACACCCGGATGCGGTCGAAGCCCGCCAACGAGGTGCAAGAACAGTGGCTCATCAAGCAAGTCTGCGTTCATTGGTGAGCGCCTCAGAGAGTGGGACAGGCACAGGTGAAAGTCTGAGTGAAGCACAACTCATGCAAGATATTTTGGCTGAAGGTCTGTTGGATGGAATTAATGTTGACGAACTCACGGAAGCGGAGCAAGATGAATTAAGTGAGAGAATAGCTGAACGATACCGGCAGTTGCACCCAGAGAGACTTCGACGACAATTATCCGATGAAGCTAGGCGAGAAAGAAGGCATGACAGTCTCCCAACTTCGCCGAGACAACCCGAAGTTCAGATCGAAGAAGCCGATCGACGCTCTCGTCAGTCATCGAGAAGTACTCAACGTCGCCAGACTCAACCTAGTCCGAGATCAAGCCATAATGTGACAGTAATGGGACCTGAAGCACGACCGCCAACATCGTATCCGCAACTCGTCGAGCAAACCTTGACACCACCACCGCAGAACAGGTCACATCGTCGGCGAGCTTCGAACGAGAGTGGAAGGAGCGAAAACTCAACAACAAGAACTCGGCGGCCATCGCAGTCCGGAAGTTCGCGCACTCCTGCTAGTCGGTCTGCGACCGACTTGTCCGAAAGGCCACAATCGGCATCATATACTTCGAACCAGCCGCACCTACTTTCGAACACAGAGCGGTCAAACACTGAACCACAACGTTCTCCAAGAGCATCAGAGGTGTGGAGAGCTGGATCTAACCAAGTCTCTAGTCCACCGCACGTCGATTCTCCAAATCCCCAGTCGCCGCGGGTGGAATCTGCTCGAGCTGTTGCCTCGGGTCCAAGCAATGCTCCCATTCCCGTTTCGCCTCCAAGGCTGGACTCGGCAATACTCGCTCCGGAACTGACTTCCTCCTTGGCCTTGTTGTCACAATTTGATGAGCCATTGGTAACTTGTGCACGCTGTGCTCGAGAGAATATTCAATATGAAGTTCACAAACATTGTGCACCCTGCGAACTTGACATCTGCTTGAGATGCTACCGGGCTGGTCGAGGCTGCAATCATTGGTTCGGCTTCGGTCATGCAGCCATGTTCAAATTTGATTCGTCACATCCAAGAAGCTCTCAAGCAATTGAACTACCCCATATATTGGTCGGTCGCCAGTACCAGAAACCACCATCTTCATCTCGGCAAGGCATGCGGGGCAAAACGATTGTCACTTCTTCTGACCCAACATCTCGTTGCAATGAAGGCAATTTTTGTGATAGATGTGGAAAATTTGCGAATGCATGCTTTTGGTCGTGCGACTATTGCAATGACGGCGAATGGGGATTTTGCAACGATTGCATTAACACGAATCACTGTTGCTCTCACCCACTCCTGCCAGTTGCTCACAAATCCTACGATCCAAGATCGAAGAATGCGCGGCATTCCGGCGCCATTACTCATTCTGGGTCAGTGACATTGAGTCCGTATCGTCGCGGTGGCCGCGACCCATCACCTGCTCATAGCGCACCTTCAAGTGCAGCGTCTGCGAATGAACCACCACTTGGCTTGAGAGTTGATATTGTTCCTCTTGTCATCACCACCAATTGTGACGTCTGTGCCCGACCGGTCGCGCCAGAGGAGATGCGTCATCACTGTCCCAGCCACCCCACGCCCGCAGCAGCATTTCTAGACCAAAAAGGTGACTTTGATATTTGTAATGATTGCTATCTTGGCTTCGTCAAAACCGGTCGTATCGCCCGCGAAAACGGACCAGATGGCTGGCATCTGTGTCCGGATGGTCACCGAATGATCTCGATCACATTCGAACCAGATCATGATGGCGGTCAAAGACGATCAATCATTCGTAACCTTGTAGGTGGAGTAAAAATGTCTGATGCCGACATGGTGGCATGGAAGCAAGCGAATTCTCAATTCAGAGGCCCGGATGCAGCAGCATCTACAGGGCGTGGCCAATGGTCATGGCGAGAAGATGCAGCAGGAACACGCCGTACTACAAGGGCGCGTGCACCCACCCTTCCAGTTCCTGGAAATTCCAAATCTCCACCAGATGGAGGCGTTGGGAAAGTTTGTCGCGCTTTGTGGAGCTATTACCCCGAAGACGGTGAAGACGGAAAGGGTGAGTTAATGTTCCCCAAGCATGCAGAAATCCGTGAAGCGGAAGAGGTCAACGAGGATTGGTGGTATGGTGTTTACTCGGGTGACGTCGGTGTTTTCCCCAGTGTCTATGTGAGGGAAGCTGCCGAGCTACAAGTCAGCTAGTGAAATTGTCGTATTCGATTGATCAGCGGCGCTTTGTGGGAGGGCTTTCGGCATCTTCTTGTCCCAGGACATCTACACGAGTCACAAAACTATGCTCCTTTTGCAAAAGGGCGAAAAAGATGAAAGATGAATGGCGGATTTTTATGACGATATGGAACTACAGTTTTCACGATCCCACGGAAACGAAATGGATATATTGCAATAGGTTTACACCATTATGAGATAATACCCAAATATTAAGCGATGTTGGTATTTTTGAAACCAGACCTAAAGATATTCAGATCATGTAGCATCACCTACTCCTTTCTAATGTACTTCGCTTGTTACAATCAACATATTCAACCACCGACCTAGAAAAAATGCCTATCCCGTCTTCACTCTCGGTAACCTCAACATGGCCATCGATGCAGGTACATGTAGGTTCTCATCAAGCACAGGGAACGCAATAGTCGTGTGTACTTTCCAACCATTACGCTCGTATAGCCTTGAACCCGCAGGTCGGGCGAACAACCAACTCACCACATTCTCCCTATCCGCCGTCTCAATCCCCCAATCAAGCAGTTTCTGCCCAATGCCCTGGCGCTGATATGCTGGGTGGACGATGAGTCTGTGGAGGCCTGTAGAACCGTTAGTGCGGATGTTGAGTTGATAGTGATAACATTAGCAAACTCGGTAATACTCACATAGATGCCTCTTCCCACGGATGGCCTTGATGTACGCATTGCCCATCCTGCGCGAATAGTCCTCGTCAGGATTCGAATAGTACGGCTTCGAGTCATCGGACGGGTCGCCACTCGACGCAACAGCCTCCAGAGCAGCGACCACACTTCCTGCCTGTTTCTCCTTCTTCTCGGAAGTCGTGATGTTCGTGATATTTGCCTCGAAGGTCGTGCTGGTGGGTGGCGTCTTCGGCGCAAATGGATCCATCTTGGGCGTTTCCAGGTACCCCAGCATCCACTGCGTGTAGCCGACGATGACTTCGTCGTGGTCTACCACATCGTCTCCCTCCGCAGCGTGCACGGGCACCGCCACGGCTTTGAACATGGAGAACCGCGCAGGATTGTTGACCGCACTGGTGAGTTTCTCCATCGCGATGTCGTATATCGATGCAGCGCCACATCGCGCGCGGAACTCGAACATCGTGTCGTTTTCCAGCGCAGCTTGGCTGATCTCGGCTAGTTTGGGTATGTCTGTCACGGATGTAATGGGCTTGATTACGATCTTCGTGCCCGGTTGCGGTGGAGGTGATGGTGTTGGGCCGGCCGATGACATTGTGGTGTTGCTGGATGTATGCACCTTTATCGGGTCGATTAGGTATCTATGGCTGTTTGCTCTCATGGAATGGCTTCTGTCGGTACCCTCATAGAGTGAATTCCCTGCTTTGGCGCCTTAAGCCAGCTGAACTCCCCTTTCCAGTTGAGCCTTGTGATCGCGGCCGGCGGTGTTTTGAGGCGTCAGTTATCAAGCAGTGCAACAACAGTACAAGGCAGCGCGCTCATTCAAATTGTTCAACTTTCATTGCTTTTGATCTTGGACCATTTCATTATGACTCAGATATTGCTGATCTATGCGAGACCCGGTAGCCGATTTACGATATTTCGGTGTTTAGGGTTGGAGATTGATTATGACTCAAAATTATGCAGGAGGGGGGTTGGAGTAGCATCCCAAACATACACGGACTACTACCTCAACATCGATCTGCGAAGTATCTCTGACACTTTGCTAAATGATCTATCTGGTCAAGCGTCGTGTGAATCCGTCCTCGTCATTGTCGTCGTAATCACGGCCAGCTTCGCATCCATTGCTTTCATGAGACAAAATCCCTGGGGACCATGGACATGTCGTTAACATATTAAATCGAGGTGTGATAAGAGGTTCAACGACAGATAACCCTTCCATAATACATCAACACAACGATATACGTAAGTATCGTAGTGCTACTGCACGCCGAGCCGATGGCCGAGAGAAAAAGGGTACTAAGCCACACGTAGGTACCTATATTTCAAATTTCCTCGTAGATAATCTCAAACTCCATGACTGTTTTTGGCAGGATGTAGAATCTTGATCTGAAGCTTTCCAAGTGTTGATCTTTGTTCATGATCAAGCACAATGACAATGTAAGGCGGTACTGCTGTACCAATCTTCTTGTTCACGGAGACTTGGGCTCCAGAAGTTCAATGTTGCAACCTGCAGTCCTTACCGGGAATCTTCTCACATATGACTGTCTCTCTGGGATCGTGAGCCGCGACAGAGCCCTTGCGCGCTGGATGCTTTGTTATTCTTACCTAGGCACACAGTACAGCATAGGTGATTGATCGAAACACAAACTCCCCGTTGATTGAGATGACTATATCAGTTCTTGAGCAATGTTACCAGTGGTGTCTTACCATATCAACTCGGATTAACTTTGGCCCGAGGTTCCGCTGCTCTTTTGGTTGGTGCCAGTATCATATCGCGATGTTAATGCCTTCCAAGTTATCACCATGCTGGGTTTGCTGCCAGCCAGATCTGAATCATATCAGACCAGGGTCGGCTGTGCTTATGCTTGTTCGGCTGTGCTTATGCTTGTTCGGCTGGTTCATCTACCTCTTTCATCGGATTGAGATAATCGAACGACAAAGTGTACGGGCAAGTGATGAATTGGTGAATTTGTAGCACAGTGAATCTATACCGTGGGATTAAAGCAGCGACTCCACGGGTTGCTTCCATATTCACAGCCAACTGTCTTTGACCAATATAGCGGAAAGAGCAGGAGTTGTGCCCAAGTTATGGAGCAATTCATAGCCCGCGCTGCTAACGTATCGCTCGGCCTTCATGGTCGAGCATGAAAGGGTATTCACAGATGCGAGGGGACCTCCTAGAGCTGCCTAACCATACTTGAACCCATCACTGCAGTCCCTTGGGATGGCAATGGAGGGGTCAACTTAACTTTTTGGGGGTTCGAGCCGCCCTTCGGCGTGCTCTTGACTTTTTGTGAAAACTGGTTTGTAGTCGCAGTGAAGGTGTTTTTATCGCAACACCAGTCTTGGCGACAGTGAAGGACGAAGTTGTGTCTGTTCTGCAGTATCGGGATTCGCAAGTTATCAACGACATTCATTTTTCATCCTTTGTTGTTCTGGAACGTTGTCTGTCTCCCTAGACAGGTAGACTTCTCACACCATTGTTTCTCGTGTGCACCTGAACAGAAGATAAGAGGTTGCTGCTCCGACAGTGACAATAAAGTAACCGACAAAGCAGAACCGACAAAGTAGATCTGCTAGGGGTGATGTGGTTAACAGTTCCAAAAGCCTGTGATGTTCAAGACTTGCAGGCAGCCTCCAAAAACCAGATTTGCTTGCGACACTGCATTGGAGATGATCTACGCGACGCTGGGACATTCATAACTAGAGAAAAACGCTTTTGTGCTTCGCACGAAGCATTCGTACGGATATTCAGCAGATATCAAAAGCCGAAGGTTTAAAGTTACACGCCAGATGAAGTCGGAGCAGGATTGATCCGCCAAGGATTCCGTTGATTCGAAAGCAACAAAGATGAGACTCGGAACCATCCTCGATTTTTTCACCGAGTGGATATCCCCATCGCAGAATTCAAGGCCAATCGCGGAGAGCATTGACCTCTGATCCCGATGACAACCCACAGTCCATGACACAATCACTCTCTCAGCTCACGCCTGAGATCTGGCAGCCTTAAGGAAAACACTCCTTTCCACAACATTATTGTGATCTTGGCAATGATCAAAGTTCGGCCACATGGCATGTGGTCAGCTTGTTGTCGTTGACTTGCTGTCCTCCGGCGGTTTTGAAGTCCGATAAATTCCCTCCTCTGTCTGATAGTACCTGTCTCTCATGGGATCCACTCGGAGTCCAACGTGCTACCGTTCTTGCCTAGAGGGTGGATCTACTATCTCAGCAACAGCACCTCATTAATAACCCTCACTCTTTTAAGTATATCTTTCGCACGACCTCAGTTCCTGTCAGTGCTGTATCCGTCGGCTCACATCGGATATGCCTTGATCTTTTCACCTTTGAATGCTTTCCTTTTAGATAAGCATCCCTATTGTCCTTTGGGGCTTACTTCACTGTGTAACATCCCTACTATCGGCGTCGGCTATCAACAAATTTTAGCTGTATGGTTATTAGGCACTGTGTTTGATATACCCGCTACAAAGATGGCAGAAAGACGGGCTTCCAATGCTTCTAACCCGCACTCCCCTAAGGTAGAACGGGAGTCACTCTGGAGAACCCTTACGCGTCAGTCAACCTTCTCAGAGAGAGGCAGGGAGAGGGCACGATACGATATCGGCGACGATGATGAGGTTGACCAAGACTACCCCGACTGGGAAATGAAATCAGAAGTGGAGGCGAGATACAAGAAGGATCAAGCGGATAATCTGAAAGACCGGAAGCTCGGTGTAACATGGAGAAACCTAACAGTATTTGGTGAAGGCGAAGATGCTGCAGTTCATGAGAATGTACTTTCTCAATTCAATATCCCGGCCAAAATCAAGGAGGGCCGAAGAGCAAAGGTCAGCGACACCAGGAAGACGATCATCCGGGATACGCACGGCTGCGTGAAGCCAGGCGAAATGCTACTTGTTCTGGGACGACCTGGAGCAGGATGCACCACGCTCCTCAATATGCTGGCGAATCGACGCTTTGGCTATGCCGAAGTCACTGGGGATGTCCATTGGGGGTCCATGGATCACAAAGAAGTTCAACAATATCGTGGTCAAGTTGTCATGAACACGGAGGAGGAGATTCACTTCCCTACCCTCACAGTTGGGCAGACGATGGACTTTGCTACTCGCATGAAGGTCCCAGCTCACCGCCCGTCCGACTTGCAATCACCCGCGGAATATCAACATTCAGCCAAAGAGTTCCTCCTTCGCTCTATGGGCATTGAGCACACCAATGATACAAAGGTTGGCAATGAGTATGTACGCGGGGTATCTGGTGGAGAACGGAAACGAGTCTCGATTATCGAGACCATGGCTGCAAGAGGAAGTGTATATTGTTGGGACAACAGTACCAGAGGCCTGGATGCAAGCACTGCCCTGGAATGGACTCGTGCTATCAGAGCCATGACAGATGTCCTTGGCCTGTCAACAATTGCGACTTTGTATCAAGCTGGTAATGGGATTTATGATTTATTCGACAAGGTCTTGGTCCTAGATGAAGGCAGAGAAATTTTCTTTGGGGAACGGGAAGCCGCCCGTCCATTCATGGAAGAGCTGGGATTTCTTTGCGAGGATTCTGCAAATGTTGCAGACTTTCTCACTGGTGTCACTGTACCTACGGAAAGAGCAGTCAAACCTGGGTTCGAAGATTCCTTCCCAAGGACCGCCGCTGCCATTCAGGAGAGCTACGACAAATCATCCATCAAGAAACAAATGGAGACTTCATATGATTTCGCTGCCTCAGATGACGCCAAGACCTTCACTACTGAATTCAAGGAGGCAATTAGGCTAGACAAACACAAAAGTCTGCCCAAAAAGTCGCCATTAACCACACCTATCAATACACAGATCATTAATTGCATTATCCGACAGTACCAGATAATCTGGGGTGACAAGGCTACGTTCTTCATCAAACAGATCTCCGGTCTTATCCAAGCCTTCGTGGCTGGCTCACTCTTCTACAACGCACCTAATACCTCTTCTGGATTATTTCTCAAGGGTGGAGCCTTATTTTATGCCCTGCTCTACAACACACTGGTCGCAATGAGCGAAACCACAGATTCTTTCACAGGCCGCCCTGTACTGGCAAAGCACAAGGACTTCGCATTCTATCATCCTGCAGCATTCTGCATCGCACAGATTGCAGCCGATCTACCAATACTCATATTCCAGGTGTCCGTTTTCGGGATAATATTATACTTCCTGGTCGGCCTCAAGACCACCGCCGCAGCCTTCTTCACGTTTTGGATCATCAAATACTCAGCAGCAGTTACGATGACTGCTTTCTTCAGACTGATCGGTGCTGCTTTCCCCACATTCGACGCAGCCTCCAAGGTCTCAGGCTTTGCCGTCTCTGCTTTTTTGACATATATGGGCTACATGATCCGGAAGCCAGAGATGCACCCCTGGTTTGTCTGGATCTACTGGATCAATCCTTTAAGTTTCGCCTTCGAGTCCTTAATGGCCAACGAGTTTCATGGTCAGGTGATCCCCTGTGCGGCGAACAACCTCGTTCCTAGTGGACCTGGGTACGCTGACAACGGCTTCGCTGCTTGTACGGGCGTGGGGGGTGCTTCTCCCGGCGCCTCATTTGTCACAGGTGACCAATATCTTTCGTCTCTGTCATATTCACACTCTCACTTGTGGAGAAACCTGGGTATTCTCTGGGCTTGGTGGGTGTTATTCGCTGGACTGACGATATTCTTTACCAATCGCTGGCTACCATCATCGGGTGGAGGAATGCTCCTAGTCCCGAGAGAACTTAAGAAGGAGAGTAAGCTACTGGTCAACGATGAGGAATCACAAGCCCGAGAAAAGCCTGTTGTCAACAGTTCAAGCACAAGCACAACGGAAGCTGAGAACCCCAACAAAGAGTTCCAAGATTCACTAATCAAGAATACATCTGTCTTCACCTGGAAGAACTTGACCTACACGGTTAAAACTCCCTCTGGCGATAGGCGTCTTCTTAATGATGTCCAGGGCTGGATCAAGCCCGGTAGATTAGGAGCTTTGATGGGCTCATCTGGTGCGGGCAAGACTACACTGATGGATGTCCTGGCTCAAAGAAAGACGGAGGGTACGATTCGAGGTAGTATTATGGTCGATGGGAGAGGTCTTCCTGTTTCGTTTCAAAGATCTGCAGGCTACTGCGAACAACTCGATGTCCACGAACCATACGCCACGGTCCGTGAAGCTTTAGAGTTTTCAGCACTACTCCGACAAAGCAGAGAAATTCCTAAAGAAGAGAAACTGCGCTATGTTGACACCGTCATTGATCTCCTGGAGCTTCATGATCTTGAAAATGCCTTGATTGGTCGCGTGGGAGCAGGATTATCTGTTGAGCAGAGAAAACGAGTTACAATTGGAGTCGAGTTGGTGGCCAAGCCAAGTATTTTGATCTTTTTGGACGAGCCAACTTCTGGTCTTGATGGGCAAGCTGCATTTAACACACTCCGATTTCTCAAGAAGCTTGCAGCTGCCGGTCAAGCCGTGCTCTGCACGATCCACCAGCCTAGTGCTCAACTGTTTGCTCAATTCGACACGTTACTCCTCCTCGCCCGCGGAGGTAGGACGGTTTACTTCGGCGATATCGGCGAAAACGCATCCACCATCAAAGACTACTTCGAGCGCAATGGAGCGCCATGCCCCTCAGACGCCAATCCAGCAGAGCACATGATTGATGTCGTCTCTGGGAGCTTGTCCAAAGGCAAGAACTGGTCAAAAGTCTGGCTCGAATCGCCCGAACACACCAAAGTTGTCGAAGAATTGGACAGCATCATTAAAGAAGCCGCCTCGAAACCAGTTGGCACCTCTGATGATGGTTATGAATTCGCGGCCCCCATGTTCGAACAGACCCAGCTTGTGACACGTCGCATGATCACTGCACTCTATCGAAATACTGAATATGTCATGAACAAGATCATGCTCCACATCGGCACGGCACTTTTCAACGGGTTCTCATTCTGGATGATCGGAAACAGCGTCGGGGACTTGCAACTCACGCTCTTCGCCCTGTTCAATTTCGTCTTCGTTGCGCCCGGCGTGATCGCACAGCTCCAACCTCTGTTTATCGACCGCCGCGACATCTACGAGACACGAGAGAAGAAGTCCAAGATGTACCACTGGGCACCGTTCGTGACGGGACTCATCGTCTCGGAACTTCCATATCTCGTCATCTGCGCCGTCCTCTACTTCGTCTGCTTCTACTACACCGCGGGGCTGCCCAGCTCATCCGACAAAGCGGGCGGCGTCTTCTTCGTGATGCTGATGTACGAGTTCCTGTACACCGGGATCGGTCAATTCGTCGCCGCATACGCGCCGAATGCCGTCTTCGCCACACTGGTCAACCCTCTTCTCATCGGCGTCATGGCCAATTTCTGCGGCGTCCTCGTTCCCTATGCCCAGATCACCCCGGCCTGGCGCTACTGGCTATACTACTTGGATCCGTTCAGACCACTCATGACATCGTTGCTGACATTCACTCTGTTTGACAAACAAGTCCGCTGCAAAGAGAGTGAGTTCGCCGTCTTCGACACCCCGGACGGCCAGAGTTGCGGTGCATACCTCGGCGACTTCATGCAAGGAATGGGCGCCCGAATGAACCTGACGAACCCCACTGCCACCAGTCAGTGCCGCGTTTGTCAGTACTCGGTCGGCGCGGATTATCTGTACACGTTGAACATCAAGGACTATTACTACGGTTGGCGCGATGCCGCCGTTGTCGTCATCTTCGTCATCAGCAGCTATGCTTTGGTCTATGGGATGATGAAATTGCGGACTAAGACTTCCAAGAAGGCCGAGTAGATTGGTTGTTCAGGTACGCTGAGCTGGTGTGACTCCTGGCTGGGGTTGGCTCTTGGGACAGGGAAGGTGTAGGTTCTTTGCATTTCTGAGCGTTGAAGGCTTTTTGCTTTACTTGTTTGCATTGCAAGGGAGTGTTGGACTCAGGATTCAATGACCATAGATTGTATTTTTATTAGAGGATGGTTCGAGCTTTGCTCGGTTGAGCTGCGAACTATCAATAATTCATTGTTTCGAATCATAATCACACAACTTAGTAAGGTGATGTGAAGCCCCCAGAAGGCATACAGCGTGGAAACGTAACATCAAGCGCTCCTTAGAGGTCTCGAAGCAGGCTCAGTGCCCATTCGGCCCAATTCACAGGTGTACGAGATAACTTGCAAGAGTCTGCCGTAGGCAAGCGCCGCACGCTCGTACAAGGGAATGGATCCAACAACCTCCGTTATCGTGGTCCAGACCTACTCCACCAAGAGCAGGCATCCGTGACGAAAATCGATGAGGAGCTGCCTGGATGTCTAGATGCCGAGTGCGTACCTAGGCAGATGCGATTCCTCAAAATACGCCATGCTGAACAGGCCATTACTCACATAGAAATCCCGGAATAGAGATTTCTCGAACCCCTTCCACCCCCATCTTTCTCCTTTGCTTGTCTTTACCCGACAAAACGACCTAGAATAGCATTGACGACCATCGAAGAGGCCGCGCAATGTTCAAGTACGCGCTGGGTTAAGTTTCAGTTAAGATTACAGTCGTACCGCCGTTCTTGCGAGGAATTGCCCGTGGTCAATGGCGGGGGCCAAAGCGCATTTGAAACATGACCTCAGGAAATCATCCAAGCTTATGAGAGAAAGGTGCAGGATATCGGGGGAAGTACAACGCCATAAGCGCTCTGCTGGATGGGTGATGGATAAGACCCACCACACCTTGCTGAATCTGATCTCGCACGGCGGCACCATGCGATTCAGCCTCAGGCCGAACTAGCTGTGGCTGTGTCCATGGTGTGGCACGTCATGATCAGGATGGTGGGGTGTTTCGTTCAAGTAGCACCCATACAAAGCAGTACCGTATCAATGGTTGATGTCGTATTTCTAGTTGCACTTCACCGAAAGTATCGATGACGGAATGCGTCAAAAGGTGTACTTGTAGCCACAGGTAGATGTCAGGGTCATACTGGTGAGACTTAGAGGCAAGACTAGAGGAGATGACAAGCAAGAGGACTGTCGAAGGCCGTTCAACTTGAAGTCTAAACGAAAAAGCCTTTGACTGGAAACATTATTATTATTGACTGCACCAGAAACCGCCTTTTCCACGTGACGGTCAAGAAGTGATAGTCATGGCAGGTGCGGGACGATGCGGGCGACGGCCACACTTGAGGGAACGAACGGAAGCACCCGAGAAAGCCAAGTCAAGATCAATGATGACTGATCATCTTTCCGACTACATGAAATTCCCCAGGCAGCATCAGCCCCGTCGCAGGCTCCAGAACCATGTTCAGCTGGAGAATTCAATTCGGCCCCAATTGAGGTGTGGGAGTGAGTCAGTTGCGTGTCCGAGTCCTACCGATGATGAACGAGAACGAAGAGCGAGCTTGTGGGTTGTGTTTCTTCCGAAAAATTGATTGTCTGAGATAGCTACTTGTAAGCTAAGTAATTGCCCCTTTGGTAAGATCCGAAATCCCAATCCCCATTGCTTAGAAACACACCCCTTCAAATCCCAGCCTCGCAATGTAAGCCTGCGAGCGGTCCGTTTTGGTTTTTGCCTCATGAGGCCCAAGTCAGATCTGCATCGCATTCACATATCCACAATCGATTTTTTGGTTTGGTGCCACAAATGACCAAAATCCCTCCTCAGGGCTGGTCTTACATGCAACTCAACTAAAATCCTGCGTCGCCGCCGAGGCGGACAGTAATATGTGTGACCAAGCTCCATTCAGCCTTGCATGTTGCTCTTTCTCAACTTCGACGCAGTCAGCTGCGGAGGACAGAAGAACAATCAAATGCAAGGCCACCCAGGCAATTGAGAAACCCGCCAAAATCCTCCCATTGAAAACCGAATAGTAATCCACAGTTCAGACCTTCGAAGATAATGGTTTATCCGCCACTTTTCCTCATCTGCTGCTTGAAGCCGGAGCTCGGCTGGATTGTTTCGAGTCGAGCTCTCCTTTCGTAATCGGTTCATCGCTGGACCATCCAGTTGGAGTGAACGTCGCTCCAGGCTTGTTGGGACTGTTACAAGCCGGGCATCGCTGTCGATGCTGGACCATCCACTTGACAGCTGTGCTGTTGGTCACTGTCTCTGTGTCTGTTTTCTGTTTGTGTTGATAACGTTGATTCATTAACGGTCACTGTAGACCCCTGAAAATGTCATAAACCCTTTGCTGAACTCCCCTAAAACGCCGGACCCTTCACCTTCGGGAAATGTATCGCTGTCTGGATGGTTCGGCAACGATCACAATGGGTTCCTGTTCGTACTGTCGTTGCCGTCTCTTCTCCTCGTCCTTGTAGTAAAGGCTTCCTCTGCGCTCACGGCGTTCATCTCTGTATCGATCCTCGTCTCGGTCGGGGTAGTAGACTTTCTCCTTTCTGATCTTGTTGTGGGAAGCAGGGATGATCTCGACGATCTTCACATCTCCTTGGCGGTACCTTACCTCTTCGGGATATTGCTTCTTTGGTGAGTGTGAAGGTCGAGATTCCGGAATGTTCTCAATGGGTGTCAAGATGAGAGGCTTCTTGCTGAGAACGAAGCCGCGATCGAATGCCTTGACGAGGAGGCTGATGACTTCCATACCCATTGGGATCTGGATCTGGATGCGCTCTCCACGTTTGCGATCCACGACAGAGAAGGGCTTGCCTCCTTTAGCATAGATGTAATTCGCGACATCTTTAGCTAGAGCATTACCCCGGGAACATAGAGGCTGATCTTGCTTGAAGGCAGCATAAGGATCGTTGCAAGCAACACATTTGGCAGCGTGCTTAGCAAAGTGAAACATGACCGAGTTTTCGTCGTCTCTAGGTTGACGAATGGACTGCACCTCCTTGGCAAAGCCAACACGTTGAGTGGTGTTACCTCGCGCCATGATGACCGGTGTCGATGGTGATCTGCTAAGTGGTGTTGAAGTGTTGGAGTGAACAAGTGGTGGTGTGGATGGAGGCGTAGGTACTCGTGCCACTGGCGCACGAGTGACAGTGATATACTCGTAAACTTGTTCAGCTATATGAGCATTATATGCTCCCTTGGGATAGATATAGTAAGTGGTGGTGCGTTGAGGCGACAGCGTGACGGTGGTAGCGAGTATTGGGAAAGACTTTGTTTGCAGCCTGGCTTGCTGCTTGGGCGAGGAGGTCACAACGAATGTTGCTCCAGTGTTTAGAGCTGTTGTAGTATATCAGTTGTAGTAGGTGTATATCAAATAAGAAAAGAATGAAAGTCGATGGATAGAGGGGATTGGGAGGAGATATAGACCTGAGGCCAAGAAGGCCAATGGTAAGTACTCAAGTATCTCTGTCAGGTTAGCACGAATGTGCGATTGGGATGGAGGGACAGAAGTGCATCTTTTGGTTGGATGCCTGGGGACCACCCTGGTAATCCGCCATACCAGAAGAGGGTGTGGACACCAGGCTGCCACAGGCATCAGGATGTGGTCAGGTCATTGGACTCTGTCCCAAGAAGGACAAGAAGGCATGACTGTTGGGGAGGGTGAGTCACGGACAGGATTGACTGGTGGATAGAAGACAGGCACCGCCCGTTTGTTCACAGAGGTGGCCCGCACTTGACCAGGAGGGTGGGTTTGAAAACACCGGCAAAAGGGCCAAAAATCACAGAATGATGTCGACAACGGTTGGGAAGCTTGAGTGAAACGATCTGGAGGGGTATCTTACCAAGTGGCAGTGTTTGTCTGAGAGCTCGTGTGAGGAAACGGGGAGCTGTTGCTTCGCCTCATTCGAGGGAAAGTGTGTGACTTGGGGTCGTGGCCTATTGGAAATGCTCATGGGCGGCCACATTCATTGCAGTGCCCCCGAGGCCCCGGGCCCTTGGGCCACAAATGCCGGGCTGAGTAGGGTGCCACTGGCACTTGGATCATGTTACCACCCGTGTCTAACCACCTAGGAGGTAGTTACCCCTCACCCACCACTTAAGCATCATCTCCGGGCTTCGAGTACCTGGGAACCACCCAAACTCCCAGCTCCTAACCATCAACATGGGAGTCCCTCACCGGTCGACTAACGAATGCACCTGCATCAACCTGCATTTGTTCAACCACTCTTAACCAGTCGATACGCGTCTGTCCACCACTAAGCTGCAGCCTACAGTCATAACGGAGTCCCCCAAACCTGCTGAGAATCAAACAAGAGTCACCACAAAAGTTCCCCCTACACAGACTCCCCTTTCCTAATGATTATCTTCCAGTTTTCGTCTGCATCATGGTCTTGTGATTACCGTGTCATCCTTGGTTGCAACTTGCACTTCTTGCTTGTCTTTGCCCCTCGTTGCCAAAGGTAAAGCCCCGCTTTGGTCATCGAGCTCAACCTGGAGTCTGCCTGACAAGACCAACCCCAGTCTGCTACCCAGGAGGTGCTAGGCCTTTTTGGTGTTCTTCTGCACTGCCACTTGCGCCCCGACCACTTTTCGTTTGTTCGGCAGGAACCTTGTTGCCGAATAGCCCTTAATCGATTGATGCCATGTCCCTTCCAATTCCCTTCTGCATGGTCCCTTTCCTATCTGAGGATGGCCCTCAAAGTCTCTGCACGAATCAATACGCAAAAGGTCTTTCAAAAGTCCTCATGGCTTCAGCCCTGTCACCAGTGTTAGTACTGATCCTTCTGACGATTAAGCTTCTCGTGCAACTTCCCAATGCAACTGTCACTTTGGTTCTACTACTCCGTACTGTACATTCATCTTTCATCCATCGTCATCATCCGTATTTCGTCTCTTCCATCACCTTTATTCCGTGGCCCCCAATTGCATGTCCACGCGTCAATTGATTGTGAAATCAACTCAACCACGCGGCTCTGTTCTCAGAGGAATGCGCCTTACTCGCACGAACTCCGAAGTGGGATCGTTGACTGGACTTCCCTGTTCCGGCCTGGACAGAAAGCATTTTGAGGTTTGCCCGACTACCCGACCCCGTCAACCCATTCTCTGGTATATTGGCTGTCGGATGATTATTTCCCCTGCGTAACCGAGCAGCGCCTTACGGTACAACACAACGATCGGGCACTCGGATACCTTTGGAATCGTTCTAGAGGACAGTGGAGTAAGGCCTGCCTGATGTTCTGCATCTGCAGCACGCCCTCTTCTGCCTGGATTGCACTTGGTTGAAGTAAGTGCGGCACTTGTCATCCGGTGGTCCCTTGCATCACTCGTTCTCGCGGCTCCTACAACAAGGCTATGTAGGTTTACTGAGCCGACACACTGACCAAGTCAAGTCAACATGACACAACTGTTCCCAGACAGCAGGGGCCAAGGGTCGATCATGTGCACGGACTTTCCTACTGTACATTGTTCACAGCATGATCAAATGGATCAGGTTTGTGATTCTCAAGAACACGGTATATGGGTGTGTAATAAGCTCGCTCGTACTACTACCCGTATGTACAGTCTTTTGTCCATGCCGAGGACATCTCCGTTGCCCGGCGAGCACGCACATCCTGATCCTCATCCTCCTGGACTACCTGGTTATTATCGTTCCACACTTCACAAGGCAAACTCGTTGACTGGAGCATCCCAGAGAAATCAATACAAATATGCCTGAAAACGGTGTCGCAAAAGGATGCCTTTGCCTCCCAGCTAGAGCACCTGCACAACATCTATCGAACAAATCTCAATCACTGCTCACCTTAATCACAATTTTCCCCTTTGCCCTATGAGTTTTCAGTTTCGCAAAGGCCAGTGCCCCGTCCTCCATGGATAGGACAGTGCCGTCATGGAACACTGCCTTTACTCTCCTCTGCTGCAGTAACTTCCCGATTTCCTCCATCTGCTCTGTGTTGTTTTTCGTTGTCAACATTTCAAATTTTCTTTTGCCACCGCCTAAGAAACCGGGCCAAGTCAACTTCATCACGAGATCAAGAACCGGACCCAGCCCTGGCTCAGCTCCAATCTGAATGTATCGGGCACCCGGTGACAGATAATGATGACTCTGCCAGTACAACTCTCCTTGACCGCCAACATTGTCCACTGCCAGGGCAAACTTTTGCCCATCTGCACCTGACACCGATTTTTTCAAGGCGTCGACGATATTCGTGCTCCTGTAGTCGATCACCTCGTCCGCTCCAAGGCTTTTGCAGAACTCGGCATTCGTTCCGGAGCAGCTGGTGGTGACGTGGCATCCCAACGCTTTCGCGATCTGGATTCCCCAGACACCAGTGCCTCCACTCCCTCCGTTAATGAACACTCTGTCCCCTCTTCCTGCACGCACAAAAGGTTGGATGCATTGATAGGCAGTCAGCCCAGCGACTCCAACGCCAGCGGCGTCCACCGGATCCACGCCCTCCGGAACATGGGCTATGTCCGCACTTTTGAGGACGACATATTCCTCGAAAGTGCCATGAGGGACAGGTTGACTTAACCTCCCAAACACAAGCTGTCCTTCTCTGAAACCATTTCTCTGTCCAGGCGCCACTGCTGGAGTAGCTGCTGCTATCACTCCAGCGAAATCGGAGCCTGGAGTTGCATTCTTTCGATATAGGAACCGGCCTATGATTGGCAATTCCGCTAATTTGTAGTCGACGGGGTTGATTCCCGCGGCGATAATCTTGACCAACACTTTATCGTGGCCCAGTGCATGTGCATCATGCGCTGGAACCGGTGCCGATTCATTCAGCCTCAGATTCTTCTCGATCCCACCTCGTGTCGTTGAAAATTGCCATGCGCGCATCGTGGTGGGGATGCCCGCAGCAGATATGCCACGGATAGTTTGTGTTGCCATGACGTGCCCTTGCGCCTAGCAAATACTGAGTCGTTGGTCGTGATCGGGTTCCAGCTTTTGGTGCCTAAGTTCGACAAGTTCGTATTCTATGTGGTAAATATTTGACAGAGATACCAATCGAAGAATATTTGCTTATGCTGTGTTTGATAGACTCCTTACAGAGGTGTGTAATAATAATAAGTTCTGGCGTTCAGGTCGTTGATGTCAATGCCGCGATGATTAAAGTGGGTCGGAAGCCGGGAGATGATATCCGTGAGATTTTTCCGACCAGCCGGGCTGCGTTGGGTGATTTGGATCTCGGAGAGACGTTGGTACCGAACCGTCTTTAGGTCAGCAATGTAGGTGAATGTGTTCCGCCGTATTATTGGCACTGTGGTCGTATTTGCTCCACAGTATGATCAATGGCTATCACATTTGTTTTGATGATGCATGTATGGATTTGCCCTCATTATCAACATCGAGAAGCAGTTCTTGTATATATCCGGCATGAGGCTTTTGCCGCACTGAAAATATGGGCTGATACTCACGCAAGGAAGACCTTGACAATGGCACCTACTGGTGGTTTCCCTCGCTGCCTGTGACGTGGTCTGATGGGAAAGCTTGTATTCTAGCTTTGGAAACAAAGACTTCATCATACGATCTATGAACCCGGCGATGCACATGGGAATTGAACTCAACTTTTTATCATGCACCTTTGGCTCGCCTGATCTGGCACTCAAGTCTTTCGAGCTAACATCACACCATTCGAAATTTCTGAATAGTGGGACTATTACGGAAAAGGCTGTTTCTCATGGGCTCTTTACCACAGCAAAATGGGCTTCACAGTCGCACCGTTCTCCATATCTCGGATGGCATTTTCAAAGTCCTCAAACTATGTCAAGATTTCTCTCAGCAGGTAGGCTTACATTGTGCGATCCATAGTGGTCCGGAAACTTACCTGGTAAAACCTGACCAGTTTGTCGATCGGGAAATCTCCTTGCCGGTGCCACTGGATCATCCTGGGGATATACTAGGAGCACGCGTCAATGATGGGAACACCATGGAATCAAGGATTCAACTTACGTCGATCGGCCGGACTGCTCCTTCCATACTCCCCAGGAGTTGTTTGCCTGACTTTTAGAAATGTCAGAATTTGTATGTGCATTTACAAGCCATCACAGTTCACTTACCACCATAAAGGACACCAACGGCACTTGAAGCGATGCGTCCATAGGAGCGACTCCAAGAAGAATCATTTTCCCTTGGTTCGCCGTGAAATCCATTCCCTGCTGGATCAATGGGACAACGCCAGTGGCATCAACTGTGATGGTTGTGCCACTTTGCTCCGTGAGGTCGCGAACGGCTTTCTCAAGGCTCTCTTTGATCACGGAGGTATTGATTGTATGTGTTGCTCCAAGTTTCTTGGACAGCTCTAGGCGAGCTTCAACCCGGTCAATACCAATTATGGTTTGACAGCCTCTGTGTTTGGCGGCCTTGATATTCCTCAGTACCATTATCAAAGCACCATTAGCAGCCGTTTCAACGTACCATAATTGCAGCTAGCCCGACACCTCCGAGCCCGATAATGGCGACTTTATCCGATGCACGAGCTGCACCAAGCTCGGTGATTGTGCCAGCACCCGTCTAGGCCGAGCTACAAGTCAGCTTCATATTTCTCTTCACCTGGTCAGATCTCTTCTCCTCATTGCACAAACCTGAATGCCGCACCCAAGCGGAGCATAAAGCTTCAAATCATCCTCATTTTCAATCAGCTCAGTCACCTTAACCAGGGATGTTTCTTGAACCCTGGTCAAATTCGAGAAGCTGGATTGCCCAAAGAATGAGCCTCCAACGGTACCATTTTCTATGCCTGGCAAGTTGAATGCTTTTGTATCACCCGAGAAATTCAGTGGTGTAAATCGCGAACAGTACCCAGGAGCGCCGTGTTTGCAGTTATGACATTCTCGACAGAAGGCGAAAGAAAGGAGAACTGCGTCGCCAGGCTTGACTGTTGACACACTGCTTCCAATCTTCTCGACATAGCCAGCCCCTTGATGGGCCAGTAACCATTGATTAGCAGGTTATTAACTTCCCTCGCACTCGGAATTCATCGAACGTACCTTCGTGCCCAAGCACTCTTGGATAGGGAGGGGTTGGAAATCCCACGCCATCTGGATGAGAACCACACCCAAGGTCTGTGTGGCAGACGCCGCTGGCCACAATTCTCACGAGGACTTCATCTGCTTCTGGATAATCGACCTCGACATTCTCAATCCCCCACTGTCGCTTACCGTTTTGCGGGCTGCGGCACACGATGGCTCTGGTTGCCATGGCCATGGGCGCCATGTTGATTGAGTGAGAATGTGACAATATCAAGCTCCCTGGTAACGATAGGCCAGAATAAAGCACAATGCAATGGCAATTTCAAGGTTTCACGGTTTCTGATACTATCGCGCGCGCCCGAGTGAACAATTTCAACTGTCTCCCTTAAATGAGAGTCGAAGGCAGAATATACGCACGTTGGAACTCGCCTTCCCACGTCCTCAATCCCGGACTGAAGATGCTGTCCCGTTGAATCGCAGTTGGGTTGACAGAATCAGGACCATCAAGCTGGGGTGAAGTCAGCTAGACGCGGATCAATACCGAGCAATAGGCAGATGTTCCTTATAGACTAACAAGCCTGACTGCTGCTAGCCTTCCTCTCATTGCCAAGACAATATCAAGGCGGCCCGGCATCCGTGCCCGACTTGAATATCAGATCACCAACCGTCTAGGATGGGCTCGCAACGCAGATCTGTGATGAGTGAGTGCCAAGCTAGACACAGGATTCCGCGAAGTCAAACATCGAATGAAGCCCGAGATGTGCCCCAATGGACCCAAATAAGAGCCCGCAAATCCCGACGGCGCCGAAGTCGTCATTTATCATGTGTTTGTCCCAGCGGCCATTAGAGTCAAGCACAGGTTGAGAAATGACGGTGAGGATCCCTTCGAAACTTCATATTAAAATAGTCCTACCTCGCTGATGTGAGTGCAACTAACTCTTGAATCGCTCCATTTCGAAAACAACGCTCAAATTTGCTGCTTCCTCCGAATGCCTGCATGAAATTCCGCAAAACAAACCATACCAAATTATGATTACCTCCTTCGCATCCGCTCATCCAGGAACCTCCGTGCTTCTTGATCTTGAGGAAGCCAGAGCTAAGTCTTGGCGAGATGTTCCGCACACTCTTCAATCCACTTGGCGACCTCCGGTTTAGTCAAGTACGCCTCGGTGTAAGTCACCAAAGCGGGCATGCTCAAGTAGTCAGCGAGACCGACCGACTGGGCGCCAGTCGAGGCATTGAAGCGATAATACAGGGTCTGCCTGTCGGGATTGCCCATGGCGACCCTCCGTCGATTGTACTGCTGCATGTTGCGCTCGAAGTCGCGATGCTTGGCCTCGGTGTTGGTCGCGAACGCGACCGTCTTGGACAGAGTGTTGAAGAACTTGGCGATGAAGTTCTTGTCCTTGGTTTTTTTGTACTCCGGGTGCGTGGTCCCCAGGCTGACGATGCATTTGATGCGCGGGGAGCGGTCGGCCGCGCCTACCAGGTCGTACCGGTTGTCCCACGCCTGGTCGATCGGGTTGTTGTTGAGGAGGCCGCCATCCCAGAAGTTCAGGCCCTGGATCGTCGCTTGTTTGAGGTAGGTTGGGGCGGCGGATGTTGCCCGCGCTGCTTCTTTGATCGTTATCCTGCTGAAGTCCAGATTCGTGGCACCCGTCGAGATGGGCAGAGGTGCGAATGACGGCGCGTAGTTGCGCAGGAGAATACTCTCGCCTCGATCTGCGAGCGTGGCGCACATGAACCTGATAAATTCTAAGCAGTTTTCGACTTGAGCGGGGGTACCTATGTTGCGCAAAACTTACATTTGCCCTTTGCTCTCCTTGACGAGGAAAGCCTCCCCTTTCCTGGCCTCGTCATCCTTATCCAACGGAAATTTACTCACCACGGTGTCTATCGCCTGTTCTAATGGTTTGTGTGAATACTGCTCAAGACCAATCACGGCTTTGACATTGAGCCAGCGATTTCCGAGCCAGACGCCCAAGCGGCCAAGTTTGTGAAGCGAAATGATACCGAATTTGGGCTGGAAGACAAGTTTTGCGAGATCGTTGTAAGAGGCAATGACATCGGTGCAGTTCATCTCCAGACGAAACAACATGAGGGCAATCAACCCGCCTGTGCTGGTGCCCGCACCGAGATCGAAATAGTCGACGGGTTTGCGGTCGGCGGGATCGGCTGGCCTGCCCTTTTCTACCCTTGCTGCATTCTCGATTTCTTTGACTCGGGTCATGAGTCGCTGGAGGATGACCATGCTGGATATTCCTCTAATACCGCCGCCGTCGAGTGAAAGGACATTGTAGATGTCCGGTGAGCCTGATTTGGGTACAGGGATTTTTGTGGTAGTATCTTGAGTTGGTGTCTTAGCTAGTGGGGGTGCATCTTGAGATGCCATGTTGTTTCGTGTAATTTGGTGTCAGTAAATCGGTTGTGTGGATTCTCAAGATATCAACAGATGGAGGCGAGGTCGATCCTCATATATGTCTCGAGGTGAATACCTTGTGCTGGCTGACTGCTTCCCCAGCCTACCTGATAAACACATTGCAGGCATATTGAGACACATGGCTTGAGCTTTTCAGCCGAAGGCTGAACGCTCGTGTAACCAAAGCGAGTTGACAGCCACGGAATGCAAATGCGAAGAGGCCGAGGTCAGGTGCGTCGCAAGAATCGAAGACTGCAAGATCCCGTATTGGCGAGTGGACAGAGCTCCCTTGCGGCACAAGGCTGAGAGCAGTAAGCATGGGCTGGGGAGATTATCCTCCAATAAGGTGGAGCAGTCTGTTACTTTGAGTGGGTGTGCGACCTGCCAGTTTTCTCGTGTTCAGGACTGGGCATTTCGCGTTGGGGTGCACACCTCGCCTATTCGTCAACACCCACACGACCGTTTGCGTGTTTTCTTAATGGCTGACACAGGGATTATTGACAGGCCGTCAGGCAGGCTTTGATGCCTTCTGGGTGAAGGTGTCTTGACATCGTCTTTCCAGCTCTGCCACCTTCAGCTGAGGGAAGTCAACGCCGTGGAGTTGATTAACGTATGGACGATGCCGAAGAATATCTTTCAATGCCATTGCCTAACCAACTAGTCCTCCAGGAATGATCCGTCCTTTGACACCGGGCTCGTGTTGCAAACATCCCCTTGCTATTCGTATATCCGTTCTTTACCGGCCCTTCAGGAACGCCCCGCCCATCTGACCGTTGAGCAACGCCTCCACATTGACACTTCCCCCAGCCAAATATCTTTCGCTGACGCCCAGATTGACTCTTTTGTTCAACATGCCATCCAACTCAGACCGCCACTGGTGAACCTGATCTTTACTCACGGCACTCTTCTCCTTCTCCTTTTGAGCCTTCCCACCTCCCCTGCCGCGCCTGCCCTTCTGGCCGAGACTCTCAAACTCCTCCGAATCATAATCGACACCGAGTTCCTCAGCGGCAGTTTTAAGCCATTCGTCCTTGGACGACGTCTTCTCGCGGGCGAGCGATGCATCCGTGATCTTCTGTGCGAGGCTCAAGCGGGGCTCGAGTCTCGTGACGACTCGCCTGTCGGTCTCCAAAATGTCCGGTGCCTTGTTACTCTTGTGCACTTCGAGAATCAGCCTCGTCACACCCGCGACCTCATCCGGAGAACATAGCAATATCGACCGGCCAGAACTCTGGGCCCGAGCAGTTCTTCCGGACCGGTGAACGTACATGTCAGCGGTGCGAGGCACATGATAGTGGATGATGAGTTCGATGCCTTTGATGTCGAGCCCTCGTGCCGCTACGTCCGTTGCGACAAGAATAGACCTCTGAGCGGCGAATCTTTCGAGCGAGCGTAGCCGAGACTTTTGTGGCATGGTCGAATGCAGTGCCACTGCTGGCTGTTTTAGGTTTTGAAGCAGTTGATTCAATCGCTTTACGGCCGAGATACTGTTGGTGAAGACGATGGTCTTCGAGGTCGGGTTTTGCATGAGTAGAGTGTAGAGGTAGAGATCTTTTTTCATCGCTCCGCATTCCACGATAGACTCATCTAGTGCCGCAGCCATTTGTGAGGTTGGGTTGACATCGATGAATGTGGGTTTTGATTCTCGAAAGTTGAGCTTTTTCAGGAGGTACTCCATGGACTGCTGATTGCTGAGAAGCTCGCTTTTAGGCAGATTACCGTGTTTGCGTTTGGCTGTGAGTTTCTGTTGGAGATCTTTCTGGAACGTTGCTGAGAAGACAAGCGTCTGGCGCGTCGATTTGGAAGGCTGCCCTAATTCCCCCGGCTGATCCTCATCGAAAACTTCTCGATCCAATGCGTCCAGGATATCCTGAACCTCCTTGAAATGCCCTTCACTGAGGAGTCGATCGGCTTCGTCGACGACCAAGAATTTGATCTGCTTGAGCCGGTCCATCAACTCGACAGTGTTTTCAGCTGCGGCGGAGTTGTCATTCATAACCTCCCAGAGACGGCCGGGAGTGGCCACTACAATGTCCGCATGTGCCAGTTGCCGCTGCTGTTTGTAGATCGAAAGCCCTCCAGTCACAGCGGAGATTCGGGGCCGCTTCTCCAGCCCGATACATAATGCGTTGAGATGGGTGTTCAATTGCAGCGCCAGTTCGCGTGTCGGGGCAAGTATGAGTGCCAGAATTGGTGCTGCGTCATCTACTTCTGAGACTGAACTCTGGTTCTGCAGCCAGTGCTCAAAGATTGGAACCCCAAAAGCTAGTGTCTTCCCGGATCCAGTTACTGCTTTACCAATGACATCGTGGCCCTGTCGAATGGCAGGGATCGCAGCAGCCTGGATCGGTGTTGGGCTTGAGAATTTCAGCCGTGCGAGCTGCAATAACGTCGTGGGTGACATGTCGAGTTCTTTCCATGCTGAAACATTCACGTGTGAGTCGTCAACCGTATCAGAAAGAAGGCTGAAATGAACGTCATCGTCGATATCATCTTCTTCCTCTGCGTTTGGTGGAGGCGTTGATTTCGAATTATCATTCTCGGATTTTGTGACATTTGCGGATTTCGTGGACTTGACGGACTTTGTGGATTTCTTCTTCGCGTCGGTTTTTTGATCATTGGAAGGGGTCTCATCCTCAAAGCCGGACCATTGGTCGTCGAATTCTTCCGTGTTCTTATTCTCATCCACCAGCTCATTTGATTTGGGCTGGAACATCACCTGATTGTTGGACTCGTCCCGAACCACTTCCACATCATCAATCTCCTCTAAGCCATAGAATCCCTCGGCATCATCCATTCGCCCTGGCAAGGTAACGGATTTCCATTTGAGTGCATCGCCTCTGACTTTGATTTTGGGAGCGGTCGATGAAATTGATTTCGTGATTGAACCTGACAGTTTCTGTTTCTTCTTAGGCTTCTGCTCCGGGCCAACTGCCTTTCTTTTCGAGACAATTTTAGACATCTTGGTCTCTGCCCCCTTCAGATCTGTATCACAAGAGGATTGTAGTGCCTTTTTTCCTAAGGGGTGGATGCTGATAATTGGGAAAAAAGTTCATCAGCACTGGCAGCAAGAGCCTTGTAAGGCTTGGCATCTGTAAAATTGCAATTGTCAGCGTCACGTGAACAGTCACGTGATTGGACGGTTCAGAAAGCCAAGCCGAGCTCACGTGCGGCTCGCCCTGCACGCGCCGACCCGCTCAACCTCACTCAACCAGGAATCCCCTGCGGTAAACACCCAACACCACAAAATACAGCAGGTCTGTCTAGCACTCATATGACAATATAAATAGCCGTTACAGACGTGATTTACGTGCTCGAAGGGGCTATTCATATAAAATACAGCCGTCCTAGCTACGTCCGATGTTGGCCTTAGGGCCTCTATTACTCATCGAAGGGTAATTTACTTGAAGATTTGGAGCTTGACTCCACTGCCATGCTAACCTGACAACACCCAAGTCATCGACTCAAAATTAGAGCTTGTCATCTTTCCGGAACTATTTCACAGCTATCCCAAATGTTGGCATTGCGCGTCAGATCCTCGGCGAATGAACATAACTACGTTGAACGCATCCACTCAATTTTATTCGCAGTTTAGGGGGTGTCACAGTAACTCCGTTAACTTATTCAACAAGCTGTCGTGTTGCTGAAACAGGTATCAACAAGTCGTGGCTACCAAAAGTGGTTGCACAAATCTATATTCTGCGGACCAACTCCACAATATGAATTTTGTCAAGCTCTCGCTGCAGGTGTAGACAGCCTTAGGACCATCAATGTAAACTTGTCCCTTATGATACCTATGGACCAAATGACTGCTAGCATGTTATCAATGGCGACCGTTGTTAGGACCATTGCCGCCGCCGATTGCCTTATAGCAACCCGACATAGATGACTGGACCGGAACACAAATCACCGATGCTATGCTGGTGGTAAGGAGTATCTCATTGACGTGGGGTGGGCGATCGGATTTTACACAGCTGGCGCAGCATGCCCAGGGATTTCACAACTTGTCAAAGCTGGGCAGGAAAAGTTTCGACTGTACTCGTAGATATGCCCACATCGTCAGCTGTATAGCCATACCTAGACAAGCTCCAATGATACCACTCTTGAGATGGTCGTTTCCGGATTCAGCGAGCTCCAAGCAAATAGATTTGGGATAGGCGTGAACCCAGGCGCGCCCTTCTCTTGGTCACTTCCCAGCTAGCCACCAAAACGAACTGCCTATTTGGGGCAGCCTAGGCCGCCAGAAACACAAGTGTAAATCTGGTTCCAGGCCTATCCGTACCTTACCTAGGTAGGTTGGTATGGATGTTTGTAGGTACCTAAGTACATAAGGTTCAGACTGGTGACCGATAGCATCAATGCAGGGAAGCCTTGGCAATGTACGTAAAACACAGAAGCACTTCGAGAAGTGACATATCGCAACACTGCGGGCGAGTATTGGCGTTCTAGATTGGGTCGCCATCACTCTTTGCGCTCGAATCTCAATCTTACTTAGGTAAAGTGACCATTGGTTGTCTAACTAGATGTGCGTAGCCACAAACTTTCAGATATCAACTAGCCCCGTTTCAGTAATATTCCCTCGTGGTAATGGCAATACTTTCCGTGTGTAATGCCTAGTTTTGTAACTGACCGATACCTCGTCATTCGAAAAGGCCCAGAACAACATAGTACCAAAATCATAGTTCTTTCTCCTGAAGTCAAACTCTTCGGCTGCAGCTGATATGCATTGCAAAATGCCGAAGAGGGGACAGAGTCTGACCAAGGTACATTCGCTCTACACATGAGGAGAGCCCATTCGATATGACCGGAAATCTGCGAAGCCCTGCCGTCTACCATTTTCACGCCGAGCTTGGTAGTGCGGTGAAATCTGCTGCTGGGCTGAATGCACTCCGCCATCAGTGTGAAGAGAAGGGCAATTACATTGCCGTACCTTGGTTTTTGTGTGGCCCTGGGTATCTGACAGTGCCATACCAAGATTCGTGACTGCTTGAGCAGTCATCGAGTATTTGTTGCCCGTAGATTGGTTTTCAACTGTGCTGCGTTCTCCAAGCTGGGGCATGATGGCCAGCAAATCTCATAGAACTGTCAATGAGGACGTCGGGCAGGGTTCGCAGCCAAAACATTGGGCGGCCAAAGCGTCTCATTCTTCCCAGACTGCTCAAGAAGTAGCTCAAGGAGAGATTAAACAGAATGAAGGTCCATCTTATGCTCCCCCATCGTTCAAGACTTCCTTTACCACTTCTGGAAAAGGCGGTGGTGCCGTCAGGTCGCTTGGTGAGAAGATGGAAGTGAATGCTGCAAATGGTACCCTCTCATTTTCGATACCCGTTGCGACATCCGATTCTCGGTCAGGATTTCAACCTCAGTTGAATTTGTCTTACGACTCTGGCCATGGGAATGGTCCGTTTGGTTTTGGCTGGGGTATATCTATCCCATCAATATCACGCAACACGAGCCGGGGAATTCCAGTCTATGATGACGAGAAAGACGTCTTTATGCTCACTGGCCTGGAAGATCTAGTCCCGCTGTTGGATGGGACGAAACTGGTGGAGACGGTGGTTGAAGAGTATTGTGTTCGACAATATCAGCCACGAGTAATCTCGGATTCCATTCGCATTGAACGCTGGTCCAAACTTGCGGATCCTGAAGATATACACTGGAGGACAATCTCCAATCAAAACACCACAACCATCTATGGCTGGACGGATAATTCGAGGCTTGTAGACCGCTCCGAAAGACCCGCCCGTATATTCTCATGGCTGTCCTGCTATTCGTACGACTCATATGGAAATGCAATGTCGTATGAGTACAAGTCTGAGAATGAGGCTGGTGTTGAAGCCAATGAGCTGCTTTGGGAGAAGAATCGCTCTTCCCAGGTACGCGAGCGACAGAGATACATCAAGTCAATCAAGTATGGGAACAAATATCCGGCTCGAGACCCAGCGGATTGGGATGTGGTCATACAACCCACAGATTGGATGTTTGAGCTGATTTTTGATTATGGAGAGCATCACGCAACGTTCCCAACAACGCAAGAGGAACATCCCTGGCCTGTGCGCAAAGATCAGTTTTCGAGATGTAATATTGGGTTCGAAGTCAGAAGCTACCGTTTATGCCGCAGATTCCTTATGTTTCATCATTTTCCAGATGAATTAAAGCGAAGCGACAGTTTGGTATCTTCGACTAATCTGATATACGACGAGGAAGATCGTGGAACTTTTCTCAGCTCTGTCACTATTTGTGGTCATTCTGCCCCTGAAACAGGCGGACAGGCTGCCTATATCACCGAGATGATGCCACCGATCAAGTTCGAATACAGCACGGTACCATCACCAGAAGAGCTCGAACTTTGCTCTGCCCAGACTGCTAATGTTTTGTCTCTGCCCAACGCTGGTTCGATCCTAGCAGAATGGGTAGACCTGAATGGTGATGGAATTCCCGGAATTCTTAGCAGACAACGAGACGGAAGGATGTGGTATCAGCGAAACTGTAGCACGCTCAAAAAAAGCCCAGAGTTGGAGTTCGGCGCTGCAGAGTGCCTGACTCAACAACCAAGCTTCGGGTACAAGGAGGGCTACTATCTGGAAGATCTCGGTGGCACAGGTCAACTTGATCTGGTCTGTCTTGATGCACAGGGCAGATTACATGGATATTTTGAACGAGTCAACTCTGAGTTGTGGGCTGACTTCGCAACATTCACGACGATACCAACTGAGCCAATGATCAGTAAAGGTCTCGTTCGCACTGATTTGACTGGCAACGGACTACTAGATGTGCTGCGGCCTAGTGATGCTCACCATACGTCGTGGCAACCGTGCCTGGGAAAAGCCGGGTTTAGTGACTATCGCATGGTGCAATTCACAGGAAAAGATATGCCACGAATGACGAGCAACGATAACGTCGCAGTATATCATGCCGACATGACTGGAGATGGATTATCAGATCTGGTCTTGATAAGCAATGGTGATGTAGCTTACTGGGCCAATCTTGGGCACGGGGTGTTTGGTGCCAAAACTCAAATGGCTCATGCTCCGGTCTTTGACAATGATTTCAGCTTCAATCTTTCTCGTGTCAGACTTATTGATGTCGATGGCTCTGGGACGGCTGATCTCTTATATCTTTTGCCAGAAGGTGGAGCGAATCTATACTACAATCTTTCTGGCAACTCCTGGAGCTCTGCTGTTCTCATATCATCGTTTCCACAGATTGATCAAACCTCATCAGTGTTTGCACTTGACCTGTTGGGAACTGGGACGGCATGTTTATGCTGGAGCCAGCCCTCAATGTCAGCAGGAGGCCAAACAGCACTTCGATACCTCGATCTGATGGGCTCTCAGAAGCCACACCTTCTTGTCAAAGTGTGTAACGAAATGGGAAGTACGACCGAAGCTTCATATACGCCGTCAACAGACTTCTGCCTGCAAGATGAAGCAGAGTACAAGCCTTGGACAACAAAACTCCCGTTCCCAGTCCAGTGTGTCAAGGAGGTCATCACAACTGATCAAATTACTGGTATAAAGAAGGGAGTGAAATACAGATACCACGACGGATATTTCGACGGTGAAGAGCGCGAGTTTAGGGGCTTTGGCATGGTGGAGCAGATAAATGAAGAAATCTTTCCACTGCCAGGCGCCAAACCTTTTCGGGACAGCTGCTCGATGACTAGGACATGGTATAACACCGGTTCCGCGCAACCTTCAAGCCGGGCTCTCTTTTCAGCTGCGACCACTTTCGACCGTCTTCCCGCTCATTTGAAAGCGGAAGATAGCAGACAGGCTTTTCGCGCTCTCAGAGGAACTGTTTATAGGTCTGAAGTCTATGATGGTGAAGGCTGGAATACTCAGAGTGTTCCATACACAGCTACTGAAACTTCGCACCAAATCATCGATATTCAACTTTGCACTCCTCAAACAAAACACTGTATTTTCAGAATTGCGCCAAGCGAAACCCTTGAAACTGTTTACGAGGGGCAGAAAAGAGACGCAAGAGTCCAGCATGAGATCATCTTAGCCATCAATGATTACGGAGACGTTCAGGAGTCAGCAAAGATCAAGTACCCAAGGACAATGCTGGAAAACGTACCTGCTCTGCAGGCACAGTCACTCGCAGTGATTGAGGTGGCAGAAGTGGACTTCACAAACGCCATATATGATGCAAAGAGCTTTCGTAAACCGATTCCTAGTTGTAAGAGAACATACGGTCTACCGGGTGTCGTGATACCCTCTGTACTGACCACTGAGAAGCTAAAGCTGTTGCTCAAGGAGCAAGCCTCACAGTCCACAGGTAGGATCAACACAGGGGAGCAACGACTCTATTTTACTAGCACCACCCTTGACAGGCGCTTACCGCTAGGATCACTTGAGCTGTATTCCATCGAGGCTCAGACCTTCGATCTTGCATTCACTCCGGAACAGCTGCACAAGGTCGCCACCCAAGATCCCTCATCGAGAAAAGCATCGAGTAAGGAAAACCTCATCGCTGAAGCAGGTTACACTGATCTTGATGCTAACGGCTACCTGTGGCGACCCTCACCTGTCTATGGGTTTCGCCAAACATTGCAAACAAAAACAGAGCTCGAAGCCGCCCGCACATCATTTTACGTGCGTAATGTTACCAAAGATGCTTTTGGTAGCGTATCATTCGTTGAGATGGACAAGTATAAGCTGCTTTGCACGAGCATGACTGACTCTATGGGCAACAAGTTCTCCACGATCAATGACTACAAAACTTTACAGCCAATCAGTATCACTGATCTGAATATGAATTATCAGCATGTTACCCTAGACTGCTTTGGCTGTGTTCTTGGGATTGCTAACCAAGGCAAAAACGGGAGAGGAGAAGGAGAATCATTTGATGACTTTGAGCAATATCTGCCACCCGAGGATGTGGCTTTATTCTTTGAACAACCTAGTGAGGCCCTAGCAAAGAAACTCTTAGGATCTGCCTCCGATCGAATCATTTACGATCTCCAACGTTTCTCCAGGAACAATAGCGCAGGCAAGGACCACTCGCATCCTGCGCCAACTGCAATCGGGTACCTGTCACGTGATGGGCCTGGAGATTCCTCTGCATTCAATGTTCGCATTAAAATAATCTACCTGGATGGCTCTGCAAGCCCATTCCAGACCTTCGAGTACTGTGGGACCGACAGATCTCGGTGGCGATTTGCCGAATGTGTTTTCACCAATAGCAAAAAAATGCCAGTGAGGCGCCATTTGCCTATCTTCACTGACAATCATCGGCCACTTCCTGTGAATGAAATTGGTGGCGCCATGTTTTTGACTCTGCATGACGCTCTTCAGCGACAGGTGGTCGAAATTTCTCCAGATGGGACTTGGACTAAAGTTCGATACCTGTCTTGGTCCAAGTCCGAGTATGATGCTGGCGATACCGTTCTTGAGGCTAATCCTGCCTCAAAAAGTGGTGTTCGATCTCTGACCGCTCAGCTACTCAAAGACATTTCATGGAGATCTTGGTACGAGATTCATACACAGAGCGCAGATGCTTTGAGTGCTCTCAGGTCTTGTGTGTACTATGATACTCCTGTCACTACACATTGGGATCCTAGCGGTAATGTCTTGCTCACTGCGGAAAGTACCAACACTGAAACCCATTGCCTGAGTTACGCCCACGATATCAAGGGCAACGTGATCGCTGAGTATGATTCGCGGCGCAGAGTTACGTCCAGATACGAATTTGACAGTCTCAATAATTGCATCTATAAAGAGTACATGGATGGAGGTAAAAATTGGCAGATCCTCAATAGCTTGGGCAAAGCCTTCGTGTCTTGGGACTCTCGTCAAATTATGCATCGGACCATTCATGATAAACTTCAACGGGAGATTGAGGTTTGGGTGAGTGAGGCCAACGCTCCTGAAAAGCTCGTTGCGTCCGCTGTCTACGGTGAAAGCTGCCCAAATAGCACCGAATCTAATCTACGTGGTCAGCTGTGGAAGCAATTCGATCAGTCTGGAGCAACGAAGATGACATCCTACAACAGACGGGGTAAGTGCACCCACAAAAATTATCAGCTGTGCCAGGAATACAAAGATGTGGTTGACTGGAAGACACAAGTAGAGCTGGAATCAAAAGTCTGGCAGGTACAGATGGAGCTAAACTATTTTGATGAAATCACGAAAACTTGTAACGCAAACGGTAAGTGGACTAGGAAAGTATACAATGCGCTTGGAGAGAGGACGAGGGTTTTGGTGGCATCCTCAGACGCCGACCTCGCGCTTTCGAAAAGCTGGCAGCCTTTCATTCTCAACTCAACATTCAGCGCCGATGCGCTGCCACTGGTAATCGAATACGGGAATGGAACAGTTTCGTCCTTCGACTACGATGCTTCTTCTAGACAGCTGATCAATAAGAGAGTCGCCAGGCAGAGCGGCAAGATACTTGAAAACACCTATTACACTTACGACTGTATGCGCAGGATAGTCCGTACTGTCAATAGTGCCGAGCAAGACGTGTTCTTCCGAAATTGCAGGATCAAGCCCGAGTCTGAATATACCTACGATGCGTTTGGTCAGTTGATAGCAGCAACTGGTCGAGAGCAAATTGTTCTGGCTAGCGGTGCAGGAAATCGGCTTGCTCCTTACGACGCGTCAACTGGAAGCTCGCGTAGCAAGCTTTTGAGTGATGGAATCCAGCTCTGTGCCTATTTGGAAGAGTATCAATACGACCTTACGGGCAACCTGACTCTGGTCAAGCATTCCCCAAGGTTTGATGACAAAATTCAAGGCTGGACAAGAAGATATACTTACGAGCACCCGAACATGTTGGACGGCAGTACGAATAGCAATAGACTTAGCTATACAACAGTTTCCGGCATTGAGGAAAGGTACAAGTACGATGGAGATGCCGGTGAAGCTGGCCACATCACCTCGATGCCGGGATTTTCTTCGATCACGTGGGGTTTCAGTCGGCTAATGTCTTCCACATCTCGTCAAAATGTCAACGACGGTACTCCTGAAACCACATATTATGTCTACAATCACAAAGGAGACAGAATACGCAAAGTTTGCGAGCGATCCAACGCATTGCAGCCAGTAGCCGAAGGGCAGAGCATTAAGAGGACTGATACAATCTACCTCGACAATGCTGAGATCTTCTTCAGATTTTCAGGCAACGGAGCACCTGCGTCCACTCGCACTTCGTCTCACATCACCAGCACGTCCCGTTTTGCAATGATTGAGGAGGACGAAGCCTTGGATGAGGGCCCATTGATCAGGTACGAAGTCAGTAGCAGTCTGGAGCTTGACGACACAGGTCAAATCGTGTCTTACGAAGAATATGCTCCATATGGAGCATGCACTTTCGCTGCTTCGGGAAAAAAAGTCGAGGCAGATCGACGCTATCGGTTTGCCAGATACCTTCGAGACGCAGAGACAGGTCTCGACCTATGTGGAGATCGATACTACGCTCCCTGGATTGGAAGATGGCTATCCCCCGATCCTATTGGAAGTTCGGGTGGCGTCAACTTGTTTTGCTACTCTTACAATGATCCTGTGAACTTCAAAGACCCAACAGGGAATGAACCGAAAGAGCATATCCCGGGTGAACCGAAAATACAAAATTTAAAACACCTATCACCCAACAGTTCATCCACAAAGCAAACCAACCTATATTCAAGATTGGAAGGCTTCAAGACCAGCGTCGAAGAGTGGTCTCAGACACGTACTGGCCAGACTGTGGTCACATTGCTTTCCATCGCGGTACCGGCGGTGATTGCACTCTCAGGCGTCGGGGGTGTAGTATATACTGCCATCAGCGGCGCTTCGGCGCTTTACAAGCTGTGGGGCAATATCCACAACAAGACTGCCAAGACTTCATGGAAAGAGATCATAATGCAAGAGCTGAAGGGCGGACTGGCCGCTATGGTCATAGGCCAGATACCAGGGATGACTGAACTGGTGGCGCACGCTCAACAGGCGCTTGAAATAGCCCAAGATCCCAAGGCGTTCTTCTCCAGTCTATTCAGCACAGATTACATGGTAGGGAACGTGGCTAATGAGATTCGGCGGTTTATGGGAGATTTGGGTGCGGGAGAAACTATGGTTGCTTTCGTGAAGGACGTTGCCGGATTTACTGGGGATGCTGTTGGGGAGGCTGATGTTGGGGTCCTTCAACAGCTTAAAGATCACGCTCAGGATCAGGTTGAGGCCAAAATCCATGAGACAGTGGGTGAGATTCAAGAGAAAGCTGTCGGGAAGGTTACTGAAAAACTTCACGACGTGGTCGACGCCCACTACAGCAAGGCCAGCAATGCTGTCTTTTCGCAGATTGCGAAGGTTGTAGAAAACCATTGGTATTAGTTGAAGTTTGGATACATGTGATTCTGAATACACAGGAAATATCGATGATAAATGGTCCTTTCAACATATCGCATTGAATATTTCAAGTGGAGAGTGCAGAAATCATAAAGCTGGTACACTATCTGGGGCATAGCTCCTGTCATGTTACTTAAACACAAGACTAAACGCCTGATCCGGACACAACATAACTCAATATCATGAACATCCCATTGAGCCTCCCATTTCCTACTTTCTTCTGGATACGAAGCGTCCAGTCGTTGTTTATAGCCATAGAAGTCGAATTTACCAAGACTTGTGCCCCACTCAATTGCTCACTGCCGTCCTCAAAGGTGTGACCATCTTGGAGGGTGATAACGGGATATGAACCATCTTCCGTAGTGACAACTAGTTGCGTTTTGGTTGCTGTGACCGAGCGCCCCTTCGTCCAGAATGGAAGACGCTTGTGGATCTCAGTGAGATTGAGGGTGACGTCGTCGGCCGTTTCCGACGACCCAGGTGCGACTTGAGTGATTCGCCGCCACTCATTAGGAAAATCGTTCCTGATATCCAACAAACTGGTGTTTGCACCGGCAGAAGTGACTTCTTTCATGTATTGCCTCACACGAGCAGAGGCTTGACTTTGCGACGCCTCTTCTGCAGCCTTTGATGTGTAACGAATTTGCATAATCACATCGGTTATAGAAGTATAGTCAAACTGGGGGACAGGGCTTGGCAGTTCGAGTACCCATTCGCTGATAACACCGGCACCTTCGAACGGTCCATAGCGGTCGCTGTTACCACCAAAACTCATATCAAACATCCCAGTGTCCGACTGTCCATGGCTTACTGCGATGCTGTTGATGGGCAGGTCGTCCACTTTCATTGGTGTGGGCTGATCGTTTTCAGATTTTCCCGCGACGAGCCTTATCTCGTTGCGGTTCATTTTCAGGGTGCAGCTAATGCTGGTGTACGGTCCAACAATACAGGGGATCGAAACGCTCACAGATTTGATGCGACGGAGGTATTGTCCGGGGAAATCGATATCAAATAAGAGTTCATCTAGTTTGATCTCCGCCATATGATTGTACCTCAAAGAAAGCAATTGCCAGGGATTGATTTGCCGCAGTGAGATTGACTTCGTGATTTCGAAATCATGATATGAATTGTTGATAAACTCTTGTTCCATACGCTTGAGGTCAAGATATAAATATCTCGCGGAGAACATACCGTCTCTTGATCGATCCCAATACCCTGTAGACTTCAAGAACTGAGTGTTTTGTTGACTCTCGAATTTCCAAGCTCTCTGAGCGGTTCGAGCCATGCTCGAAGCCATTTCATAGGTATCCTGAAAGATGCGGCAAAAGGCGTTGTCCATCCAGGCATAGAGTTTTTCGTTTGTGTACTTTGTGCGATAGAACGTCTCCAATTCTTTCGAGTGTTCAATCTGCTTCTGCTGCAAGTTCAGGTCAGATTCACATATCTTGATACGAATGTTTTGCGCCGCAATTTGTTTGTCGATAACGGCGATGTCTCGTCCAGCTGCATTTACTTGCTGTCGTCGCTCTTGAAGCTGACGCATGAGTTGAGCTTTCCGGGCAGCGCGCGTGCTTTCATCCATTTTCATCTGTCCAACAAGCTTTAATACCCCAGCGGTTGTCATAAGGAGCTGTCCCATAACGCTTGCATCCCAATGCATCGACACACCCACGCCGACAGGAGCAGTATTGACTACCAACCTCGGGAGCGCCATAAGAACCCCAGCAGTGGTCTCCAAAATTGACGCCTTCTGATTATAACCTGCTGCTTCGTTGGCTCTATCAAACTCGATTTTCTCCGTCGACGACATCCGCAAGTCATCTTTTGTCACAGTTTCCATGGTTTGTGCGATATCATTCCACTCTTGACCTGGTTTTGGGCTTTTACCATCTTCACCGGCTAGTTGAGCGTGGTACATTAGTCGTGTTTCGTGTCCACGGCGAGTTTCCTCGAGTGACTCTAATGTTTTGTAAGCCTCGTCCCGTTGCAGGGTTTTCATCTGCAAGGCTAGGGTAGTGAGAGAGAGGTCTTGTGACTGTCTCAAGGCCATGAGGGCTTCTGCGTCCTTTTTCTCCTTGATCATGAGATATTCGTCGCCCATGACTTTGAGTTCTGCACACAATTCAAGCGCTTTTGCAAGCAGGTATAAGAATCTTGATTTTGGAGATGGCGCTGCGCTCTCGGAAAGGAAAGACGAGATGGAAAGACCTGCTGCTTGAGCCTGTATGAGATCGCCAGGGTCTAGAGCGGGTTCAAATAGCCTCAAACTCACGCCCTTGCCATTGATGTCCTGACAGTTTCGAATCTTGTACAATCTGTCATCGATCAAACCACGCAGACGAGATAGATCCGGGTTTGCCGGGACGCAGAAGTACCCTGTTTGCAAGATGCCCATCAGACCAGTCGCCGTAACTGAGGGATCCACCCTAGGGCCTGAGTAACCGCGCCACTTTGGAAGTCTCTTGAAAGGGAAGTCCAGTTCCAAATCCACCACAGTATTGTTGAAGGAGTTGAAATCTAGCGCTTGCGTGAGGCTTCCAAATGTACGAGGTTTGGATTTGCTGAGGCTATTGAAAGTTGTTGGTTTTGCCCCAAATAGATGTGATGCTTCAATATAGCGCTGAATAGCCAGTGGCATGCTTTCGAGCGTACTTTGCCGGAAGTATTGATCGCCACTTGCGATCAGAATTTCGATGTATTTCCTCACCATTCGTTTCATGTATGCCTTGGGATAATTTCGAGCGACAACATGAGGCGAGAATGGACTTTCTCGCCAGTCACTTACGGCAGCTTCAAAATTTGATCCTTCCGCTGGAATCATCTTTTCAACCACTTGTGTTGGTGTTTCTTTGTCAACCAGGGCCGGATCTCTAAAGGGTGCAAACTGCCAGCATTTGGTTGCATCTCCCCCCGCCACAGTTGGGTCAAACACATAGCGTGCAACATGTAAGGCTAAATCAAGCTGCTGTGTTGCTAGCAGCCTTTCCATCAGTAAGGATACCATGTGATAGCCCAACTCCCAATTATAGAGACTATATGGAGCAGCCATTTCATGGAAGACGGGGTCTTTGCTACCACCGAAGGCCGTCGAGATGTCTGGTTTATCACTCAGGCCACTTAAGGCACTGTAAAGGCTCGAAGTGCCTATTGTAGATGTAGCGCGTTCCATCAAGAACGGGCCCATTTTGTTCATGATTTGTACGGCTGAACCACTGTCGCTATCTTGTTGAGAGGCATCATCTGGAAGGAAGATATATCTTAAGCTGCCTGTGGAAGCACTGATCATGTCCGCAACGAGTCCAGTCGGGCGTTTGGCTTGTGAATCATCGAAAGATATAGTCCAAGTAGTCGATTGCCACTTTTGGGCCTCGTAGTCCCACTGCATTTGGCCAAGTAGGGCTGAGTTATTTATACCAAGATGGTAGATAGTGTCTGTGTACTTGGTAGGATAGGTCTCGGTGTAGGTGGTAGGCCTTGCAATTCGAACCTGGGAGAATTGAGTGCGGAGAGTTGTTACAGCTGGCGGGTAATATGGATCGTTTTTCTTGGACCAAACAGAACTCCTATTCCATGAACTTAATGCACGCTGCTCAGGTGCAATAGTGGTTACGTCATAATCTCGCATCCTGAACGTACCCAGACTGAAAGCGCCGATCTTGTATCCAACAGATCCAGGCATCTGGTATGAACACTCCATGTCGATATCCAACATCTCGCCAACACCAGTCGCCATTTGATCTGCATTCCCGTCTGCTTTTGAACTGCGAACCCAAAATTTGAAATTGTCTATGCAAGGCAACCGGTCTCCGTCCATGTCGATGTTGTTATTCCAAGAGTTGCCATCATCCTTACCTGAAGGCAAACTATCAAGTGGCAGCGGATCAATATTTAGACATGCCTGAGATACCTTTTTCGGTGACCACTGCTCATTTCGAAGCTCAGTCCAGCTCATGCGAACTTCCCAAAATTTTATAGGTTTGCTATTTCCTGTGCTGAGGTTGCCCATCTCAGAGATTTTCGAACCTTGCACGACCGGATTCGGTCGTGTTTTGAGCAGAATCTGAGGGTTGAAGAGAAAAAGTCTATTACGTCGGATAACAGGGATGAGATATGAGCCAGGTTTGGACAGTGTCTTGCCTTCTGCATCCGATTCGTACGTTTGGATCTCCATGTCCATCTTCTGCCAAGCGGTCCAGCGCAGCAGTCTGGTCGAAGGATCGACCCGGTTGCTGTTAGGAAGTGTCGTCGAGGCCTTGACCAAAAGTCGCCGGTAATAATAGATATATGGTGTGCTTCGCGATCTTGCAAAGAGATGAAAGGCTCCCGTCCCCGCCGTCTGAGTATCCCACAGATATGCTTGGATTTCGAGATCGGATAGATCATTGACTCCGTACACATAATTTTTGATAAGCTGACTCATGTTCTCCTCGTCGAGGTTTGTTTGCATTATTTTGGCTTCAAAATCCTTGAACAGCTCACTTTTATTGTCTCGCAAGGTCGGATCGAGCCAGTTCTCGGGGTAGAGGAAAACCTTGCGATTGGCTTCCCAAGTCTGGTAGCTACGCATCCATTCCCAGTCTTTCCGATTGATAACATTACTGGGCACCTTATTCTTTACTTCAAGTCCGAGTAGACATCGTTGTACATACAAATGAACTGTCGAAATTGCTTGTTTGATCCGCGACGTCTGGAGACCTGGGCCCATGCTGACATCGATCAGGAAAAACTCAAACAAAGAGTCCGCATCGGTGAAAGCCTTGTTTTTCATCTCCTGATGGTTCGTTAAATACTGGATCATCGCTGCACGGGACTCTTCAACGACCTTCCGAACGACCGCAGTATATGGAGTGGGCACGTTTTTACCGAAGGTGTCAAACTTATTCTTCAAATCATTTCGAACAGCCGTTGCAAGTTTGAAGTCTTCAGAGTGTTGGTCTAGCATTCGTGGCTGTGCAATGTCAAATAGTAAAGACTCGTCCAAGAGGGACAATTTGGTCGGCGGGAAAAATGACCAAATTTTTAGCAGGCCGTCAAGCTCTTCCATATCTTGAAGAAGACGTTTGCGCAACTCGTCAGGAACATCAGGGTATTTGTGATCCAGGATGTCTGAAACCGTTTGATCCGAAGAAGACGTCAATTCGGAGATTTGTGTAGAGAGTAAACCATTCGATTTTTCGTCATTGCACCAACGCAAGAATCGCAGAAGCTGGTTCGGATTCTTTGAGATGGCTCGAGCAGATCGACGCATTGAAAAATACGTGCACAATTTTTGGAGATCTGCCATGCTAGGATTCTGAAGGGTAATACCCACACCCAGCGCCTTGGATTGTTCGAAATATAGTAATTCGTCGTCTTGGAGTTGAAATTTTGACACAAGTTGGAGCACTATGCTCAAACTCTTGACAATTTCCAAGAGTCTTATCACCGAGCTCTTCGCTGCTATAAAAGACGTCAAAGGAGGTAGAGGTACCTCGTGTGCTGTCCGCCAACTGAGCGTTCTCAAGTCACGATTTATCGCCTTTACCTTCCAGCGACTCCCCGCTACTTTTGGTTGGACAGGAGCAGGGCCAAAACCTAGCAGGTAAGCTTCACCCTTCTCGAGGGCAATGGCTGAAGACAAAATAGGAGTGTCGTCAAGCATAACTGAGCCACTAGATGCCTCAAAAAAGTAACTTGCAGAGATTGGCGAGAGAATGTATCCTTCCTCGAATCCTTGAGAACCAATTTTATCTTGCGTTTCGTCGAGATACTGTGGTGCTGTGACAAATTGGTCCTCACTATTCTTGAAACGGAGAACATCATCAATTAGTATGCTCAAAATTGTGTCCGTCGCAGTCGGGTGCTGTAAGCGGACAGCCGACAGAATAGTAGTCCGTGAAGTCGAGCTCGGGGAAGGATTGTCCTGCGAGGGTGCAGCTGCACACAAGGTGGCAACAATCCCAGGGATTTTATTCTTCTCTCCATCAATGCTTTTGTCGCCAGGATTCTGGGCAGGACAAGTAGATAAAACATCGATTGCTGTCCAGCCAAGGGAGGCTAAGTTATTCCACTGTGATAAGATATATAGGGTTCTTTTGGGACTATCAAAGAACTCTGAGAATGGAGGCTGTTGCAAGAGCAATCTCAGGTTCCTAAATGTAGTCTTCAAAATCTTCTTCAAGAGAGAATGACGATAGATTGCCGATAGTGTGGTAATGTCAAGCACAGTCTCTTGTTCTAGTCCAGGCGGCCGCTCATCACCCCAGACTATGTTCTTGAGCAGCTCTTCAAGCTCCGATCGAGACAAAGACATAGCTCGGGCTAGCCCAACAAATGCGTCTCCCACAGTACGAGATTCTCTAAGGTAGTCGCCGTCATTGTTTGGGCCGAAGACTTCGAGTACACTCGTAGGCGCCTCCTGTATAAAGAGGATTGCAAAAAGTGATTTAGGGCCAAAGCTGTCCATCACACCCCACAGAGTGAGCAATTGCTGAATATCGATGCCCGTGGCCTTTGAAATTTCACGAATTGCCATGATATTCTCGATAACATCTGGAGTAACACTCTGATGTAACCGTGGAGCGATTATGTGCTTCTCCCCTTGTGTAATGCCACCGGTTTGGTCTCTCCAGAGACAGCTCAATGTGGCGTCTAAAACAGAGATGCTCCAGTTCAGCTTCCGGAGGAGCCTTACAAACGACAGCAAATCACGACAGACAAGCACGTTGAGCGAATTGGAGGTATTGCTGGCATCTGGTACTGAGCGTAGCCGCAACACTTCTGGCCTTTTTGAGAATTTAGCTGCAGCATTGGCAGGTGTAAGCAGCAGTCGACGACCCATATACTGTGTCTGCAGCACTTCAACAAGCTCATCCAGAGACAGTCCGCACCGTGGAAGAAGCTGTGCTTGTACAAAGGTCAAGCCGGCTTTATCGTTCTCGTTGTCGGACAACATTTCAGCATCGCTGTTGTAGCCCCAGAGCTCTCCAACGGAGCGAAGACCAATCGCCGAATTATAGTCTTCGGTTCTCATTGGGCTGCGATAGGCTTCGAGAGCAGGTTTACTAAAGTAAGCCTCCCCTGTCAGAACCACGTACTCTTCTTGTACCAGTCCAAGTGATTGGGCTGATAGTGCGCGCTGCATTACTGAATCGTTCAGTCTCGAGAGCCCATCTATTTTCTGGCAATCTGCACGGGATTCAGGTGGTGGATTTCCCTCGGCTGCTGCTCTTATCGCCGCCTCTACTGCTTGTTTATGCACGTCTTTCGCCTGAAATATCCTGTATCCAGATCCGAAAGTTTTCATTACGTCCAGCGTCGAAGTTCCAAGTGTACCGAGGTAGTGATCGATACTGCTGGTTGCGAAATTGTATGGAAAGCTTGCCACTGGAAATACAGCATTGCGGAAAACTTCCATATGGAGGTCTTGATCGAAGTAAACATCCCCTTTGTCAGCAACATCAGCATGGCTATTTGTGCCGGCAAGCTTCACTGAGAATGATTGAAGAACTTCGTGGACTAAATCGATATATTGTACCAGATTTGTTGTGTTGAAACATGATAGCTCGAGGTCTTTCAGGTCGGCACGGCGCTGGAAGAATTTCTGTTGAAGAGTCTGATCATCGGTAGCCTTGAGCTTACTTAGCATGCGAAGCAAGTCGACAAAGTACGCTGACGGGCTTAGTACAGAACAGCAGTGTTCGCACCCTGCGGCGTTAACTTCTTTGAAAAGCGTCTCCATACTAATGGAAGAAGTTGGCGGGGAGGAACCACCGATGCCCTCTACCGCAGAAGCAGGTGTCAGTGTCTCGAAGCGAGTTCTGAGTAAAGCGATCCACGCTTGTTCATTCCGGGTAGCTATCACAAGGGCCTGATCCTTGATTCTCCTCAATGTTTCGACGTTGATCTCGGGACACTCCTCCCGCAAGCTGTCGATAGCCTTCCACGCAATGTCGTTGGCCGAGCGCAACCCATGGTTCAATAATGGTCCGATTTGTTCCAACTCTATCACGATTGCCTGCAGGCGCTGTATTGCTTGGAACAGCGTAACCGCTTGTTTTGCCGGTTCCTTGTTTGCATCATCCTGCTCGTCTAGAAAACGCGCAGTGAAGTCGCGGGAACTTGCCGTGGTAATATCGAGACTCTCGTCAATTGCTTGCTCAAGCAGCTCTATGGTGAATTTTTTGATCTCATCCGTCTCGCATTGAATTGAATCTGAGCGTACAAGGTCGCGAATAGCGTTCAGGCTTTGCAACAGTTCTTCAGACATATTGACATGGCAGGACGTACACAATATTGTCTCGCTATGTCAGTACTTTTGGATATTACCAGTGCCAGTAGTTGTGGAATCTGATAGACACAACTATGCTCGGCTGTTGGTGTCGACAAGTGCTGGGACCCCCTCATTTCTCTGACGGCCTCTGGAGAGACTCTCGTCCGAGGCGTCTCAGCAAGCTGCACGAAGCAACTAGTGTACACCTCAATAGGAAGCCACAATATTGACTTTGACCAGAAATAAATGGGTGGGCTGGGAAGAGCAGGGTGGATCTATCCATCTGGCTAAATCATCTATGATTTAGGGGGTTGGCTAAACCAGAATAGGTCCGCGCGAACCATTTTGGCAAGATCATGAGATATGCGATGCGATGAAGGCGTTCCAGATCGAGCTGAAGTTGCCATTTTGCCACCGTAGCTGAACGGTTGGTGCTGTTTTTGCATAGCTTTTGTGGAGGATAAGGAGCTACTCATATTTGGCGGCGAAGATCTACACTCTAATATTGCCACACGTGATCTGGAGTTGGCGCTCTTGGCAGTCAGACGCAAATTACACATCTCAGCGGCGTGGTAATTTACAGTATGTACATGACTTCCATACCTTCATGGTAATTTACAGTACATTCATTTGCATTATTTACTGCCCAAAGTTGCACGTAAGTTCTTCTCATGGACTGCATGCAACCAGGCTCATTCCTCCACGTGGCATGGTGGCTTTGGTGTCGCCCCACAAACTTGTTCTCGACCATGACGAACAGCTAGTAATTGTGGGCGTGATATCCGAAGCACGGCTATGAGCGTACGCGGGACCCAGGTTCCTTTTTCCTCTAGGGTGCGAAGCAGACGAACTTGATGGGATGACAGGTATTGGGCAACCAGTAGTGGAACATGGACGCCACACAATCCAGATCGCGGACAGCCTTTTCGAGAAGCTCAAGGTCTGAACACAGGAATCATTTTATCGGACGCTGATTATAATGCATATTCAACCTCAGCTCACATCATTTTCCAGTGTCTCGTCACAAAATCACCATTTCACCCACAGTCGTTGATCTATCATCGTGCAATTGTTGACTCCAGATCAAGATGGCTGAGCAAGATACTTGTGTGGTTGCTGGTTGGAACCAGCTTCACCTCAATTACATATGCAAAGCGATGTTTCGAAAATACACTGGACTGCAGAATATTCGCTATGGCACACAAGAATCTGGTGACATTTCTATTGAAGGTGTGATGGCGTATCCCAAATTCTTCATGCCCGAGGAAGGGCCATTAGACCTTTACATGATCCTCAGGTTGGTTTTTGGCTATCGAACGAAAAAGCTCAAATTTACTGATCTCTCACTTAAGCATTGATTCGGGGACACTACGTCATCCTCAGGTCGCATACGACTTGACAGCATGGGAGTTGGCTTTTCGATGTGACATGGCACACGCGAATGTCAATGCTGATCCTTCACCCGAGTCACTGTTTCAGTGTTTGAACTGTGAGTAGAAAATCCGTGATCCTCGAACGGAGGAATTATTCTGACCCGACCACAGCGACTCTCGTGCCAGAGATCGAGGAGAAATACAGCATTATCAATGGTGAACCGCTCTCGGTGTGGAAGGCTAAATCATGGAATCAATATGAGCCAGTCAGAGCTTCGTTTAAGACATGGATGGACGACAACTTGACCAGTGGTCTCACCCAGTGGGGCCTTAAATTCGGGCCTGGTGGTAGGTTATCAGGATTCGACATTTGACTCCCTGCCTAATATATCTTCTTGCAGCAAAACCAGCAGCCAAGCGAACTCCTCTGGTGGTGGTAAACCTCACGAAGATGATCAAGCCGAACATGCCTGGTTTTCAGTGGACTGGTCGTGATCCTCGAGCACTTTGCTACCTCGACCAAAACGATGAAAATGATAGAACATTGAGCTGGCTCGGCCCTGCGCCAGCTGCAAAAATGGGTATAACTTTGTTCAGCGATTCTGATAAAACGGTTAACGAAGTTGACGAAGAAGCATTGAAGGTGGCGATTCGCCTTGGTCTAGACGAAGATGAAGCTTTGGATACTGTGGAGAGAGTCGGAGGCATCGGAGCGGTGTTCAGCCGTGGTGCCATCAATTCCGAGAGTCGCGCCCGACTCCATTCGTGGAAGCTGTGGGAATCCGGCGTCGAGGGCGATAATATCTACCGGTATAAAATCGAAGCAGCCAAGTAAGTACTGTATCATGTTCGCACAACGTTTTTGCTGAGTCGCCGATTTCAGTTTTCCAAGCAGCCAACGGGATCCAGTCCCACCGATCCGGAATACAGTGGACAAGGGCACATTGGGCTGGGAAGCCAGATCCGAAGGCAATAACCCCAAGCAGGGCGGCGAGATGACTCTCGTATTCACAGGTAAAAATAAGACGAACGCAAAACAGGACTTTGTCTACTGGAAATTCCTTCTGGTTGGTGGTGACAAGGGCGCGAGATTGGCTTCAACGAGCAATAGCAGTCCGCTTCGCGTGACAGCCAACGCAGGTAAACAGGCTGTGAAAGCAACCATCAGTTCCACATCTTCAAGAGGTGTGACACAGGTTGCCATCTTGCTCAACTTGGAGGGAGCGAGCAACACTAACCGATTGAGAATGTCTCCAGGTGAGGTAGTTGAAATTCGCTTGAGCGGCTTAGCTGGAACCAAAGGCACCCATGATCTATCACTAACCGAGTCGTTGGCGGACTACAAGGGCAATCCGTCTGGGATCAAGCTGTCACAATGGGCTGTCGATGTCGTGTCATAGTATGTACAGCTGTCGTATAGAATGCCGTCTTTCCCATCCCATAATTGAGCGGGATTGTGAATTGAACCTGTATGCCAGCAGCGCAAGTCATTCCTTGCACATAGAGTGCAGAATACATTCACCGAGTCAATTTCAACCTCGCAGAAAGTCAAATCTAGACTACTTGCAACGGTGCACGTTCGCCTCTTCTTGATTCATATCTGCGAAAGAGTTGCTGCAACGTCCGAAGCCAACATTTCCCTAATATTGCGAGCAGACCAGCCAAGCCGCATTGATAAGTTTCCGAAGTCGGACGCAAAACACATGACCTGTGGTACATAGTAGGTTGGCTATGCTATGAGCAATTACTCTTGTCAGCGCCTTTCTTAGAGGAAGGATTGACTATTCGGTCATGGACTACCATGTTGGATGGGTGGGATGGGCTCGCTGAGCTACGACGAGCCATTTTCAAAGTCAGCGGCCAAAGTTGCATCATGTCACGTACTCACTTATTCACGACAGTTCACGCAATCGAATGATGTCTTAGCTTGACAATCTACCTAGGTACAAAGTATTTGCAGCTCGAGGAAATGCCTATTCATCGACACAGGACGTCTCAGCGCTAGCCCTCATCAGCCTGCGCCGATCCACTCTCGGGCGGGTTGATGCCACATAAGCCAGGGCAACCGATGAGATCTGGGATACGAATTACTCTGGGCTGAATCGTAGGAATGTTCAAGAATGAAAGTCTAAAACAATTGGAGGTGCCAGGATGCTCTTGTGGCTAGCTGAGATCAAGGTACTAGGCGGAGACACGGACCTGATGGGCCGAGGATCGTCCCGTTGCTCCTCGGACAATTGGGGTTAGATCACCAGCCAGTTGGAACTCTCGTCGGAGACTGACGAACCAGGCGCAATTGCCCAGAAATGGTCGATTCTATTCTCCCATTGCAAGACCGGCCCGCTGTCTGAATGAAGCGAAGATCTAGAACACCGTCTAGATTCGGTAGGAACTGGTGAGGTGGTGGACATTCTGGGCGATGTGGAAACAAGCTAGCGACAACCACGGAAGCTACGAAGCGAGCGCTCGCTTATCTAGACACATCGTACTCGGAGGCCCTTCGCAGTAGTACAGCTTTACCAAGAAAAAGACGCCAGATTTGCGTCGAGTACAACCTTTCTGAGAAGTCGCGCCAGACGCTATATACGAATTAGGAGAAAAAGCAGAAGAAAAGCTGCCTCTCTAGTGATCTGAACGAACTTGGGTTTTCAGCTGCCAAGAGCACGAGAGCTGTCCCTTGACGCTCCAAGAGCTAATGCCGAGGCTTCATACAAGCCTGTTAGATCGAACACATGTAGGCAGGTTGCGAAGCAGCAATCCCATGATCGCCGTTCATCTTGAGGGCCTAGCAACGCAAAACCTTGGAGGGGATGCTCTCCCCGGCTAAATCGCCCAAGTGCTACACCTTACCGTAGGGTCAATTATGGGTAGTCAGAAAGTCAGAAATTGGGGATCAGCCTGCTGTTTCGAGTATGGGATCACAGAAATGCTTAATTCGTAGATTCACCATGACGCTGAGAAGCTACAATCTTCAACTATAGTGAGAGGACAAATGGAAGCTCCTATTGCTACGATCATATCCCTTACAACAATACGCTTACAAAGAAGAGCAGAGTCCTTGCGCGCGTAGAGAACTTCGCCTGGCCGCGTAGATCCTGTTCTACTCAGACTCGTACTCTCGTAGAACCGTGTCGTTCCTTCCAGACTTTCTGTCCGCAGGGATTCTTCAGCATATGGACCTACTTCAACTCTTCTTCTCACTGTCGATATCGTCGTATAGCGCACTTGTTCTTCGACTTAACAGATCTTGGACGGAGTGTCTGGGTTTGTGGTGGGTGAGGGAGCTCGGAGAAGTATCGGCAAGGTTGAGTAATTGAGCAAGAATTCGACGGCATTCTATATCATCGAACAGCGCATTTCGTTTCTATTGTGAAACTTCAACCGCAACCATTTTCCCATCAACCTCACCTTAGCCCTTGATCCGGCCCCGTCTGATACGTCAGCCTCGGACGGGGCAGAATCTAAAGTTAGCTACTATTTTGTGAATATAAATGCTGCGAGATTATAATAGATTAACTGGTGGAGATGAAGGCGCGTCGGGTCATATCGCATCTCAGCCCTTTGATTGTCTCACTCGCGGGTAGCTTATCCAGGAATTTCTGCGATTAGGTCACATCACGGATCCAACTGATTACCTGCCCTGAATGATGAGATGTAAGGCAAACACGGCCAAGAGTCTGGTCCTGCTTCGGAGTGGTGATAGTCGATAGTTTGATTGGGAGAGTTCGAAATATCACATAGGGCAAGCTCTTCCTTCCTTGACGCAGAAGGATATACCACCAGGACGAGGGTCTTTGTTGATAACCAGCCCAGTGAGCTAAAGAAAGCAGATGAGGAGTTTGTTAGTGAGATACCCCTTCTCTCGCCTTAGACCGAGGTAGCAAAAATTAACCATGAGTTTTTCAGCCATTGAATCGGTAATACGTCTGAATAAAGGAATGTCATAGCCAGCAAGGTGAGACTGAAGGGAGGGCAGGAGATGAATCTGACAAGCCAAGCTATCTCGATGGCAGGAGTTGCAGTCATAGGCCATGTTGGCATGATGCCTCAGCGATGTGTTGACGCGGAATTTCAAGAAGTTCCCACAAAAACAGTGATTCTATTATCAGCATGGCAAGAGATACACTAGATGTTGCACTTGCCATTCAAGATGTCGGCGCTGTGGCCGTGGTGTTGGGATCTGTACCGTCACAGAACGCAGAATACATCACTCTAAGGCTGAGAACTCTTCCTGTCGGCTTTGGGATAAAACTCCCTCGTAGTTACAGAGAGGCTTCACCACTTTCTTCTGGGTTGCTGCTGCCGCCGGCTCTTTGGAAGAGAGGGTTCATTCTCTTACTCATTGACCTTAAAACTCACAGACACTCACTTTAGATCCGGTCGCTCTTACCCAGGGCAGATTTTTCTTGTAATGCGAAGCTTTAGGATACCAACCACCATTGCTTCCACAGTATCTAACAGATTAATTGCAGATAAAAACTTGCGTAGATCTCTTGGCTCTCCTTATGTATATTAGAGACCAGGATCATGTAAGCGATAGAATGACGAATGGCTGACTATGGAACACAGGTGGCACAGGCAATACGGAAATATAGGAGAATCATCTGTCAAGGGTTTACTTCAATATTCAACCAAAGTGATGAATGGATCGTCACCTGCTGGTGGACAGGTAAGTGGAAGCCTATGAGTACAAAGCATACCTCATCGCCATTTGCATTATAAGCCGAAAGCTGATAAGTCAACTGAATATAATATAGCATAGGAGTGCTCTACAACATCAATACATCTCTATCGCTTACGACGATGTCAGAATCTGAACAGAGGGCTTGGCCGCTTAGCCAGGTGGGAATCGCAACGATAAAAAATGCCTTTGTGGGCATGGGAACTGCGATATTGGCCAATAGGAAGACTTCCATTTAAGGGGTCCTAAAGCCACCAGCATATATACTCCCATGTGCTTGGCTGAGGCTCATTATTGTGGGATGTATTTTGATACAGGCCTCATAGCCAGAACGCGCAACACGTTCAGGGCAATCTTTGATTGTAGACACACAGACAGCACGAAGCTGACCCCTTATTTGGTGAGCTCACTCAACATCTGAATAAGCAGATCTCCTGTGGTTTCAATCGCCACCCATCAATAAGTTCTAACTTTGGCTTTCAATGAAGTCCACGCCATCCTCAATCGATGCAACGCGGATAGTAGAGGGATCGTTTGTGAAGGCAACGCCGTCAACTTTGCCTGCTATCCTCAATGCTCCTGGTCTAAAGTTGCACGGCTGAATGTTTCGCCAAAGGGTCGATCATATGAAGAATTGTGTAGACATAATGGTGACTACTACTTAAGAGGACTTCAAAAATACCCACCACTTTTGATTCGACTATTGTGTTGAAGACGAGGTACCGAGACCTGAAGCTACGTATCGAGTTCGTTTGAGAGAAAGGAACACTCTTCTGTCATACTAGTAGATAGAAATTATCTACTAGTAGCTGGCGTAGTCGAGGATCGGAATGCTTGATTAGAAAAGGGTCAGCTTTAAAGAATGTAAATACGTGCTAAATAGTACTACCTAGGTATTCTTATCGCTTTACCACTAGTGTTACGCCTAAGATATACGAAGGTCTGTGCGTACTTCATACATTAAAGTTATCGTGTTTGAAGGAATAAAAAATGGGTCTATCAAGTTACTCGTAGGTATCTCAGGTACTGTCAAGCGCAGGGTCGAAAAGACCTCACAACACTTCTTGGCAACAAATTTCTTGCCCCGCCGGTTCTCCCCGCGATCGAATGACAGCAATTATTCAAAGGCAAAAAATTAACCTTGGAAGTTTAGACTACATGATCTCTCATAAACGATTAGATTGACAGCAAACCCTTTTTCTCTATCTGGTACCATTCAGAAACAACGAACAAGCATCATGTCTTACGACTCATGGCAGAGTCCCATGGGGGCCCGATATGCCAGTAAAGAAATGCTCACGCTGTTCTCGGCGCGGACTCGAGCTTCCACCTGGCGACAGCTGTGGATATGGCTGGCCGAGGCGGAGAAGGAACTGGGACTCGACATTTCCGAGGAGGCGATACAGCAGATGCAGGCCGCCAAGGTCATGACCGACGATGACTTTCAGGTCGCGGCGGTGGAGGAGAAGAGACGGCGTCACGACGTCATGGCCCATGTTCATGCTTTTGGCGAACGTGCTCCTGCTGCGGCTGGAAAAATTCATTTGGGTGCTACTTCATGCTATGTCACCGACAATGCGGATTTGATCTTTCTACGCGATGGTATCTCTCTGCTACTCCCAAAGCTTGCCAAATGTATTCGAAAGCTCTCCGATTTTGCAACCGAGTATAAAGCCCTACCATGTCTTGGATTTACCCATGGACAACCTGCTCAGTGTATCACTGTTGGAAGACGAGCCACCCAATGGATCGAGTCTCTATTGATGGATTTACGAAATCTTGAGCGAGCTCGTTCTGACCTCCGCTTTCGAGGCGTGAAAGGTACCACCGGTACGCAGGCGTCCTTCCTCGAGCTCTTCCATGGAGACCACCAAAAGGTCAAGCAACTTGATGAACTCGTCACCAAGAAAGCCGGATTCAATAAGCGCTCGATTGTTTCTGTCCAGACATATAACCGCAAGATTGACTTCGATATTGCCAACGTTCTTGCTTCCTTCGGAACCACCTGTGAACATATCGGAACAGATATCCGTCACCTGGCTATGTTGAAGGAACTGGAAGAGCCCTTTGAGAAGGACCAGATTGGGTCTTCAGCGATGGCATATAAGAGAAACCCCATGAGATCCGAACGGATGTGCTCCCTCGGCCGCAAACTCGCCACCTTGCCCGCTGGCTTTGGTGCAACCTATGCGCACCAATGGTTTGAACGATCGTTGGACGATTCGGCCATCCGACGCATTGATATTCCCGAGTTGTTCCTCATCGCTGATGCACTCTGCATTCTGCTCGAGAATGTCTCATCTGGTCTTGTTGTTTACCCCGCTGTCATCAATAGCCGTCTTCAACAAGAACTGCCATTCATGGCCACAGAGACAATGATCATGCGCATGAGTGAGAAAGGAGCCAGTAGGCAAGAAACTCATGAACAGATCCGTGTCCTATCACACCAAGCAGGTGCCGTTGTCAAGCAGGAGGGAAATCAGAATGACCTCGTGGAGCGAGTTCGCAGGGAGAAGTTTTTCGAACCGATATGGAGCGAGCTGACCGAGGAAGATTTGCTGAACCCGACCAAGTTCGTGGGCAGATCTGCTGAGCAAGTGGAAGAGTTTGTGGAAGAAGAGGTCGAACCAGCACTTGAGCCATACAAAGACCTTCTCGGTGGCCAGGCAGCAGAGATCCATGTCTAATGATGAGGACTGCTGAGAAGTTGATTCTGGAAATCAATCGAAATCTGGCGGTGCTAAGTGTTCTGGTGCAGGAGTGGACTTTCGCTTTCTGATGGTCGTTGTATCCTCTCCAGACCTATGCCTGGGAATTCGCCAACTCTTCTTCAATTAAAAATGAGCTTTCAAATGTAAATCTGATCACACATCCTTCATGTCTTGAACCATTTTCCATAGCCGTCGTTGTTCTTCCATCTTGTCGTCCTTTATTTCCCGGCCTGATGAAGATTTTTCATTTCCATTCAGCCCGTCAACCGCGAGTGTCTTGTTCTGAAGCTGTGCGACCTCATCTAGAAACGTTTGGATTTTCAGCTTGAGATTGTCGCATTCGTCGATCTCTCTCTGACCGTCTTCCAAGCGACTCTCCAATAAATCCTTTGCACTTTCTCGTGCCTGATGTGGGCGATACATGTTGATGACGACGTGAACATTTAGGAACAGTTGTCTAAAGTCATCAAGCTTTTCTTGATATTGGGTTGGATTAAGAGATAATATGGTAGACAGTTCGAGGAAATTTAACAACAAAGATGTTGTTAACTTCTTTAGTAGAAATGCATGGTCTAGTTTTGGCTGATTTGGATCAAACAATAGTTCATCCAAAGGTAGTGAGGAAGGCTTCGTTGGATCGATGACTTGTTTCTGACCAAAAGTGGTGTAGTTTTCAGCCAGGATAGGTGGCGGAGGGGGAGGTCGCAGATAAGCAAGTGGGATTGGCAACTTTGAGTCTGCCTGCTCTGTAGAATCATGCTTCGTCAACTGCTCTTCATTTGCGACAGTGAAATGCCTCCAGAAAGGTGGGGGTGCAGGGAAGGGGGCCTCCGGGAGTTGAAAAGGTGGATCTGGTTCAGCCATGGCTAGCTCATGCGCGACATGACAGTCCACGCGAAGTGATCTTATTGATAAAGTCACGATACGAGTAGGTGTTGGTATCTGCGGGACAGGATTGATTCGTGAGTGTTAAGTGAGAAGGACGTTGGTCGTGTCCGACATGAAGTTCTGGGATGGGAGGAATGGCCAATCAGTGCGCGTAATTTGCGGAGCAGATGGCCACGTGATTCTACTGGCTGTCGCTGCTTTTACAGCACGGCTCTTCCTTCGCTAGTGATAATAGCGGCAAGAGATCCTATCCGTACGTTTGACCCCTGCTTCATACCATAACTTGACCACGTTTAGGTCGCGTTTCTGTTCTTTTTGGAAAACCGGCTCCTCTCTTAAGCCTCAGCAATCTATTTGTATTCATCATGAAATGATCATCGTTGGCCTTTAAATGCCCTTGCAACCCAATATGCGGCAATCAACTAGTGAAGCACCTGGCGTCATTGGTGCTCTCCACCGCTTCTGGCAACGATCATATGCTGCTGACTATGTTGGCTTTGCGCTACTTCTCGCTGCTTATATATATGTCAGTTCTGAAATGTGGACTTCCTCGACTTGTTTCGTCTAACCTGAGACCAGGTCCAATTATTAGAACCGTTTCATCGCATGTTCACCTTGGACGATCATGCGAAGCAGTATCCTCACGCCACAGTTCAGAGAGTTTCATCTGGGGAGAATATATCATATGCCGGAATCGGACCACTTGTTATCATCATAGCCTGGTCTTTGGTCTTTCGCCCTGGTCTCCACAAGGCCCATGTCACCATCTTCGGTCTCTTTATCAGTGTATTTCTAACATCGCTTCTAACCGATATCATTAAGAACGCAGTCGGACGTCCACGCCCTGATTTGATTGCTCGATGCAAGCCTAAGCCAGGGACTCCTGAGCATGAGCTAGTCACGATCGATATTTGTACCGAGACTGATCATCATGTGCTTCATGATGGATGGCGGAGTTTTCCTAGTGGCCATAGCAGCTTTGCTTTCTCCGGACTGGGTTATTTCGCCCTGTTCCTTGCAGGACAATTTCGAATCTTCAGGCCACGAACAGACTTGGCCAGAGTTCTCATCGTACTAGCTCCTCTCATTGGTGCATCACTGATTGCCATGTCAAGGTTGGCCGACTACAGGCACGATGTGTTCGATGTCACGGTTGGTAGTATACTGGGTATGTCGGTGGCAGGGTTTTCATATAGGCGATATTATCGTTCACTCAAGCACCGGCATTGTGAAGTGCCGTATCCTAGTCCTTGGGAGTATGCCACGGCGATGGGTTCTAAGAGAGCAATGGACATGGAACATCAGGGCCGGGACGAAGACTTTTCTATTGAAGATCTTTCGGAGGACGAAGCGCAGGCAATTCCTCTCACGAATTCACGAGCAGCACGATCCACTGATGTACAACAGAGTCATTAACCATCCTGATGAATGTGGAAAACCAATGTGTGTATCTCAAAGTTCAGATATTCCTAGCACCCGATTTGTGTATAATCATGTCATCATAACAGCGCCACAGCCATGTCCAAAGTAGCTGACCCTTCAAAATCCCTTTGCTTGGAGGCGTTGCCCATTCACTCGACAGCCCCAATGAACAATGTGCCTCTAACTTCAAATGTAGACGTTCTACATGACTGTGCAGGGAATGATGCAGCAGTCGCATTCGTAGTCGCCGCAGTCACAAGGAATGCATGGCTTCGTGGGGCCTTTGATACCCTTTGTGATGCTTGAGGTGGAGGAGGGAGGCATGACTGCAAGATGATGCTGAGATTTGTTTTAGTTGGCTGGTCTAGCAAGAGGCTGTCTTGTCAGTGGAAGAAACGCGACGACAAATCGTATGGTAGAGTGTGCTCACCTATAAATCTCTTTGCTTTGTCTAGGATTTCGAAACACCTGTGCGAGAGAGGCGACTCGAGGTTTAGCTTGTATTCTTGAGTTGAAATGTCTTGAGCAAACAAGTTGGAATGCGATGCGGCTGCACATGAAATAGGGACACTGACGTATGCCTTCAAAGGTTCTGGGGCACACTGGGGCCGGCCACGCCTGGAATGATGCTCTCCACGCAAGCAAGCTTCTTAGCTTCCGGGCTGTGCTCTCGCCAAGATTCGTGCTCATTTGAAGCTGAAACAAAGCTGCAGGGTGCCCAATAATCTATCAATCACCACTGCTACAGCTAATAATATTCTGCCGGCCGTCTCCCTGGGCGGTGAGTAGGTTAGTATTTGCCGCCGCCTTGATCTAGGTTTTGCCGCCGCTCTAACGCCACTGGGCTTACCTCTATGCGACCTGCTTCGACATCAGTTTTGAGTCGTTCCAGAGAACTTTTTCTTTCTTAAAGACTCGCCTGCCTCAGGCTATTCGTTGCCATCACTCGCATGTCAATGCTTCCACAATCTGAGTGTATGAGACTTTCAGAATCGACGAGAACCTCGCAATTGCGAATGGAAAATGTCTTGTCTGAATTCCTTCAGCACATACCAGACTTGTTGGTGCGCGAACCTCGACAACTCGATGTTTAATTCCTCAATTCCTCCACTTGTGGTTTTACTGGTGAGACTGGATAGAGCCACGCGCTGCCTGGTTCGCAGCAGGCTTTTGACTTCTCACAACTCATGTATGAGTGCCCAACCCTCAAAACTTTATTGTCGTATATCAGGGATATATGGTTTGGGTCCGGTTCCAAACCCCTATGATGCTGGTCTATTGACTCCATTTCCTGACCTTCGTTGAAATTTTTGTATAACCCCTTCACTCCGTACACTTTTACCACCACCTTCACTTTTTCCTGGTGGAGATTTAACTGAAAGTGACCGGACGATCATCCTGATCATGTTCCATGTGGCAGATCACCATGATATACTGCAAAGCTTGCTACTAAGTGGGGGACATGCTTTGGGCCTACAAGACAATTCGAAGTACCTGTCCATAAAAATTGTACCTATTCCTCCTCTCAACTTTTTGAAGGCTCGCTTTGTCACCCAGCTTCCTTACATTCTCACTCAATCTCGACAGACTCAGTTGACTAACACCTTTCACTATCGCTATCGACCACAGAGCGCTCGTCAACATAGTTCGAGCCCATCACCATGAAAATCAGCATCAACTTCAATCTCATCTGCTTCGGCTTCCTCTCCGTTCTCCCGTTGGCCCTAGCCGCACCTGCTAGTAGTGCGAATGCCCTGGCGGCGGAACTCGATGTCACGGTGACCGCCCCCGGTCCAACGATCACTGTCGCAGCTAGCACTGCCACCGTCACAGCAGTAGCCACTTCCACCGCGACAATTTTCACCGTCGGCATCGAAGACAAACAATGCGGCAAGCAATATAGCGTCAGGCTCCCCACGGGTGTGATCATCGTCAAAACCGTCGATACATGCGTGACACCGCACCAGCGGACCTGTCCTCGCGAGGCAATGGTCGCACTGGCCATGTGGCGTGCGGCGTGTGAGAAGTCGACGGACAAGTTCCGGCCAGAATGCCAGACCAAGGCGCCGTCGATCGAAATGTGCTGCACCGTGTGGGTACCCAACGACAAAGCCATATACGAGTTCTACGGCAAGTACCACGAGCGGCTCAACACCACGCATAACTTCTACACCGAAACCTGGGATCCCGAAGTCGGCCAGTGGATCAAGCTCTTCAACGGGCCCGAGGAAACCTACGTCAAGGATGTAAATGGCGTTCCCACCCAGTTCATCCACCTCATCCTGCCCGGTAAGGGTGATTATGACTTGACGCAGAAACCCTGCCAGAGATTCCAGGCTCCCGATGAACCCACGTACCTTGCCTTCCATCAAAGCCTGGGCCATTACGGCCTTGCCGACTGCAATGAGAAGGGTGAAGTCTGGTCCAAGGATGGAAAGACCCTGCTCGGCTACCTTCCATGATGCGTTGTTGCTGTGTTGATGGCGCGTGCTTCGTTCCACTTCTTGCATCGTCCATATGGTTTAAAGCTGGTTTGGACGCGGATTCTTTCAATCTGTGACGGGAATCAATGTTCATGGGCTTTCATCATCGGTACAGTCGTGGAAATGAGTGCTGTCAACAGTTGCGGCGTCTCTACTACTGGTCAGATAATGTTCAACCGGCCATGTTATGTCCTTAGCATCTAGATAATTCATGGCGATAGATTTAGGCTACTGTGGTAGATCCCACACATTCACGGAATCAATGGGAATACTGTTTTGATTTGACTTGATTTGATTTGAATTTCTGCTGATCTCATCTGTGGGATCTTTCGTTTTCTAGCTGTTGTGGTCGGATTGTGTCTGCTTATCTCCTCCGACCTCTGCATTGCGGCTTCGTCACCGAACTCCACTGTTGGGGAAAGGTGTAACGTTATGCAGCGCCATCATACATTTTCGGGGCCTTGCAATGCCTTCGCGCACAGTCCATTAGAAAAGCGCCATGCCTATGCCTACTCTTTTCAAATACCGACGAAAGAAAAGAAGAAATCGCTCATGACTTTTGATGCCAACGGGCGCCGACCGTATCCTGAACTCCTTCGCTATGCTGTCATCAACCATGTGCTTTTATGCACACCTCGTCATAAAAAATAACCTGGAACTTTGATGGCGTTTGATTTGGTCTTGTGGGTATCATCGCTTTTTGGGCAAAAAGAAAAGAAGTCGTCACGCTCACGTAGAGCATCTGGTGCTATAACAAGCTGTACATGCTATTCCTGATCACTTCAGTCGATACGCTGAAAGTGGCTCCAAAGTATGCTGCTCGAAAGCGCCATAGAAATCGTCATTAACGATGTAGTTTGAAGAATCGCTGAAATGGTGATCCTCGAATGGAAAGATGTTGTCGTCTGCAAGGTCACCGTCACCCACAGCAACATGTGCGTGTGATTGTTGGCTGTTGGCTAAACTCTCCGGTGGGTTGGAAGTTGGATATTGTCCTGATGGATAATGGTATGCGGTGCCAGCATGATAGATTTGGTCTCCAAGCATGGTCATGGATCCAGACAGGATATTATCATCATCAAGATTCATGAGGTTATCGAGATCACCAGTAGCAGGATCTTCATGTCCATAGTACAAGAAATCTTCCGGCTCTGCTGGACCACCAATAAGGGTTTCCATCGCTGAACTCTTCTTGACACCTTTATCCTTGCGTTCCTTGCGCTTCTTGGGGACGGAGACTCGTTGTTCATCCTCAAAAGATTGTGTGGCCTTACGTTTCTTATTGCGGATCATGCGTTTGCTTTCGAGGCCAAGGTGAGCGGTGCGTACATGCTCTTCAAGACTGGCTTTGGAGGTGAAACCACGGTTGCAGCCTTCGACAACGACATCATCGTCACATTCAAAGTCATCTGGTAGTGCTATTTCGGTTTGACCGCATACAAAAGCCTTGGTGTTCTCGTGTACGGTTTTGACATGAACATTCAGATTACCTCTCTTGGTGAAGACCTTGCCACATCCATGAGTGCAAGGGAACGAAGCAGCTTTCTTTGATGATTGGGGCAGCAGGATACCGTGCTGAATCTCCAGATGTCGAGTTAATTCCTTGTTGGTGGTGAATGAGGTGGGACAATGTGGACATGTTGGAGGATGAACAATCTTCAGATGAGCTTGAAGCTCACCATAGGTAGAAAAAGATGCTACCACCATCTGGTCCTTTTGTCCGGACGCGAGACGAATATCGTTGAGCTCCTTGCAATCATCACAGGAGAAGCGGGTAGGGTCATGCTTGGCACGTTGATGAGTACGCAATTTCTCGGCGGTATCGTATGCTTTAACACATGGCTGACCAGTGACTGAATCGACCTCTTCACAAGGGAATGGTTTGATGTTCTGATGGAAAGAGAGAATGTGCCGATCTAAGGTGCCTTGCTTTCTGAATGTCTGCTCACAATTTTCATAAGTGCAACGAAAGCGATCTCTGTCTTGGTGAGTTTCGACATGTCTGCGCAATCTTGTTGCAGTGACGAAACTTTTGTCACATCCTTCAATCGTGCATGGATGGTCACGCAGTTTGACATGTTGGCTTTTGACGTGGTGCTTGAGGTGAGAGTCGCGGAGAAAAGCCTTGGTGCAGGGAACATAGGGACATTTGAATGGGCGAGTGTTTGTGTGAGACCGCAGATGCTCCTTAAGCCTGGCCTGACGGTTGAATGTCTTCTCACAACCCTCCCAAGGACACGGCAGACATTTTTCTCCTCGACGCCTCGAAGTGGTGGAAGTGGAAGGAGGGGTGGAAGCGGGCGTGTCGTCAATCTGACCATTGACCGGTTCTTCGGAGTCTTTCAGGTCATAGTCTACAAGATCGACATTCTCATAGTCTTCGTCGTCAGAGTCGGAGTCGAAGTCAATGTCAATGTCAGAGTCCGAGGAGTCAGACATTGTGAAGGTAGGAATCACTCCGCGTCGCAGGGGGCCGTCGTGGTGACCCGTCGCGAAGAGTGGGAGGGGTGGGAGGCAGGACGGAAGATGCGGTGATAGACCGTCGCAGCTCAGGACTGAAAATCACGACTTCAAGTTTGAATTGAAAGAAAGCATGTGGCGTGCCGACCAACGGATGAATGTGGGGGAGAAATGATTAGGACGGAGGCATCGGGAGTTGCGCGACTGGTGGAAGCCAAATCTGTCCCTCAATCGCAGAGTTCCACTCCTTGTGCTGGAAGTTTTTTGGTTTTCAGTTCCGGGCCCTCTCCTCAGTCTTGGCAACAAACAGCAAGGTCACGTGGCGATTGTGGTTAGCGCGGCGTATCTATGATCCGTATCGCACGTGACGACTGGGAATTTATTTTTCAAATCAGACGCGACGTGCCAACATTTATCCTCCGGCACAGTCAACGGTTGGAATGCCCAATAACTTAATCCGTTTGATCTGTCGTACGAACTGCTCTTTGGGCGCCAATCGTCACCATCTTGTGAGCATCAAGTGCGCAAGAAGATTTCCCCAGTCAGTGCACGCTCTGTTCATACCCAAATCTCAAACGGCCACATCAACTCTACTGACGACACATAATGTCTGACTATGGTGACGAGGGCGGGTAAGTCCTCAACTGAACCCCTAACTCATCCTTTCATCACTGATGCGACAATCAGCTACGGCCAAGATGAACCTGATGATACCTTCTACGAGCCAGAAGAGGTTGCGGAGGACTTTGCGCCAGACGGTGAGGTAGACGAGGATGAAATCGAGGCTCGAGCCGCCGCGGAAAACGGTGAGGACAAGGTGGTGGTCTCGGGCGATCCAAATCAGGTTCAAAAACCTTCCAGCGATGCCGACAAGAAGATTCCTGATGACAAGCGAACAACCACTCCTTACTTGACTAAGTATGAGCGGGCCAGAGTCCTTGGAACTAGAGCTTTGCAGCTCAGGTAATACGGATTCATACTCGTCAACATACTCGGTACACTGCTGATGAAAGTAGCATGAACGCTCCGTCTCTTGTGGACCTCGAGGGCGAAACTGATCCTCTTCAAATCGCAATCAAGGAACTGAACCAAAAAAAGATACCACTGATCATCAGACGATACCTCCCAGATGGATGGTAAGTTAGACTCACCTTGGGCAGGCGTAGCTTACTGAAAGTATCAGGTATGAAGATTGGACTGTTGAGGAACTATTGTGATGTGGCTTGGTATAGTCTTCATCCACCACACCCTCAAACCTGCAAATCTCTTCCAACGTAATCCGGAATTCAGAAAGGCGATTTTCGACCCGAAACTGGTTCTCAATCTATCACTTGTCGAAGATTGTGTGGCCATGCCAGGATTGCGGAGGATCAATGTCGGCGACTGTTGATGCCGATGCAGTATCACCAACTACCACTTTACTCTCTACTGCAACCAGTAATCAAAACCAAGCACATCATTGGCTACAGAACAACGACGGATTAGCCCTTTGGTTCGTCCTTCTTGTCAACAACGAACAAGCTCTTGAACCCGCTCTCACACGAGACTTGTACACAATCTGGACATATGGCACGCCACTGCGCGCCACATCCCTGTTGTCAGAGGCTGTGCCGATCCATCCAGATACCCGCAAGGCTTGGCATCTGCAATGCTTACTTCCGCTTAGCCAGTTCAAGTTACTGGTCAACGTTGGGGGTTTTCCAGCAGACCAGGTCCTCAGCTTATCCCTTCCTGAAGCCAGTCAGAACGGCCTTAGCACTGGCTGTGGATCCTCGTATGGCACTTTAGCTTGAACGAAGCTCCTTCTTGCTGCTGCTTGACTGCTTCCCCTCGTCTGTGTATCAACATCAAGAAATTGAATATGAATTCTTTTCGAAACCAATTGCTTCTTCATACGCTCTGCTAGTTACTGTAGAGATAACCCACTCGGCCTGCCGGTTTCCAGGATATTTCGGCAAAACTCGCATCTGTCGCAAGAACTTCCTCCCTCACACGTACAAAACTTACTTAACGAGGTAATCAGATAATGTGACTTCACTCTTCGAGACAACTCTGGTTCCGGAGTTAATCTGATTGGGTGGTGAAAAATAACAAATGAAGGGTGGATATCAGTAAGTGCTATGATTGGGATACACTGTGGCGCCGTGAAGTCTTTTCGAAGGAAGTCCCTGGAGGCCCTATCTGGCGAGCTTATGTCCGTTTTGGGGCTACCGAGGATACACCATGCCTCTTTCACATGTCCGACGGATCCATACATGGGTAGGTTGCAGGGTATACAAAGAGGCTGTACTCTTGAATACTATTTCTGAAGCTCTCATCGGTCGGCGCTGGGATGTGGCAGCCCACCGATGGTTGACCTCCTCCAGCAGTTTGATTGGCCACAATGTTCGATCGGTTAGCTGAAGCTCTGGAGTATTCGCGAAAACTTGCAGGATCGTCGTCGATGTTTTATATGGAAAGGCCCCCAGTGGAAGGCTTCCAGAGTTATAATATGGTCCGAGGAAGCCGTTTTAGTCTGCGAAAACGTTTCAATCACTACTTGGGACATTCTCTTAGCTTTCGCTCTGCAGCCCTGCAACTCGAAGCTTGAGTCGATATATCAGACGCATCCATGGATTATCAACAAATTCCTCCAGTTGTATCACCGCCCAGGCGATCTGCTTCAACTAGACATCATGGACAGAGGAGGATACCGAGGAAACCAGTTCCACAGCGGCGGCCGAATTCGTCGAGAAGCTTCACACAGGCTTTCGCATGGCTTAGTGGTGCTCTTATGACCCATGACAGCACGCCGACAGTTCAAGAGGAAGAACCTAAACATCTAAGGGGTCTAAACAGGCATTCATATCGCTATACTTCACAATTTGACCCTCGCATGCAATCTGGGTTCACGCTGTATGACCCTGATCTGCAACCAACGCAACTTCCAAAACCAGACCACTCGACCAGATCCAGCGTTGTTGACGCCCTGAATCTCGACTGGCAATTACCACCACTATCCCGAACCTTTTCAGATATCGATGTCTCATCAGTTCTCAATGTCGCAATAGAAGCACAGGCGAATCTATCGCCTCAACCTGGTGATGCGCCCCCTCCCAATGGTGGCCTTATCGCGTGGCTGCAGGTCCTCGGTGCATTCTTCTGCTATTTCAACAGCTGGTAAGTAAATCTTTCTCTCAAAAACCTTCATTCTTGCACGAACTTGTTCTGCGAAAGTGCATGTTTTGCAGACAGCTGCCTTGGAAGTCAAATTGCTGATCAATTTAACAGGGGTACAATGAATTCTTTTGGTGCTTTCCAGACCTATTACGAAACTGGAGCTGGTTGGAATAGAACACCATCTGAAATATCTTGGATCGGGTCAACTCAAGCATTTCTCTCATTGATGGTCGGTGTCTTCACTGGACCACTGTACGATGCAGGTTACTTCCGTCCCATTATCTGTACTGGTGGATTCCTTGTTCCATTTGGATATATGATGACCAGCATTGCGACTCAATACTGGCAAGTCCTTCTGGCACAAGGTTTCGTCATTGGTATCGGCAATGGCTGTTTGTTCGTCCCCGCCGTCGCCATTCTTCCACAATATTTCAGTACGAAAAATCCCCTGGTTAACGGTATTGCAGCCAGTGGCTCAAGTCTAGGTGGACTTGTCATTCCTTTTGTTTTGACCCGGCTTGAAAGGCAAATCGGCTTCGGCTGGGCGACGAGAACCATTGGCTTCCTGGCTCTGAGCACAGCTGCCATCAGTATTGCTACTATGAAACCCCGCCTAACTCCCAAGAGTAAGCGTAAGCTGCTTGATCTGGCCGCGTTTAAGGAGCCGACCTACACCCTATTCACCGTTGGACTTGCGACTGGGTTCATTGGATTCGCGGTTCCAACATTTTACCTCGGTACATTTGCATCTTCGACGGGCATTGCATCTCCAGAGTTCTCCTTTTATTACCTCCCGATACTCAACGCCGCTTCCACATTTGGCCGCATTATTCCCGCTATTCTAGCGGCAAAATACGGCCCGCTCAATGTCTTAATCCCGATCTGCATGCTCGCCGGATCCCTATCTCTGATATGGTGCGTCATCAAGACCTCCGCAGGTACAATTGTATTCGCTATTTTCTATGGTTTCTGCTCCGGAGGATTCGCGGCGATGTCACCCATTGCATTGGTCACTATGACACCTGATCTCCGTACTCTTGGAACACGTATGGGTCAATTGTTCTTCTGTGCTGCATTGGCATTGTTGGCTGGGCCACCCTCGGCAGGTGCAATATTGACCTCGACACACTCTTGGATTGGTCTGAAATGTTTCGCTGGTGGCACTGTTGTACTTGGCTCGATTATCTTGATGTTTGCGAGAGCTAGTAGGGTTGGCTGGAGTCTCAAGAAAAAGGCTTGAGGGCGCCGATCGTTGATCTTTGACATTTTGAATCCTCGAATCCTTGAAATCCTTCGCTGATACCTCTTGTTCAGTAATTCTTCAGTCCAGTGCATTCAGAGCTTCCATCACAAATACTCGAAAAGGAAGGCTATAGTTTTCTTCCCAGCGATTGGTTCGTCTCATGAGTAAGCTGACCGATGGGGCTGATAAAGGTCGCAACGCTAAGTTAGCAGTGACGGATGATGGAGAGCATCTGAAGAGCCTACTGGTTGAACAAAGCAACCAGAATCATTGATGGAGTTTCCGAGACAAGGCATTGCCGAAGTATGATGAGAGATCAGATATGACGAGGCGGACGTTACTTAAAGCTCAGTCATGCCCATGGCAATATCTCTACCTCCACGACGCGATCATCAGGTCTTTGTTAGAATATTTCAACATGGGCACCCACACACTTGCTGCCGGGCAATACACCACTGTCATCAACGGTTTGACCATTCATTATACGATTCGCACCTCAGGCGTCGGCCTTCCCCCCTTGGTCATCCATCCACCGCCATGGGGCTGTGGAGTAAGTTTGTATGAGGGAAGCTTCACACACCTCGAGTCCAAGTACACATTGATATACCCACAACCACGAGGCAACGACGCATCGCAACGACCCGACGACCCGACCGAAATGTCGAGTCGCCACATCTGCGACGACCTCGACGTGTTCCGCCAACAACTGGGACTCGAAAAGATCAACCTCCTAGGCCACTCCAGCGGGGGCACCATCGCAGCGGGCTACGCGATCGCCTACCCGGACAAAGTGGACAAAGTCATCCTCGTCAACACCGACCTACCAGGCTACACGCGCAAAGACCGCTCATTCTTCGAGGACATGGCCAACATCCGCACGTCACAGAACCTCTCCGTCGAAACCGACGACGAATTCAAAGCCTACATCGTCAAATGCCTGCCCCTGTACTTCGCACACCCGGAGAAGGGATACGCCGAGGCGTTCGAAAAAGCCTGGCAATCAAAAGTCAGTCTGTGGGCATATCAGAACTACTACGGTGCCGACAAGAGCGACGCCGGGAAGTGGGACATGTTGTCCGAGCTGGGAAAGGTCACAGCGAAGGCTCTCGTCATCGTGGGAAAAGCTGATCGCTGCTGCGCCCTGGAGGTCAGTGAGGCGGCCGCCGGTGGCATCAAGGGCAGTCAATTGGTGGCGCTGGACGAGTGCGGCCATTTTCCGTGGGTCGGGGCCGCAGATGAGTTTTGGAGCGTTCTGGAGAAGTTCCTGAGCAATTAGTTTTGGTTTGCTGATGAGTGTGATTATGCTATCCTTCCTAATTTGTGGAGAGCCAGAATTTGTGGATACAACTTGACGCAGATTTCAGGACGTAATGAGACTAATAAGCTGACCTGAAGAGTATATTACCATTTCATTGTGCTAAGCAATGTAGGGAGACACCTTCGTCTAGAAAATGTACTGATTATCACATGCATGAAACACTGTGAGGGGAGAATTGCCGGCCTCTAAAAACCAAAAAAATCCAGGACTGTCCTACCCAACCTAATAATCCACTGAGGAAGGTTGGTGAGTAAGCGTCTCAGCCTTGCCAACTCTCTACACTCCACCCAACGTGTAAACAAAAGACACAGCAGAAACCAACCGTCTCGACACCCCAAAACCCCACTACCTCCCCTCCATACTCCCAACACCTTCCCCTACTAAACACAAATGTATTCAACGGTACGAAATATACCACATTCAACCATTATTGGTTCGTGGAAACCACCCGATGCATCGAGCCACTCGCTGTCCTGCAGGATCTCACACACGCCACCCACAAATCCCTGTGCGATCGATTTTGCAACGAACGTCCTACAGCTGACGCCCTCTGTTTCGCTCAAACCCACCTATTCAAATCTCACAGTCGGCTTGCGCTTCGCGACCCAAGCGCCCATATCTTGATCCCAAGTGACTCTCTCGTACTCTCTGTCGCGCCTAGTATGGTCACGTAACGGCGCGGGACGGTCATGCGTAGGAGCGGCAGCGTGCACGTCTGTGCAGACCCCAGTGCAAACATGGCTGCAGTCGCTATGGTAGCTCTCGTCATCGGGCTCGTCGTCAACGGTGTCATCACGGGCGAGGCATCGGTCTCTTGCTCGACCACGGGGCTGCTCATGATTTTTGGTTGCGTCTTTGTGTGTTTGCTTGTACTTGTCGTGAAAGTCGTCGAAATCACCCTCGCGTTCCGGACGGTAGCGTTCGACCTTGCTCCTCTCGACACGTACTCCATTGCCATGGAGGTGGCGGATGGAGGGTGATGCTTGGCATTTTCCTTTCGGCGCTGGAGATGATGAGGACGAAGGTGACCGGGTCCGGCACCATGAATGGCACACTGAGGTTTGACCTAGGATGACTGGGTCTGGGTCTAGACACTGCGTGCATTTCTTAGGGTTGGGCTTTGGCTTTGATGTTGTGCACAGTGTTGACTTGTCGTGAAAGTAGTGGTGATGGACATGCTCCTGAAGTTTGCGATCATCTGCTTTGTGTTTGTATCTATAGGCTTGATCGTGGTATTTTGAACAGTCACAGGTGGATTTATAGTCGTCCTTTTCGCGGGTTTTTGCAACTTTCTTCACGTACGTGTAGGACTCGCCCTTCTTTCGGTACAGGAACATTCGCCCTTTGCTATCTTTCTCCACCCAGTAGAATTTCTTCTCGAACAAGGGAAACATTGTACAGGGATGAGAAAGTGATTCTGAATGGGGATTTAGTAAGTATTGAGTGTCACCGAAGCCACAAGAAATTTTCCAGAGTGCTTGACCTGGCGTTTCTTGTGCGTTGAAGCTGGAGATGCGAATGCAACGAATTGTGAATGCCATAGGGGTCAATATCTGCAACCGACTTGTTCTTATGTTGGTGCAACCTTCCCATAGATGGGTAGAAAGTGAAGCTGGCAGAGACAAAATTCTTTGACGCAAGAGTATAGAGAAAGATCAAGGCTGCATTGCAGCAAAGGCATTGTTGCTGCACCTGGAACGAAGGGCGACATTGTCACGATCACTGCGGGAAAGCACTCCATAGATCTGGTCTTCAATACCTACCTTATTTCAAAAGGCTGGTCACATAGACAAAGTCAATATCCATTGTGGGTGGCATTGTGATGTCTAATAGCCAGGTAAGTTTGCTCTGGAGAGGTCCCAAGACATAAAGAAGGAATGGCTCACCAGACTCAAAAATCTGGTCATGTGGCCGATGTGGCTCTTTGGAACAGCCACCATAGCAATTGTGGGGATCAGTAGGCGTATGCTCCATTGTCTTTTTGGAACTGTTGCGCGTGCCGGGGGTGAGTAAAGCAGCGGCGCATGACTGAATCAGGATATTTCAAGGTCGTTGATCTGAAGAGGCAAACTTGGGAAGAACTTGTAGAACAAACAAGAGCATCTTGGCACCCAATTCTCAGGGAGGGCTGTCACGTGTTGGATTCTCAACACGAACAACACGGACACGTGCTTGTGCTCTGTCACTAGTAAAATATATGGCTGTGCAATGGAGTTGCGTGGAGGGCGTGGGAGTGCAAGTCAGGGGTATCAATTTATCTTAGCCGATTGCACTGATCGGTCTAAATATCTGTGTGGCAGCGAAATGGCTTATTTTGATGCTGGCTTCAAAGTTTGGCCTTCATTTCGCCTCCTGTTTTGGTTGGCTGTGACTCGATAAGGATTGAATAATACGGTTATAATGAAAGACACTTACCTGGTGTTCAGTTGCTGGCTGCTTGCCATGAGAGAGGATCCATCCTGCAACATCCTTCGCAAACTGTTCTGCTATCCCATCAGGCTCAGCGTGCAGCTTGTGATATGCGTCGGGGTAAGCTTGATAGATCTTGTCACCATCTGGGGCTGCTAGTACATCGAAAAGTCTCTTAGCAGCTTCAGGAGAGACTACCCGGTCTGAGGTGCCATGACCAAGCCATACAGGACAGGGTAACTTGGTTTGGATACCCAACACGTGACGACCATGGCTCAAGGTGGAAAGGTCTCCTGCCCGTTGAAGGAGTCCTTTGAGACCTTCCAGAGTTCCAGTGTCATGGCAAAGAGGATCATCTACCCAATCCTGTCGCACTTTGGCTGAATGGCACATATATGTCGAATCCAATTTCTGCTTTAGTTGAGTGTTTGGAAGTAAAAGGGCCGCTAATTTGCCAACGAGAACTTTCGCAAAGGATGGCTGCTCGGAAGGGTCAAGTTCGATATATGGTGCTTCTAGGAGAAAACCTGATAGTTTTGGGCGATTCGAAAAGGCGGGTGGGCTCGAAAGAAGATAGTAGAGCGTCTCGCCGCCTCCCATGCTATGTCCCATGAGGAACAAGGGTTTGCCTTTCGCTTCTGTAAGTGACGCAACATGAAGTACAAAGTCGTGAATATCGCTGAGGACAAGTGATGTGGGTCCCGTGAGACCATTCTCTGATGACTTCTTCACGGATCGGCCCCAGCCTCGTTGATCAAAACCATAGACAGCAATATTATGAGGGGAAGAGCTGAGAGTCGGGAAGAAGTCATAGTAAGCTGATAGCGAGTCAATAGAAATTCTCTTGTGGTCCATTTAGGAGGTAGTCTACCGTTAATATGATCGGAAAATCCATGAACAAATATCAGGACTGCAGATATATCTCCAGCATCCGGCTGGCAACGGTCAGCGAGATTTCACGACGCTTTGCATCGGCCAAATGGTTTCTCTGCGATACCATCGCCGAGGCTTGTAAGCTTGAAGATGGCATACCGTCCAGGATTTCTTGTAGAGATTTGTGCCATCATGAGTTGAAAATGTTCCTTCATTTGTCACAGTCATGATGGGTGGTGCAGCTTTGATGTCAAACTCAAGTCAGTGTAGATGGTGGCTTTCGAGCTCAGGCAATGAAATTAGAAACACTGAACAAGCTGTGATAATGGCAATCTCCCGACGATGTTATGCTGTGATGGACGAATTTCAAGTTTGTTGTTGAATTCCAGGAAGGAGGTGGATGTTCAGCCCACGCGATGAACCGAGGCAGGAGTGACCGTGCCCCCGGAAGCACGTGGAAGCGGTGATCACCTCGCCTGTTTAGGCACCAAGCTTGGTTAGAGCAATTGGTGGGGATATTAGTGATACCCCTTACAGATGCCTTGTCAGCCTACTTCTGAATGCACTTTAACCAACCTAGGTAGCTAATGCACAAAGTCGGAGTGGCCACTCATCATGTTAGATGGGAAAATACAGACACGAATCGGAGAAATCTCTGCCGGAGCGTAGGGAGGTACATTCATCAGGATTGTTTATGCAATTCTCCAGATAAAAACCTTCTTGTCAAATCCTCCACTAATCAATATCTCTTTCTTGCCATCCGGACCATTCTCGAATCCCGCGTAAAGTGTTCGAACCTTGCTTCCAACCTCATGCGCTTGCAAAAGACTGACGACCTTCCCATTATCAGTATCGAGTCCTCTTACAACCCCATCGTCAGCATTAACGAACACTCCACTTCCAGATGGACGCCAGACTACCTGTGGTGTGGAGTATGGTGTCTGGGGGGACATTGTTGAGACATGTAGCTTGATTGCATGCTCCTCACGATCCTGCACTGCCAGAGCTGCTCGTGCTTGTGAAGCCTGCGTCTGTGGCTCGGTGTCGGGAACGTTGGAGGACGAGGGGAAAAGCAGACGAACGATAATTAATTTCATATGTGGCAGGTGTGATGTAGCTACGGCGAGTAGCGAAGGATCCGCGGGTGACAACGCCAAACATGATGGCGTGAAACCGATCCACGCATTCGAATGTGGCGCTAGATTCTGCTTTCCAGTCTCCCGTACTGAATATGCGGCTTCGCTATTTCTTGACGAGGATGACTCTGGAGATGTTGAAGTAATGGAATAATAGTACAGAAAAGTTGAATCTCTCCTTGATAGAACCAAATATGGTTCCAACGTATCAGGATGCTGAACAAAAACCATGGACTCTGGATTGGTTGGCAAAGCAATGGTATGGACTGGATCACCAAGCAATCCGTCGATGTGGGACTCATCTCCAACATCAGAGGAATTTGCCGGTTCAAATCTCTCGGCCAGTTCGTGTTCCGGAGTGTAGAGATGAACTTTCTGGTCCCAACCAGCGGTAGCGACGATCCAATTACCGTTTCTTGTGACCGTGGATACAACCTGAACAGCATACTTTAAGTGGTCCCGACATTTGTCGAGTAGCCTACCTCGGCCATCATGAAGCATGAGTTGCCCAGACATGGAGGTCGAGAAAATGTATGGACCAGGCAATGAACTGATAGATAGCACCGGACTGGCATGAGCATTGGATATCGACTGTGTAAGTCGGAATGGACCGGTCGTCGAAAGTTGAGACCACGATTTATCTGCGGTGGTAATGAAGATAGTCTTGTGTGCATCGTTATCGTCACCAGCGCCACTCACGCAGAGTACATTTGAAGAAACGCGAGCTTCTGGCTCCACAGGTTTCGATGGCGCAGGTTGCGTCCACCCAGTAAGTTGACCATCACCTTTCTTCTCAAACGAGAGACTTGAGTCGTACTGCTTCTTCTCCTCGAGGACTTGTTCTATTGTCCAGTCACCTGGCTTCGTATCTGCTGCATCTTCAGGTAACCCGGCCTCTTCCAGAAAAGCCGCTAGGGTCTGCAAGATTTAGAGATGATGCCATTACAGTACAGGAATCAGACAAACCTCGGTATAATGGTTTGCTTTCAGAAATCGAGCGACGATAACCGCGGGAGAGTCATTGGCCGGCATGGTGGCGATGTTGATGATGACAGAAAAGAGAGGTCGGAGGTTTCGCAAAATATATATTCAGGCCTCACGTGATGTCTCTGAATCGATGCGGTGTTCACCTTGATCTACAATTTGTCCTATGAAAGGTAGCTGGTATTGATGAAGTGAATAAGAAGTTCCACAATCCAAAAAGATCAAATTATCCCTTCGAGTTACCAAAAACATCTAATAACAAAAACCTCGAACCGAGGAACTTGTCGTCAAGGTCCTAGTGAGGGAAAACCCCGGCTGCGGTTATACTCCAACTGTCGGACGGGTTTTATTTCGGTAGGTGTCACCTACAGTGTGTCGTCTGTGATAGCGTAAGCAAGTGTGTTGACCATTAGACTAACACTGGCAGACTCATGTTGCATCCTCTTGCGTCCGTTGAGAGCACAATCCCTTTACTCCAATATATCTTCTTCACCTGGTGGGGTTGACATTCACTGGAGCAACCAAAGACCGAATAGTTTGGAGCAGATAGTTGGTAACTGGGATAGTCAAAGGGTTTTGATGGCATTCCTTGCAACGCCTCACTACCGCAATAGAAGAATTCATCATCAATCATGGCTTGACTTCATTCTGGGGATTCCCAACGCCGTGCCGACTCTTATAATCTCTGGGGCTTTCAAAATTTTTGTTCTTGCCTGACCACATGCCTTTCCTCTTTGTCTTGGCCCACCACTCTGCCTTGCGATACTTTTGCTCATCGCCTTTCCCAAATTCGACACCAGACTTCGCTTCGTACACCGTCGCCAGCCCAGCCTTGAGCATTTGCATGGAGACATCGCGTCGCCACAACCCTTTCCACACGTAAGCGGACCCAACAACTCTGCTATATTGATCTGCCTTGTACACATAGACGCGAACGCGCCTGCCCATCACATAGGACGTAAGCCACTCCAAAGCTTCTTGTCCATAAGGCTGGGCTGGTCGGCCGAAGTGTGCCAGCTCTGGAGCGTCAATTCCCGCAAGGCGAACATGTATCTATTGGTTCATCAGCTTGGGCAAATATGACCCCTCCTCCCTCGAACTCACCGTTTGGTCTTTCAACTCCTTCCTGTCCAGGGGTATACGTCTCCCCGGAAACCAACCCCATCCTGCAAGCCGACCACCAGGTGTGTGGTATATCCTAAAGTTGTCCCCATCTCCTACACTTGTGACCCTTCCAACAAGACTTCTGCGCCTGAGGAAACTGGGGTTGATATTCACTGCTTGAGGGATTCTCCGAAGGTATGTTTTGTAGAACCTGAAGATTCCAAGCGATGCTGTGGTCAATACGACTGTCGCAAGAATGGTCTGAGGTTGCGTGAAGGCGGTGACGTTGGAGTGCAAGACTTGGTTGGTCTCACGTTGAATCGATGTGGTGGCTGCGTCAATCGTCTGAGTTACAGACTCGATTGCCTCGGTCGTCCTCGATGGCTCCGTGGACTTCGCGTCATCCTTTGTCGAGGAGGACCACAGCTTCAGCCATGTCATGACGAAGTGACTGCTGAGCAACTGTGGTGAGCGGATGCATTTCCAAGCTCTCCACCACTGAGGCGCTTCCTGGTGTATATTGACATATCTCGGCCAACCTGCCTTTGTTGAATGCCTTATCGATAGGGTTATTAGGCATAGGGAATTACTAACTACATTGGGGCCCGAGGGGGCCTTGCGGGGGCATTCCGGGGTCTATCAGAGCCTGAGGGGTCCGCTGCCTGACATCACTGCCACTGTAAGCCTATCCAGCCAGTCAGATACCTAATGTATTGAAGCCGCTCTTAGATCTTTGGTCATAACGACCTATGTAGATACTGCCAATTAAAGTGTTGTCTAGATGTCGTGGTTTCAAATCCTGTCACAGCCTCTCGCAATACTCGTGCTCCAGGTTTCCTGGTTGTGCTCGGTGGCCTCTGCTACCCAATCTTTACTGACCACTGCCATCAAGATACGCAATGCCACGGTGAATGACGCAGAGCAAATCACCTGCATCATACAAGAAGCCTTCCGTGGAGCACCGCACGTCAAGTATGTCAACGAGTTCATGGACCTCCACCCCCGCCACCTTTTCAACTGTCTTCTTGGTGGGGTGAGCACGATGCTTGACAATCCCGATGTGATGATCCAAGTCGCCCTTCTACCCAATAACAGCGCCCCACACGACTTAGTACCTGTAGGAGTCGCAATCTGGGAGTTCCCTGAAGCATGGCCTCGGATTTCACCTTCCTGGACAAGTGGACTTTTCCTTCATTCACCAGACGCCCTGGAAATGGACGAAGATTGTCTTCTCATCGTCAATATCAGCCGCGCCATCGACTTCGACCATCAATTCTCAGCAGCGCAGCGTGATTACCTTGACAAGTCGTACCCAAAGTCGCAGCAGTATTACCTCAATACACTTGGTACACATCCTGACTACCAAAGACGAGGAGCGGGTGGAGCGTTGGTCAACTCTGGCATTGAAGTCGGCAAGAAAAGCAATCGTAACGAGAATGTTACAGCAACGTTGATTGCTACTGAAGCTGGCGAGCCGCTGTACCTACATCTGAGCTGGGAAAGCATTAAAAATTTCACAGTGAAGAGTATGGACGTCGTGGCTGGGGTAAGAGAGCAGTGGCGTTTTGATATCATGAAACATGATATTTAGGTCATCTTTGGAATGCAACTGACCAAGCTTCGGTTTCCAGAGATATTTCCGGCAGCGCAGCCACATCTCTTTAGGCACACGAATTACCATGTACTCAATAATAAAATCAATCGAGACTAACCGGAGGCATGTGTCAACAAGCGGGGATAGGTAGGCTGCCCCGAGGCCCAAAAGCACAAAGAATACAACACGCTGGCCGTCTGTGCTACATATTTGCTTTTGCAGTTGAGCAGAAGGTATGTGACCGTAGTGCCGTAACGGTGGAGTAACGCATCGGACACGCATTCAATATCACACACTTTAAATTCGACCCAAGCCTGAGACATCTTCCTCACCGTGTGAAATTGGTCAATTGCTCTCAGCCTTCTAGGGACGGCACCGAAAGCATCTGGAGACTATTGCTGATGCTAAATACAACGTGCGGCTACCTTGATGAACCAACTGCCACGTTGAAGATCTAACCATGCTTGTAAGCTCGAGATATAAATCCAGTTTACTATGCAGCAGATCATCACCATGAACTAAAGGCCTTGGGGTCTGGCATTTCAAAGCCAGCTAAAAAACTGCGATTTGCCTCGTCCCGTCGGACTCTCTCCTTGATTCTGGATTGTGACTGCCCATGACTCAAGCCTGGGTCATGTTTCATCTCAGGACCAGTACTAATCCACCGCTGACGTACATGCAGTATTTGGTGCAACAAACTCATGTATCCATATATCCGTTTCTAGGAGCTGCTGCGCTGGTAGGATTTTATCCTCGAGGTTTAATTACCCATTGCAAATTTGCCATGTTCGAAGGTCTGAAAAGCTCAAGCCTTGTTCCTCCTTTGATCGAACACCCTCATAAGCAGTCTGCATCCGCTTCCCAAAAGGGACTGACTGGGATTGCTCACAAGCTCCTTTTGTCCTCCGACCGGATTCCTTCGTCGGCTTTCTGAGACAGAGTCATACGCTTCGAAGCGAAACTCTGGCTTGGACTTCTTAAGAAGATGTCCAGTTTTGCATATAGGAAAACCAGCAGGTGAGTTGCCACGCAGAATGATAATCAGCCTTATACTCAACGTTTTCCCATCCTTCGACTTCTTCGTGGCTCTCATAGACTTCTTTGACACAATCCTTTTGCAACTTCTGCATGTCAGAATCACCTTGATTCCTCAGCAATGCGTCCATTCATTTCGTTCTTGACGTTCTTTACCGCTTTGTTTATTAACCGTGCCAATGCACTCGCCAGTACTGATACGATCACTTGGGGAGGTTCAAATGATAGGAGCGGCTATCAAAACAATCACAATATGGATCCTGCCATAGTGGGAAGTGCTCAATTCGGGCTCCTCTTCAAGACAAAGTTCCCCGGAACATACCCAGTCGGAGGACAAAACATCGCGGAACAAATCTTTTCACAACCTTTGGTGTACACCGGTTCTGATGGCGTTCAATATATCTACGTGGCAACAACTCAGAACAATGTCTACAAGATCACTGCGAAGACGGGGGTCATCGTGGCATCTCGCAATCTTCATCGGCCCTTCCTCGTCAGTGACTTGGCTGGTTGCGTGGACATCAATCCAACAATTGGGATCACTGCGACTGGGGTTATTGATCCAGCTACAGTTCGTCTTTACCATAATTTGTGATGCTGGAGCTAATGTTATCCAGGATACTTGGTACTTGACGGCGAAGACATATGTCGATCAAAACCTCAATGGCCCATCTGGACGGCCCAATGGCCGCTATTATATCCATGCCATTAGTACCGTCGACTTGACTGAGCGGCCCAATTTTCCTGTTGATCTCGAAGGAATGGTAGCTAGGAACAATCCGGTTCGGTCATTCAATGGTGGTATTCATCACCAACGACCAGCTTTGCTTCATACTGGAGATTTTGTCTATGCAGGATTTGCTAGCCACTGGTAAGTAGCTTCTGAAGTTCGCTGGTTGCAGAACGTCTAAACTTGATCATTTTGGGTACTCGACTGACCTATCTGGAAACTAGTGTTCAATGGAACTTTACCGGCTGGATCGTTGGCTGGCACAAGGGCACAGGACAGTTGGTTGAACGCTTTGCAACTGAAGGTGGTAAGTTTGGCTACCAAGCGAAGTCATGACAGTTTATTTCTGAACCGCTACTAACAAGCCTTAGCTGGAGTTGGTCCCAATGTACCAGGTGCGGGAGTGTGGATGTCTGGAGGCGGTCTTGCAAGCGATGACAAAGGGTCCATGTTCTTTGCTACTGGAAATGGTTATGCCTCTCAACTTGATAGTGTACCAGTCAATGGGCGAAATCCACCGACTTCTCTCGAAGAAGCTGCGGTACATATGTCTATCAATACGGATGGCTCTCTGACTGTTGTCGATTTCTTTATGCCCTGGGAGAAGAAGCAATTGGACGGGGCTGATAAAGGTATGATTCGATGTCATTATGTTACATCAACGACACAGGCTGACCCGAGCCCAGATCTTGGAACTTCCCCGCTACAGATCCTTCCGAGTCAATTCTCGTGTGGGAATATCAAACGTATCGGTGTTGTGACTGGCAAAAGCGGCAAAACCTATTGGCTCGATCTTGATAACCTGGGAGGCTACCAAAACGGTCCAAACAAGCTCGACAGCGTCATTCAGGTTGAACAGAATGAGAACTCTGCCTATGCCGGTGCTGGTGTATATCCCTTTGAGGGAGGATATATTTACATTAATGTCATTCAGTACGAGACGCATGTTTTCAAATTCTCCTGCAGTGGCGGCATTCCCTCTTTCAACAAGGTTGCCGATTCGCCTGAGAAGAATGCTTACGTCCTTGGTGTTGGTCACGGCACAGTCACATCTTTACGTGATGAGCCTGGCACTGGGCTTCTTTGGACGTCAGATGTTGAAGGTTCGAATCTTCGGATTTACAATGCTATCCCCAATGGCAGGCTACTCAACGAGATTAACTCGTTTGTGACTCCGGGCACGACGAAGTTCACTCGACCTGTCTTCGGAGATGGAGTTGCTTACCAAGGGACAACTCAGGGCTTCATATATGCCTACGGGTCTCCCGTCAATCTACCACTGAACTGCACATCACTTCAATTTGGGACCGTAAATCTCAACACTACAACATCACCAATGATGATGCAATGCAAGGCTAATACTGCTGTCACCGTTACAGCCGCAGCAGTATCAGGTAATCCAAACTTCGCAATCAGCGGATTTACTATACCTATCTCTCTCGCAAAAGATCAATTGTTCCAAATCCAAACCACTTTCACCCCTCAACAAGTTGGTCCTCTGTCGTCTTCAATCATACTGAACACTACTCAGCAGGCCGCTGGCTTCAGTATTAATACTCCTGTCCAGCTCAGAGGGACTGGGCAGAGTCAAGCACCTCTCTTGATGGTGAATCCGAATACTGTGACCTGGAACGGTGTCATTACAGGCCAGCAGCTGGGTGGTGTCAACCAATCTTTAGTTCTGAGCAATGCTGGAAATAGTCAATTGACGATCAACAAAGTCCAATACTCTGTGGTAGGAGAAACAGGCCCGTGGATCACGCCAAACGGTACTACAGATCGACCCCTTGTATCTGCGTTTACGTTCTACAGTATGCCGACATCAATACCTCCAAATAGTGCGGTCACTGTTCCGATCAATTTCAACCCTCCATCAAGCGGAAACTATGGTGTATATGTTCAATTTATCTCCACGGGAGGAACGAAAGTTCTTGATGTTCTCGCTGCGGGAACTGATCAACCCAATGCCCTGCTTGAATTTCAAGCCGTCGATGGCACTTGGACTTCTTATGACAGCAAGAAGCCCTTCAATTTCGGCAACGTCACTCAGAGCACCAGCCGATACCTAAAACTCCGTCTGACGAACAATGGAACCAAAAGTGCCGCTCCCATCTCCGTGACGGTCAGCAAACCGCCTTTCGGTATACCAGGCAGTATCATTGGGGCCAATAATCAGGTTGATCTCGCCGAAGGTACCTTGATATACGCTGGTCAGAACGCTACTGCGACCTTGTTCTGTTCTGTACCTAGAAGTCAGATCAATGTCGACCCATACAACGGTACAGCCATGTGGACCATGAATCTGAATGATCCCAAATTCGGCAAACAGTTCATTCAATTCACCTGCAATGCTGTCTCTGAGCAAGCTCCACCATTGAATCAAGCAACTCAACAAGGCATATATCGCTATGCTGGATGTTTCAAAGAGAACAATCCTGGTCGACAACTCCAGGTTGCTGTTTACAATGGTCCACAGAATACGAATGAAAAATGCATCGCTTCATGTTCTGCTGGTGGTTACATCTTTGCAGGTACGCAATACAACCAAGAGTGTTGGTGTGGCTACAATCGCCCCAAGCTTGTCACCATGGATTCCAATTGTCAGTTTCCATGTTCTGGCAATATTACTCAGAGCTGTGGTGGCAATGGAGTTGACGGGACAGGTTCGTTCATTTCATTGTTTGGAGACACTACACGTTGGAATGGAAATACCACTGATGTTCCAGGACCTTACGTCAACCCAGGCACGCTCGGGTTCTCAAGCTTGGGATGCTATACCGAGCCCAACAATGGCAGAGCACTACCTGTACAGAAGAACGCGGACAACACTGTTGCCGGATGCTTGAGAGCATGTCAAGGATATAGCTACTCGGGCGTTGAGTATGGCGGACAATGGTATGTACTGCCACCTTAAACCTCAAATTGACACAAAAGCAAAGGTGGAACTAATGTTGTCGTTCACAGCTTCTGTGGTAATACACTTGCAAGTGCATCCTTGAGTACCAGCTCGTCCGAATGTGGTATGACCTGTGGAAACAATCAGACGGAGTATTGCGGCGGTAAGACACATCATCTCACTTTCCCGAATGAATGAGTTCTCATATTCGTACTATTGCTGACTCTTCTCTCTAGGCCCAAGCCGTCTCAACATGTATATGTATGGTGGTGGCTCTACGGTACCAACCCCACCGTCAAACCCAGATCCAGGCAATCCGAACCCATCAGATCCACCATCGGGGCTCATTACCCCTTCAACTATCCTCAACTTCACTTATCAGTCCTGCTACACCGAAGCCACGACGGGCAGAGCCCTTACATCCTTCGCATCAGCCGATTCCAGTATCACCTTGCAGACATGTGCTTCAAGTTGTACTCAATACCAGTATTTTGGAGTCGAATATGGTCGCGAATGCTATTGCGGCAACACTCTTAGTACCGGATCAGCTCCAGTCTCGGACGGCCGCTGCAACATGGCATGTGCCGGCAATTCCAGTATGGTCTGTGGAGGACCAAACGGATTGACAATGTACAAAAACCTCAGTTTTGTGCCTGGTTCTGACACTCCCAGCAATCCACCAGTTCCGGCAGGTCCTTCAGTCGTCTCAACTATTGGAAACTGGCAATATGTTGACTGTCACACTGAAGTTCCAGGACGAGCATTGACAGGCAAGGCCGTTGCAAGCAACGATATGACAACTGCGTATTGTGCGGGCAATTGTACCGGATTCAATTTCTTTGGTGTTGAGTACGCCAGGGAATGCTACTGTGGTAATGCTCCCTCAGCTGGTTCCTTGACTGCAACAGATGGTAGATGTAATATGGCTTGTGCGGGTAATTCGAGCATGATATGTGGTGGACCAAACGGTTTGAGCTACTATCGCTTTGTTGTTCCTTCGAGTTCGAGTTCGACTTCAACTTCCTCGTCCAGGCTCCTGGTAACTTCTTCATCCTCCAGTGTGTTAGTCATCTCAACAGCACCGAGCATGTCGACGACGAGCAGCAAGCAGTCCACCTCCAGTAGTGTGACTACTGCCAGCAGTATTTCAAGCTCCTGCTCATCGACTTCAACTTCAACGCTTTCGACATCGTTCGGGTCAGCATCGTCTCAATTCTCATCCGTTAGCACATCCACAGCCACAACGCAAGCATCATCAACGAGCATGAACTCTGGGTTAGCTTCATCCACAACCTCGAGCAGGGGCGTCAGTACTTCGACGGTCACAATCTCGACATCAACGTCCACAGCTACATTTTCCAGTACTACCAGCTCCAATATTGTTTCAGCCACATCGTCAACATCCACGAGATCGGCTAGCACCTTCAGCTCATCATCAGGCGCTTCAAGCTCGATGACAGCAAGTTCAAGTTCAAGATCCAGTTCCGTGTCTTTGTCAACTTCAACTCTACCGACCACTTCGACCACCTCGTCAAAACCGAGTTCATCTGCAAGCGCAGCTGCAAGCATCGGAGGCAGTAGTACACCAACTTTCACTGGCGCGACAAGTTCGTTGACGACTTCGAGGGCGTTGATTATGAGCAGTACTCCAACATCCATACCATCCACATTTCCCCCATCATCGACAATAACCACGGGCACCACCAGCGGACTGAAGTCCTCCACGAGCAGTACTACCACGGGATCAAATACTTCAGCAACATCAACATCAACATCAGCTCCATCCACGACAACCACAGGATCAACCTCAACGTCACCCAGATCCTCGGCCTCAAGCATGACAACCCTCTCGACATTCAGCACCATCACCATCACCATCACCATCCCAAGCTCATCCTCCTCCACATCTACATCTATTCCAACCTCCACCTCCACCCCCAATCCCTACAAACATCTCGGTTGCGCATCCGAGCCATCCAGCGGGCGCCTCCTCTCCGCCCTCTCGACGAGCTCCGCAAACATGACGCCGCAACTGTGCAGTACATTCTGCAGCGACAACAGCCACGGAATCTCGGGCGTCGAATACGGGCGGGAATGCTACTGCTCGTCGTCGGTGGCGGTGCTGGCATCCACGCCCTTCAACGCGACGGGCTGCACGATGCCGTGCGCGGGCTCATCGTCCCAGACGTGCGGCGGCCGCAGCCGGCTGAACGTGTACCTTGACCCGGTCGTCCCGCTGCCGTCGACGCGCGCCGCGATCGGGGAGTACGTCTATCTCGGCTGCTATACGGATCCATCGGCGGGTCAGCGCGTGTTGGCGCGGTATAGCGTTGCCAGTGCCGCGGGCATGAGTCAGGGGTTCTGCGTCGGGGTGTGTCGCGACAAAGGGTGGGCGTTTGCGGGTGTCGAGTATGGGAGGGAGTGTTATTGTGGGGACAAGTTGAATCTCGTAGCCGATGGTGGCAAGGGTGAGCTGGCCAAGAGCGAGGCTGAGTGTGATATGGTCTGCTCTGGCGAGAGGGCCGAGCTCTGTGGTGGTGCCAGTCGGATTGGTGTCTGGGGTGTTGCTGCACAGAACTGAGGTCCGGACCGTTTGAGGGTTGATGATGGGCCGCTGATGTGGTCGAGTGGAGAGGAGAGGCGCGGCGAGGCGAGGCTGTGTCTCTCAGGAGTATCTGCTGTGCCTGCGGGTCTGCATCGTCCGCTGTGGTTTCCTCGTTTTGAGATTGTGTCAATATGCACTTGTGTACGCTCGAGGGAACAGGCAAGGTTGGGTCGGTCTACACAATTGTGTGGAGCTCAGATCTGGGCTGGTCAACGCCTCGTGTGTGAAGGAAGCGGGTGTTTCTTTTCTCTCTACTTTTCTATGTGCTGTTCTGTGGATTTCGCGCTGTTTGGTTCGATCGCGTCTTTGTTCTTTTAATCGCGCTTCTTTTCTGGACTCGTCATCTCTTTTGTCCTGCCATAACACTGGGATTGGAAACAATATATTCTATTCACCCGGCTTTTACTTCGCCATATCTGCTCTTTACCTAGTCCATCAAGTCTGCCTTCTCTTTCTCATTTGGATCGATCTAGACCTGCTCAGCCCAATACTCTGGGATCTCTGTCATTGGTCGTACTCGAGATAGATTAACTGCACATTTATACAAATGCTTTTGTCTGCCCCGTAGCATCATGCGATGACGCTCTAAGTCGGAGAACAAACATCTTGATATCCATTATATTTAGTCCATGGTCGCGACATGCAATCATTCTACCAATTCAAAGTGCCCGAAGAGTGTCAAATAGATCAACAAGTCATACCTGTCAACTTCTTATATGATATTGAAAGTGCGATAGTAGACACTGGGCTTCCTTCCCGTTCTCCCTATTCCAGCGTGAATGATAAATCTTCATTTCGGTGGTATTCAGCAGGATGCCAAAGTAAATAAAACAGCTGAAAAGAACGATCTCGATGTGGAATATAGGACGTGAGTATATATTGTTGGGGAGATAAACAATTATTGATATGACTAGGATATGGATGGGTAGGATGAGGGCACGAATTACATCCTTGTAGTGGTGTGGTAGGTTAAAGGGAAAGACGACGGAAACGCCTGTTGTTCACAGAATAGTGCTCGCCATTATCCTCCAGATTCGATCTCCGATGAAGGAATAGCCGTGAGGTGTCGATAATGGTGTAGCATCATCTCACTTGCATTCGCAGGTTGTCGGGTCAAGTGAAAGCACACCCTCGAGGTGTATCCAAATCCCAGACTCCCAAATCTCCTCTCCTTCCCCCAAAGCATCCAGCCTTCGCTCGATATCCACCAAATCGTCAACCTCGTACTATGCACAATTGAAAATCTCCAAACTTCAACAACGCATGCCATTTCGACTCATAAAACGATCCCGTTCAACCCAACCAGTGCAATAAAAGCCCCAAAGGGCTGGAAGTGTTGACAATCAGCAGTTGTCCTTCCAGACGAAATAGAATAGGGAAAACAAGGGAAGCCTTGATATGCAAATGGTATCTCTTCACAAAGCAAAAGGGAAAAAGGTTAGAGCAGCAGGGTGGTCATCGGTGGGTCGCGAAGTGAGCTTGAAGAGCCCACTAATGCTATCCATGCCCTGCCTCAATATACAATGGACAGCCAACTCCTGGTCCGGCCGAGGTAAGATGAAAAAGAATTGTCGTTTCCGTTCGTTTTTCGTGTTGTCTTTCCTGACGTGGATCATTGTGTTTCGTTGGGAAATTTCATAAATGGGTTGGAACCATTCAATGATTCATCGTGGAATGCACTCTTGCATATGAAAGAGGGGAGCCAGTATCGTTAGGCAACTTCATGCCTTGAGCTCCATTTTCTCGTCGATGAATGAGGAGATGGGGATTGATTTCTTGGCAATCATGTTTGGTCTCTTGACTCTCATAACTGCGTCCTGATCGGCCATTCTGCGCCCAACGGCACGTTCGATTTTGGCACCGAGGCTCAATTTCGACAGGTCATCTGTTTTCTTCTGGGTGGGAACAAATCGTTGTTGCTGAAGGTGTTTATTTTCAAGTCTATCCAATCCTTGGGTCAAGTGACGGATTTCAGCCATACCAGTATCGGCCGAGGGAAGAGAGTTGGCAGTGTTCGTAGTTGCGAAGGATGGAGAGGCTGAGTAGGTGGAATAGCGCTTTGAGGTGCGTTTGGAAGAGTTGACCTGTTGGACAGGGTTAGCCTTTCAGTATTCAAGGCTGGAGTCTGAAGATCCGCGTCTCGAGACTTGATAAATGAACTTACGCTAGGAGCCATGATAGGCCTTTGGGATTCAAGAGATCTGCGAGACATGGCTGTGGTGTTCCTAGGGAGGAACGGCGGATTGAGTGTTGACTTTGCAAGAGCTGTCGGTGCAGGAGAGTCCAATCGATGCAGACCAGGTGTTTATTTTGAGATCAAGGTTTGTGTGAAGAAGGAGCTATTGTAGCTGTTTGAGGCTGATGCGTGGGAGAAAGTGATGTGCGGTGTTATGAGAGAGCCAGAGAGTCGGTCAAGGAGTTGTCCGGGTGTCCGACTAATGGAATACTGACGTTAAAACGAGTAGTGATCTGCACGAGTATAGCCAAATTTGGGAGATTCGAAACAATTAGACAGCGAAAGTCTAAACTATGTTGGGAGAGGATAGACAGAGGTGGAGTTGAAAGTGGGAGTGATGTGATTGACAGTATGGATATACTAGGGAAGGTCGGTGAGTGTCATGGGAGTTGAGAGGAGTAAAGATGATAGAAAGGTCGAGCGATAGTTTGGGGTTGGAGGGTGGTGTTTATGGCCTGATGAGTGATGGATCAGTGGACCGTTGCAGAGTGCAGCTTACGGTAGCAGGTTGCAGGTTGCAGGTTGCAGGTCAGGGACGATTTTGGGGTACGAGTACGGAGGACGAGGGAAGGGCAGGAAAAGAAGGTCAAGATTCCCGGGACAAACTCCACCAAGGCAAAACTGTAGTGCACGCCAGTGAGTTACTCGCAGGAACAGGGATGGAATGAGGACCAGAGGAGTCTGACAAGGAACAGATGCTGAAATAATTGTGAGTGTGACCTTGGGTGATCACTGATCAAGTCAGGCTTGTCCGTACGAGGAAAGTCAAGAGAAGTTTACGGAGTCAAAGAACAAAAAGTTGATTGCCGGTGCAAGGGCAATTTGGTTCGGATTGCACAGTGCCAGTTAAAACCATGGCTCGCTCGCTGCGCTGCGGGTCGAGCCAGGCACAGCACACGCTCATTCAAGGGCTTTCTCCACTTGTCCCGCTTGAGTTTCGAATTTGGGGGGGGCAACTTCTCGGGCAGCTAAGGCTATGTTAAGCCTAAGGCCTTCTCCGTACCGTTAAACTTCTGCCCACGAGACCACCGCCGCCAGTGCACTCTGCACTCTACACGCCTGGAACTCTTAACTCTGTTTAACTGCAGTGTTGGAAGTCCGAGCACCACTCCCACATGCACAGGCACTGACACGCGGCGGACCACGCCCTCAGCCCCTTTCCTTGGGGCTTTTCGTGGCCTTCCAGAGAGATACTTCCTTCCCTCCCCCGATTTCTTACTCGATGACCATGACTTCGTACTCGCTTCCTATGAAGTATACTTTTCCCAACACGTGGCGACACACCCATTCGAAAACCCTCGTGCATGAGGCTGCCTGTCAACCGCGTTCTGGCCAGCAAGCCTCATGCGACATGCCGCAGACTATTTACTCGGGCTATGCAGATAGATACTCTTGTTGAGAACCTAGAAAGAGCAAAAACTGATATTGCTCGTACTAACTATCTACTCGCAAGTGGTTGACTTGCGTCGTTGCTTGCTCGTGAGAGTTCACTCCACTTCTATTACCTCGTACTGTGCACTCAAAGAATTCCTTGCTTTCGGCCCTGCATCGTCAGGATGAATGGCCAGGTTATCCCTAGTAACCACGGAGTCTCGTGATCGAGAGCGTGCCTCGTAAGTGCCGATATGTCTAGGTATCTCTGTTGGACCTGATCCTTGGGCACGATACGGAGGAATAGAAACAAGGGCCAGAAGCTGGACAGTGGTCAGACCCTGGAAGACGGAGATGCTTTGGTGTGTTTCACAGCATCAGGCACTTCCCGGTGATGGTAACGTCGCACTACTGCAATTTTCTGAGCGGCTAGGCACCATCGCCTAGCAGGCTAACAGAGAGTCGAGTTTATCCGAGGCGGACCTTTTCTTAGGCTGGCGGGCGATGAGCTGGACTCTTATGTCCCCAAGCAGCTCTTGAGACTTTGAATTAATGTAGAACATGACATGAGAGATGCATGGCTATATTGACACTACAACTATATGTATCTGAGGCATGTGTGATGAGAGTGAGTAAAGTGACCAGACCAGACCTCACCTCATCTGCAAAGAACCCGAGATATCCCAATGGTCTGCAGCCACCAATCTGACCCACGGGTTCTTGCCAGAGCAAACTTGCTGCAGTTTCCCGTGCTCCGTTTTCAGCTCCGTCGAGCCACAATCTTTGCCTCCTGATCCCCTGAACCAATGTCTTCGGTACCGGAAACACCAAGAACAGCCACATTATTCAGTTCTCGGGATAAACGAGTATTCCTTCCTCGTACGTTTCTGTATATAGCCGAGCCATCTCCTTCCTGCTCACAGTCAAAGGATAATCATCCCACCCAAACGTGTCATTCGCAGATCCTCCGGGCACCCATCACAATTACAATGCTCAATTCATTTCACTCATTGCCAAACCATGACCCGTGTAACTCCTGTGCCCAGTCATTGAGAGATGTCGTGAATCCCCACGTCTTTGCTAGCCAAAATGCAAGCCCACCCATGACCCCAAAACTGCCTACCACCTGCAGAGCAATCCATCCTCGTGTTCGCATGCTGTCTTGCCATCGCAGTAGACCCAATGGATCGTGCATTTGATAGTTCGGCACATCTCCATATGCCATAGTGACCTTGGTTCCTTTGTGCACCAAAGCCTGTTCAGTCTCCGCCACGTGGAACTTGCCGTCGCGAACTTCTTCTCCCATCCTTTCCACCAACCAAACCGCTCGCTCACTTCGAGCCAACCTCTCATACCTCTCACGTTCCCGTTGTAGACTGAGTTGCAATTCACTGGCCCACTTGGATAGCCGAACTTGAGCTATCCGCTCTTCTCGTTGTGTATGATCGGCAACTTTGGCCAGTGCCCAACTATTGGATGTGTTGAGCGACACCTCTGATCCAAGTGGTATCAGGAGGCCTGAATTGCTCAGTGATGTCTGAATCGGAGACGCAAGGGTTGAGTTGTGCACCGACGGGAGTGAAGGTGAAGGAATCGTGGTTAATCTAGGATGACTGGCGTGCCAGGCCACTAGTTTTCGAGCCGACATGTGTCGAAGATAAGCTACAGTGTCGAGCTCAAATATATGATCCACCAGAAGCCGAAGCTCCGAAGGTAAAAGTGGCTGAATGTATTCTGACGACATCAGTAGCGATGCATCCATCGTATCCAGATCGGGTCCATTGACTGATGTAACTGTATATGGGGCTGTTGCTTGGGCTTTCTGTTCGTAAGTATCCGAGTTTAACGAAGCGGGTAATCGGGGGAGGGCTGTTATGACGAGGTCAATAGTCTGCTTAACCTGCTGTATGTCATCGTGAGAGAGGAGATCGGATTTGGCTATTAGCGGAATGACATTGCACAGTTCAGAAAGTTGTTGGATCCGTTCACAATCACCTTTGATATCATCTGTGAAATTGTCAGTAGGCTTCGTCAATAAACTCTTTTGACCGTTCACTTACCTTGACGTAGCAGATAGAGGATGACATCCACCTGTGAAGATCCACGTCCGCTTAGCATTCCTGAAAATTCTCCACTCAATTGATCAACTGAAGAGAGAGCGTTGACAAGTTGTTGCTCTACATAGCTGATGATCTTTTCGAGTTTCACCGAGTCTGATGTGTCGACAAAACAGATATTCCTCTCCAGTACCGAATCACCCATGCTCTTCCTCCTCCTGAGTATACGGCTTTCCTCAACATTGGACCACCACCCTGGGTAGGGCTTAGTACTCGCATAGATTTCGCTCGTCGCACAGTGACCAAGATGAGAGTCTCGATGGGAGGTATGGAGGGACGAGGAAGGCGACAAGGGATCCACATGAACAATATCCTCGCACAGTTGAACGATCGACTTGATAAGCGAGGTTTTTCCAGACGCTGTTTCAGTTAGACTTGCTGCAGAAACACAGTAATGGATCCTCACTAACCTTTACGCCCTGCAACCATGATCTTGAACCTTCCCAACCCCTTGCCTCGTTCCGTGAAAGGCCGTCGACTAGGCATCTTGATACTTGGCATGATAAGCTCGGGTTGACTGTCTTGCACTTTTGTAGGCATCTCTCCTTCATCTTCCTCACTCGATGCAATTGCCTGACTACCCGTCTCGTCATTGATCGACCCATCATCAGATTTCTGGAGTGATCTGGAGGAACCGGACTTGGGACTGCTTGAGAGGGAAATCTCTCGAGAATGAAGAGGAGATGGTGTGATCCCTCTGTCTGGAACGGGTATGCATGGATCGTTACTGTTAGAGGACGAACCCCTTCGTAGACCAGTACATGTCCCGGGCTTGATCGTGGATCTTCGTCGGCTCCCACTTCTTCCCACAGGTGATCTCGGAGTGGGGTGTTTGTAAGGTTGATCGGCCTCTTGAATCATATCCTGCAGACTGACGACGGGAGATAAGGATGTGTTCGACGTCGATGAGTCAACATTCCTGTCAGAAGAAGACTTTGATATGTCGCCGTCACGCGAGAGGAAGAAAGTGGTAAGGCCATGGCTTGAGCGGTCACCCGTTATCGATGGGGTATCGCCGACTGAGGACTTGCGAGGTCTAGATTCCACACTGTCAAGACCGATTGCTGGCCTCATACTGGAACATTGGAAGGGGATGAAGGATTAGATTCAGGCAAAGAGGAAATAATTATGATAAGCAATATAATAAACTGCAGGCAAGTATAGAGTAGTAATGATCCTAGTAAGTCGTCTGGCGTTGTAGGAAGGCACCTGCACCGATTGCGGCCTGATGATGAGGGACCCTGGCACCTGCAATCATTGCGGCTGACCACCCCCTCAGTCGACCCCCACGTATCTCGTATATCTCGGAGCCGGATCAACTTTTCATTTCACACCTCCAACGCTGGGCTTCGAGATCGGACTCTTACCTAGGTAATATTACTGCTGGCATCCCCAATGACCACACGCGAGATATTTGGAATAATACTGGGACTCTTACACAGGATGAACAGGTTAAAGGCAATTGATTTTTGGTTGGACGTGCGCAATCGTTATACATGGCGCATCTCCTCACCGTCTGGTGCATCATCCCATTATGTCTCATGGACGAAACTAATGTACAACTCCATGCCTAGATTCCCCTGTCCCCCAGGCAAGGCTCAAGATAATAGAATAGGTTAACACACGAGACAAATACAAGACCTTGGTTGAAACACAACGCTGTCCTCCACCTAAGATCCATTCGAGCCTGCTGGACTCGCAAATCTGTCAAATCCATCCGTCACAATATCGCAATCATGATGACGCTGAAAGAATCCGAGAGCTTGCTATGCGAAGACACTGGATCAATAATGAAAAACTTGGAAAAATGTAACTTTTCCAATCACGAGAGTACGCCAGTTCAATCGGGAACCTGTGCTTGAATCATTCCCACTCACTTTTGTATCGCTCCCATAACCCGTAATGAACTTAACCATGAGATTTTGAGGAGAATTTTCCCTCCGTGTAAGCATGCCGTCAACTGCTTCAACGAGGTCCAATTAAGCAGTCTGGGTCTGTCCGCGTCCGGACTTGCCTCCTCGAGGTTGGAAACCACCACGTCCGGCATCTTTGGGAAAGTTGGTTTGGCTACCTGAACGGGATCCCTGGAAGCCACCTCGAGCACCACCACCACGTCCGGCGTTACCGTTACCGCGGGTGTTGTTGGGGGCGTTGGAGGGATAGTTGTTGCCAGCCGCAAAGTTACCACCAGCACCACCATAGGCGGTGGGGCGGGGTCTTCGCTCTTCGACAGAGATTGTCTCGGTCCCAACAGTATGAGGATTGCCGGCGACAGCAGCAGCATAGCCACTAGGGTCGGCAAATTCGACAAACGCACAGTTCTAAAGCCATCAGTCAGACCGACTCTTCTTGTGCAGGAGGGTATTACTTACTCGTTGGCGAGAGACGTCAAAGTATTTGAGCTCTCCAAAGCTTTCCAAAACTTCACGTAGAATTCGAGCGTCGACTTTCTCATTCACATTCTTGATGTATGCGAGAACCACACCTTCGGTAGGCTTGCTCTGCCCAGTCTTTCCCTTCTTTCCCTCGGCTGTTTGCCAACCATTGCTCTGTGACGTGGGGGTGCTGCTCGTGGTATTGGGTGCTGGAGCAGCAGCATCAGATGTTGGCTTGGAAGCCTGTGCAGCTGGTGCTGGACGAGATGATTTGGATTGACTGGTAGGGGTAGCAACGGGAAGAGCAGGAACTGCAGGTGCTTTCACACCACCGCCACCAAGCATGCTTGCCCAGGTTTTCTTGGCTGGAGGTGCTTCAGGAGCGGCGGAGCTTGCAGTCTCAGTGGGAGCGGTTGTGGCAGCAGAGATTTCGGGCTCAGCGGCCTGTTCTTCTGCAGGCGCTTCAACGCTCTTTTCCTCAGTTTCTTCGGTGACAGAGGTGCTCTCGGGAACAGCAGCCGATTCCTCAGTGGCAGTGGGGACAAGCGCGCCATTAACTTCGGTAGTTTCGGTTTCATCCACGGCAGCCTTCTCCTCTTCAAGCTTCTCGTCAACCTTTTCGATGGAGGTCTCAGAGGCGACAACCTCTTCAGGATGATCCTCGGTGTTGACCTGTCCATCAGCTGGAGTAGGTGGCTCCTCAGCAGGGACCTCGGGCTGGACTGGCTCATCATCCACAATTTCGTCCTCGTCATCTTTGAGGTATCGGAAGATGTCATTCAAAACAAAGTAACCATTGGGTTGTTCGGCGAGGACAAAGGTCTGGACGAATTTATGGTGTGGTTCAGATTTATTTGACATTTCACCAATGACCTGGACCACGATGTTTGTGAAAGAGGACTGAGAATCAACATTGAGGACGCGGACTTTGCAGTCTTGGAAGTCTAGGGCTTTGATTTTGTCACTAATAGCCTGCCAAAATATTCAGTGAATTGAAACAGAATCTCGAGCTAAGCAACGTACCTTTGTGCCAACAGCGGGAACCACCTTATCAGCCTCAATACCAGTAACGAGTTGAGATTTCTTGGAGTAAAATAGATGTATCTTTTCAGGACTCTTGGACAAAGTAGTGTAATATTGTTCGACAAAGTACCAACCGATTTCTTGAGGATCGGCCTTTTGAGCTGTGGCGGAGGTTGAAGTGGATTGAGAAGCGGAAGCTCCATGGGTGGGTGCAGAAGGAGTGGAAGCTGCAAGCTCGGCTGGCTGGCTGTACTGGTTGGTGCCATATAGGCCATTGACAGGAGCAGCCTCGGTCGCCATTTTGCGGATGGTGTTGCGCAGCTAAAAGAGGTAGAAGGAGACGGGTGGTAGGAAGGTTGCTTTGTAATGGAAGGAAGACGCGATCAGAGAAGTGATTAAACGCGCACTGAAAGCGGTGCGATGCTAGGTGGAATGCGAAGATAAAAAGACGTTTGGGACGATGGTGAATCGAAGAGCAATCGGGTGGACGATGACCAAAGGGTCGGTCGTGATCACACGAACAAGAGAAGATGGGGAAATTTCAGGAAGAATGGTGACGGTCCAAGCACTGATTGTGAAGGAGCACGACGAACTAGTGACAGAAGATGAAGGGGGAGAGGGTTCAATGCGAATGTGTGGATGCTGTGATTGAAGAATTAAGGATTGATTGTCTTTGACAAAGTAGAGAAATGGGCCTGGTTCCTCAAGTTTGGAAAATAAAAACCCACAGCAGTGGAGAAGAATGAACGACAGCATCTGAAACTGAAAGGATGCACCGTAGATATGGTACGGTGACGTATCCCCGAGCCATCTGCCGTTTGTTTCTGGGGAAGCGACACGTGACTGGGGGACTTCATGTCAACGGGCTTGGTGATGACGACGTTCCAGTTCAGAACCTTCGGACCAGAAAACCAAATTATTGGGACGAGTGACATGAAGCATATTCCTTTGCTAGGGTTCCATGCTGCATTGGGGCCTAGATCAAAACCAAAAGGTCCCACCCCGCCTAGCATTTTGCGGAGTTGTTGAAATGGTTTGCAATGAGCATGCCAAAAACGAACGGGCCTACGGAAAGCATGACCATTCATGATCCCCTATATATCTTCTGGTCAACCTAGCCTATGGATATGCACGAACAGTCCAGATCATGCTGTGATAATTGAGTAGAGAATATTTGTTGAATCCAACACCCAACTTCATCTTCAACAATGAGCGCGATCGCCCCTGATCCACCAATCATTCTATATGACTATCAATTCGCTCCCAATGCTCAGAAGTCAAGAAATCTGTTGTTCATGTGTGGAATACCGTTCCAAACGTGCGATCAACCATTTGTCATGCCACGTCCAATTCTCGCAGATCTTGGTGTCACATACAGGAGAATACCTGTAAATGCAATTGGAAAAGACCTCTATGCCGACAACCGTGTCTTCCTCGAAGCCATCCAAAAGATCTTCCCGGAAAAGGCTAAGGCACTTGCAACAAGCCCAGCTGATCATGCCTATGAATCTTTCGGTTATCGGACCTTCTGGGTGGGCTTGCCTCTTGTTCCAGCAAAACTCGTTAGCAAGGAGATGCAGGAAGATCGAAAGGAGTTATTCGCCGTCTTTAGCAGACCGGATTATAAAAGTCTCCGACCTAGTGCGTTGGCGGAGTTTCGCCAGATGCTCGATATTGTTGAGACCGACTTCATAACCCAGGGGCCGTGGATCGGTGGGTCCAAGTGTTCCATTGCCGACATTCATGCCAGCTGGATGATCAAAATGGTCCTCCAAACCATGGGAGTGGAGAAGGAACCAGGGTTCTCGAAACAGGATCTCCCTAAAATCCATGCCTGGATCAACGGTCTCCCGATGCATGACGAGAAGCATGCGCCAGAGAAGATTAGCGCTGCTGGCGCGAAGCAGAAGATCCTTGCATCGACCTATGCCGCAATGGAAATTGGGATTGACCGCAATGATCCTACCCAGCTCACATCAGGAACACTGGTGTCAGTTGAGACAACCGACGAGTGAGTTGTTCTATCTCTGAAAGTGATCCTGTTCTAACCCTGTCACAGTGCGAAGCCTGGTGGGCGGGCGCAGAAAGGTAAGCTCGTGGGTCTAAGTCGAAGAGAAATTGTTATCGAGCTCGACAACGGATTGCGCATGCACTTCCCACGATTGGGGTTTGTGCTGAAACAGTCGTCTGAGCTGTGAGAAAATCAATCTGGGCAACGCCCCAGGCACGGTGTTGCAGCTGTCCAGTCTTAAACCATCATGAATATCAATAAAATCCGGGGCCGGGGCGAGGAGTGTTTGCCGATGGGGCGATGGTCACGGAGGGCTCGTGGTCTGTGATAATAGCCCGGTTGATAGGATTAGCATCCTGTTCTTCCGCAGCCAGCCGTTCACTCTCCTCACGTGCTTTTCTTCTATTACTCTGCCAGACTTGGTCTTCTGCCACGAGTTCCGCAAGAGCTTCTTCCCATTCTTGTTCTTGGATCTCATCCCCTGTCCCAAGAGCTTTCTCAACATCCACCTCTTGACCTTTCTGCAATTTCTCGACGACTTCACGCAGCTTGTTTAGTTTGATATCTGCCTTCCGCATGTATGTGTTGAACTCCGTCTGGACCCCCATGATACGGATGGCCTGTGAGCCGATGAGAAGATAGATCCAGATGAAGTAGGTCGCCGGGTTAGCGGGTTTCTTCTTCCCCGAATTGTCGACTCCGTTCCAGCGATCCCGTAGGCTCTTAGGTATTATGGATTGCCAGACCGAACCCTCAGCCAGCCTTGGGACGAAGGAGCTTCTCGTGGAGGCACATCTCCATTGTGCGATCGATGCAGTTGGAACAGGATGAGATGAGAACACTATTCCGGATGGAGGGGTTCTCGAGAGATTGTACAACCCTCTGCTTCCAACACGTAGAGATTGCATGCTGCTGTGGTCCCTCGTCGAATGAGTGAATGGGGATGCGAAAAAAGTTGAGTGACCAGCATGAAGCCCGGCCTGACAATGACCGCAGTCGCACGTGATGCCAAGGCTCGGTTTTCTGCACGGAATTCACTTCCGTTGTTGATTTTGCGCCTCGTTTAGGAAATCCAGACGCGTGCCGAAGAAATACTGGATCATCCTGCGCTTAGTCTGCGGGTAATGTAGACGCCTGCAACGTTGTCGTTCGGCTTCCTACCTAAGTCATGAAGACCATAGCACATAGTACTTTATGTCAACGTCGAAAGCAATGGCATCCGTCGTCGCACCTATTGATCGAGTGCGAGCAGATATCAAATCCTCTGCACCATCCGCCCAAACGCTCCGACACCTTCGCGTACTGCTCGGCCTCGATGGGACCAGCGGCACCAATGCCTCACAGTGTGACAAGGCAAAGCCAGTTCGTCCACAGAAGGTTCCCAAAACTACAGCGATCGGCAGAAGTGCCGCTAAAATAAAAGACCCAACACAAGGTACTGGGAGAAGAGTAGTTCGCGCACAAGTTGTGAAGGCTGTTCCCGAAGTAGTCGGACCAACGGATTGTCGAAAGCTCGCCACAGAAGTTTTCAATGCAACCCTGAAGCAGCTGGGCCTAGCGGCAAAGGTTGCAAAGGAATCAGCAAGTCAGAGCGAGGGAGATGGCCCATTAGTGCGGCTTGCGCCATCTCAGAGGCCTTTACAGGAACAATCACCTAACAGGAAAAGGACTACAGGCCCAAAGGATGAAAAACAAGTCATAACTGAAACTCCACGACCGGTATGTTCGGTTCTGGCTGACTGTGCTATTTCTGCTTTGCAATATCTGATTGATGCGGAACCGGGCCAAGATGTCAAGAAGGGAGAGCAACTAGCGGGACTGGAGAATGCATCTTTGATCCTGCTAGATCGAACAATCACACTCGGTCTCATTATACAAGCAGATTCGCAGGCCACCCATATATACCGGCACTACTGGAGGCCATGTCCAACTTCGAGCCCCTGCCCTGCTTCTCAAAAGCCCAGTGGTGCACAATGCCTCCTCGGACGACCAGATGCTGCCAAAGACAAACTACTATTCGGCTTCACCACGGCTATGCAAAGCCAAATACTGCGGCTCGTCATACAATTAGGCCCAAGTTGCATCAGCAACGATTTGATAAATTCTCTCAAGCTGGAAACAATCGGAAGCCCAGCCTGGCTCTGTCTACAGGGTCTTAAACAGAACCTCCAGAAAGCACAACAGACGGGGACGCAGCTACGCACAATATCATTAGCGGTGTCCAAACTATACTCCCAGGCGATCTCATCGAAAACGACAAGCCCCTCTGCGGATGATATATACCAACTATTCTGCATCGCCATGTCCATAAAATTCGCATCCTGGGGCCATCTCCAGCATAAGCTCGATGCACACACCGACTTCTGGCGACATTTCACCAGCGCAACAAAACGGTACATCATAAGTGCACCAAAGGTACCGAGTGCTGGACAAGAAATATTGCATTGGATACATTGCTTTCAGGGACTTCTCAGATCCGCAGGTCAAGACAGCTCCGTTCCCTCAGATCTGATGGAAATTCTCCTACGCGTCGCAGGACAGCTGAAATGTGAGCAAGAACTTTACGTACTTGCAGGAACGAAAGGGGCAGATCTCGACCCTACCATATCTTTGATGTCGAGCTGCCAAGTTACTTCTTCGCGACTCAACAATTATCAGCAGAACACAGATCTGGTCCTTGATTCCGTCAACAATACTTGGAATCTCCTTTTCAAGGTCTCCAATCTGTCAGTTTCTGACGTTGAACGACTTCTGCTGCCAACAGTTCAATTGCGCAAAGCCCTGTTACACGTACTCCGCAATATACTCCAATCCCATCAATCCAACAAGTCAGTGGCAACCTACCAGGAGCTGAGGAGCAGTTGTTACAAACTTATCTGCCAATGTGTCACCTTTTTGTTTGACCACATTCGCACTGTACTTACCAAGACTGGGCAAGACCTGGCAACTGATAGGAGAAAAACGTTATTGTCTACACTCGTGAAGAACGCAGACGCAATGCTTCAACTTGAGAGATGCAATCCTCCACGAATGTCGACCTCAACAGATAGATCGGACGATACATTGGAGTACGCTGTGGAAATGACTAAGTTTCTTCAAACCCAGATTCAAGATCTTGAAAACGACGAATCCCTCTCCGCTGCGCTCGCCCAGATCCGTATCCGAATCTCACAGGTGTACTGGACACGCTACATTAAATCTGTCGAAGGACGCGCCAACAGCAGAACACAGGTTCAAATCCTGTCGGGCTCAATCTCAATCCTGACCTCCCTCTCGCTCACTGACGAGAAGTCTGCATTTCTCGGTCTCAAATATCAACGCCTCGCGTCCTGCCATGCTGATCTCCACGACTTTAAGGCCGCCAGACATGCACTTGGACAGAGCATCGAATTCGACATCAAGCTAGGCGCACTGCGGGATGCCGCGGAGTTTGCTTTGACAGGCTCTTCGCAGCTTGTGTGGTCGAGAGCGGACTCGAGCTGTATGTCTCTGGGGAAAAGTCTCGCAATGTTTGCCAATGTGGCATTGGCTGAGGCTGCGGGCTCAGAACAAAGTCTTGAATTGTACGATTCGAACACCTCACCGCCGGTCCAGCGAGCCATCGTGCTTGAGAGGCAGATATCTTGCTTGCTTGAGAAGAGTCTTGACGAAAAGCAACTGCAACATATCACTTCGCAATTGATCCTCCTACTAGCACTTCTAGACCAGCCCAAGTACAAAGTGTTTCGCATGAGAATGGTCAGTTCCTTGGTCTCAACGCGGCTCAAGACGAGGACGATCATAATCGGCGTCGTTTTAATGCCTCAACAAATCCGCGAGATTCTAGAGCCAGCTCCAGCACTGTCGAAGACTGTTTACCTCCTAGATTTCGAGCCGAGTGTACGCACAATCCTCAAAGTCCAAAGTGATATTTCAACGGGCCAGCTCAACAGCTCAGGGTTGCGAGAGCATCTCAAGGTGCTTGGCGATATTTTCATCAAGTGTAAAACGCCTGAGGATTTGAGTAAGGGCATCGATGACCCTGACGGGTTGATCAGCCTTCTCCACATTTGTGTGGGTTACGCTAATATGTTTGAGAATCCTCAAGCAGCTCACACTGCACTCGAAATGATACGAGTCATCATGGGCCATGGTCACCAATCGTCGACTATCAGTATCTCCAGCGTCCTGATCATGATTGGGCAGTCGCATCTACAACTTGGAAATACCGAAGGTGCCCACACTGCGCTATGTGCGGCTCAGTCATCAATCGATCCAAAGGCGTCCGATAAATTGGTGGAGACACAGTTGGCTCTCGCCTTCGCTGAGCACTTTTACGCCATTCAGGATTTCCAGATGTGCGTGTCTTATCTTGATCGTGCGCGGTCTGTCTGGGAAAGTCGTGCAGCTACGCAATCAATTTCGAGTCATAGGACAAAGCTGAAGGAACAAATGCTACTTGCCTCTTCCGCTCACCTTACGTCTCAGCTGGCATTTCGGCAGGGTAGTCTTTTGCAAGCTGCCATGTGTGCAAGACAGGCTGTGAAAGTTATTGCTGCCGTTTGGCTTTCAATCTCTAAATGTTGGCAGTCTCTGGACCCAAGTGCTGTCGATGTCAAAGAGGACTCTGGCTTGCAGAGCATGGTTGCTGAATTTTCAAGGCTAGATCTATCATCGAACGATGCCAGGGGCCATCCCATTGCGAGCGCGGCGATCTACTGGCAAGAGACGACGTTGTACTGCTCGACCTTCAACCATATGGCATCAATTCTGGCACACTGTGGTCTATACTGCGATTCAGTCTACTTCTATGAGCAGGGATTGAAAGTTGCTGCCAAGGCCAATATGCCTTCGTTCAGTGCTTACATGCAAAGTGAACTCGCACTTTTACATGCTCAAGCTGGGCAACATGACAAGGCAAAAATATTGCGCATGCTACACGAGCCAGCTCCGTGTGCTTTCATTAGTCCGTTGCAAAGACACACCTTGATCAATCAGGCCGAAGTCTTTTTTTTGCAGGGAGATGTCCAGACCGCGCTCCAGCTATTTGAGCGTGTCAAAGATGACAGTATGATTCCCAAGAAAGCGGTAGCACCAAGTCAGGTCAAAAGCAAGGCAACAAGCAATCTCAGTCGAGCATCAAGCAAAAGATCAGTGCCAAAATCTCGGGCACAAATTAATCCCACCGAAGAGCCGAGGGCAAAGACTCCCATGAAAGGACTTGAAGTGACGATTAGTCAAAAGATTCTGCTTGATCGGCTGGCGGTTTTGGGAGCTCGTCTGAGCTTGTCCACGTTTGGCAACAATATTGTCGGTCTTTCCACAGTGAATTCCGGCAACGCTCAAGAAAATCCACGACAGACATCGTTTCAGGCGCTGGCGCTCGTTCGCTCAGCTCTGAAACTTTTTTCGAATGATTCAGTGAACAACGTTCTAGCTGAGACCGCCGTAGCGTTACCAGTAAGATATAAATCGTCGAGAAAGAGTGGCAGGATATCATTTGTTCAAGAGATTGCCGGTCCAGACAGTAGCCGCAAAGGCTCTCAGCGCAGGGGTCAGGCTTCTGGCGCAGCGAACAAAGATGGAGTTGTGCCGGAAGATGGTCGAGCACTAATTCTCAAAGCGCATGAAAGCCTCGCGAGCCTCAAAACTGTAGACTCTTGGCAGGTGCCCTCTGAAACTGTACATTCTCTACACAAGCTATTGTCACAGACGGCATTGCTCTCCTCAGCACTCGGAGACTCCCTAGTACGTTCGTCCGTCGACATTTTGACAGATGCGTTGAGTCCGTTGGATCTGCTGCGACTTCGAGAGGTGATTATCACTTCAAGTGAGAAGGCCACATTGGGAAATGCCGCGACTTCAAATTGGCCTCGCATCGAAGGTACCGTCTCCTCGGAGAACAATAATACAGCAGCAAGCCCAGAATTGGTCATGAAACTTGATTTATTGCCAGACTCCTGGTCTGTAGTATCTATCGGATTGACTGAAGATCGAACAGAGCTGTTGGTGGCCAGAATGTCACGACAGAGGTCACCTTTCGTCCTGAGAATCCCACTTACGCGACCTGATCCTTCAGAAATGGATCACGAAGAGCTAGACTTCGATAGCGCGAAGGCTGAGCTTGGAGACATCGTTGTTCAAGCAAACACCTCAGCCCATGACTCGAGAGGAAGCTCGGCCGACAAGGCAACCAGAAAAGCGTGGTTCGCCGAGAGGCAGTCGTTGGACGGCCGTCTTGCTAGTCTGCTCGACAATATAGAAAACGTTTGGTTTGGAGGTTTCCGAGGGCTATTTTCCACGACAGGAACAGACGACAAGGCATTGGCAGTATTTGGGCAGAGCTTGTCGAATACGCTTAACAGGCACTTGCCTTCACGACAGAAATCATCAAAAGCAGGGAAATCGGTGAAGGTCCAGCTACACTCACATGTGCTAGAACTGTTCCTGACTCTCGGTCATCCGCGAGAAAGTGATCTGGAAGACTCGGTGGTGGACCTCATCTATTTCGTCGTCGATGTGCTCCAGTTCAATGGCGAGAACAATGCGTACGATGAGATCGATTTTGACGCCATGTTAGTGGAAGTTCTGGACGCATTACATGCCTACCATGAAGCTGCATCCAACAAGACGCCACACTTGCAAAATTCGCATCTAATACTAGTTATGGACAAGGAGTTGCAAGCATTTCCGTGGGAGTCTTTACCCTGTATGAGAGGTGAATCGGTATCCCGAATGCCCTCACTTGGTACTATCTGGGAGAGACTGGAGAAAATGGGCCCACCACAAGGAGATCGACCAGGCCACATCATCTCACCATGTGAAGGGACCTACATTTTGAATCCGTCGTCGGATTTAGCGTCAACCGAAGACACTTTCAAGTCTGTATTTGAAGAACAACTCCCCGGATTCAAAGCGATCATCGATCGTCCGCCGTCCGAGACAGAATTCGAGACTGCCTTGCAGGAAGACTCTTTAGTTCTCTACTTTGGACATGGTGGCGGAGCACAGTACATCCGAGGCCGAACCATCCGCAAGTTGGAGCAATGTGCAGTGACATTGTTAATGGGGTGCAGCAGCGTCAAGTTATCAGAATGTGGGGTGTATGAATCCTATGGCATGCCATGGAATTATATCAACGGAGGTAGTGCAGCGGTTGTTGGCACGTTGTGGGACGTTACGGACCGAGATATTGACCGATTTGCGATGGAAATGATGTCCTCCTGGGGTCTTGTGAATAAGGCTGAAGCCAACAATGTCAAGGATGGCAAGAATAGAGCACCCAAGCACAGGTCTACTGATGATGCGACACAAAATTCGGTGAAGATGTCCTTGGATCAAGCGGTCGCACGATCACGAGATGTTTGCTTGTTGAAGTATTTGAATGGAGCAGCCCCAGTGATGTATGGGATACCGGTGTTCTTGGAATAGATGCCGATGCTATAGGCAGAGCACAGTATGCTTCAGATGGAGCTCTTCTTCCTACCCAAAGAACAATTAATATATAATGGACTTGTCTATAATTCGTGCCTGGTGAGAAGTGCTGCTTTGAGCTGCAGTGCCCACCTACCTCAAGATATCATTATCATTCGAGGCTGTAAAGGGGAACGGAAGTCGGCCTCTCATTCTGCCGAGACTTGACCTCCCCGGACCGACAAGTTGGGGCCTGATTGGGTGTTCCGGGGATCCATCAACACGCCCTGGGGGCGGCCTTGGGCTTGCTCCTTCGGCCTAAAGAGCCTCCGCCAGTGACAGGCTGACAGCACCTGCGCAAGCCTCCAGGCGCCAGACGGATCGCCCATTTCCGTGCCTCCTGTCTGCTGGTCACGTTCCACCTCCCTGCAGCTCCCCCGTCTTCCTGCACCTCTGCACCACTTACAGCGCTATCCCCATCATCCATCCAAGGCAGCCGTATTCCGTTGCAGTTAACTGGATTCCATCTTGCTGACGTCTTCTGCATCTTGCCTATCCACTCTTCAGGTCTTTCATCCCTCTTATCTTTCATCTTGCGTTCATTCTCTACCCTCCCATCTTTCCATATGCAGCTCGACTCCCATCGCCGTCAGTTGAGTATCACCATGCCTTGCCCCTGGTCTCGCCGCTGCAATGCAGCAAGCGACAATAGCATTCGCCTTGCCGATACTCTCCCCTCCCCAACCTCTGCCCCCGATGTCGAGGACTGGAAGACCGTCCGACGCCATCATCTTCGTAAGATGAGGAAGCAGGTCCGCAGCATTGTTCTGTTCATGGCATTGATGGAAGCTTTCCGTGTTGGTCCCATTCAGTTGGTTTACGCTGGAAAGCATGGTTATCCCGAGGCTGGTCCAGAGGATTTTGGCGTATGTGGTTGCAAGGACCTGTCTATCAGGTTGAGATGGACAAAAAGCTGATCTTCATCACAGATTGCCCATACTGTCGGATATATCTTCAGCTGGCTTTACGTCTGCGCCTTCATGATCGTCTGGGTGCCCCTCTTCAGCGTGAGTGTTTCTCCACAAACCCACAAAGACATAACAACCCCTGTGAAGACTAACAACTGCATCATAGTGGTGGGTTCCTGATACCAAATCAACTCCTCAGGAGCCTTCAAATCTCGAGAAGGTCTCCAAGGTTCTCAAGGATTTTAACATGATCCTCCTTCCCTTCTGTGTCGGCGTCTCTCTTCTCGAACATTTCTACTACACCGTCTGCGCCTTTATCTACGTCGACTCCCGCAAGATCGGGTCCAAGACATCACCTGCCAACACCCGCAAGAACTGGATGGTCCGACTTTTCTTCTTGATTGGCATTGCCATCTCGACTTCAACTGGTTATGGTGCATTCCAGATCCTTGCAACCATGGACCTAGCACACGTCAAGCCAATCGAGTATGCGGTCGTTGTCATTCCATTCCAGGTCAACTTCGGTGTCTTCCTTGGAACTATCATGCAATTCCGCATGGAGAAGCGAATTGCAAGAAAGGAAGCAATGAAGCTTGCCGCTGTGAAATACGAGCAGGCCACTGTTGATGAGAAGCAAGCTCTACTCGATGTGTAAATTCAATGGCCATGCGTTGACTTGGGTTGCAAACACGTGACCTCGCACAGTGGCAGGGTGTCGCGTCGAATGTTCATCGTCACAATCGAGCGGTGCCCAATTGCTCTAACAAATATCTTTCCATTGGATCAAAACAACAACTTTCTCTGGAATGGTTCCTATCCTGACTTGGCCGAGAACCATCTCAGATTTCTCATAGGTGAACGGTGGAGAGCATGCAATAAGTGTGGACGCGCAGTGCTCGTCATGGAGACTGAAGACGCATATTCGGAGAATTGAATGGCGTTAGAGCTTGTACGACTATTCGGTGCTTGGTATGTCAGCGGCCGGTATCCATAAATACGTTATGCTCTTCTTTTGCTAGAAGCCCAATACTATTTCTCACACATTCGTTAAATGTCGGACTTTCATCAAACTTACATCGCACTCCCAGCTAAAAGCACTCTGTATAAGATTGTCTCATGTCAGCACTCTCTCAACCTCCACGACGTTTCCAGGGATCATCCACGCATAGGTCCAGCACAAGACTCTTGACAATTTATTGATGAAGATACAGGCCCACACTACCTCCTGGAGATCTCAGCCTGGTCTGTGGAGGGGGCATCTGCGGACATCATTTCCGGCTCTGTGCAACTGAGTTAGTTTAACCCGAAAAGATCAGGCGTCGCCCTTGACATGGTTAGTCTTAGAGACCCAGAAATGATGTGTTGTTCGAAGCCCTGAGGAATGCTAAAAATGCAGTGCATTTCCATCGGCATTCAACCCGAACTGTCTCGCGGAGCCTCATTGAAGACGCTTAAGAAGCCTGAAGCACTAAAAACTCTAGTGCTCTCTCTGTCTCATGGGCGCATATTTGGGCATAGACACGATGTCGCTCACACTCCTAGAGGACGACCAGCTGCGGCGTGCCTCCTCGAAGGGCCCAGAAGGTTTAAGATTGCAGTGCACTTGATTTGGGCACCGATGCATTAGCCTAGGATGCCTGGCAGCGAGACTAGGAAGCGCGCTGCTAATTCTCCGGGGATACCGTGCAGTAGCTCTGACTTGAAATATCGTCCAGTGAGGGTTGAAAGGATGATCAGCCTCAACGAGGTCTCTCAAGGTGTCAATGGGTGAGAGACACTAAATTTGCAGTGCCATTGACGCGCTGAGCCACCTCGTTGTCTAGTGAAGTCTCGGGGACTGAGAGCAGCAGCGAAATCTTTCAAGAGATAGGAGGGACTAAAATTGCAGTGCAGTGTTATTTCTCGTGATGCATCTTGGCCGTAGCGGCAAGCTGAGAGAGTGGGTTGTCCAATAGAGTCGGAAAACCGAGCTGTCACAGCAGGACTCGACAAGAAGCGAGAGGAACTAAAAATGCAGTGCAGTTGAACACTGCCTGGTTGCTGCCCCAGTTCCAAGGCTGGCTCTTGCAGCAGTGGTTGCATGTGAATCGACACATCGTCCTCTGAAGTCCAGAGAACTAACAGCCCCAGTAGGCCCCTGGAGAGGCCAGTAACACTTAAATTACAGTGCAAGCGCTTTTATCAATCAACCATGAGCCATATTCACGCAGGGTAAATTGAGCAGTCTACTATACCTCGCACATAAAGTCTAGAGAAGACTGGAGAACGGCATCCATCCTCCATAGCCTCGCGTCTTAGATTTTCAAGAAGCTAGTAGCACTAGAATGGTAGTATAAGGTAAATATTTAAGAAAACGGCCTTAGAGGTTTAATAGGCTTAAGCATCAGTAAACTCTCCCGAACAATAGGCTAGCGAAATTTCTAAGAGATCGGAGAGACTAAAAATATAGGTTGGTCATAGAGGCTATACTATTAGGTATACTCGACATTACTAGTCTATATTAGTAAATACTTTATTAAAAGAAGATTAGAGAATATAGATATCTACTCATCTATAAGAGTATAAAGAATACCCGACGCACTGATAGTGTGTAGTACAATCTCTGTTTAGTCGCTCAATTGTAGCTACGGGGATATCACCCAGTGATTCGTTAAATCTCATGGATTGACAGCTGTAGGAGCGAGATCTCTCCAGAGGCCACCAGGACTATAAAATGCAGCATAATGTGGCTGCCTTTTTGCGTTATGTAGGGTATGGGTGATGTTTCCAGCCTCACGCCCCAAGAATTTGCAGTCAACCCACATCACTGCCTTGGGCTACCTTGAGGAACATGTCGGTACAGTGGGGATGATTCGAGGGCACAAAATCGACTGTTACGTTATGCAGTTTCTACACAGCTAAAAAGCATTACGAAGTGTTCTGGACTGGAACAAGGCTGAGAGTCTCCTTGACGAGCCTGTCATGCGCAGACGAGCACGACACGGATATTGGACGAGGGCAATAATTGATAGTACTTTATCGGCGATCAGGATCCGATTGTGTTCTCGGGTTTACAATCTCAGAAGGGCTGGTTCTATTTCACCTTTATGAATCTATGCGACTCGAGAACCTGGGAGGAAGGTCGCGTGCACCGTGGATGTCACGTTAGCGATTGAAAAGTCATCGCCAGATGCGTGGATCTCCTTTTAGATCTCCCAATCACTTAGATAATTTACGGTCGAGATTGGCTACTCAACTCGATGTCGAGTACTAGTACGATACAGCCCTACCCGTACCGTAGTCACCGGATACAAGTAAGCTGGCAGATGTTGCAAAGGCGAGATGAACCTCTGTGTTTCTGGGGTTTAGTCGAAGACAGCCTGAATGTTGTCTCACAAACCATCCCATATCGTCGAAACGATGACATCTTCAGCTTCACCTCCTTTAGCACACGAGTCAAGAGCGATATTGTTGCTCTATTCTTGCTCACGAAGTCAAACCTGTTTCCTCAACTTGCTTGGAATACTTGCGGACGAAAATAGCAGAAGCACCACATGTCCTGTGAATATTATTTCGACTTTAGCTTGCACTAATGTACGTTTTGGTTCCTTCGATCCCCAAGAAGTGGTTGCCGCAACCTCTAAGGCTCGGCGCACGAGATTGGGATTGCTAGGACTCCCATTGTAATTTTACTATGTCAGATTTGTGCCTCTGCACTTAACACCCCGGCATTTCCTCAATAAGGGCCGGGACAGAGTTGGGTCTGTGATGAGCCTCAGATGTGTTTGTGAACACACACAGTCGTACCCTGCCCTGCATCGACGCCTTCATTTCACCTGGGTATGCCCACTTCGATGCCATACAGCCAATCTCTTGTGACAACCCTGACACTTATGTTCCACATTCTTGAGGCCACTGATCATATATGGCACGAAAGTGAAAATTACGGTTGAAAAGAAGGCGCAGCACCCCCAGGCGTGGTTCATGTTTCCGCTTGTGAGAGATGTCTGTGTCTTACCACGTGCACCACAGTAAGGACACTCGACCAGAGCAGGTAAATGGCCTAGATCGTTCAAAGGCGTAGGTGCTTGGTAGTAGATGTTTCCATCTTGGCCTCTGTATGCAGGCCAACCAATGCCGATGCTACCGCCGCTCTGATGGCTTGCTAACATGGCTGATGGGGTTGGTGGTGTCGGAGGTTGATACTGGCTACCCAAACAAATCAGTCCAGCCTCGAAGAATGAGAATGCGGAGCAATCGGATGTGATCATACTTACTAATTGACAGCCGGAATGCCCATTATAACAGGTTCTTCGTATGGCGGCAGTGCTTGAGAATGGTCAGCCAGGTACAAGTACTCCATTTAGATATCGAAATCGTATACATTTGTGTCCAGTCATAGCCATTACGCAAAGTTGAAGAAGTCTGTGGTAGTCACTACCTGTGCACCAGATCTGAGGAACAATCGTTCTTCTATACCTCAATAATTATCATATCCGAGTACCTCGTATTCCCAATTCAGCCCCTGAAAGCATTTTCACACGCGCCGTAGCCATCAGGCAACAACGTTTCTGAGCATTGTAGTTCCCGTTCCAAGCCCCCACGTTACGTAGACAAACTCAAACACCGAGCATACGAGGCCAAACGACGGTTGGATCGGCTCGATGTCATTGAAATACTTGCTGAGACAATGAGCCACAGATTTGACGATTGGTTGTCGCAGTCGTATTCGTGATTTTGGCAGGGTCGCAGTGTTTTTGAAGCTGAGCTCAAGGCGTGTCCTCGGCTTGATCGTCTGCAAGATCTGAACCCAGCAAGTCTATTTTCCCACCAGTACCCATAACTTGTCTATCCCTTCCTGCGATGATATAGATACTTCACTTCCTTTACCGCACGGCTGTTGTAATTTTGCTGGCACGCAGCCAAAAATAGAGTCGCCAAGGATATCTTGAACCTTGACTTGTCCGCGTTCTATCTTCAGCTGAATCTACTTGTAAGCTGTGACCTAGACCACACTCATATTATTTGGTAGGCGAAGGGAACTGGATGCGGACCAGAAGGGCAATAAAAGTGGAGATCATCCCAGACTAGTCATGCCGCCATAGTTCGACGTTCACTGCGTACGATACATTCTCAAAACGACTGGGAAAGAGAAGACGGCGACGCCATGCAGTTTGCCATTATAGAATATGACTACCGTAATTCAGCACGGGAGCTCTCATGTGAAATAGAGGCGGATGCTAATTATCACCACAAAGTCTGGAACTCAGATGGAAACCACCAGCTTCTTCGCACTCACGCCCTGTCCCAGCAGCTCAACAGCCTTCTGCAAATCTTCTAGCCCTTTTCCAACCACCTCTGAGCGTGGCATATATTTGATTGTCTTGTTCTCCATTGCTCTGTGGATCCATTGCCAGACCAGCTTGGGAATGTCGCTTTCAACCCCAATTGCTGCAAAATTGGTCACGATTTTCACTCCTCTCGTGCCCTTCGCTTCAGCACCAGGTGAAATCGACGCTATCAGCCTTCGATCATTAATCTTATCAAGGATCTCGCAAAGCGTGTTCAGCGTCTCGTCATCATGAATGGCGTCGTAAGCTCCCATGACAGCTTTTCCTTTCAGGCTCTGCACAATATCCTCAACAAGATTTGGATCACTTTGATCAAAGCACGCGGTTGCCCCCAAGCCTTTGACCATCTCGTGGTTCCTCTTGCTCGCAATTCCAACTACCTCGTATCCCGCGTGGACAGCCAATTGGACACCACAAGAGCCGACGCTGCTACTAGCGCCCCAGACCAACAGTGTTTTGCCCTGGCCGGGTTTCTCTCCATGCTCCAGTGGCCATGGCAATGCCAACGTCTGATCCATAAAGAGGCAGGCAAGAGCGGTCACCATACCCAGGGGCAATACAACAGCATCCTCATAAGCCACATGTTGTGGAATTTTGGTCATTCTTGCTGCTCTGACAACCACATACTCCTGAAAGGTGGAGTAGCAGTAAGTACCATCTCTCCTATATGCAGCTCCGCCTTGGGCAATGACACGGTCACCCACGCTGTAGTCTTCGGCTAGAGAAGGGTGCACTTCGACAACCTCGCCAGCGACATCGCAGCCCAGAATGGCTGGGTAGTCTTTCAGGAGCATCACAGATTTCAGATAGATGGCGTCTGCAGGGTTGATGGCGATAGCTTTAGTCTTAATAACGACTTCATTAACTGAGGGAGTTGTGTGTGGTGCGGAGTCCACAGTAAACATAGGGGATTCTTTGGCCATGAGCCACGCAGCACGATTTTGGAGAGACATTGTGGTTCCAGGGTGCGAGGAGAATCTATCAAAACAGAGACCTAGCAGACTTCAGAGGACTGTGGTCACACTCTATATACTGTCTTAACTCAACAGCATATCGATGTCACCGATTTATCCGATAACCTGCCGTTTCGCATCGGCTTCCACGGTGCCCCACTTGAATCTTATGCGGGAATACGAGTTATGGTTAGATCGAAGTTATTAACCAAGTCTAAAGCAACGGCATTGCGACTCAACACTGAACGGGTTTATTTCGTCACCCAAAGTAAACTCCGACAATATCTCCTTCACGTGCATGACCCACTGGACCATTGGGATCGAAGGAGACGAGCTTGGTATGAGAGCCCTGTTCGATATGAGATTATCTGCACAATGCCCGACTCTATGGTTCGTCAATGAATTCCTGACTGCCGTCTATCCTCACATTATGGGCAGAAACAAGATGACGGTGCACCGAGATCTAGCCGAAATTGATTGGCGTTCGAAAGCATGGCTACGAAGATGCTTGATGCGAGTTATGACTTGATGAGCAGAACATGATTAGGTGAGCTGGAGCCAGTATTGATGAGAATCAGTCGCCGAAATCCGCTTCAGCTTATGATCGTATCAACTTATGACAATTACTCAACATGGGAGTCATCTTGAAACTCCATGGTATGACAGACTGAGCATATCAGTCTTGGTGATGAGACATCTAGATGATATTTACAAGCGTTGGATCTCCATGATAGAACAACGCTATATTGCATCTAGGTTTCAGCCTAGCTCACGCGGCCCATTAGGCCGATTTCTCAGTTCTCGTTCCCTCCGCTGCTGCTCATTTTTCTTCGCCCACTGGGCCCGCTCTTTGTCCCTCCGAGCCCTCTGCCGCCAACTGAGCGACCTGGTCGCGTCTTTCCCAAGGGCCCGTGGGCCGCCAAGAATTTCGTAGCTATATGTCTTACTGCCAGGGCAGGGGCATGCGTCCCACGGTGCGATGTTGCCATAGCTAACTGCTGTACTACCATTGCCTGTAATTGGATTGGAATAAGGTGGGACGTTAGGTCCAGTTGTCCTGCGTGCTCGCTCGTGGCTGTAGTTACGATCTTCATCGTGATCCGTGTCAACTGGCGAATTCGATTTGCACAAACTCGTGCTCCCCTCCCTTCGCCCTATTTGAGGAGATCCGCGTCGAGGAGATGTGATAGGACTCTGAGATTCCGGGATGCAAGCCAGTGGTAGTATTGTTCGAGGCTCGTATCTGACCTTATGACTTCGCATTGTGAAGACTTTGGAGTTGGTGTTGAGATTTCGAGGTCCAGCTGGTCGAGTCACTGGTGCGGGCATGAGGAGGACTGGCGAGGGCATGACCGGTGACGGTGGCAGAGGAAGTGGCTTATTCTTATCACTGGCAAGATTCTGATGGTGAGGGGTACCTGTGATTGCGTCGAATGGATTTTGTGACTCTAGATCGAAAAGAAGTGAGGTAGGCGTGTCAGGTGTTGGAAGGTTGCTGCTGACACTGGAAATCTCGTTGTCATGATCCTGTTCGCCGTCGCGGCTGTCTGGAGTCTCGTTGAAACCAAAATAGGAGAAATCAATGACGTTGCTATTTTGCGGATAGGAAGCCTCACTAGAGAGGCTCCCCCGTCGATAGCTCATAGTATGGGAATTGGCACTAGAGTGCTTGATCTCCACATTTATGCTTGTATGTGATCGAGCTTCTGAGCCATCACTCGTTTTTCGTTTGTGGGCAAATATTCTCGGTGATAATTGTGTCACTGGATGTCGAAGTGATGGCAGGCAACCACATATGATGCCCACGTTGATCTCGATAGTCGACCACAACAGTAGATTAGGCTCGTTCTTATCATTTATGGTGGCACTGTATGTTACCACCAGGCGAGCAATTGAGGTTGCACAAACACTGTTACAGCTCATGTCAGAATTCATGTTCATTTTCCGTGGTGCAATAGAAACTTACAAGGCTCCGAGCAGAAAAAGAAGACTGAGGATAAGAGTCTGCTTGCGTGACAGACTGAGGACGCCCAGAACAGGAATTGGTAGGACACAAATTATGATATCGGTGGCCGAGTTAAAAGACGCATTGAACAGCCAAAAGGCGAGAAAGTCGATACATCTACCATCACTGATACTTTCATCCCAGCTGAAAGCGATTGGTTGACAAGAGAAAACTCCAACAAACAGGGCTGAAATCCCATATGCAGTAACAATCGTGCCCAGTACCCAACAGGCACGTCGGTAACCGGTGTCAGTCGAGAATCGAAGATATTGAAGAAGAAGTGAGTCTTTGAGGAAAAGAACACTAAGATTATAGGTCAAATTGGCAGACCACGAGGCCTTGTAAGTGCATTGGTTAGTTCTCGTAAATCACCAGCAGGGGACCTCTAGCCACTCTTACCTGAAGAAGCCCTATTGAAACACCCGATTCTGCGGTGCCTTCCGTCGATGCTGCATGCTTGTAAGCTGGCAGTCCCCTCATACAGAATAATTGACATACATTGGGCAGTGACCACGGTAAGTGCAAGTGACGCGCTCCAAGCAAGAGCGATCAAGCAGTCGTCAATTCCAACATGCTTCACGAATGCTAAGCGAGAGAATAGCCTCGCAACAACGCAGCAGCCAGAAATGGCAGTCAACGCTACAGCAGCTGAAGAAGCGGGAGCAAAGCCTGGCATATTCCTGGCATAAGTTGCTCGTCTCCTAAGCCGGTTGTTCTCCCGGAAAACAAGACATAAATGGGAGATGACCGAGTTTTCTCGAAGAGCTGCCGTAGGAGCTGTAGGTCTTGATTGAAGGGTCCTACAGGGCCTGCTGCGGACGTGTCTTGTCACTGCTGACGACAGTTTTGTAGAAAGGAGCACTCGATATAGGTCAAGTGATGATATGACGTTATGAAGAACTGATCAACCAACCGTGGACACCTAAGAAGGATGAAGATAGAATTAATACTCATGGAGAACAACATTACACTGTAGCAGTGCCAACAGAAGTCTATTCGAAGAAGTTTTCGAGCATTGATGTCCTAGACTGGTCAATGCGTGTGCTATAGCAAGCTGCCGTCGGTAGGTCGTTTGTGGAAGCCATAGTTACGGGCACGGATCATGGCGCTCAGACAGAACAAGACTGGGTTTAAATCTCTATGCCGTCATCGGTGAGGAATCATGACTGGACCTGAGCTCGAGCATGCTGAACCAAGAGCATTGAACTTATTCGCAGATTTGATCGAATCCGCAACTTATGATAATGGTAACAAGATTTGCTTCGAATCAGGGGTGATGAGAAGAATGAATGTCTGGGAAGGAAGGCAATAAAGGAGGTAGATGCCAAGACTAACGTTGGCGTCTCGCATGTCAAAAGTGGCCCCCTTCATGTGCCCTCTATCGAAGTACGACCCCAGATATCTTGGTGTTGAAGTACCTCGCAAGAACTCATCCGTAGCTTTTGAAAGCCATAGTATCCCTGCTGGGCACAGTATGTTCAACAGAGCATCTCATAAGCCTCTTAGCCACCAATCAGTCTTGCTTCGGGGGTCCATTCTCACACCACTATCAATTAATGACAGCAAAGATCAGGTCTGTGCCATCAATGCAACCAATACAATCTTGCTAGAACATTGGCGCTCAGATCATCCGCGGAGCTGATCTGAACGACTACTGAGGATAGGTTCACCAAAAACTCGGACAACGTTTGCAACTTGTCCTGATGGGGATTTTCGATATGCATTGACGTTCACGATTGTGTCCGATTCCTTGAAGCCTTTCTAGAAGGTTGTCTGGAGGCATCTTCTGAACTAGTCTGGAGAGCTAAGACCACAATTGGAATCCAATATCACCTAGAATCTGGTGGCATTATGCTTTATCCGCTTTATCCGTTGTGCTTTTGTTCCCCCATGCAAATCACGAATGGAAAGTTTCTCGTCACACCCTGGCCAGGCTGTGGACGACCGTTTTCGAATTCACCTTCGAACGATTCAACAGTTTTATCCACACTCCACGCTCGCTCCACTCTTACATTGGAAAAACCAACCTCTTTCAGCAATGCTGCCATGGTTTTGGCATGAATTCCGTGTCTCTCAACCCCAGCCAGCTTTGCTTGGGGATGAAAGCTCTTCGCTTCGGGTCCATAATCCTCAAAATCTGTCAATGCCACGCTACCGCCATGCTTCAAGCATCCGAGCATCGTGGTCAGAAGTCCCTTTAAATCTGGAACGTGGTGTAACACGAGGTGCGATGTGATAAGATCGAACTTTAATCGAGGCCCGTTAGGATCGGCCGCATTTGCTGGGGGTAAAGATGGATCCTCGGGATCCTCGAGCAGGACTGCCACCGGCAAAACATTACTCGGTGCGTCTTGTTTCTTAAGCTTCTCCTTCAAGACCTCTATCATTCCCGGCGCGGCATCGATCGCCACGACCTGCTTGACAAGAGGGGCCGTAATGAAACTTAGTAAGCCTGTACCACATCCGATCTCCAGCACATTCAAACCCGTTGTTTCCGAAGAAGGCTTGAGGGCCGGGAACCTGGCGGAAATCGCCTTCAATGCTTGTTTGCTGGCCTCGTGAACAAGAGGGTTCTTGTCCCAATTGAGCGCCTCGGCATTAAATCGGTCATTTCCTGATCCCTTCTGGAATGAAGACGCCGCCGTTGCCATCGGGTGGGTTTTCGCAGTGGTTGAGTCTAGCCCAGGCTAGATTTTGAGTCGAATACAGCGGTTACTACAGCCGGATGACTGCCTTGATGTCTCTCAGGAAGGATGGAAAGAAATGAGTCTTTGACCAAGAGGTGGGGGAAATCCCCTCGAGGGACTAGTGTTCCCCAATATCCCAATACCTCGGCTTTCATCCTGAAAATCTTGAGGTGCAAAATTGTCCATGATTTGAAGTCCATGATGATTCGAAATGGAGAGGAAGGGGGATTCAAAGGAGAATAGAATACTTTTGATCACCTAGCCCACATCAACACAATTCTGAGCCTATTGGTCGGGGGCTCAAGCGAAACGGTTCAGATTGGCAATACGACTGCCTCGGTCGATCACGCAATTCGCCCACACTGTCTCCTCCTTCCCCGCCATTTGGATCCTTGATAACCGAACATGGAATTGTATACCATGTAGAGTTCGAATAATGGCCTCAGAGTAAACAATGTCACTCAGTCCTACGTCTCTACAAACCCTGAAATGAGATGGCGCCACTCACAGGAGCAAAAGTGATAGCACAGGCATTGCACGATCTTGATATTACCGTCCTACACACTCTCGTCGGAATACCCGTTGCTGATATTGCAGAAGAAGCCATTGATTTGGGCATTCGTGTCATTGGGTATCGCAACGAGCAGGCATGTAGCTATGCCGCCTCGATATATGGCTACCTCACTGGTCGCCCTGGAGTGCTTCTCTTGACTGGTGGACCAGGGATAATTCATGGCATGGCAGGAGTAAGTAGAGCCATATGAGATTCATTATTTGACATTCAGGCTTGCCTTCCACTTTCCCGTACTGAAGAAAACTTTCCATGTAGATCACCAATGCCTCGACAAATGCATTTCCCCTGCTTGTGCTCGGAGGCTCCTCGGAATCTACCAGTGTGACAAAAGGCGGCTTCCAAGAGCTAGACGCCATCGCTTTGTTGACTCCCCATACTAAGACCGCTATTCGACCATCCTCAAAAGAGCCGACGGCCATCGTGGCCGCCTTACGTACGGCCTATCGCATAGCATGGTATGGCCGACCGGGACCAACCTTTGTCGACCTACCGACTGATCTCATCATGGAGCCTTCGCCTGCTGACCGTAGAGTAGACAGGCCCGTCATTTCAGTATCTCCACCTCCAAAGCCTGGTCCATCTTCGGATCTCATCACGTCCGCAGCTCGACTACTTCGATCGAGTTCTGCTCCGCTCGTTATCATCGGCAAAGGTGCCGCATATGCACGCGCAGAGTCCACAATCCGCTCACTCATCTCGACACACCACCTCCCATTCCTCCCAACGCCTATGGGGAAAGGGGTCGTTCCAGACTCACACGCTTTAAACACAAGTTCCGCACGCTCAGCCGCGCTCAAGAACGCAGACCTAGTTCTGCTCTTGGGAGCGAGACCGAACTGGATTGTGCATTTCGGCGAAGCTCCAAAATACCGCCCTGATGTGAAGATCATCCAGGTAGACATCTCTCCAGAAGAGCTTGGACGAGCGAACTCGCTAGGAGAGCCCGCACTCAGTATCTTCGGGGACATCGGCTTGGTTGTCGACCAAATAAAGGCTGAATTGGGTGACTGGAAAGCGTTCTCAGAGCCCCGAGTCGTTTCCGATCCCACTGCAGCATCATCGTCTTACCTGGATCTACTGTCCAGAGGAGCAGCAACTAATTCGGCCAAGACCTCCGAGGCAGCCGAGAAGATGACTCCAGTGAGCGGGCAGCTAATTTACCAACGAGCTTACCATATCATCAAATCCACGGTCAACAGTCTGTCACCACCGTCAAAAGGTGAAATCGTGTACGTCGCCGAAGGCGCGAATACGATGGACATCTCACGGTCCTCATTCCCACTAGAACAACCACGCCAGCGTCTCGACGCAGGAACGTGGGGCACCATGGGCGTTGGACTAGGCTATGCCATCGGCGCATGGTCAGCGTATAATCTACCATCGCGGACGAAGAAGATCATCGCATTAGAAGGTGACTCCGCGCTCGGATTCTCCGGGATGGAGATCGAGACTATGGCACGCCACCGCATGGACATCGTGATCATCGTGATGAACAACTCTGGAATCTACAAAGGCGATGCAACGTCAGCAACGCAATGGAAAGAAATGCAAGACCGGACATCGTCGAGTGAGACCGCTGCGTCGAACTTAAAGGATCGAGTCAAAAGCCTTCGATCTAGTTCGTTGCTCTATGAGACTAGGTATGAGCATCTTGCGGAGATGGTCGGTGGGACAGGATTCTTCGTGCGAAGTGAAGAGGAGTTGAGAACAGCAACAAGGAAAGCATTCCAAGAGAAGGAAAAGGTCCCATGTGTGCTGAACGTCATCATTGATCCGGGGATCAACATGGACGCAAGCTTTGGCTGGTTGGAAACGAAGGAGAAGCATAGGGGAGGAGGGCAGAGTAAATTGTGAATCTGATGCTGCCTAAAAGGCATCTTGTGACTATACCGGTAGGTGCTCACTAATCATATGATATAGTATGGTTTTGAGAGCACATAGATGTCGCTGGCATGCATGGCATGCATGGTTTGATGGAAGGCCTCGGATCTGCCTGGCTTACCTGTGATCAGCATTGTCAGATCCCCTCGAGAAGGGACCGCGTCACGATAACATTGAGGTGTAGTTGGAGGCTCGCCTGATAGTTCGATGATACATTCCACGTCATTCAAGTGGCTTAACGAGCATGATATCTCAAGTTGTCGTGGACATCTTCATCAACAAGAGAGCTGGTAGACTTGAATTGAGGTCGTGGTCGTCGCCAAGCTTATTACCGGGCTGTAGTGCGTGCTAGTGCCCGGTTAGTGGTACCTTAGGACTATCTCTCCTTTGCTCGCCCGTCTTGCTTTTCCATCTCATTTGGATCAACTCGGCTTGTAGGAACAACAAGAAGAACGGTGTGAGTCAAGGAAATGGTCATACTCGAATCGAATAACCCCCTCATCTTGTTTTCTAGTCCCTTTTGATCGTGGCCAAAATTAGAGGTTCAGCAAGCCACGTCCAAAGCAGTGTGCGTGCGCTGCCAAAGATGCGCCTCTGATACATTCAATTTGTCAGGCCTGAGACTCTGTAACCAAGGTAAGCCTCAAGAAGCTCACAACGATTTGTTGCAGACCCGGAGTTGCGTGACCTGCTGTCTGCGTGTTCAAAGAGATGTGCCGACCAAAACACCAAGACGTCTAGACATACGGGTCCTGGGGCACTTCGCCAATAATCGAAAAAGCGTACACGAGGTAAGCTCAGCATAACCAAAGCTTTTCCATTTGCTTGCGATGAGCAAGCTTACTGGTCAGCGAGAGGTATATGTCAGCAAAATCGGTGAAGTCCTCGAGTCTTTGCGGAGTTGTCGGGCAGAGCCAAGAAATCCTGAGCTGAACCAAACACGAGGCTGAATACTCGCTTTGGGATAGCTGATGTACAATGCTAACCGCGTCCGCCCTACGATGGTCTTTTGAGTACCAGCTGAATGCTTCTTTGGGAATCGGTATCAATATTTTTCATTCGATACAGCCACTTTCTATAGGGCTGGAAAGGCTCGTGCCCGTAGGCGCGACTTGATGCTAGCTGATGGCGAGATTTAGGGCTGGAATCATGGGCGAAGCATCACATCACGCGCACGGTGCATCTCAATGAAAAGAAATCCGACAGCATCCGGTCACCGAAGAAGAGCAAGTATAATTGAAAAGGGTTATTTAAAGGCTGTCGACATCCCTCGAAATACTCACAAACCGAAGCAAGTCAATCACTCACAGTCAATCTGAATCAAGACTTACATCCAGAGCTTCTTTGGAATATATCCCTTTGAAAAGTCATCAAAGACCAACCCGCCCCCCACAATCAACCATGTACGGCACCAGCATCATCGCTCTCTTCGCAACCTCATTCCTCGCCACCACCTCCCATGCCGGCCCACTCCTCCCCCGCGCCGACCCGATCGTGGTCTACCCCAGCTTCACGAGCCAATACAACGCGAAAACCGGGGCCGTGACCTTCAACACCACGAGTGGCCTGGTGTCGCGCAACCCGCAGAACGGCGGCGCCGACATCAGCACGCTGGTGACATTCGCGCTCGACACCAAGTACAGCACCAACAAATGCCAGCTCGTCTTCGACCTGACCGACTCCAAGTCCTCGGTCAGCGGCACGGGCAAAGCCCAGCTGTACTCGGCGCTCGCACCGGCGTACACAAGTGCGAGTTCGTGGCCGTCGGGGAACTTAAGGGATCAGGATCTGGGGTCCATTGTCGTCGTTAAGGGGAAGCGTGCCACGTGGGATGCGACCGCAGGCGGCTTGTTGGCAGGCTCGAACGGCACGTTCCCGTGCTCGGATATTGCTGGCGCTATTTTTGGTGGTGAGATTGTGCCGAGGGGTGATACTGTTGAGATTAAGTGGCCGACGTTGGTTGATGGGATCAAGATCCTCGTGACCTAGAGATATTTGGTGCGGTAATTGAGGAGATGGCGGAATGTCGAGGCTAGGATTATTTGGTAATGAGGGGAGTCAAGGGTTTACTTAGCATAATAACAACGCTATCATATCTTATTCAGAGCTGGACCGAAATACAGTCGCCAACAGGCAATCGAGTCTAGTGTTGATATCTAGATGCTTCTTTGAGAGGCACAAGTGTTCTTTCTATACTCCACTCAGAATCAGATTGTTGCCTAAGTCCAATTAGGTCCTCATCTGAAGGGCTTGATACTACATGCTGATTCCAGGCCGGTCGAGCGTTGTGACTGAATGGACTAAACCATGTATGCAAGTGTATCTCATTGGGGCTCAACAGTAACATCGACAATATTCTTTCAGACAAGGCCACGGGGTAAGAGCTGAAAGCTATGTCCGGAAGTCTGAATACTTCCTGTCGGATCGCTCTTAGACCCGCGTAGACCTCGTTGGGCGGGAGCTGAGCTGAACATTTAGCTTGCTTGACAATGATATTGATTGACTGCAATACAATCCTCTGCCAAGGGGTACTCGGCTTGGGGATCCAGCTCGCTCCAGCTTGGCAAGGAACACGGACCACCGAGCACAAACCGTGCATGAACCGCTATAGGCCTAGTCACTTACTGACCTGATCACCTTGAAGTTGGTCAAGATTGAGAGCTGAAGTCCCTGCACGTCAAGGGTGTTGATATACTCGTAGCTTCACGACAGACTTCCAGGACAGTAGAGTTTGAATTATACCAGTTGAAGTGTCTGGCAGATCTATATTTGGCGCCACCAACCCTGTAGGTAACAGGCGTTCACGGATCTGGCTGATGCTGTCCGCCGGACTTTTGCAAATCGTGACGGAACAATATTCTGCTCGGTTAGCCTTTTCATTTTAGATCGAGACAGCGGTGTGGCCGCAAAATTTCCCACGCCATGCGCCTCATCTTTTGAGAGCCGACGCCCCTCGAGATGAATGAGCATCACGAGCTTTTGTAGCAGATGATCCATTGAAGGAAGCCTATTGGCCACGTGTGACAGACTCGGCCGGTTTTAAAAGTCCATCTCGCAAGTTCCTCGCTGGAGACTTTTTGACTGAGTAGCTTTCGTACTTCATCAGGTGTTCTTGTACGGAGACAAGATATATAGCCATCGTATACCCAAATGAATGGTACGATAGGGACTAGATAGGTGAAGAACAGATGTCCTGGAGAATTCCAGAAATAGAAGGGGGTTATCAACATGGCAAGTGGCCAAAGTAGGCTAACCAAAATGAAAGAAGTGAGATGTCGAGATTGTAATTCAAAGATACTAGAAGTAGTGTTGTCAGAAACGCCTCATCGTAGGATGAACTCGACTCACCAGAATCCGTCTGATGTCTCGGTTGTGTTTTCTAGAACTTTCGCCGCCAGATCATCGTCGAAGTGGTGGAATGCCAGACTAAACAGTCTCATGACCTTCTTATTCTTTGTACCAGGTATGCCCTTGAGTAATGTCTCGGTGCTTGGGGCATTTGTTGCATCCACACTCTGACTCACATAGCTGATATTCTCGCTCTTCTTCGTGATAGCTGTCCACGCAGACACATGGGGGCTGATGTCGGTGAGGACAAATTGAACATCTTTCTCGCCCTGCTCACGGAGTTCTGCATTCAGGAAGCCTTCAATGTATGGTGTGGGACCACCTGCGCCAGATGCGAAATCGACATAGACATATTCAGAAACTCGAGGGCCGAGAATGGTGGATAGGATGCGGGCTACAAGCGCAGCTGGACAGGTAGGCTGGATGATTGGGAATTTGTTGATCCAGCCCAGGGTAAGGTAGTCTTGCACCTTTTCTCTCAGGAACTGAGGAAACCTGTCCACGGAGTGGTTAGCTTACAGTAATCGCAGGTACTCAACGATTGATAGCAAGCTTCTTACCATGGTTGATCAGCAACCTCGAAGTAATGTCGTCTTGGTAACCACACTCGTGGACTAGGAGAACCCATTGCTTCGGATGCCTGTCTTCTTCTTTAGGCGCGGATAGGAGTGTCGAGGTAGTCCATGAGATTTGAGGTTAGTATAAGTAGCATCTCCATGCGGCACTACATTGTGCTGCTGTGTCTGGGATGAAGCACGAATACTTGTCGTCAACGATAAAATTATTGTGGGGAAGGAGCATGCAACACGTCATTTACGTGGCGGGCGCGTAGCAGCCGCGTTGGGGAAGGAGCGACCTAAACGGACCCTCTTACCCACCTGACCTCTATCGATGTAAGATGATACTTGACCTGCATAAGGCTATTTGAGACACGTTACACACAAACTGTTCACTCTCATCTCCACCAGTCAGATAAACATGAACGACTACAATCTGGGGTTCTTGCTTCACATCATCATTGAAACCCCGGCTTCACTCAAGTTCTTCTTCTTCCCCAGTGGACAGCTTGGAAAGGTTACGCCCCATGCTCACGCAGTCATCCGGCAATATGCCGTTCTAATATTTGCATCTAATCTGGTAGCACTCATGTTTGTGTGGCGACCAATGGATGAGCTGGCTGCAAAGATTGCAGGCTCTCTGGCGATCTATCATATCGCCCCTTCGATGAGATCCATCAACCGATTGATAACACAGGCACATCAAGGTGAACCTTTGGTAGCCTCGGAGGCGTTTCTCTATTTAGTTGTACATATCATTTGTGGCGCCGCTCTTGCACTGCATTTTCGGGATGGCATGGTTGGCAGTCCTTCTGGTCGGGATTTTCTAGCAGGGCTCTTTAGTCCACCTCCTCAGCCACCAAAGTCTCAGTAGGACTCTCAGTGCCAGTCATCGATCCTTCTTGGACTCGCTTCAATAGCATCATCTCCACCGAGATGCCTGGGCCAAATGCACAACTTACAATATGGTCAGTGGTTGGACCTTCCAGCAATCGTTGCATCACACTGAATACAGTGGCACTAGAGCTGTTACCATGAGTTATGTATATCTCATAGCTCGCACGGAGATGTTCCGGAGTCAGGTGCATTGCTTGCTCCACCCCACTGAGTACTGTGGCGCCGCCAGGGTGAAGCGCCCAGTCATAATCCGAGGCTTTGAATTTACCCAGGTCGACAAGCTCAGGCACTCTGCTCACGAGATCCTCGAACATGGCTGGTACAGCCCCAGATGCAAGCTTCGGCACTCTCTGAGTCAAAATGACTTTCCATCCTAAGAAGCAGTGAGCACTCGAGACGCGGAATTTTCAGGACCTTGAACCTACCAACTGGATCTACGTCGAATCCAAGATCCTTTTCCGAGTTTTCGATAATTCTGTGATCCCAATCTAGCAACTCCAATATCGGCTCCTCGTCATAACGATTACTAAAACCGTTGCCCAGTATCACAGCTGAGGCACAATCACTGAAGAGAGCGACGCCTATCCTCACTTCTTGGTTTTTGTGAATCGAGTCAATTTCGGATCTTGCAAGGACGCTTGTGATCTCACAAGCCAAAACCAATATCCGTGCGGGTTTTCGACGATAGCTGGATCCCAAAGCTATATTAGCAGCAGTTCGTAAAGCAGCCAATCCACCAGAACATCCGACCCCATGCAAGAGAACTTTCTCTATGCTTTGGTTCAGGCCGAGCTGCTTGATCACGTAATGGTCAAATCCAGGGTTCGCTGAATGAGTGCATGTTGTGGAAACAACATGGGTGATCTCGGACAGATCCCCACCCCACTGATCAATAGCCTTTTGTGAGGCTGCAACCGAAAGCTTTACACCATGGTCGAGGAAAACTTCACTGAGTTCCGCGATTGATGGTGGTTCAGGCGCATTGACGATAGGGTGGTCTATAGTACCAATGGCTGAGCGACTATCAATCCCCGTGTACTCATTGACAAAGAGCACCTTCTCCAGACTAGAATATACATCAACACATATTCTGGGCTGGTTTTGCGTCAGACTTACGCTGGTGTGCTGGGGTAGTGGCGCCGCGCAAGTGTGGCGATATCTGCTGCATTGATCTCGTAAGGAGGATATTCGACTCCAAAGCCATAGATATTTAGATTTGGACGTTCATAGGGTGGTGTGACCTTTGCGTGGTCCATTGAAGGCGACATTATCGAAGATGGTTGACTGGCATCAAGAAAAGATGTCCTGTAGATACCGAGGTCCCAACAGTTTTGTAGAGAGCGCGACTGAAAATGATGACGTTGACCTTGCTGGATTACGTCGAAACACGACCGAAACAGGGGACAAGATGATACGACAACGAGGACAAGTAATAGGGCGACGAAAGACTGTGATAACGAAAGACTATGCCTGAGCAATCAACAACAATATCTGCGATGTGGACGGAGTGGCAGTAAACCTTCTAGAAGTTGACAGAGCAGGTTATACCAGCCACCAAGGATTCGTCTACTGGAGTACGGAGTACTTGGACCTCGCATTCGTGTCGCGTGCAGTTGATCTTTGAATCATCATCTTTCAGGGATATATTCCCGTCCGGGTCGTTCTTTCCACAAATCAGAATTACTTAACGGCATCTAACTAGTTACCTCTGGAAATAACTCCCCATGCCCTCCAAGTGGTTCACAGGACTCTCAGCCCTTCGCTTACGACTCAGGTCCCCCCCTACTTACCTAAGGTAACCCTAAACTTCACTAATAGCAAGCCTCGTATTACTTTCACCCGGGCCCGAGGCGCGCTGCCACCCCCAAAGCTTTAACTACCACACTCTGTTCAAGGTAAGGCTTACGAGGTTATGGGCACGGAGTTAGAATCCACTTGAGAACAGAATGCCGGAACATCAGACATACACGCCACACCACAACCTACGAAACACTTGTGTCTGAGGCACTTCTCTTTATGCCAGACACGATTTCGTCAACCACAGTGGCAGCTTTCGCCACTTCAGAAGTCTTGAATTCGCCTTCTAGGAATGGCAGAAGAGTTACTCGTAACTCAAGGTGTCAATATTGACAGTAACCCTGGAAGCTGTCAGGCTTCACAATAATGACTCGAGCATTGACCCTTCTCGGAGGAGTCCTCGCTATCGTCATATTTTACCTCTACCAAACTCGCTCGAGAATTCATCGAGATGGGAAGAGTCTCCGACGGCCTCCAAACACCCTGCCCTTTGTCGGCAACGCCTTACACTTCTTAAAACCTCGACATGAACTTTTCTCATGGTTTGTCAAATGTCAACAGGTATTTGGCCATGAGACAATTGAGATCTCTGTTCCAAGCTTGCCACCAGGCGTTGTGATCAATAGTCCTGAGAACCTTGAGTTCGTGCTCAAGAATGAAGCCTCAATCTCAAAGGGCGAATTCTTCCGGGAGAGGTCGTGGGATCTTTTCGGTAGGTGCAAGCTGATGCTTCTAAGACACATTCCTGCCCGTTTTCTCGTTATCTGACGGTACAGTCCATAAGGCTACGGCATTATCAACTCGACTGGTGATTTATGGAAAGCTCAACGGAAAGCTGGGTTGAAATTCTTCGGTGGTGCAACACTGGACTCTATGGTAGAAGATGTGCTTCCGGAGGTCTACTTCTCTGAGACTGGTTTGCGGCGGCAGCTTTCACAAGCTAGCGATGATCACAGCATTATCGATTTGCAAAAACTCTTCCTCGATCTTACAACCACCGTCGTTGGGTATATGGCATACGATGTAAGCTAGCACCCCTTTAATCAGTCCATCTGAAAATCGATTGACACTTCAACCCTCATGGAAAAGATGGAGATCTCCAGTACACATCCATTCAGCAAAGCATTCGACCACGCTTCGAACCACATAGGCCTACGATTTCAAAACCCTCTGTACAAGCTCACCGAGCTGTTTACAGGCTCAACATTCCGCTCCTCAGTCACAGAAGTGAAACGCTTCGGGCACGATATCGTGCGAAACGCTCGAAAACGCCGCGCCAGAGACGCATTCGAGAGCCTGATTACGCAATCCGACTCGGAGCAGTCACACTCTGGGTCTTCCTCGGGTGGAGAGGCTTCGAGGTTCGGCACTCTGATCGACAGCCTGATCGAAGCGTTCGCCAATCCGACTATAGTCGCCGACGCGGCGTTGAATTTCCTCAGCGCGGGGCGCGACACCACTGCGCAGAGCCTCACTTGGACGTTATACGCACTGCTACGGAACCCCGAGACGATTGCGATCTTACGAGGGGAAATCGATCCGATATTCTCGCGCGCAAAGAAAAATACCGACGAGAACAAGCAAGGCACAAAAGAAGCAAACCCCATTGCCCCCATCACCCTCTCAGCCTTGCAACCGCTCTCCCTCCCAATCACACACGCCGTCTTCCACGAATCATTACGCCTGTATCCACCCGTCCCGATCGAGATTAAACAAACGCTCGTCCCCCTGACCCTCCCCGACGGCGTCTCCCTCCCCACCTCCGCGGTCGTAGTCTGGTGCATCTGGTCACTGAATCGCTCAACATCAACATTCGGGCCTGACGCACACGCCTTCCGACCTGGCCGCTGGATCGACAGCTCGGGCAAACTCATTCGGCGTAGCGAGGCGGAATATCCGGTGTTCAATGGCGGGCCGCGCGCGTGTCTAGGTCGCAAGATGGCCGAGGTGCTCGCTTGTTGGGTCCTGGGGGTGGTGCTGGCGGAGTTTGAGTTTGAGGAGGTTGTGCATCGAGATGGGCGGAGAGAGGTGAAGGAGAGAGTCAGTGCCAATAGTCTGACATTGCCCATGGATGGCGGCCTGCCTTGTCGTGTGAGGCTGAGGGCAAGGTAAAGCCGGAACTGGAGATGAAGGTGTGGACCCTTGGCTGCAGTGACGGCGTGCGGTGCAACAATGCAAGTAGCCCTTCGAAATATCACGTATACATAGACATGCAACTTCAGTGTCTTACTCACTCCCGTAGGGGATCTACTAAGTAGTTAATGTTAGGGGTGGTGCAGGGTGTGCTGGTCATCATGAAGTTCGGTATCTATCCACGGTACGAGAAAGCATAGTTTCTGATGCCCAAGATCGTAAACCTCAAAGCTGCTTCCCATCGTGTCATTCGACAGCATATTCCTCGGAATGTCCTGTTTGAGAGCTGGTTTATACAGACTAGAGGTATTGCGGCTACCTGCTGTTGCGGAATCTAGGGCTAAGGATTTGCATCATCAGTCCAAATCGACATCAATCACGCGGCATATAATCTATTTGACAATCGCTGTCATTCGGGATATAGTCCGGCAGGGCACATGTTTTCGTTCCCTTGATGCATGAGTGAGAATCCGCTGAATAGTTCAAATGGGTCATTTCAGTAACGCCGCCCTGCCCGTATGATCGGATGTGATGGAATATCAAAACGGGTAGCCATTCGGGTACTTGAACGTTCTTGAAGTTGATTGAGAAATACCTAGTGGCATGCCGTATCGGGAGGACAACAATCCCGTCATCGCCTATCCACAACTGAAAGTGGATGTATTCCTCCTGGAGTTGGATTGGTCATAATGTTTGTGAAGTCCAGTGGATGGAAGACAGGGCTAATGGGGGAAGGAAGACGCAGTACGAGAGCAAAGTAGAACATGGTGAAGCGCGCAAATAATGTCTCATTTCAGCCCAGTCTTGCCGGCCTCTCAAACATCATGCAGTGCGCAGGAAGGCATGAGCACCAACAAGCTCAACCAGTCTCACTCCCCTGGTGCTCGTGATACCAAAAGTCGTCTAGCACAACCAGCAGACAAAAGTCCACTTTCTAAGGGTGGCTTTAATGCTCTTGTGGAGTACATGCAAAGGTCATCAATATTGCTAAACAAGATTTCATGTCTCCTCATCCTCTCCAGCAACGCTCGTGTACTGCATACCGCCAGCGCCTCTCCTGAGCCGAAGAGGGATTTCATACAAATGTGCATAGTCAACAACTTCGCCGCCCAAAAACCCTTCGCCGTTATTCCGCTTTCCGAATATAGGGGCTGGGTCGAACCAGAAATCTCGGCAATTTCCGACCAGACCACGGGAATAAGGATTCGATCGTCGAGACTGTAGGTTCCCATGAGAGGCGTCAGATGCTGTGGCGAGGAAGGCGTCCAACCCGATCAGTTTCTTCCATCTCGTGAGACAGCCATCTGGACGGCGTGGAACTGGGTTTAGTCGACTCGCGGCTGCTGCGGTATCGTTCAATGACGTCGTTGCTGTAGACGCGCCGGGAGGGAGACTCCGATGTTGTGGCAGGAGTGATCCAGACGAGGAGGAGTGATCATGGCGTCTCATGTTTTCGAAAGTGGTTTGATTCTTGGTGATTTGCACAGATTGGACAACGATTAGCATCGTCACCCAAACTAGCTGCAAACATGCCCAGAATGTAAGAGCCACTGTCCAGGGATCTCGAAGGACAATATTGCAAAGTGATGGAGCGAGGATATTGCATTGTGAGATTGCATCGTCGGATGGCGGGCTGAGAAGTGATAGGTAGGACAGGACGAGGCGAATGTATAGTAGAATACCGACCTCAAGGCTGAGAATGTATATGTAGAAGTGCCGAATGTTATTATTACCGACGCAATTATGCACCCAGGGGCAGTGGTGGTCGTGTTTGGCGACACAACGATTACATCGTCGGCAATGCTTGGAACGCAGTGGCTTCCGAACCAAGCATTGAACACAGAAGTTTTCCTCGTCAAATTTCCATAATGAAAAGAGTTCTTCGATGACAGCTCTTTGTTGATTCCGTGAAGCTAATTTGGGTATGTATCCAGGATCTTCTCGCATCGCTGTGAAGTAGAAATATGCTGTACTGGAATAGCTCAGAACAAAGAGCAAATTGAAGAAAGGATTGGTCGAGAAGGTCCCAGGTAGTACTGAAGTCAGATAACTGAAACCCACCCAGAACAGAGTCGCAGCAAATATGCCGGATAGATATGGCGTTTTATGGATAACGTGATATTCCATGGGACCCATCATCGCGATTCTTTGAGCAATGTACTGCATCCCAAGACATACAACCAGGAAGACTGGCAAACCAACAAAAATCTGAAAGTGGCTGATAATATACAGGCCAATGGGCATAATGAGAAAGGGGTACAAGAAGAAGAATTTGGACATTTTTGAGCGGTCTTGGAGAAGCATGTGCAGCTTTAAGGGTAGAGTTTTGAGATTTCCATTGACATCGTAGCCGTGGTCAGCTAGCGAGCGCTGATAAGCTCTTTTGGTACTCATTTCCTCCGCACAGGCGGAGGGTGTCTTTCCATCGTTAGTCTTGGCGAATCGATCCGCTCCATATTCGAGGACTTTGTCAAGACAGGGTTTTGAGCCTTTGACAAGAGCCCAATGAAGAGGCGTAAAGCCGTTATCATCGATGGCATTGACATTTGCACCCCATCGTAGGAGAAGATCTACACAAGCTGGCCATCCTTTATATCCTGCCCACATGAGGCTAGTGTGACCTTGAGGATCCGCAGCGTCCACAGGGATGTTCTGCTGTAGGAGAAGGATCAAAAGAAGAACATTACCGTCGATGGTGGCCAGGTGAAGAATGTTATACCCCTGGCCGTCGGTCAATAGCGCGTCGGCACCATTCTGAAGTAGTAGGTTGACAATGTAGAAATGGGATCTCTGCGCAGCCCACATGACTGGTGTAGCATGAGATTCACCACCTTTGGCATTGACATCCGCACCTTGTTCGATTAGGTATTTGGACACAGCATACTGGTTGTTGATAGCAGCCCAGTGCAATGGTGTAATGCCTTCATCATCCGTATATTTGGCGTCCACTTTGCCGGACTGGATCATTTTTTGAATGTGCTCGAGCGCTCCAATCCGAGCGCATTGCATAATATCCTCATCGAGAGGTATGCTGGGTTCAGCGGAACCATTTTGAATCGGAGCGAGCTCAACATCTTCAGAAGTGACCTTTGGAGAGGCTGCGTTTGCCTTTGAAGATGGAGGGTGAGAGAGTTTAGAGGCAGGAGATGACATGTCGACGAAGAGGGTGTGGATTTAGTGGAGCAGCAATTGGCACATCGTGTTACCTGGCATGGTGATGAGTCTTTGGATTTGGGAGGAAAGTTGACATATAAGTCGGAGCAGTACCACAGTAGTATGACTTTGTAAACAGCAGATACGAGCCTAAGCCTGCTGAGCCTCCTGAAAAAGTGTCTGCATCTGTCCTGCCTCTGGAGTACGTACGCGCATGAGTACGAGTACGGAATAGGCGAGGCCGGCGAAGCAGCCAGGCCGAAGGATTTTCCGGTTCAGCTCGATCACGTGAAGCACGTGAGCTGTGTTGACTTCCGATTTCGTCCTTGCTAGCTCCGTCCCAGTCGCTCCTGCTAACTTGAACTTCGACTCCTTTTTCGCCAAGCAAAGCACCTTCGGCAAAGTTGCCTTTTCCAAGCGAAATCAATCGAGCTTCACTGGAAGATCCTCATTCTTCTCTCAAACTGCACTTCAACTATCATCCTCATTACTCTCCGCTCCCCTTGAATCACACCCATTTCACCCTCTGCTTCTCGGAAGTCCTTCTTTACAGCTTCACGAGTAGGCAAGATGATGTCAAGGAATCTCTTGCGCCAGACCGGCCGCATTGCCGGTGCTGTTTCGGCTTCTGGCAGAATAGCTGCGGTAAGCTCAATCTTTTCATCAATACAGCTTCAAGAGCTTCAAACAACACTCCAATGTCATCTACGAGCTATCCAAACCATTCTCCAAGCTCTTCATCACACCTGAGACCCGAAAATTCAACAACTGGCTCGAGCTCAATGCTGATTAAAACTTTTATTAGTCCCGCGTCCTCACCCCTGCACCCTTCAATGCTGCATCAAAACAGATCCGATCATATGCTGCCGACGCCAAAGCATCCCCTACCGAAGTCTCCTCCATCCTCGAGCAAAGAATTCGTGGTGTACAAGAAGAGGCTGGCCTCGCTGAAACTGGTCGTGTCCTGTCCGTTGGTGATGGTATTGCTCGTGTCCATGGCTTGAGCAACGTCCAAGCCGAGGAATTGGTCGAATTCGCTTCCGGTGTCAAGGGCATGTGCATGAACTTGGAAGCTGGTCAAGTCGGTGTTGTGCTTTTCGGTTCTGATCGTCTTGTCAAGGAGGGCGAAACCGTCAAGCGTACCGGCCAGATCGTAAGGATCACACCTTCTGCCCTGTGAGAGCTTTATCATCCTAACGAAACCCTATTTAGGTCGATGTTCCCGTCGGACAGGCTATGCTTGGACGTGTCGTCAACGCTCTCGGTGACCCTATCGATGGAAAGGGACCTATCAAGACCGAAAAGCGATCTCGAGCTCAACTCAAGGCTCCTGGTATTCTTCCTCGACGATCCGTCAACCAGCCTGTACAGACTGGCCTGAAATCCGTCGACGCCATGGTGCCCATTGGACGTGGTCAGCGAGAGTTGATCATTGGTGATCGTCAAACTGGAAAGACCGCTGTTGCTCTTGACGCCATCCTCAACCAAAAGAGATGGAACAACGGTAACGATGAGACCAAGAAACTTTACTGCGTCTACGTGGCTGTTGGTCAAAAGCGATCCACAGTTGCTCAATTCGTCAAGACTCTTGAAGAAAACGACGCCATGAAGTACTCCATCGTCGTTGCTGCCACCGCCTCCGAAGCTGCTCCTCTCCAATATATCGCTCCCTTCACTGGGTGCGCAATCGGAGAATATTTCCGTGACAACGGTATGCATGCTTTGATCATCTACGATGATTTGACCAAGCAGGCTGTTGCTTACCGACAAATGTCTCTCCTGCTCCGTCGTCCCCCTGGACGTGAGGCTTATCCCGGTGACGTTTTCTACCTCCACTCTCGACTCCTGGAACGTGCTGCCAAGTTGAACGATAAACACGGTGGTGGTTCCCTAACTGCTCTGCCCGTCATCGAGACCCAGGGTGGTGATGTGTCTGCCTATATTCCTACCAACGTCATTTCCATCACTGATGGTCAGATCTTCTTGGAATCCGAGTTGTTCTACAAGGGTGTTCGTCCTGCCATCAACGTCGGTCTTTCCGTGTCCCGTGTCGGTTCCGCTGCCCAGCTCAAGGCCATGAAACAGGTCGCCGGTTCTTTGAAACTCTTCTTGGCTCAATACCGAGAGGTCGCCGCCTTCGCCCAATTCGGTTCTGATCTCGATGCCGCCACCAAGCAAACTTTGAACCGTGGTGAACGTCTTACTGAGCTCCTCAAGCAAAAACAATACTCTCCTATGGCTGTCAACGAGATGGTTCCCCTCATCTATGCCGGTGTCAATGGTCACCTTGACCCTGTCCCTGTTAACAAGATTCTGCAATGGGAGTCTGACTTCCTCGCACACTTGAAGAGCGACCAGCAAGAACTCCTCCAGAGAATTGACAAGGAAGGCCAATTGAGCAAGGACCTTGAGGCTCAATTGAAGGACGTTGTTGTCAGCTTCACCAAGAGCTTCACATAAGTACGTCTCATTGGTTACTCTTCATCTCAGGAATTATAGCTGACCTCTATGGTTTAGATGTGAGGTTTAAAATCGCTTGTACAATTTCTGGCTTGGTCAAAAAAGGACTCCACTGCTCTGATTGAGAAGTTCAAATGCAGATTGTGCGCGATCACAACTGCTGAGCAGAGAAGAAGTGTCTTATTGTAACTAGATAACATACCAGTCCTCAATCAATTCCGTTTGTTCTGCATAGTGTTCCTTTCTGCATTCCACGTATTCCATATAAATCTCTATGCATCTCCTCTTCCAACAGATAAATGGCTGACCGCTATCCTTCAGCCGCTGCCGCTCCACATCTAGCTCCGATCCTCAGCATGCTGAAATGATATCAATCAAGGTAAGAGTGATTACAAAAAGATAAGAATTAGAATCGCAGCTTGGAACAATGTGAAAGATTGCTTTGACTCGTGTGGATAGGCATCTATGTACGCCCTCGCCCTGACCCAGGCATAAGTTTCGTCAAACCCTATGCTTCTCAAATGCGTCGTATAATGAACACTGCGCATCACATATAGGACGAATCTGACCTTCTATGAACGATGATCACCGACGCTTGACACCTCGCAGGCACAGGACAGTGGCCATTCTTAAAAAAAAATGTTTCGCCAAAACCACAGCTTCCTGGCGGTTGCAGTGGCAAGCCTGCATGAAGGTTGATGCAGAGTGCCAGCAGTCAGTCCGATGTCCTCTTGGAAGCAAACTACATGACGCACTTGTAACTGGTTAATAGTTGGGGGTCAACTGTCTATATTCGGGTCAGGCGCAATTTGCAGATAGAGTGATGTAGCTCTTGTCTGTCAGACTTTTTGGGGAGGTTCACATGTCTACACATCTACACAGGATCGCTAACTTAGATCTTGCTCTTCCCCAGACCTTCAGTCTCCTCGATCCTGTACACATACTTGACAGCGCTAGCCTTCCCGTCACGAAGATTCTCCAACCCCTTCTGCACACCGTTGAGCCCACCAGGAACCACCTCGTACGGATGCCCACTGAACCACCCCTCCTTCAACCCCAGACTAAACAGGCGGAACCAAGCATAGCCCAAATCCTTGAGATCGTCCGGCACGCCGTGCACAGACCCGACGGTCGTGAGCGTCCGGTTCACCGTCGCCGGCACCTCCTCGTACTTCCTGCCGGGGAGCACGACCGTCAGGTTGCCCTGCGGATCCAGCGCCTTGACGATATTCTGGTACGAACCGTTCTCCGAGACGGCGTCGTACGCGTACAGCAGTTTCTGGCCGGAGGGGATTGCGGCTTTGATGCCGGCGACCACTTGGTCGTCGCCTTTGCGGTAGTCGATGACCACGTCGCCCTTGGATTTGTCGAGTAGACCCTCGACGAACGGGATGCCGCGGCCGGCCACCGCGATGATCGGGTGGATCTGCGAGCGGACCAGCAGTTTGATCGCGAATGCACCGACCGCGGATGCGGCGCCGTAGACGACCACGCCGCCGGCGAGAGCGTCTTTTCTTGCTTGGGACGCTTGCACCCATGGCTCGGGGAGGCCGAGGCGGGCGTACAGGCCCACGACGGCGGTCATGGCGGCAAGAGGGATGGTGGCGGCTTCCTCGAAGCTGGTGTTCTTGGGCAGGTGGAAGGTCGTCTTCTCCCACGCGACGGCATACTCGGCAAAGCTGCCGTACGGCTTGCCCATCTCGTGGAACGCACCGACGCGGTCGCCGACGTGGAACTCCGTGACGTTGCTGCCGATCGCGTCGACATAGCCTGCGATGTCGTCGCCTGTGTTCAGCCCCGAGGCGCCTTTCATGAACAGTGGATACTTCCAATCCTTGGGGTTCGTGCCGGATACTACGACCCGGATGAGGATTTGGTCTGGCTCGAGCGTGCTCGGCTTCTGCTTCTCTTGGATCTGCACATCGAGAGTTGTGGGCGGTTTCGTGAAGACGTGGGCGGATTTGAATGACATGTTGGCTCTGTGAGATTTGGTGTATGGTCTGCTTGATATTTCGGTTGGATTTTTAACACTTTGAGAGACAAATGTCACGAAAGGGGCACGAGGCTGGATGTTTCTAATGGTACCAGCGGGGAAGACAGCGTAATGTATGATATGCCGAGGTCTAGAAAGCTGACTCTTGATCATATGGGACTTCGATCTGCGCGCCAACTCGTTCACAACTTCAGAGAAGGCGATCTTATGGATTTGAAATCAAGAATGAAGATGTTCCGTATGCCGAACAAGTGCCTAGGTAGCTGATAACTGGCAGAGTTTATGAATGGATAATGCATACCTAACAAACGAGCAACTGGTGAGCTTGCACCCAAAATGGGCTCTGGAGCGCTCAGCAAAATGCGCCACGGTAAATATATCCTTGTCCAACCAAGGGTTTATGGGGGGCACAGGGTGCGGAGTCTTGACACCAAAAATGAGTGTATCGAGTGACTTGAGCCCGTGAGAAGCCCTACCTGAGGTAATGATAGTGGATATCCTGGTGATGGTGTCATCATATTCGACTTGTTACGAATCCGTGATAGGGTGGTGGGCGAGCGCGGGCCGAGATCTCTTGGAATTGGAGGTTCGGCATGTCGAGCACATTGAGGGGCAGCACTTCACTACCTAGGTAAGTAACGAAGTAGAGACGATGATGCGCAAGCGAACTTGAGGTTGAGTAAGGCATCGACTGGTGTGATTGTACTTAATTTGTTTGTCGTTAAGTACTAAGTAGATATGAAGAGTGATTTGGCTGTGCATAATCAAGGTCAAATAAATATTCGAGGTTCTGGCAATGAGGGCGGTGGGGGAGCATGATCCGGTGCTCTATGTCCAGCCAGATTCATAACTTACCTTCACGACCATGCCAGTAATTTGTATCGCGCTCGACCAGGTCTTGTAGCTCAGTTAACCATACAAAGTATTCCTGAGTGTCTTCAGGCTGTGTGTGGTGAGTTTCCTGGTAGTTGAGAGCTCGTATCCTCTATAACTTAGGTAAGCGCTACTTAAGTACTCGAGTAGCTTGTTGGGTGCTTCCACTCCGGCCCCGCACCTCTCTGGACGTATTATAACTGCTCACTACTGGAGTATGCATGAAGTCATGCATTGGATGTGAACGGCTATCTTCGAATATTCATGGGCTTCCCGTTGAGACACAATAACCGACATCGCCACAGATTCAGTGGTAGGATTTCACGGCTATCACCCTCTCATCGAACAAGTATTTAGTACTGTATAGCAGACCTGGTTATTACAGGTCATGGCGCCACCCTCCTCGCGCACAGAAGTCCTTGAGCATTTAAAGAACCAGGTAAAAAATGGCAAACCAATCGTGGGTGCTGGAGCCGGAACCGGCTTGTCCGCAAAATTCATTGAAGCAGGTGGTGCGGATCTAATCATTATCTACAACTCTGGTAGATTTCGGATGGCTGGACGTGGCTCCCTCGCAGGTCTTATGCCATATGGTGATGCAAACGCGGTCGTGGTAGACATGGCCAAAGAAGTACTCCCCGTAGTGAATGACACTGGAGTTTTGGCTGGGGTGTGTGGCACAGATCCATTTCGAATCATGCCGCAATTCCTTGCACAATTGAAGGGGATGGGCTTTTGTGGTGTCCAGAACTTCCCGACAGTCGGTTTGATTGATGGCACATTTCGAGCAAATCTGGAAGAGACGGGAATGGGCTATGACAAGGAGGTGGATATGATTGCCGAGGCGCATAAATTGGATCTTCTTACGACCCCTTACGTGTTCAACGTCGATGAGGCTGAGCGTATGACCAAGGCTGGGGCGGATGTCTTAGGTAAGGGATGAAATACCTCGATTCCCTTCCCTGGCGGACACTAATGTTTTGCAGTCTGTCATATGGGCTTGACGACATCTGGTTCGATTGGAGCTAGGACTGGCAAGTCACTAGACGACTGCGTCAAATTGATCCAAGAGATGGGAGATGCGGCGACCAAAATCAACCATGAAATCTTGGTACTTTGCCACGGCGGTCCAATCGCAGAGCCCAAGGATGCCGAGTATGTCCTTAGCCGTACGAGAGGTATTCACGGTTTCTTCGGAGCCTCGAGTATGGAGAGGCTACCTGTTGAAATTGCCATTTCCAACACGACCAGAGAATTCAAAGATTTGCAGATTAACCAGCCATGATCGAAATTCCTCATCAACCGCAAAACGGGCTGGGCTTTGGCTCAAGCTGGAGCCTGTACATACCCTGCCGTTGGATATGGCGCCTATCCGGATTGAAAATCAAATGCGAATACGAGGGTACTGGAGGCTGTACACTCGTACTCATAGATTGAGTGTCTCCTGAGTTCTGGGATCTTTCCAGCCTATGCTGGGGTTAGCCCTTGCTCCTTTGCAGGTGCAGGCTAAGGCTGTATTTATCACAGGATATTACGAGATTTTTGCCTAGGTATTTGCACTTATCAATGGCCAGAGCATGAGAGCAGATATCTGCTGGCCCGGATTCTGTACCCGCACACCCAATACTACTCACCGGTTGTCGCTTGAGCTTTCCCTCAGGGAAATAGGGCTGATGCTTGCTTTCTCAGCCTGCCGAGTTTCAAGCACATGTTCTCCGATCAACGCTAATGCAGGTGTTTGAGACCCAAGCGAATGATGGTGGATGTGGCGTTCGGGAAAGAACGATCAGGGAGATTTTTTGAGAGAAGCTTGGGGTCGGACTTGTCAATCGAATTGGGGATTTTATCCCTTGCCAGACACTCAAGATTTCTTTTGCCTCTACAACCTGGGAACCTCACTTCCCCGCTCTGTCTATCGCCATTATGGACCTCCTCAATTCAGGTAGGAAGAGAAGGTTATAGTAGACGGAATGAATCGCAATACTTTCTCCGTTCCACCTCTGGCTTTTGAAGACCGCACAGGGACTGAGATAAGAGAGACATACTTGGACTCATCTAGGTACAAAATCGATTGTCATTTTAAGTCTCGTGTTCTGGCCTGCCAAGAGTCGTTGGCCCCCATTCAAATTGATCTAAGCTAATGCCAAGCATAAAACCCCTGGCGATCGCATGAAAACCGGCAAAGACAATCAGAAGCATCCTCACTCTGGCTCAATCAGCCTCTTTCGTTGAGGCCCAAATGATCTCTATCCGCCTCGGCGCGTATGCTCGTGATACACCGGCTTCGCTGTTCAGCAGAATCTTTACCGAAATCTAGCTGCAAGGGTCCATACTCAATCTTACTCATCTTCGTTACTGGCTTTGCTCTGTAGCCCTCTACACGCACGAGTAACTTCGTGCCGTGTCTATGAAGTCACAGCCCTGCTGGACTGAATTTGTGTGTCGATTCTGGCTCCTGAATCCCTGCATGGCACTTCTCCTTCGTGATGAGGCTCCATTCGACTTGTTCAACCAGCAAAGGTTCGATTGGCTTCTTCTTGAGAGCGCTGTCCTCGAACCAATTGACATGACTTATCTCGACACCTGGTAAGGAAGCTATGGTGATCCAAATGTAAGTACTGCAAGGACTAGGGTTGTTTCCACAAGGCAGCCTCCGTATCCGTATTTACCCTCCAGAGACGGCGCAGAATCATGAAGTAAACAGACAGCGAAGGCGATATATTATTTCTTCCTACCGTCTCCTCTCAAAGGCCCCTCACTTTTGTTCTTCAATTCCGTTGTCTCCAGCACAGTCTCTCGTTTGTATCCATTGCTGTCAACCTGTCATTCTTTTATCCTATCCAAACCCTATCACCCTTGTGACAATGTTGTTCACAAAAGCGGCCCTCACCGTCTCTTCTCTAATACTTCTTGTCGCGGCGCAAGAACCCGATGACGCCTTTTATAGAAGCCTGAAACCCAGTTTTGGCAGAACTCCCACTACTACAAGCCGACTACTGAAGACTCGCGATCTTGATAAACGATGCACTGGTAGTTGTGAGGAATGCTTCGGAGATGGCTACACACTCTGCCCGGGAAGCAGTATCTACTGCTACCTCCCAGGAGATTCATCTTATGGTTTGGATTCCTGCTCTTCCGACTATAGCAGTGACAGTACCTCGACCGCCAGCGCCCCTGCATCCACATCTACAGCCTATGGTACCGATGAGCTTTGTTATCAGACTGGTGCGACTTGTACCTCATGCTTCGGACCAACATATCTGGATTGTCCTGATGGGTACCACTGCTACGATCCAAATGACCCACTTTACGATACTTGCCCCGAAGACGATGACTCATCAGACACTACTTCTTCTGGTTCTGGTTCAACCTGCGCCGACGTGTACGGTTCTGGAAGCATACCTTGCGGCGACGATTCTTGCTATAACCCTGGGGATGGCGACGTCTGCTGTGACGATGGATGTAAGGCATAAATCTTGATGAACATCGGACATCAAGGACTGACTCTTGTCATAGATCACTGTGAAGACGGCTATACCTGCTCGAGCATCAGTGGCAAGTGTTGCGCTCCCGTGAGTTTCCTTCCTTAAGAAACCCGACAAAGCTTACTGATCAATTATCAGGGGTCAACATCCTCTTCATGTTCCGGGTCAGGTAGTGGACTGCTCTCTTCATCATCCATCGGGGCTACCCGCACAACCTCCAGCAGTGGACTGACCTTCAATACTGGCACTGCTACCACCTCCACCAGATCTACAGGCACATCAACTGGTGTCAGCCAATTTGCGAATGGAGCTGGAGCCATCGACGTCCAGAAAGGCTTCCTCCTCGCAGCCGGACTTGGTGCCTTAGTTCTGTAGACAGTTATATATACATGGGCTCGAGGACTTGAGTGAAGCAACGCACGTACTTCGAATTTCATAATAAACAGTCCCCGAAACTTTCTTGGCCCTTTGGGACGATTATACGATCTGAAATGAAAGACTTACCTTGATCTTGTACACTGCTACATGACGTGCCTAATTGTAGGACTTGGTTGTCTAAGAACTGGAATAGATATTACGGATTGTTGTTGTTTGACTCAGACTTGGTGGTGAATATTGACTCCCGAGGTCAGCAGAGGGATGCCAGAAAATGACTGTCTTTCCAAGGCTTGGCACATTTCTCAGCTTCCGAGGTCAAGGTTGTTTTCAACATTAGGATATTTACTGCATTATCGTGTTGATAGATATTCTCTCGGGCCACTACCCTTTCGTCTAGTCTCGCGTTGCGCGTTCAAGGACATAAACTCATGCTCTTTTGTGATTCCACTTTCCTTCTTTTCCATCCCACGTCCTCTTGGTCAATGGAATCAAATCAAGGGCAGTGAAGATCACCTCCTTCATGCGTATGGCAGCCCTGCAGAATGTCAGTAATCAGCAAGACTATATCACCATTCCATACTCACAGGAGGGATCGACAGAGTCGAGGATGGAGCTTGAGTCTGCGTGGCTGAGGCGCTTGTTGTTATTGCCGGCAATGCAGGTGCGCTGCTGGAGCTTGTAGCCGCATCAGAATGAGATTCCTCACTACAGCCAACTCCTGGAACGGCAATGTCATATGCCCAAGCTTCGAGTGCAAAATACTGCAGAGTATCACTGTCATGAGTTGAGGTAGTGTTTTCCGACAGCGCAAGCTCCACGACTTCCTCATAATCATCAGCGAAATGCTCGATGTATTCCCAGCCAATGGCGGGCATGTGATAAAGTCGGTGTAACAAGTCGCCGGCCCAGAAAGTGTTGGTGGGAGACTCGGCGACATTATATCCCAATGCGCACATCTGGCTCAAAGACCGACGGGTTGAATAACTCAGGTCACAGATGACGGTCTCGTCCGTCGCGTTTGAACCGCGCCAGTGGCCACCCCAGTCTGCAAAATGTCAGTCTCTCATTAATTCGAATCTTGAGTACTGGAACATACTCGGCAGGTTACAGTTGCCGTCAGGATTGTCACATCTGAAAAGGACGCCACCTTTATCGCCACTGACGATGATGTCGTATGCACCGATCACCTCATATGGGGGTCGGTCTCCAAAATAGCGGCGGTATATCTCGGAGCTGTTTTTGTACCGCAAGACATGTTCTTTGGCATGTTCAGCCAATTGGATGGTCTCGTTCAATCCTACGGCGATCTGGTGGGCTTGCGTGGCATTGCAGCTCTCGTGGATGGGGAATTGGGAGACGGAACCAGCATCCCACGCCTCGATAGTGGAAGAAGAGGTCTCGTTCGAAGAAGACTCTTGACGAGCCTCTAATCTTGCAGGGGCTGCAATGGCACCGGTGATGGCAGACACCAAAAGGGCTTTGAGAAGAACAGACATTTTTCGTTATGAGAGATACTCTGGTCCAAGGTTCTAGAAGTCACTGGATGCTTGAGCGAATGAGTCTTGCTACTGGATGGTCGTCTGCCAGGTCCTATCTATATACTTTTCGTTTGCATTCAATGCTCAACAACGTCCGAGGCAAAGCATCCTACATTTCCGGCGGTTGGAAGCATCCGATCCCCCACCACCGTCCATGTCCGCATGACACTTGCAGAAATTTTCATGATGATGTTCCTGATCGGCTGGTACAATGACAGTTAGCTTGACTGAATGCATGACTTCGACACCTGCAGAAGCGCACCACGAGGCTAGAATAAGCGAACCTTGTGGCCGGCGATATGAGGACCATAGTTACCTTCTGACGAACCTGACCAACCAGTGAACAGTTGGTGGCCGCTGCTGCCACGTTTAAGGTACCATCACCGCAGATTCCACCCTTGCGTCTACTGTACGATCTTCTATCGATCCGACTCATGACGTTCATTGCCGTCTTGTGAGTTCAATATGGGAATGGGTCGCCTTTGCCAAGAAATATCCGCTCCGCTGGGGGAAAGCCCAGACAAAAGTGAGTACCTTAAATATCACGTCTAGCCAACCTCTCCACCACTCAGGTCATACTTGTTGCCATCTAACACTTTTTAAGGACCCAACAATTGAGCACCTTACGCCTTGGCCACGGTCATCTTTGCTCAATACCGGCCTTGGCTCTTGCTTTTCTCCTCGCTCGAATTCTTTCCGTTGCGCCTGGCTTGCTGTTCTTCCGACCCGACATAGCCTTGCCAAGTGCACTACTGGCTGGGAACGTGGGATTACATGTTCATCATGCAAGTATTCAACTCATCGAGTTCGGTATGACCACCGAGAACTCTTCCAGTCTGCAATCCCACGGTCAAGTGGAGTGTTGGTATAGTCAAACGAGCAGAATTTTCGTCGTGGTTCTTGACATCAACGTGCCTTCCATTTATATCACAAACAGAAAGTGCAGACATCTGTTATTGATGATTGTGCCTTCCGTATTTCCCCTTCCGTGATTTTTCGACTTGACAAAAAAGTCATCAACCACTAGCTTGGTTACCCTTTTCGTTTGCCTGTTGCAACAACATTTTTGTGTTCTTCGGATTTTTCATCATGTTGGCACGTATTCTATTACTCGTCGCTCTTGGAAGCGTAGCCCGAGCACAAACGACATACACTGGTTGCCATAACCACTCTACTGTTGAGTAAGCTGTGCCCTACAATTTCGACGAAGCCCACTGAAAGCGATTTCCAGGTATTGCTATGGCCCTGATGGCGAAGAGACAGCTTTGTACACATATTCCACCATTGCTTCTACGACGTTATCGACTGCCACTCTACCTGCTTCTGTCTCCGCTTCTGCTACTACCACAGGGCAAACCACAGCCGTTACTGGCTGTCATTCACACGGAAGCGACACGTGCGTTTTTCTCTCCTCTTCTGGTCATGTCTCACACAGCCTAGATATTGTATCAACGGTGCTGGAATAGAAGTGCTGGTGTCAATTACTGCTACCGCCACCGGAGAACAACCAGCACAGTATACCGGCTGCCATGCTCATGGCGATGAACAGTACGTACTCACAGCGGAAAGAGCCGACGATTCCTGATGAAATCCAGATGGTGCATGGCCCCCGATGGCTCAGAGGTATTGGTTCTGGCAGAGGGTGCCACCACATCGAATGGAGACGGCCATAGTGAAGAAGATCATGCAGATGGCGAGCAAGAAATGGACTGCCATTTCCATGCCGGAGTGGAGTGAGTTCTTACACTGAGCAGAATCCGAACACGCTAACTCAGTACAGACATTGTGTCGCTGCTGGCGGAAGTGAAAGCGAGACGGAAGAACTCAATTGCAGCGTCACTAGAAGAGACTATGATATTGGACTACGAGTTGGTACACTTTTCGTCATCCTTGTCACTAGTGGAATAGGTGTTTTTGCTCCGATAGTGCTGTCCAAGCTCCCATTCCGAACCATCAACGCATCAGCGTTCACAATCGTCAAACAATTTGGCACGGGAGTCATCTTGTCGACTGCCTTTATTCATGTGAGTGCGCTCTTCTCGACATATCACCAAATATGTTAATCAGCCTCCAGCTTTATACTCATGCGAACCTCATGTTCAACAATCGATGCTTGGGTACATTATCATACGAAGGGACAACCTCAGCAATCGTCATGGGAGGCATTATACTTGCGTTCCTCTTCGAGTATATTGGTCATCGAATCATTCTCGCTCGCACAAAGCCTCGACCAGAGGATCATAGCTCTGGCAGTGAGGAAACGACGACGGATCTTGGAAAAGAAGAAGACGCAAATCCAGGAGCAAAAGCTGTTGCAGGGCCCCCAGCTCCAGCATATAAACCAAACAATCTCACGAATCTGGGCCACAACCATGGCAATCCCCTGGATCCAACCAACCCTAACTCCAAACTTTCAGTCATGGTTATGGAGGCTGGAATTCTGTTCCACAGTGTTCTTATTGGTCTGACATTGGTCGTCGCTGGCGATTCGTTCTACAAGACTCTATTGGTTGTGATAGTTTTTCATCAATTCTTCGAAGGCCTAGCTTTGGGAGCGCGTATTGCTTTACTGCCAACCAAATTTGCCAGATTCTGGACCACTAAGTTTCCCATGGCGGTGGCATTCACTCTCATCACTCCTCTGGGAATGGCAATTGGACTCGGTGTTATCAACAACTTCAACGGCAATGAGAAGAGCACAATTGTGGCTATCGGGACGTTGGATGCACTCAGCGCAGGCATACTTATTTGGGTAGGAGTGGTTGATATGTTGGCAAGAGATTGGATACTGGATGGTGGTGAAATGCTTCACACTAGTGTGGGAAAGACTCTGGTCGGTGGCGTGAGTCTACTCGCCGGTATGATCCTGATGAGTGTGCTTGGTAAGTGGGCTTAGATATGGAAACAGTAATACGCGATGGACCATGAGACGCGATATCCTAGGAATATGCCTAGCTCTTTAGGGTTAGACGACCGTCATGAGAACACGACTTAATTGGCGTCGGGGACTAGGTATAACCAGCGCCAGGTTAACATGTATACATGAGGTCTGCAAATGAGACCCAACATCCTTAGCTTTGTAAACCTAAGCGACGGAAAAAGAATTACAGCCTTGCATCTCCGCAAGCAAGGCAAGGCTGCCGGCAGAACTTCGGCCCAGGGTGAACAAGACCTCGATCGATGACATCGACACTCACAGAAATATTTACGCAGCTGTTTACCAAACCGCTTGCAATCAATAATGATGAAACTCTAAAGGTCAAATCTAGTTCTCCTCTCGTCATGCACAATAATACAGAAACAACTGCATGTCCAAATCTCTCCTCCGTATTCCTTACACGGGGCCCCTCCCGCCGCCCTTGATCATCCCACCATCGGCCACCACAAGACATGGAGCCATCGCCGCGTTGACCAAATTCCTGACCGAACCCGGTCCGGCAAGAAGACTTTCTGAAGTCCATGAAGGAAGCAACGGGCATGCCAAAAGCATTCATGATAACAAGAATAAGGATAAAACCGTCCTCTTGACAGGCGCAGGCCTCTCTACCGCGTCCGGCCTCGCCGACTACCGCGGCACGAACGGGACCTACACGCAGAACAAGAGCTACCGACCAATCTACTTCCACGAATTCGTGGCCTCGCACGAGTCCCGTAAGCGATACTGGGCGCGCAGCTTCCTGGGGTGGCGAGGCCTGCACCGCTCGCAGCCGAACGCGGGACACCACGCGATCCGCGACCTATGGCGACTCGGGCTGGTGTCAGGCGTCGTGACGCAGAACGTGGACAGCTTCCACCGAATGGCGCACACGAGTCTGCCGACTGTCGAGCTGCACGGGTACCTGCGCAAGCTGGTCTGTCTTAGCTGCCGCTCCGAGATGGACCGTGATACGTTCCAGGCGCGCCTCGCGGAGCTGAACCCCGCTTGGTATGAGTTTCTGCAGGATCTGCTCCGCAGTGGTGCGCTGGATACGGAGAATCCGGAGGAGCGGCGTAAGAAGGGCTTCAAGACCAATCCGGACGGCGATGCTGATGTGCCCGGCGCGCCGTACACGACGTTTCGCTACCCGGCGTGTCCTACGTGCCTGAAGCGGCCGCCGGTCCTGCCTGGTGGCGAGAAGGGCCATGTTGTTGTTGATCGGGATGGGGCGTGGTTGCCGGAGTCGGGCCCTGCAGGGGTGCTGAAGCCGAATGTCATCATGTTTGGTGAGTCGATTCCTCAAGCGACAAAGACGGCCGCCGAGGAGCTGGTTGATGAGGCCGAGAAGCTACTTGTTGTGGGCAGTTCGTTGGCGACTTACTCTGCTTGGAGATTGGCGAAACGGGCACTGGATCGGAAGATGCCGATTGCGATTCTCAATCTCGGTGGTGTGAGAAAGGAGGAAGTGTTCTTCGAGGGTGTGGAGAGGCCGCAAACTTTTGATGTTGCGTCTTCTGCTGCTGGTGGTCCAGGTCCAGGTCTGCCACCGACCACAAATTCTGTGGGCACGGGATTGAGTACCAACGGCTCTGTGCGTGTAAGTATGGCCGCCGAAGACGTTCTGCCAGGTGTTGTGGAATTGGTTCGAGGAAGCAAGGCAAAGGTATAGAAGTCATCATTCCTACACAGAAATCGATGGTGATGTCTACCTGTCGATATCGGAGCAGAACATAGAGGTCTGCGGGCACTCTTGAAAGGTCACTGTCTATGTCCATTTGCAGTGAAATATATTCTTTTTACTTCACAGGTTTTGAGGGCTTTCTCGACCGATGACAGAATCAATTAAATGGATTCCGTGAATAGTGAATGGCTAGCGCTGTTTCCTGGACCATATCTTCGTGCTCAAGCCTGGCCTCAGAACTCAACCTGTCGAGAGCAGCCGCAAGGCGCTGGGCCCCTACTCAGACCGGAGGGTGCAAAATGAGACACTGGTTCGCGTGGATATCTTACACTTGTTCTGACTTGGGCAGCCCAAGGAGCAGAGGCTGGAAAAGAATTTGCAAACTCTTGATATATAAAGTGTCTGCTTCTCTCGAATTATAAAGTTTGTGCTTGATGACCATCAGCATCCCCAACGGAGAAGTCTGCGACGACCACTTTTTACCAATATATATTCAAGCCTACGTGTTGCTAGGTACGATAGATCTACCCACCAATATCCTTTTAGATCGACGTTGTACCAAAGACCAGTGACCGCCTAAGAGACATTATGCCCCAGGCAGCGGCTGGTGGTATTCATAACGCTCCTCAATCATGAAACTGTCAGATGATTCGACTTTGCATTTATTGACTCCACCTCTCGATCCTTTGGATGGTGTCCATAAATGACATATAACACCTGTGCTGAGCTCAGTCTAAAATGAGACTGATGCATGCGGGTTGCTTGCGGAGCTTCCGGGCTGTCTCTTCGAAACTGCGGAAGAGCAGCGGCTTTTCCACATGAATCCGGGTAAGCAATCGGCCGAATCACTAGCGAAGTCGGAAGCAGAATTGACCCGACATCAAACAGAACGACCAGAACGCGCCAAGACAGTGGGAAGCAGCCCGTCGCAATGAGAATCGCATCTACTACGTCAAGCCTCATGAACTGAGGAAGCGATGCGTAGCTACTGAGTGAGAAACGAGAATGACAAACATGTTTGGTGGTGCCTTTCCAGGGCCGAGGTCAACCTTGGAGCATTTTACCCCGATCCTCAACCCCACACCCCATGATAGGTATCTAGCTTGCCTCCCGGGATGGGAAGATCTGGATAGTATTCCTATCGGATCGATCCTGGTTTTCTGTCTCTTTGTAATCTTCTGTGTGTTCACTCGACTATCATGGGTGACTCGCTGCCAAGCTCGAACGAGCAAGCTCAGCATGATCATACGAATCCTGGCGACGCAACTTCCAATAAGCCCAAGATCATACGCAAGCGTGCCGCTATCGCATGCGATGAATGTCGTATACGTAAAAGACGGTGTGACGGTGCAGTCCCTACCTGTGGCGCTTGCATCAAGCGCATGAAAACTTGTGAATATGCAGCTGATGGCCAAACTGGGGGTTGGCGTGAGCGGTATGCTTTGGCGCCAGCTCATCACGTTGACAATCTAGGAGTTTGACTAATCCCTGAAGCAAGTATGATACAATCATTGAGAACCCAGCTGGACGAACTAGAGAGATCAGACAGAACAACGTCCCCTACCATTCGGCAACAGCATAAAAACCGTGAGTCGTCACCTAGGAGTGCGCAAGAATTAGAAGGCCAAGTTTTGCCAACGGAGAATCCGGACCGTATGGACAGCATTACAGTGCAAAATAATATTTATGATACACGGCAAGCTACCCTCGGTCAGACTTTCAGATGTCTATTGTCCACAGAGAACGGCTCGACCCTTGATAATGAACAAGACTGCCCCCAGGGCAGCACACCTAAGGCCTTTGAACGATCAGACCTTCAAGGCACAAGTCCAGAGAAAGATCGTGCATCTATCAACCTGGAGAGGATGATGGAGCCAATAACAAACCAAATCTCTGACGACAATGGAATGATGGACCGAGAGACTCCCAGCATCCACGCCTCTAATGAGAAAGCCGTCCCAATTAACCAACAAGGATTCCAATGGAAAATAACTGGATGTAAATGCGACATCCTCCTTAACACACAGCGACAATGGTGCCTACCTTTACGACGAAACGCGGACGCTTTGGTGACAAGGTATTTTTCCCGACATAACCTTGCATTTCCGATCCTACACGAGCGGACTTTTCGACGACAGTACGAGCGACTCTGGGATTCGGATCCCTCTGGATGCTGTGGAATATGCGAGCAGCGAAGTCAAGGAAAATTACTGCTACCAACAATCTATGCCGTCTTCGCATATACCTCACTTTTAGAAACAAGTCAGCCACAACAAAATGTCACGAGAGCCAAGTCCTTCTTTCGCATGGCCCAGGAAGTCGATTGGTTCCAGATTCTGAACGACGATATTAGTATAGAATCGGTTCAGCTATTACTGCTCATGGGGAAATATCTTCAGAGTACAGAGCAGCTCTCAAAATTCAAGAATATCTCGAGCTTATCAATCTGGATGGCACAAAGCATGGGGTTGCATTACAGTGTACGTGAAGCTCAAAAAAGGGGTTTCTTGTCAGATCCAGCTACCCAATTGGAGTGCGAATTGCGAGCTCGTGTTTGGTATGGATGTGTATTGATTGAAAGGTAGCTAGAGATTGGTTTCAATGATCTCAAGAGGTGTCAACATACTGACTGAATACTCACAGGGACAAACCGCAGTACTTGAGCTTTGAACGATCAGTCGATGCAGCGACTAGTGATGAAGCTCTTCCACTTCCGCAAGCCATCGACGATAAATATTTGAGTGATGAAATGGGCAAGAACGGCAAACAGCCTGTAGGATCACCTAGTACGATGGAGATCTTCATTGCGACGATCAAACTCCACGAGATACTGAGCCAAGCCTTGAGTCGTGACAACTGCCGCTGGGAGACCACTCCAGATTCGTTGATGGGTATTCAGTCACTTTTGAGACTCGACAATCTTATGCATAACTGGCAGGATGAACTCCCTGAGTACCTTCAACTTGATCCATCTCGGGAGAACAGTGTTGTTGATTCAGCAGCTGTTACTCACCCTCAATCAGCGCCCTTCGTCCAGGCCGCAGGAAGGAAACTTCATATCAGGCATGTCTCCCAAGATGGCATAACGAATTCGTACTAATGGCATGCAGGTCCCTTCATGCTTGGCAGATCATATTACGACCAGCTCTAGATCTTTATTTCAAGAAGACGCAGAACCAACATTCTTCACTGAAAAGAAGGCAGAGGCACGACGATTTGGAAAACATAATCTTTACCACAATGGCCGCCAGATGCGTTGTATCCGCAATGACGATAATAGACCTACTTGGCGCAGAATCAGAAGCGCATATCTTTGTGGCATGGTGGATCAACATTGCATGTAAGACGATCTGGAAAATCGCCCTCAAGCCGAGAGCTGACAATAAATTAGACTTACATACTTGTGGCAGTACAATACTAATGGCAAGACTGTGTACATTTAATGACGCTAAGTTCAACAAGACGTCTTTACTGTCCAGTTGGAACACATGCTTGAAGACTCTTGACCGTTATGCTGGCATCAGCAGCATTGCAAGAAGATCTTCTTTCCTCCTGCGCCAAAGTGCTGAGAGATTGATCTCCGGTGGCCGTAATCAGACCACCAATCGTGGGAATAGCGCGAGAGAGCCTGGTACCAAGACTTGTAAAAGTCGGAAGTATGCAAATGAGGCTTTCGAGGAAGTGTTCATTCACCACACGGCTCGAGCAAGTGCAACGGAAGCATTGATGCCAGGAACCCAGACCACGAATCCCCCAAGCCAGAAACCAGCACGGCGAAGCCACAGTCACTCTTACGAATCATCAGAGGACCCAGGTGCGATGGAGTCTCTGCTGGATTCCAATCTTGATCTCGGAATTCCGCCAGATCTTGATGACAACTTTTGGGAAAGTGGTCTTGATCTCCCGGCCTGGACATTGATGCCTTCCATTGAACAATTAGAGACGTCACCTCCAGGCTTTGACTTCCAACAGGCTTGATCAGACAGCCGAATTGGCACGTGGATGCTACGGTATTGGAGAAACATCACCTCATATATCGCAAAGTGTTTAAGAAATCATACTTATCCGCAAATAAATTCATGGAGGCAAAGCAAAGGCGGTCCAAATTCGTGTCACGCAGAAAACTGCGGTCTTTATTTGAGATTTGATGCCATTCGCTGTGCTCAATAACGTAGGCAGATGAGGTGCGCCTTGTCAATGGACATACAGATACTAGTTGTCTGCATATGGGAATCGAGAACTAATGCAGCCATTGGCGGAACCAGAACACCGCACAATTCTTCGCACGCTCTAGCCCCTTCTGCTCTTCTGGATTCTTTGGATTCCCTCTAACCGCAAAAGCATGTTCGATGCCTGGAAAGAACTGGTAATCATAAGGAACTCCTAACGTGGGTATGGTTTGATTACTGTAAACCTTCAACTCTTCTGTGAACATCGGATCAAACTCAGGGGCCATTATCTGGACCGGAACATTGATGTTGAGTATCTCATCTTTCTCGAGGTTCGTCGGATGAGCAACGGAAATGCAATCGACGAGGCTCCGATCCTTTGCACCCAGGCGAAAAGCACCCCAGCCTCCAAAACAGAACCCAATCGCGCCTGTCTTTTTGTGCTTTGTCCGCAGGTCCTGGGCACACTCGAAGATCTCGCGCGTGCGAATTTCTTTACTGTTGCGCTTTAGAAAGTCAGGCAGATTCAATTCTCCCCATCGACTTTGGTCGTTGATGATTTCCACCGATAATACCTCACCACCGAACCTCAACCAGAATTTAGTTCAAATGGAGTGGATGACTTGTGCGCATCAGCGGGGGATTATGCAAGCTTACAGGTCGGGCACGTAGACGGTAGCATTGACTTCTTCTGCATAATGATTCGCTAAGAGTCGAATGTTCGAGAATGTCCAACCGTACAGATCGTGGAGAACCAGAATGGCAACATCGGCGTTCGTGCCAGTGACATAGCAATCTCTACCGGCGAGCTTGTCGGCTTTGCCACATGGCGTACCTCCCCATTTGAATCCCTTCAGACAACAATCACTCATAGTCACGATGTACGATGAGTTCAAGTAGATTAAGCAAGTCGTCGAGATTGATTGTATTCGGGGCGATGGATAAATATCGACAGGCACATTCCACATTAGGGCGAAACTCATCATCTTACTATGCGGTATAATGTGTCGTGTGGTCGGATGAGCCGCCCGTTGGGTGGCCTGGCCTTCCGCAGCGTGGAAAGATGTTCCTTAGAAATGCGGGAGCGGGAGTAATTAGATTCAGGTGCGGGTGTGCCGAGGAACATGCAGGCATGTGCCACTCATTGAGAATGTGGAATATTGGATGGGAGCAACTTCGCCATTTGCCGGACTTTAGGGCCAAGAAAAACCTAAGCGCTAGAAATGAGTACGATCGTGCGTTATGCTGTTCACTTCCAAGAGAGGTTGGTAAGACAACTTACATGGGTTTTGGAGGTAAGCCAAAAGGGCAAAAGCTCGACAGTTTTCACATGGCAACTCAGGAGCAGTACGTGGAAACGCCATGCCACAGACGCTTTTTCTTCGTCGGTGGCGTCTACGTCGAAGACACAGCGACTCACTTCGGAGGATACACACTGAAAGACCAGACCTACGTTGAATGCCTTACACCTATTGGCGGGGCTCGACGCGAGTTCCCAATTGTCTTGATCCATGGAGGTGGTCAGAGTGGCATGGTATGATGTTCGGGCAATGGATAATTCTATACAATATTACTAAATTCATGAGTAGAACTGGCTCCAAACACCGGATGGCCGAAAAGGCTGGGCTTCCTTTTTCCTCGATCAAGGATATGAACTTTACTTGATAGATACGGCATCAAGAGGACGGTCTGCTATGGATCTCACGCAGAACTATATTCAGTATCCGACGGGTATGGCAGAGGATTTCTGGACCTGCACGAAAGCAGCCGCGAAATGGGCGCAAGCGAAGTTGCACAATCAATGGCCAGGGGTAACTTAAAAAACAATTCAGAACAAGACATTTCGCTGACTTGTTTGTTTCAGACAGGCAGACGTGGTGACCCTGTGTTCGACCAGTACTATGCCACCATTCTGCCGAGTGCCGTTGATCTAGTTGCGTATCAACAAGCACAAAAGGACGGAGTTTCTGCGCTTCTGAAGAGAATTGACCGCCCCAGTATCCTTTTGATCCATTCACAGGGTGCTCCTGGTGGCTGGCTTGCGGCTGATGCATTTCCTCACTTGGTCAAGGCAATTGTCGCGGTCGAACCAAATGGACCTCCTTTTGCGGGAACGCATCCGCACAATGGATCTGCAGCAAGGTCGTGGGGCTTGACTGACATCCCGATGGAGTTCTCCCCTGCGATATCAGGCCCGTCAGAATTACACCTCACAACGATTCCTTCCACTGAAGATGGGAAGGAGGCAGTCGTTCTCCAGGATGAGAGTCACGGGCGGACAGTACACAAGCTCAAAAACTTAGAAAGCATACCTGTGCTGATCGAGATGGGTGAAGCAAGCTACCACGCCGGTTTCGATCATGCCACTGTTGCATTCTTAAGACAAGCAGGGGTGTCTTGTGATTTTATCAAACTAGAAGACATCGGTATCCATGGCAATGGGCATATGCAGATGCTGGAGCTAAATAATCTTCAAATTGCAGCAGTACTACATAGGTGGATAGAAGACAAGCTCTATACCTGATGAACTGAGGCTTGTTGTCTCCTAGATAGTATGCCTTCACAAGGAGTGATGAGAGGCTGAGCAGAGTCCTCGTACTCCTTAACAACTTCTGTCTCATCGAAGCATCAAGGCTTTCTTTGATTCACTCAAACTCAAGCAGGCCGTAATCAAGCCGAGTTTGCGTACAGCCCGGAAGCTTCTATCTCTCGTAGCCAAAGAGTCCAAGGGCGATGAGCAGACTTTGCGATGGACCACGTAGTTGCATCAACTTCTTTCTGGCTGAGGTATTTGACCGGACCTGTAACCGTCGTGCCCGTACTACGAGTAGACAATGCAGTAGATTGAATAGCCGCATTCTTTTGAGTATAGATTGCTCGCATAACACAATCTTGAATGCTGCCAGCCAAAACCGTGAAGCCGTGGCCTCTCATCAAGGCGACCACGTGCTCTGGCGAAATACTACCAGAAGCTATGCCGGAGAATGACGCGGCAAGGGAGCTCCCCAGATGCTGATTCCGGACCAACAGATCACTTATGTCCTCAGGCTGCTGTGCGTCTGCAATGTCCCAAATGGGTACATTTGTGCCGAGAAATCCTGCCATATGGAAGCATGCGCGAAGTGGCACACCGCTGATGCTATAAGGTACGACAGCTTCCGAGTGACTATGAATAACACTTTGCACCTCAGGATAGCGTTTGTAGCATTCACTATGAATACAGCGCTCTATAAACCCTGTAGGCGCACTTGGATCAACTGGACGAGCATCTTCGATATAGTATTCGATCAGATCGTTGGGTGACGATATCGTTCCAGGAGCAGTGTTTCGAGACAATATGAAGATCTGTGGGTTCAGTGGATGCCTCACTGAGAGATGACCAAAAGCGTCCAAAACGTTGTGATAGTGAAGTATATGACTTCCAGAGATCAGATCACGGTGGAATCTCTGGAGGACTAGATCCTGGTCTGAGGGCTGCATCTTGGACAGGGATAGATTAGGCAAGCGAGGCGAGGATGCATGGAACGAAACAAGGACGAGGGTTAACGTTGATTTCAAAGGATATGGACATTGTACACATCTGGGACCAGCGCGATATGGCGGAAGTCATTTTCGACTCCGAAGAGCGGCTTTTGTCTTCCACTGGTGGCAGATCATCCGATATTGCCGCAAAGACTGGACGAAGTGCAAGTTACCATTCTTAAATTGCCTTAGAGTCCGTCTAAACAACTGCCTATCGCATCTACCGTCTCCAGCAAGCCACACAAAGGCGAATCGCCTCTCAGCGACTTAATCCAGCAGGATAGCTTCCAACCCAAATACTTCACGGCATTTCTCTAGACTGGCGGCCTCCATGCGCTCATATAAAGTATTGACGTCGTGAATTTGAACACCCATATGCTCTTCGAACAGATTGGAGCTTCCTGTCATGACTTGCGTCTCTTTTTTTGTGCTTGTTTTGAGGTTTGACGTAAATATCCCTGCAGCGGAAATTGGCAAGAAGTCCTCGTAGATGATCGGCTCGTACTTTAGATAACCACTATCAACTAGATGTGATAAGGTTTCCTTCTTGCTGAGCTGCTCAGAGAGCTGTAAGTTTTCCGGAATGGAATATCTAAAGAACACGAGCCGCTGTGACTGCAATTCAGTCCAGGTGTCCGGGTAAGCTGAGAAAGTTTTCTCAAGGACATCCTGAAAGTCGTCATCTCGAGTCCCCGATCTCATGATGATATCGGTCTGTTCAAGCAGCTGGTCGTACAGCCTTCGACCTTTGGACGTTACTGCTGCACCTCGTTGCTCTACTTCCCCAAAACGCGCCGTGTGGTAGCCATGTTTTCGTGTACCGGCATCACCTACAAAGCAGACAGGTTCTTCTAGAGCTTTAAAACTCGTCTGGCGTAAAAGTATACCGCAATCACGCTTCGGGGGTCCCTCAATTCTTTCTTTTGCTGGCATTCCCTGTGTTTGCATCCTCTTCTGGACCAGGTCGATGTCCAAGGTTCGTGGCGTTAAATGGTTAATGTGTGCAGAAGGGAAGCACGCAATGTCGGCAACCATGGGGTGAACATGATTGAGCTCCACATAGTCTTCATAAGATGTATTGGTCATTGAGTGCCACTGGAATGTTTTCAAAGCTTCCACAAGCAGCTCATCTTCATCTTGCTTTGTTAGTGATTCTGCTTCAGATTTATCGATCAGTTCCAAAAGTCGTGCAGAGAATATATTTCGCGTTGAAAGAATCTTTTCAGCCAGCACTCTCGCACTATGAGGCAGGAGCTCTAGTCGAAGGACGCTTGTGAAGACTCTGAAGGGATTCCAATCCAAGGCATCACTTGTGAGTGGTCGAAAAGCCGTAGCGTGTAACGGAAATCCAACAATGCTGAGGTCGTAATAGCCGACAGGGTGCATACCAAATATGGCGAATAGTCGTGCGATAGTTCCTAGCTCAGTGGCTGTGCCTAATCTTATTGCACCGTGCCTCTCAAGCCTATGCCTAGGGGCCAGTTCTATCTTTGATACCTGCGCTGTAAATATCTATTTCTGATTCTGGAGCTTGCCGAACGAACCTGATTATCGACGCCCGCCACAACTGACAGCAAATCTGCGTACAGAGGAACTTCCTTAGTGTACATATCCGACATAGCTTGAGAAAAGCGAGTGCGAAGACGATCTGCATCTCGTGCACCTCGTCCCGTGCTTGTATACAGCACATCTTTTGTCATTATTGCGATTTATCTGCCTCAAATTCAGTTGGTCTGAAGGGGAGTGGGAAGCATTTCGGGACCAAAGATGTTTCAGAAGGGGACCGCCATTTAAATAGGTTGGGAAATGGAGTCCTAACCAGTCGATGTCTTATCTCTACTCCAATAACTTTATTTTTACAGCACCGTGACGGGGAGTGTCGAAGGGCGCAGAGGGTGGCTTCGCGCTCTGATTGGATAATACTCGAAAGAGAATTCTATATATGCACACATCTCACTTAGTCGTTCTCTATCAGTGAGGTGAAATTGCTATCATACCCCGGACCAGGATGGTGACGGCGTAAATGCGGAGCGCCTTCGTTGGCACGCGCGGATAGTGAGTCCCAGTATCGGGGGGGGGGGGGGGGGGGGAGGTAACATAAAAACAACCATGTGGGAGGAGGCTATTGTTTTTTTGCATGTTTAACACAATATTA